TTAATCTAATCGACTTTTTTTTGGATTCGAATTTATTTTACATATTCATTGGTCAATTATCTGTGTGTATATATATATTATCTTATATATACAGGGTTACTAAGTGCAAACCCGCCACCTGCAGTTCTACCATAGAACTAAATAAGACAGAGACTAACTTCACGTGATGCGTTTGGCCTGAATAACCCTGTATATTACCGACCTGTATACTATATATATATATCTTCTTGATTCCTTTCTCAACCCTCTCGCATTGGACAAAGTAATTTAGGTTAATCGTACTGTTACAGGCTTGTTTTTCCGATGCGCCACCAAACGTCACTCTTCCTGTTTCGGTGCAATTCAGTTCAAGCAATTCGATCGCCAGTTTTTTGCACGTCTAAGAATTATTGGCCGATTTCGTAAGGCATAGAATTCATTGAATTTCGCACGGTAATACAAGAGCTTTAGGAAAACTGTTTAGCGCTGTTGCATTGTAGTCAGTGTAAATATACGTTTAAAAGACTATAATAATAACAATAGAGGAGAATTAATAAGAAACCAGGTGCAAGAGCGCTTACGCGAACGTTTGGATTTTCAGGGACAGACATTTCTTCTGCATTAATTTAACGGTTCGTTCCGAGGAGGTTCTTTGTGTATCCGGTGTGTACCGGGTGGTCCGGTTAAGTGGCGAGAGACAATGAAATCGAAGTAAGAAAAGATACCAAAAACGGTCTGGGGAGTTGAGTGTATTCTGTGATCTCTAGCAGTGAATCGGTATGACTGTGCTCGATATAGTAGGTGATTACGAAATTTTGTGCCCGATTTTCATAGACGGCATCGGGCACGAAACTTTTGCGATCGGCTAATAATTTTCGAATATTTTTATTTTTAGTGTACGAACGTACTTTTTTTTTAGATTTGAAAACTCATTTGTTCACCCGGTCGAGACGCCGCACAGTGGGGAAAAATGGACAAAACTCTTCCATGGTCACAATTCTCGATAGATCCCGATAATTTAAAAAAAAAAATACTCAGGACATCTCAAACTACATGTCCACTTGCGACCATACCATTCCTATTTAATGATCCCGTGTAATGCTATGCCAATCGTCAAGTATCATACACGATTCTTTTAAAAATAGGTAAAACATATATCATCTAGAAAAATGAAGTAAATAAAAACTTGTGGTTATTTTCAATTTTAAATCGGGAATGTATAATTACACTAGAATCTTACTGTAGAAGTTTTTATTTACTTGATTTTTGTCCATTTTTCCCCACTGTGCGCCGGTAAGTCGGCTGGAGTTCGGTGGGAGTAGATTCTTGGCAAAGACAAGGAAGACATAACAGTTTCTATGCGAGACCGTGTACAGTGAGTTTGGGCCTAAAGAAACGAAGGAGACTGGTTAATCCGATATCGCAGAGCATTCAGGATCCGTTCGCTATTAATTCGATGAAAGAAGCGTGATTAATTTGAATAAAGTCAATCCGTGATGGCTGAACCCTCGATCTTCACGTAACGTTCGCGGAGTGCCAACTGTTTCATGAAGATTGGAACAATTAGCACGCGCGTCGTGGAGAATCCAGGCGAACGTCAATGGCGACAATACACGTGGACGTCAATTTTTTCAATCCGTTTTGTTTTCGTCTGACGAAACTTCATCTGCTTCTCTCTGTTAGGTCTTTTTTTTATTCATCGCGACCGGACGCCATTGTCGCTAGTTCGATTCGGGGCCTGCGCCACGTTGATTCTGGGTGCGAGATGAAAAAAAGAAATGCCGAAGAGGCTCACGGCGACCTATTGTCATCGCAAATAAGATTTTTGAAAAAGATCACTAGGAGAAGGAGCCAAGGAATTTTGTGGAATTTGAGATATGAGAGTCCTGGGGATTATTTGGTGCTCTAGGGAATTTCGTTAGGAACTTGAGGAGCAGCGTTCTCTTTGCCACTGGTTTTATCTTGACGTGGAACTTTTACTGGGTATAGTACATTTTTGTCGTTCCACTATTTACACAGCACTAGGGAAAAAATGGCCTCCTTTTTATTTTACCGATGGTTCTTTGTCTGTTATAAATCAGCACTCGTTTGGTTAACTAACGATGCAGCTTCGATGACTTTCTTTGTCCTTTTTTTTCACTGGTGTTGTATAGTCACTGTGTATATGGCTTTGTATAGATCTTTACATAAATCAGAGACTGCACCTGTCCAACACTGGATTCGGTTGGTGTAAGGGTTCGCTTTCACAAAAGGCGCTCAAAATGCGTCAATCACCTTCGGTATGTAGTATCCTCCAAAAAACACTTACGTGTAAAAAACTACGCCAAGTACAGGAGTGCTGTGTATTCCTTTAATAAAAAGTATCGATATCAGATTATTGGTCCGTGCCAAAAATTCCAAAGTACTTACTTTGAACGTACTAATAGTATCCTAAAACCATATGTTTGTTATTAAGCTTTTACGAGTTGATTATTTTTGAGGAGTTATTGTTAATAAGCGCTATATAGAAAGTTGACATTGGTTTTGAGTTTGATGACTGGTATAATCAACGCAAATTTATATCAAGAAATGCACGGACCCGCCAAGTAGTACTCGATAAGGAATCACCTAAAGTTTTATTAATTATTAAATGACCATCAAATCATAATCAACTACGGGAACCAGTAGTAATGTAAAAGAGTAGTGAAAACGTTATAAGAAATTTTGAAAATACAATTAAAATGATGGGCCAGTGCTAGATCATATAATAGGAAAATATGTAGTGACTTATGTACTTGGCCTCAATAATCTGATATCAATACTTTCTATTAGAGGAATACACAGCACTCCTGTACTTGGCGTAGTCTTTTACACGTAAGTGTTTTTTGGGGGATATCACAAGTTTTTGTTGCTCAACGGGACATAGAAGCTCTAAGCACTGAAATCTATATTGTCACAGATATAAAATGTAAATGCATTATGATGTTGCTGATCAGAAAATATATTGCGTTGTCGAAAATGTTTAATGGCATATAAATTTAATTTGTAAGTCCCTTTTTCTAGGAATGCATAAAGACATATACAAATTTTTAAAGAAAATGTAATCTTCAATGCATATAAGCGTCGTTAATGGTGTTCAGATTGTTGAAGCTGTGTGGTAAACGTAAGAGAGGAGAGTGTGCTGGATTATTTACGTATGTCAGGCCGTGCGAACATGAAAGAGGATACTATAGTTTGAGCGAAGCGCCAAAGCTTGTTGCACACTGTTCTGGACTTCTACGTCCGACACCTAGATACAAGAAACTACGGAGCGGAACATCTGGACCTAAAATATGAGAACTATGCCGAAGAACACATATTCATACACCTATATACGCGCGCTCCACATGAATGCTATTAAAAACTGAATAATTCTATACTGTCGTGAAAGCATCCTTATACTAACTGGAAATTCGGTATGAACGGTAGCTTCACGTATAAAGTATATTTGATTGTGTTGTCTATTCGTAAATTACTAACACCATACAGAGTACAAATAGGTAAAGAAGGCACAGAAACACAGGTATAAGAGTTGACTCAAGTAGAGTCTCGGCGAGCTGTGCCCTGTACAGCCGGTTGCCTGTACTTGGCGCGAGACTCGACCGAGTCTCTTGATGCGTTACACATAGTAACGAAGATGCTGACAACGCGTGTGACTTCAGGGAAGTAACGGCTTTTTGTCGCGTGCACAGCCTGTACTAGATGAAGAGAAAAAAGGGGCACCGATACCTCGACTACATTTCGTAATTCGATATCTTCCAGGTCTGACTGGCGAACGTCGCCGAAGGCTTCTTGCACTGGACACGTAACGCCGGGAAGTTGATGCTTACGGGATTTATAGAAGTGGCGGTTGAGTTATCGCGGTTGGGGTGTTTCATTTCTTGAATTCGATGCGTATTGGTTGGACTTGGTAGGAAGAGTTCATTGGCAGGGTTGTGAAAGTCAGAGGTTTGCAATAAGTGAAGAAGGGAATGCGGTGAAAAGGCACGTAAAAGGGGAGGAACAAAAAATGTATCGTTATACCAAGGAAAGTGGAATGAACGTGACTAGCGGGCTACGTCCATCAATTTGTTAACATGGTAACGATGGTAAAACAGTTTTTCTTTTATGGGGAAAAAACATGAAACTTTTTTATCGTCGTACGGTAAAGCAGTTGTCGCGTGTTACCGACCGAGGTGACTTTTTCTTATTTCAACGCCGTGCCATAGATGGCGACGTCGGATTTGTTTGTGCTAGTACTAAAATGATTATTTTTTTCGCTTCCAAATTTCGTTATACTTTCCTACTGGAATATGGAGTTATTTATACATATAGTTATTTTATACAGATAATTAATTGGTGTAGATATTATTTCAATATATATGCTAGCAATGAATGCAATAAGATGTTTTCATTAATTTTGTGAAAGAATAAATAGTCGTGCGATTAATCTTGGTTTACGCGTGACATGATTATCCGTGAAAAGTTTTATTTTCTATATAGAATGTTCAGAAAATTATTGAAATAAGATGACGCCAGGCGGAAATTACTCATGGCAAATTTTTCTTTTTCATTCGTACCCATCTCTTTAATTTCTTCTCACCTGGTCTCCTCTCCCATTCTAGTTTTTCTCCTCCTTTACCGTACTCTCTCATCACGTCTCGTATGTCCCGATCGTTACTTTCCACGGAGTCGCGCGGCCTTCGAAGGTCTTCCGTCGATTCCATTCTGGAATGCGTGACTCGTCAACTTTACAACCTGCTTTCAATTACCGATCGTCGTGCTTTTATTTCTTAAAGGAGGAGGATCCCAATTCTACTGCACCACGATATTAATCCTACGAGGAGAGATCCTACCGTTATAAATACGGAATCATTTTTCCACTTCAGTCCGATACTGATTTACTTCTAATTTCCCAAATCGACAAAATCACTCGTTACTATAAATAATGATTAAAGATTTAAAAAAAGAAGAAAAACATAACTACGACCAAAATCGACTAAAATTGTTTTTCTATTTTCCAGAATATCATGCCGACCAAACTGTTACTTCTGGTATCGTTAGTGGCCAGTATCACGGCAGCGCCTCTACAGGACACCCTGGACAACAGACTGCAAACCGAGGATGCGGCTACTCCGGAGGAACTCGTAGTTAGCCCAACCAAGGACTCATCCACGATACCAAAAGACATCCAGGAGGAAGACTTCCGGAATCCCAGAAATCTTCAGGGCGAATACAATAGACAGTCCAGTCCGGAATTAGAAAGCGTCGACGGCGTCGTCGCCGAGGAAGCAAAAACTAAATCCTCGAAGAAGGGACGCAAGCACAAAGCCTTCTTCATAGACTACCCCTACGTCCCGCAAATACCAAGCTTCCCGTCTTACGACAATTACGACGACCTCGAGACAGAGGGTCGCACACCAGGCAACCGGAAGCGCTACCAAGAGAGCAACATCTACTACATCCGCCTTCCGCCCACGCCTTACATGTTCGTACCCGGTCTCGGTTACATCTCACAACCCCCGACCTACTCTACGGCACCCTTGAGACCTCAGCTCGCACCCTTGAGACCATACAGACCACAGAGTATTTATCAACCTTCGATCAACCCCTTCATAAACCTGCCAATCGACTTCGTCAGCAACGGCAAACCCACTTCCGTCTATCAGTGGCAGAGCTCAGCATTCAAACCGTCCAAGAGGCCTGAAAGTCAAGTAGCCAACCTGGACAAGGGACCCTACTTCTTCAACGGCAGGCCCACCAGTCTCTACCTACTGAGACCCGACGGTCAATCATCAGTACATCAGCCCATTCAGTATCCGGACTATCAAGACAACAATTACTATTAAATAAGATTACTCATTAAAACTCTTATTCGATATGACGACACAATCAGTGCGATCCAGAGATACCTGCTGGAACATCCTCAATGAGGATTGTCCTTTGGGCCCCTTAATTTTCCTTATTGCTACAAGGATCCGTGAATGGATCTGCCGATTGTATTATTTCACGAAGACATTGTTTGTCGATTAGATTATTAATTTTTATTTATAAAACGAAACTCACCCACGTGACACGGTGACTTATATTATGTTATTATAAGTGATCATAGGATTGTTAACGTCCGTTTCTCTAGCGCGACGAGACTCGAGCTCTCCTAGAGTCAAAAGTGACAGAAAGACAAAATGAATGCGAGTAAACGAGTGAACGATTGATTAACGAGTTATTAGCAAAAATCTAAATTATTTATGAGGGAACGTGAGACACTGGCAATCACGTGCGACAGTTGTGCTTCGTCGTTACAATTGCGTGTAAGACTGTTTGCTCAAAACTAATTGTTACATTAGCTGCGACGATAAGCCTCGCGATTATTATATTTCCACATGAAAATATTTACTCAACGAATCGAGTGACGCTTCCTGCTCATTGGGCTCTCTTACTTAATATTACGTATTTATATATTTAAAATGTTTTATATTATATATATTTATTGTCACGTAACTTGAACGAAGTGCGTGAATGTTTTTTTTTTTACAAATAAGAGCTACGTTCTCGTAGCGCCATATTCATATATTGTATCTCTCAGATATAACCAGACGTCTCTGACCTCCCCCTGTCCCTCCCCAAATGAGAGCGATACACGTTATACTAGGTGACTAGCCAGAACCAATTTTTTTTATCCATTAAAAAAAAGGTAAAAAATGTTACAGTGTGATTGGGCCGTTAGGAGGGTGGACGGAAGGGGGTTACAAGGCCAAAAGAAACACAAGGTCGATATCCATCGCGTTTGGTTTCTTTTCCCACAATTTTTTTCTTTTAAGAATCCACTTTTACCACCAACGATGAAAAAAAAATAGAAAATACTATTTCACAAGTTCGCCCACCTGTACACAAAAATAATATTGACTTAGGACCAGTTCACGGTCTGGACCGCATCCTGTTCAGACTCATATAGGATAACCATTCCCATTGGAGATTGCTAACAGTTAGAGATAAAGAAGGAAATTGTTTATAATATATTAACCACGGTTATATCTAGAGTCGATCAGTGTATCCTTAATTGATATTATTTTTTCTAAGCTTTTCCCCCCTGTTTCTGCTTTCATTCGCTTGGCGCTCCATCCGTTATAGATTTTTTTAATAAAACGCAACGTCAAGTCTTCTCTGAGAATTCATCAAGATCTTCTTTGACGTTCAATATGATATTCATTACTATCGGCTATTTCTTGATAACGATTATAATTAACGCAACGCCCTTAATAACGTCAGTTCATAATGGCGCCGATATAATTAACCGAGGATATTTAACGAGCTGCAGCTAAGTCTAGATGATCTCGAGGTAACGTTTCCTCTTTTCTTTTTTTTTTTTTTTCAATTATTATCATCCACGGTCTCCTTTTTTAACATGGTCAATACAGCATCTCATCTTCTTGGTATATTAAGAAGTTACAAAAATGACCGTGACTGTAGTAGCTGATAATTTTTTTTTTATCAAAATCTTCAAAAAAAAAATAACATCTGGAATAACAATCACCCTTTCTGTACGCTAAAAGATAACGAGCTCTTGCGTTGAAGCATTCACAAAAAGACCAATGAGAATAGTGAAAAATTTGATTAAGTCCCTTTTTATCGACCCGTTGATAATCGGTAATGGATCCATCATTGTCGAGAGGCACAATGAAATTATCTTAAATTTTTTTTCTTCTTTCTAACGATTTCGTACCTCCTCGCTGACAATTACCGAAACATGCGGGCCTTCTGCCGGTCTTATGTTTTTCTCGATGCTTATCTTAAATACGCCAACGGATTTACCGTGGGTGCTCATCCCCAAAAGGATGCTGGAAAAAAGAGATGCTCCGAACGACGTCGAAGGCTCTCTTAATCATTACGAATTTAGTGTTTTACGAATAAAACAAATTTTTTAATTTTATGTGTATATATATACATATATAGGTTTATCTTTTTCATATATCCATAGCAAAAGGATTCCATACGTAGAAAATACGTCGTAGGAAAAAGGCATGTACATTTCATGGAAAAGTATTGTCCAAGTCTTCCTATAAAATATAACCTCGCGCTGAGGCGGCGTAGACAGTAAAAAAAATGTGTGTCCTTATAATCGAGCAGGGGTTCTCAACTTGCAACGATTCGTTAATCGTAATCGTACGATTAAAGAACACACGATTTTTCGAGCCAATCGCGATACCACGTGTACAGTTGCCAATCGATAGCGCGAATATAGTCCCAAAAATTATATAGTTACGAGGACCCTTAGCCAACTAACCCGGCCCATCCGACGAAGGGCGGGTGTACAAAAAAAATACGTATATAATATATCATACAGTAATTGTCGATATTGTCATTAAAATAGCGAGACTAAGAAGTAATATACGAAAGTATCGGAGTGTAGAAAAGTTAAGAAAAATTTTTGAAAGAAAGACAAGTACGAATATTATTTTAAACATTCACGCAACATAGAAATATTTCCATTCATTCCGACAGTCATATTTTTTCTCTTCCCCCTCGTCCGGGGAATCCCCTTGTAAATTACGCTTAAATCTTACGTTCGATCTGTCGATCGAACCTAACCTAATAAAACAGCTCGTGATCAACGAACGACGTCGAGATATATTAATAAAATACGTTTATTATCCCCCCCTAGGATTATTTTGGATGTCATTTTGAATTTCCCGCCTCCGATTCCTATCGGGCCGTTATCCTCTCGTCGATCCAGCTCCGCTTCCTTGCTTCTTCAGTAAGTGTCCGACAACGCTTCCTCCTGCACATTAAGGTAACAGCGGATGATAATAGACAGGCTTGCGACTTTTCTCCATAACGTAGAAGGCCTTGGGCTTTCCGTTTCCCGAAAAATTCTTGCGTATACCGGTGGCGCCACTTTTGGAGGTTATCGGTGCGTAATACGACGTGGCCGCCTTCTTCCGGTGCTTCTTCACCTTCTGAGGAACATTAAGTCCAGCCGTGTTACGCGATCCATGAAGTTCGTTCGACAGGTTCCAGCCGAGTCGTTCGTTCTCATGAGAGCCAAGCCTGTAGACCATCGAGTCCTCGACTCTGAACATTTTCGTAGAATTCCTCAAGATGGCGTCGTCCCTCTTCCTGGCGTTATCGTCGCTCAGATAGCTCAGTCTCTTGTCGTTGTTCCTACCGTGCTTCTCGGCTGGATTAACAGCGTCCAAATAGCTCAGATCATTTTCATGATACTTCGGACGAACCGGAAGTTCAGTCTTTCCCGTGGTCTTCCAACCGGCGTCCTGTCCCTTATCGTTAATCGAATTACGTGACTCGTTCTCCAGCTGGATCCTCTTCTTCAGCTGATTCAGACGTTCCTGCGACAGCAGGCGCTTCTTATCGGCGATCTTCTTGACCAAGGGCAAATTCCAATGATAAATTCGCGCCGGCTTGCCGTTACCGTGAAAACCGACCGATGGGCCTGAGACGCTCTTTGTCACTTGGACCATGGTGCCGGCATGGACCTTGTCATCCTTGGTTGACTTGTGCGGTTTCGTAAGAGCGTAGTAGGGCTGACTTGGCGGAAGCTTCACGATATAGACGTGACTGTCCCGATGCCCGTGACGACGGCTGTACTGCTGATGAATACGTGCTTGTTGGTCGTTCAATGGCGGCTCGGGTCCGGCCAGTCTTTTCTTGTGATGACCATCAGAAAACCGCAGGGGTGTCAGCCCAAGACGATTTAGTATCGCCGCGTTGCTTGTGTGAACAGTCTCGTACGCTGAGGATTCGTCGGTGCTTGTGACGATCACGAAGAAGATGGCGGTAGTGGCTATCAGCACGTGACCCAGTGAAGACAGTCTGAAACCAAATAATTAATTTCTTCTTAATAATGACGATACTGCTTTTTATCTTTGAATCTCAAATTATTAAGTGCTACCATAACGATTATACGTCGAGAATTATCCTGATTATTATTTATAGACGTATATTTAAATTTACTATTTTATATACTTTCATGGTTCGAGTCACGGCTAATCGGCTGTTACCTGTTGTCATTATATGAAACCAAGTGTGAAACTAGCTGAAAAGACGAGAGTGAGTGGGCAAGGTCGTTGACAGGGACGATCGATCAGAACTGTCAGGTTGGAGAAAAAAAAATTTGGTCAAAAAATTCTTATACGATATTAAGACTGGGATATACAAAATTCATGGTAACCGTGAGACCTGCAAGATTTTGGAGTTACGTAGGTCTGTGTAAAATCAAGTCTTTTAGTTAAGGGGTACACAAAAATTGTAGAATGTAGGAAATCAGAATACACATGAAACAGAGGCAATGCGAGGATAGGCAAAGGAAAATTCAAAATTTTTTTTCTATGGATCATTTTTTTCCCTTCCTTCACCGTCGGTAACTTATCACGCGACGCTTCTTCAATTAATATACTAGACGGCTTCGTGGCTCGCGAAATTATACCTTCCTCTTGGTCAACGAGAAAGAGAGAGATGGTATTACCTATAACAAAGTTCACACAGGAGAGACCAAGATCACGGGTTATGGAACGTAAGGGAGAACCGAAGAAAAGATACGGAGAAGATCCTCGACAGAAGATACGTACATATGCCGAAAAAACGTGTCTAACGAAAGCGCGCAGTTGGCAGCCTCGAAGAACGCGGAAGAGGATAAATTGTTATGAGAAGACACGCAATGAAGATAAGGCTTAAGGATTCGAAAGAAGCGATATAATAGATAAATATTAATTTTACTGATAAAAAGAAATAAAAATTATAATAATAACAGACCAGAAGGATCTTAACGACTACTCTCAAGTAAACAAGTTAAAAAATATTTCCAATCAAGAGAAAACACATTAAATTTGCTTCTAAGCAAGGTTAAGGTTAAAGTTTGTAATTTTGAGGTTAATACCGTAGTTCACCACAGATCAGACCCACACACGCATCCACCTATGCCTGCTGGTTCGCAATTCCTGCTCGACTAGGATTCACGTGAATTTCAGTGGTTGGTATCCCTACCGGAAGTGGATTCAATGAACAAAAAAAAAGTCCTCAGGACATGGACGTCTCACGTGATTTTTTGTTGTCCCCGGGACAAGACTCGATTGTTCCTTGAGTATTCTTGGAATTCCACGTGGCGCATAGAAGTGCAAGCCTTTCCACAAATTTTTACAAACGCATGCATCAGCCCCGTCCGTCCAGTCGCACTGCGCTACCAACCTCAAGACTTCATCGGGACTTACGCCGTAGCCAGAGTTTGTTCACCTTACGTACGCTACCACTGCGTAGAGTACGTACTGTAGGTTCGTGCCAGTGACAGGACTGTACATAAAGCCATGTCCACGTGAGGACTTACTACGCCGTTCGAGCGAGGGCCTAGAAGTAACGTGCGGTCGGCGTATAAAAGTAAAACGTACATTTATGATCGTATATATTCGCGTAAGGATAATGCGCAAGGACTTATACGACACGCGTTAGAAATTCCAAGAGGAAACGAGGGAATCGCGCAGGAGTTCAAAGAGAAGCGCGAACGAAAAAAGATAAGAGAAACAGTCGTCCCTTTTTGTACCTCGGAGTAAAATTCCAAGAATCTCATGTGACTCGCGTAGTACCTGGCAACGGTTGAGTAACATATTATTCAAATATCGTTAACTGCCATAAATTCCACTGCGTGTTTCGTTCCCGACTGCCAATTCTATCGGTGACCCCCCACCCTTCAAAAACTGGTTTCGTCATTCCAATGATCCTGGGCTCTCCTTGCCCGTTACACTGATCGCTCGTATTAATAAATAATTAAACGACGTACAGTTAGGTCAAAAAAGATATATGCTTCGAGCATAACGCGAATCCTTGGCCATGGCCCATTGTGGACTTTGTCCTCGTGATCGTCGTCGTAGGCCGTTTCTCATAAGTGTGCCAAAAGTTCAGCGTACCCTGAGCATTTCTGACCTTGTAATCGATAAACATTACCACGTGAGTCACGCGAGACGAGGTTATAAATAGTAGCAGTCTGTCGTGTACGATGTACGCAAATGTATACTGGAACGTATATATATGTACTTAATACGTCACTAGCAATGCTTCCACAAAGGGATGACGTTTTTTTTGTAACCACAGTAAATAGTTACAACGTCGATTTACAATAGATCAAGTCACGTGAATTAATATAGTCGGCAAAGTATACAAAAGGATCAATGGCCGACATTTGTATCAAAGGCGATCGACGCGCCACTGTAGCGGCCAATACTGGTGGCGCCCTTTGACACTACGGATTGCTTGGTCAAAGTAAAATGTAACGTCAGTAGACTCAGTGCACCGGACGAGCATTGCCAATCGCCATGGTGATTAATGACTGAAGAAACCAAATCCCACAGAGACTGGCAGGATCGATTCCCTATAGAGGGTCTAACTTTACGGAGTCCGGGTCCTTGGGTAAGCCAACCGCACATTAACGACTTACGATTTAAGTAGCGACGGACGGAGCGTTGGCTGTGGATTGCGCAACGTATTGCGTCATATCCAGAGACCTAGGTATCCTCCTGGAAAAACAAATACCCGGTGACTGAATAATATTCTAGGGAATCAAACCTGTACCCGAAGGTGTCACGTGACAATTATTAGAGGAAGTATTTTCGAATCTCTTGAAATCACGTGGCGCACTGGGTTTCGAATTCCCACGGAATTTCGACAAAATGGCTGACACGGGACAGGACGGAGTAAAAGAACAGTTTTATAACTTATCCCTTAGCGATGGCTTCCTGTCTTTGTTTTTTCTCTGCTCCTTCAATTCCCGCGTCCTTTTTCCAACGGGCCCGAGAGAGTTGTCCCGTAAAGGTACGTGATGCGAATAAGACAAGACGAGATTTCGCAGAAGGTAAAGCTCCATCTCGTTGCTATCTCGGCCCTGGTATATCCTGACCGCCTGTGCACTCACCGGCTTACACGTGGCTTGTGAACGCGGCGTAAAACGTCCGTGCATATAAATAATACCGGCGTATTCAGTGTAGCCGATCCCTCCACCCACGACAGACGCCAGGCGCAACACTGTTCCGAGAATGCGAACGGCATTCCAAGGTGGGGCGCGTTTTCACGTGTCGCTGGCTCCGCCCTCGACCCTCGGTCAAGCCCAGGCGGATTAGAGATTCCTAGTGGACTCCGACGATACTATCTTCGTACACGAGACACGTACGTGTAAACAGGTTTGAAAAAAAGACACATGGTGCAAACAGTGTATACACGAGCAATACCGATCTATATTTAGGCCAAAGTACAAAAAGTATACAAAGAGTGTACCAATGGCATCTCGAGGGTAAAATTTAAATTTGTCCAAAATAAAAAATGGTGGAAAGATAAATGAAGGAAAAAAAATTCAACCCCAACCAAAAGCCCACTCCCCCCCCCTCCACACCCCAAATACATCGATGATCCGTATCCCCGTACTCCCCAGGAAATTACATTACCCTCTTTACTAAGGACTGGTGTATACAGGGTGGATATGAAGAAAGAAAGAAAAAAAGAGGGAAAGGCACCCCAAGTCTTCGTCCAAAAGCTGGAACCGGGAAAACCAAGTAAATCTACGGCTTCGAGTGACTCGAAAGAGCGAACAGCTTCAAAAGGCATTCGACCCCCTGTAAGCGACGGTGCATGGGAAGTTCAGGGGGAGTATCTAAGAGGGGGTGGTCTGGGCTTAGACAAGAGTAAAGTTACGGGATTACCTAGGTATATAACAATAATGTACAGTCAGTTAAAACACGACGCTGCTCTTTTGTCCTTAGTCACGTAGAAGTCGTAGACCCGTGCCAGGCCTGAACCAGTGCTGATCTTGATTTGAGTCGACGCTGCCATCCACGTGAACGCGCCTGGTCGTATATGTAACTAGATGATACGTTACCAGAGATTTCCGATGTCCCGGTAAAAGTGCTGAAGCAACGCGGAAGGAAAAACCACAGGCGCACTTATGGCTTTGAGCACCGCCATACCAAACGTGGGCTCTTTAACGTCCCAGCATCGCTGAAACAAGTATCCCCGGTGTGGAAGCTTTATAATTGGCCGAGGTTCGGTCCGCGTCCCGCTAAGGAAGTGTCTTGCTCGTGCGAGTAACGGCGATCAGTGGTTCTCAACCACGGGGAGGGACGATCGACGATAAGCGAAGGAAGAGACAATGAAAGGATATTTTAATTGATGACGGTTAAAAATGAAAAAGAAAAGACGACACTCGACACAGACACGTAGGACCGTTTGAAAGATATTTAAAAGTCCTATCTAAAACTCACGTCTTAATTTCCACCGGAAGAGGGCTTTTTCTCATGCATTCAAAAGACAGTCCGAACGGTTCTTTGTCTGGTACAGACGAAATTGTCGTGCGACAATTAAAAATAGCGGCTTGAGATCTCACTTGGTGAGAATCCTAATCACGCGGATCTACTAATTACTGAAATTGAGTTTTTCTTGGCAGCTGTCAAAAAATTTTTTTCCCTGACTAACTTTGTCAACAAAGTCAATTACGTTTAACGATCCTGCATATAATACTTTGATATATACTTTAATGTTGATGAAAATCAATTTTTTGTACCTCCAGGCTCACCTCTGATCCTCGAGTCTGCAGCGAAGCTGGGACTAGTACTAGAGCTATGACGAGTGACCATTTGAGGATGTACCAAGGGCCGAGTGCATACGCGGAAGTAACAAGCGCCGAAGCCAAAGAGAGCAAAAGGTATCCAGGAGGGCAGAAAAGGAAGGGAAAGCAAGATGGCGTAAAAGGGTATATGAAAGCCATAGCTAGAAAGAAGTAGAGGAACGACAACTCGCACCTGTTTCGAGACCCACTCGTCTAGATCCTTATAAGCCTCTGGGGTCCATCGCACCGAATGACGCATCGGCTGAAGAAAAGAGGGAAGCGTGAGGAAAAGAAGCAGAGAAAAAAAGAAACGACGAATGAAGAAAAAAAGAACTTGAAGGAATGGAGGAACCCGAGTGCAGCAAGAAGCCATCAATTTCCCAACGTGGAACGAGTACGCGTACAATCCCAGAAGAGACTAATGAAGCTGCAGAACGTGGAAAGTTATGGTAGCGTAGTCGTGGCGGCGGGTAACGTCGCTTTATAGGTTATGCAAATATGCATTAGTAGTGCGTGGACGTTAAACGTGATTTAACAGCCCCAGTTAAATGCGCTTGGGGCATAACGAACTTTCCTGCTGTGGATTCGCGACGTGTTTTCATTCTGTGCGATATAAAGAATGTGATTGTTGTCTATGGCCGAGCAAGAGCTATTACTCATTGAGACTGATCAGGTACTAATGGCAAATTTACATGTGGCTACATAATAGTAATTCTAGGTTATGTGTATGTATAATGCACGTAATTGCAGTCATTATCGGTGTTCAGGTCCCACGAAATTACTCTCCCCTGCCACATGCCCCCTTCTGGGTCTAACCTGACATTATCAGTCATATTTTTTGGACGTGGGTAGCACGTGTCACGGAGGCTCGCAAATTTTTATGGTTTTATAAGACACTTTGTGCACCTTAGCGCCTGAAGGTGTCTCCGAGTTATTTAGTTAACACGAAATACGGCTGGCACGTCAACTCGAAAATGTTCTAGAACGTCGAACGAAGATTTTACAAATTTCCAAAGAGGCTGGGTGAAATTAGAAATATATTCCGGATACAGATGAAAAATGGATTTTTCGATTTTATAAATCGTCCTGTAGGTCTTCTCTAAGTTCCTTGTTGTCTTCGACTGAAATTCAAAAAAGGGATTATCGACAAGCAACCGAATCGTACGTGACTTTGCATAGTCTTTGCATTGTCTCACGGAAAAGAGAAAAAATTCTTACAGCTTGGGCTGTAAGAATAAAAGTCGAAAATATTCTTAAAGTATGCCCGTTTTTTTTGCTCGGCCTAAAAATAAGCCCGGTTTCTCTCCCGTTGCTCTAATTGCAATACCGCAGCTCGAATACGAATTCTCGAATAATTAGCCAAGAGGATGCGTGCAGAGTGAAATCAATGTGAGACTTTGGGCGCGTCGTTGGAAACCTGATAGGACGTTAAAAATAAAGTAAGTTACTTGAGTCGTAGACCGGACCTGGACCTGGGGCAGTGAGCCGCGTCCGAAACATCCGCTCGACCTTTTTTTTCCGTTCTCTTCATTTGTTTCAAGGTTTCCCATTTTTCGCTCTTTTTTTTCCCTACTCTTTACTTCGATTCAATTTCGACTGAGTTTTCAGCCATTTATATTGTACCGATGCACACTGTCCTGAGAATATAAATAAAACAATGTAAAAATGCATCCGCATAAAATGTACCAATATGAGAAATTAGTATCTACCCAGAATTTTATTTTTGATTACGTATGTCCTTCTATTACGCGCGCAAGTGCCCGTAAGTTTGTCTCGAAGCCCCAAACTCTCAGCATCAAAAGAAGAAGTCCTTCGACGATGGGATCCGTAAAATTTGGGACTCGGAAAAGCTGCACTGCTCTGCCTTTGCGGCTGTAAAACATTTTTGCCAAAAATGATAAACCAAAAAAATTTAACGACAGCTGTCGAGTCTGATTACGACGTTTAAAGTGGATCGTCCTGTGTACGTGCAGTTCGCAGTGCTCGAAGGCCGAGCTACTCGCGGCATTCCTTAACTGGTTTTCGACTTCTGCGACTTGGCAGAACAAAACAGCGATTTTCTTTTGTCCAGCCGAAACATAAAACTAAACACTAAATCAGATCGCAAAATTTCCCACGTGAATTAATCTCAGCCCACGGCTGTCAGTTCGTAAAGTCCAAATAACTCCCCGCTTAACCACCCACGAGCAGCAGAATTGCATTTGCCAGTTTGAGCCAGACGATATATTGAAAGAATAAATTTACCGCTGATAACAAAACTTACCCATCACACATTGGTTAGCTAACCGTAGTAAAAGCAGTAGAGTTAATTCACCAATTCGAGTCTGGTCAAAATTACTCGATAAATTTGTCACTGATATTTTGAGTTCTGGTAGCTAATAAAAATACATAGTGATATCGTTATAATTGTATTTCATTCCGAGAATAGTCCGCTTCGTAATTCTGAATTTTGAGGTTACAGTTACATAGGAGACCCCCCAAGTGGCGCCCCTGGCGGATATCAAATGTACCAATGCACGCGAGACTGATTATCGGAGCCAAAATGATCTTTTGGGTCCTCGCGCTTTCATTCCCAGAGCCTTAATTCCATGCTAGGCCAGACCCTGTGATTACCCTCGGCAGTAAACGCTGATTACACGTTTCGTGCACATGGGAACTCGGTTTTAATAAGGCGCATGCGTGCCTTTTGTAAAACGCGAAGAGCACTCGTGGCCACGCGCATCCTCACTTTTCTTTTTTCTTTTCCAGTTTACGCAGTATAAACAACAGGATCTCGGGCGAGAAAGAGATATTTATATATGAAATTCAGGCAACTGTGCTTGTTACGCAATCGGGCGTAACGGCTGCTTAGAAACGTGGCATTACAAATGCACGGTACAAGCGAGACGATTAGTTCCCATTAAAGCTAAGTGTTGGTCGGCCATTACGATTTCTCACACTACGATTAAACAATTTTAATGCGACTACATTTGCTACAATGAACGAGTCTGTCGTGCTTTTCTTTTGCGATTAATTAACTACAGTCGTCCCGAGGGCAAAGCGCATAATTAGCCGGACGCAGCTGTGCTCGGCAATGGTCGCCGTACGTTCGTAGACCAGGTCGTGATTTATAGTGGAATCGACCTAGCCAACTGTTCGGCCATTTATAATATCCTAGTCGCTTCTACGATTTATCGTAGACGCAGCACCTACCTAGTAGATTATCCTTTCGTCTTTCTTAGTTGGTGCCTACTCGACTTGTAGGATGAATTTCCATTACACTATCAAGAAATATGTCTTTGTGATAACTCTCTATGCGCGGTATATGAAGACGTTCCTTCATTAGCCGAGTACTACGCTGATCAAGTTTATATTTATTTTGCGATAGCAATTGGGAATTCAGAAATAATTGTTTTTTTTTTTAATGTACTATAAATATATGTGTACGAATTATTACAAAGTAAACGTTAAAAGCAGAAATTTTTACGTTTTACATTGCGAGCTTGGAACTCAGTGGCGGCCATATTAACTTTTGCTAACGGTACCACTGGGACATTTGAATATCGAGATAGAAGAGTCACGCGAGTAATACTGGTTCATAAGAGGGCAGAGTATTCGAGTAATTTCTGTTTAGAAAAGACTAGCAGGAAAGAATGAGCATAAATATTGTAAGAAAATTAGGTAGTCCGACACTTCCTCGGTAAAGAGTATATATATGCGGTGTGTTACAGTTCACGTCATGTTTCTCTACACCGGAATAAAACTGTCATCGATTCGATATTGAAAGAAAATAGCCACACTTATAGATTCAGGAAATTGTGGATTCATAACTTACGACTTGACTGCTACGACTTTCTTCGCACTCATGAAGATAAACTGACTTCGCGTAACATTATTTCATTTGAGATTTATACCGAGTGCGAATATCTTCCTGAAACTCAGGCCGGATTATAAGATATGCAATTTATGCCACGTCTCCCGGCATCGTAACGGCTTCAATTAATTTCGATAAAACGCCACGATCAAAGGGGATGCTGCGAAATTGGTGGTGAATGCACTTTCTCGAGGTCGTGACAGGAATTCAGAGAGTAGTCATTACGTAGTAACACGAATGACCTCAAAGTCTAACGAAGTTAGGTTAGGTTAGTCCAACCTAATTTACCCGTGCAGACGTCAATTCATACTGTCCAGTTTAGATTTCCGACATTAAAAAAAAAAATCACAGCCACTTAAATATACAACACCCACGAAATGATTCTTTGACAAAAAAAGAAGCTGAAGAGTGTTACAAACGAACGAACAGAGCCTAAGCCGCGCGCGCATGTAACGATTCGATTATATTGATTATAGTGTATCGATATATCTTCGGGCGTCTCCTCTCGGTAGATAAAACAGTAAAAAAAGATCTCGTAGCAATTTATCGAGCACGCTCTCACGCACGTAGTGCACTCACGCGACGTAATATAGGCACTGATCTAATATAGTCGTTTGATCCTATGCACTGTGTACGAACCTTAAGCGTATTGCCACTTCTCAAATGTAATCCTCTTTGCATCATTTCCATTCCACTTCTCACTTGAACCTACGATCAATTCTGCATAACGGTGCATCGGACTGGAACGTTGCCGGTGTCACGACTGAAGACAATGAAATCGAAGAGAGAAACAATAGACGGAATAAAGACGAGTAAGTTCACGAGACGTTAATTTCACGGTTAATTCCAGACAACGCGTGCTCTATCGGCAGACTTCCAATTCCGGCCGTTCCGTTATTTCGAACGAGACGCGAGCATTGCGGACTGTGCACCGGAACTGACACGTGGCGCCATCTTATCGAGTACTAACGGAAGGATGCAAATCACGAAAGTCAAAAGAACTATATTTAAAGAAGAAATATATTTTCATGTATTATAAATTGGTAAGTAAGTCATTATTGCTCTTGTCTTTTTATGTCCTCAATCTTTTCGATTAAACGCGTGCCCACGTAGCGTCATTTACCTACGACTAATTGCCGTAACCCCAAAAGAAAAGAATCGTCAAGCATCCAACGCCGCATTTCGAACTTCCAACGAGTCTCGCTACCCGAACGAGTCACGAGTGCCAAAGTCTTTTTTACCTCAATCCTTTACACAGAGAATCCCGAGAATGCACGGAGACTCGTCGTGATGCTCGTCACGAATTCAAAAACTTCCTTTCTTTCGCATTCGTCGCATAGTACATAGTTTTCAGCTCAACGACACGTACGCATACAAATAAAATACCCGTCCGCTAGATGACCACTTCCTAACCTCGAAAACAAAAAAGTTAGACACTGTTTCAGTCCCCAAAAATCTCGCAGCTGCAGTTTATCCTTTCTTACGTATAAAAAGATCATATCTCCAGCACACTATCCAGTGAACCAGGTTTATTATGTATCAACTATCGATACCCTAACCCCTAGTGCACTTTGTGTCAGAGATTTGTTGGATAGGTATTAGAAAATGCACTTGACCCTAACGTACGGGTAGTTTTCACTGCCTGACAAGGATATCTATATACACATATGTATTTCGTACGTGTCCCTCCCTCGTGTTATTTCCTTCCCTTTTCCTTCTTCAAGCTGAACCTACGCTTACGCAGGTTAAAGGCACGCAATACAGGCCACCTTTTTTTTCCCCTAATGCAGCCATGTGGGTATATATATAATACATAGATATACGTCATACAATGGGAGGAGCCTTTCACCCCCTGACCGGGGAGTTCGTGACTAACGCCACACACGAGTCTTCGAGACCCTTACGTGACTGTTATGTATGTACGTGGATACACTATGTATATATACATAAAAAAACGCAAGGTAAAAGGCGGAGGTTAATAGTATGCGTCTTGTCCCCGTCATATGTGGGGAGACAAAGTTTGTATATATATACATATATATTACATGCGTGGGCGACCCTTCGGACGACTGCATTAAGTTGCGACCGACTGAAAAGTGCATAGTGCTAATATTTGCACCAGGAATGAGTGTCGTTACAATGAAAGGGACTTATTTATTTTTTTTTTCAACAAGTGCGTACAGTCAATTTGATTTATTTTTCATAATTTGAAAAATCTTAAGATATTTTTTATTTCGTCCCTTTCAGGCATATTGGCACCTTGACTGTCTTTAATGCTGTCGATCTTGGATGTATTTAATTTTTTTTTTTAATACATTCAAAATGGCCATTTTTGTAAATCAACGAAACTCTGTCAAGGATTGCATTAATTTTATTTTTAAATTTCTGCAAGGTTACATTACGAATTTAATGTGAATAATTAGACAATGTTGGCTCGCGTGTTGTAATGTTTGATGATTTTCTTGTAGCTTTTGCTATGGGAGAATTAAATATTGCGACAGCGCCAAGGATTATAGTAGAGGAATATATACATATATAGTGGCTACCTGATTACTCGGTACACGAAAAGTCGTGACGATTTATCGGTTCTCGTAAGATCGATCGATCGGATTGCTTTTAATAGTTAATTAGTAAATTTTTCTAAAAATAGACAAAGATCGACGGTTGTAGCAATTCATAGATTACTTATGACGCGCACGATGGTGAATTAGTAATTTTGGAGGTATTGTCCAGGAAAAAATGAAAAGATTAATGCTTAATGAAAATTTATGAAATTTCTATGTGAAAAATGGTACTGCCTTTGAGTAAAATTAAAAAATAATTTATTGCCACAAAATAGAGAATCGGTATTCACTACCTCGGAGCAACCGGTGCAACACTGCGGGTTGTAGGCTAGACCATAAACTGCAGTAATAAATATTTACGACCTCGTAAGTAAATTGCCGAACAGGAAAGATGAAAAGACGTCGGACATTGAGATACGTGTAGAAAAGCACGTGGATTAGGATACAATGAATCATCGAGTTAATCAAGTGTAATTTATCATAGCAAAGTCACGATAATCTGGGTACGAATAAAATTTTATAGGGAGCCTATAGATATTCAATGGGGTAACATTCCGTGTATATATTTACACGTGATTCAATGAACTCGATACATTCTGGTAACGTAATAAAAATATATGCTAGTTACAGTCAATATTTGCTTCATTTATATCGTGAAAGGAGGACCAATAAAAAATTCATATAAATCAAAGCGCATGAAAAAGAAGGCTGTTCAGATAAATAGGGGAATCCCCGTAATCCAAACGCGCCGCAGTATTTGAATTCGCGACAGGACCCGTGTGAATAAATAATTGATACATTTTTATTTTATCCGCCAATACACGTATAAATCACAGTTATCTCGAAATTCAAATTTTCGAACGGTTGCCAATAAATGTTTAGGAGTAATTTTCACGGATTATTTTACTTTAGAGGTAAATAAAAAAATAAACTCACCTCAAACCTCCGTACATGGCTCCCTCGTAAAATTCTTCCGATGCACAATTAAAAATGTATATTTACGAAAAATCGTTATTGTCAGTAAGAATTAACAAGTATTTATATGTCAAGTACCAAAAAAAAACACGTCCTTTCCGACGTGACGCGCGCGAGCAACTGAGCCGCTGCAACACGAGCTGAAGTTATGAGTGCGCAGAGGGCGCCGAAGATACCCGATCATACCCGAAGTCCCGTTTCAAACGAGATTGTTACTAGCCCCGCGGCGATTGAACATTATTAACCTTTCGTGGTCCAATCAATACCGATCGGTATCGATCGTAATCGTTGTTCCCGAAGATCAGTATCATCCCCAAAATAGCCCATTATAAAATCCACCCGCGAAATTCCATCGAAAATTAATATGCTCCTCATTCTGATCTTATACGATATCAGTAAACACATAATACCAAACCCGCAAATACATCCCATGGCATTATCACTTAACTGTATAAGGATTGGATAAAATTCTCGAACAAGTTCCTTTGTTCTCCATGTACGATGATTAAGAAACTAATTTCAAGTAAATTCTCCCTCCACCCGCAAAACATGACTCCTCGATTTCCATTGTTTTATAAGGCTCGACAAACGATTAAATTCGTTTTGCAATATTTTTTTTTTATTTCAAAAATCAAACAATTGATATACTAAAAACCATATCCAACAGGAGTCAGCCATTTTATTTGCTCCACTGCAAAGATCTACAAAGCGTGCAATGTATATTCAATAGGTATCCTATTGCCAGACAGCTTATTAGTGGAAGACTAATATTTTTTTTTTTTTCAAACCAAAGTACAGTCAGTCGAATAAAATTTTCTCGTCTCTGCCAACTTGGTAGATTCTCGTGTTATCTTTTTCCTTCCTTTTTCATTCAATTTCTCTATTTTCATCTTTCACGATATTTCTACTCGGCAGATAACGCACCCTGTGTATGGGGCATCATGCAGGCCTGTACACACGTACCGTGCACCGTACGGTTTATGCGCCTTGGTGCAATGAACTTTACTAGTTGGCACAGAGTAAGCGGTGGAATGGCAGAGAAGGTTTTGTCCGGACTTATTAGATGTCGAACCTTCTAGACTGAGACTCAACGTCTTTTTTTCTCTTCGTTTATTTCTCTTTGAGTTCGCTATGGACGTATGTAACATATAGTAAAAGCCTGACGGTGCTAATTTCTGGCGTTTTAACACGACGTGATACAAAACATGGACAATCATGGTTTTGCAGAAGGATGCGGTTTATGGATACATTATTTGCGTCATTGTTTATTTTTCTTCATTGTATCATGTATATATATATATATATATATATGCTGAAGATTTTATAAATAATTAATTGCCGTTAACTTCACGGTCTACATAACCGTGTAACGTGATTCAGGTAACAACGATTAATAAGAAAATTCTTGAATCTTATTGAATTTAATCCGATGGAAACTTTTAACGGAAATTGTTATTGAGGTTAGGTTGGTCGATTTTGAATTACCGGAAATAAGGTGGGATCGATCGAAAATAAAAGTCGTTTAATCGTTTCGGCTTTTGTTGAGGTTAAACATTTTTTTAGGTTTTTATTATTTTCAGTTCATACGGTTGGTGAAGAATGGCGGGGAAATTTCAAAATTTTACCGATTACAGTTCGAGCAAGAGATCTGTCAAATCGGACGAGGTCCACGTGTCCCTGAGTCCGTCTACGTTTAAAAAATTATCGCGGTAAATAATATTTCTATACTTCCGGTTTTTGCAATGTTGCAATTAATTTTGTTATCTTGCTCCAAATGCGGGGTTGCTTAAATTTTGAGGAAGTTGAGAGACGCGAGGACAATGAGTGAATCGAATGACGTATTATGATACTAGGATGATATTTGTCAGTGAGACTGTCAATAATTGTTGCACGTGTGTCAATCTCCACTTTGTTTATTTATTAAAATTAACATTGCCCACACCTCGGTAAGCAAATCAAAAGTGAACGGTAGTCGTGCATCTAATAATATTTTCGGTTAGTGTCAACCGTTAGGCAATAAAAAAAATGTATTTAAAAATCCAATCACGTTCTGTCCTCGAATCAAGATAACGGTATAAAAAAAAAAGTAAAAACTTAATTTTTTTTAAATACCATTTTTTTTTCTTCTCCAGATCCAAACGCCGTACAGAAAAATGTAAAAAACCCATGAAATCCCATAAAAAGGAATCCAAAGATTTCCCACCAATTTTTCACGTAACCACCGACGTTGCGGCACATTTTGGAAATTTTTATAATCAACCAAATTTTGGAAAAGCAAAAATCAAATCGTCTTCTGCAAATGAACTTTTGCAGGGCGATAGTGGCAGGACTGAATTCACCAGGGAGATGTTGTACAGGTAATTGTTTTTATGGAATCTTAATTATTATAAATAATTTAAATTTTGATATTCTCCTGCAGATTAGAACATTCTGCTGGTACGAACGACTATGCGAAACAGGTATCAGCTCTTTTGGAAGAGACTGTAGAACCGGCGTGCTTCGAGGTTAATTTTCCACCGGTTGAAAATTGCATCCCTAATGAAAAACTCACGACTTATCCACTTTGGTACAAGGAACCTGATAAAATGCCGTTAGTACAATTTTCTTATATACTATCTATCTAGAGATCCTTAAGTTCTGATATATCATCATGACGACTATCTAAACCTTTGGATACGTTGCCAATGATCTATACTGGGAAATCATACCGAATGTCTACAGGGTGATGAATCTGGTTGTGTCTCGCAGCAAAATGGACCGAGACGTGAAACTTGTTGAAAATGTTTTTTTTTTATGGATACAAATCACACAAAATATATTTTCTTATATTATTTTATTAAAAGCTTGATGACCTGTTTTCAGATTTGAATCCAGCGAGCAATACAGATCCGTTAAGAAGAAATACGAAGATCTTACTCTGAAAATGTCAAATAATGAAAGTAAATTTGAGGTTAATAACGTAAATGAAAATTATCTACATCTTCACCCAGAAGATTCTGAAGATTCCGAAGACGATTCTGAGAGTACAGCTGAAGAGTCCTTAACTGAAGATTCTGAAAGTAGTACAGCATTTGATAAATCAAAAGACTGTATTACGTCAACAGGAAGTTCAAAAACATTAAGTATAAATAATCTCAGCTATGAAGAGTATCTCAAGCGATGCCAATAGCTTTGTGAAAAATTAACAAAGTTCAAAACAACCGTTAGGTATCCGTTAAATTTTGTAATCAATCAATTAAGAAAAAAGAACCGTACCGTTCATAAATACACAGTAGGAATGACAATCATTAAAGAAAGAAGAACGAATTAAGAAATTTCCACGAAATTTCATCAAGCGCCATAATGAATTTCCGTATTCAGATTGAATCTAAAAAGTGTAATAAGTAATTTCCATTTTTATAGAATTTCTAGGAAATCTTCTTAAGACTTCACTTTACGCTTCCAAGCCTGCGTGTGATCTTACGTGGGCAATTAATATCGTGGTCCTGCTCGAGGATGCGTTCAGTTGCGAGACCGAATTAATTTCGCACAATTAACTTCAAAGCGTTAATTAAGAACCATGCACAATTAAAACACACGACGTTCAACCCGTAATCAGGTGCAACTAGAATGCAACAATTTGCCAGGTAGCTTTAATTAATTAGATCCAGAAGGAATGATTCACGTGGAAGTTTAGACAATCCAGAGATAAATGCTCGTAGAAGGGGATACGAGAGAGGTAGTAGTAAAATTTCATAGGGGTAAATTCAAAATCGTTCCAGACACCGTTTACAGACGTCCAAACTGATGTACGACCGGAACTGCATGATGTACGCCACTTCCGCTTTATCCCCTCTCTTCGCAGAAATTCCCACAAAGGACTGTTGTTTCACCAATCAAGTAACCAAATCCTAACGACCATATGCAAATTTGCTGGAGTCTATCACTGTACTCGATATCCGATGGATCTATAAAATGTAATAAGGAAAAATTAATTGAAATAGCCCAAGTAAACAAGTAATATAGAAAGATATGATTATAATTCTACCCCTTTCGAAGAGAGGAATTTCATTAGCCATTATCGCATCTTAGAAGATACTGGTATTCTTTTCATTATTCGTGAATTTCTATGCCCACGTACGGAATTCCCATGACTGAATGAAATACGAGAGTTGAATTGGCACGCGCAAAGCGTATTGCGGTACCGTAGTAAACAGACGGTATATTTATAGTAGTCGGTTTATCAGAACTCGACAGACGTAGACTGCGAGTCAAAGGAATATTTGCATTGGGTTCCGTCATTGCCCACATTTCCCTGGACGTTGAACGGGTGTTGAAATACATTGAAAGTGCGCCTGTAGTTTACTAATATACAGATATGCAATACACGTATTTCATTCGTAACGATTTTGAATTTCAATGTATGCATATCTATAGTTTGGTAATATATAGATATACAATACACGTATTCCATCTTTCAACTGGTCTCTGGTGAAAATGTAATAATCGAAAGAAGACAAGAAATAAAAAAAACAGACAAATTGGTATACGCAGCGGGAGTACGCTAACTGAAGTATAGTGGGACATATTGATTATTCTGTCTAAGTTTGTCGTGGAGCAAAGACGCTTTCCATGTATTTTTAACGAAACGCAGAATCGGATTTCCAATTCCCACGTCTGCCCAGTCAAGTGCACTCTCCTGTATTATTGAAATACGAGGAGGCTGAATGAGGAGCTCAGTTCCTGGATCGATTCGTTCAGCGAAGCGGTAAAAACGATTCTTGTCTTTTTATTTTATATCTCCATTCTCGTTATCAGTCGACGGTTAAAAGAGAGATTCGTGGAAAATCCTTGAGGCAGTCAATCTCTGTTGAAAAATAAATTAGGTATTGATTCATTGATATCATGGAACTCTTCGGTATATACTTTATGTACACCAATTTATTCTCATCGAAAACTATACAACGGCGTTGTCGCGGACAACGTAATTTGTTGTTGTATACCGTTGTATGTTTTTGAACATCATCGTTCCGTATCAATTGGACATAGAGAGGACACTTACGCGAGGTCAAAGGGTCGTAAGGTGCTACGTTTCTCTATACACGTGAATATAAAATAGCGGGGAGTCACGAACCTATCCGAAGACTCTCTATGAGGCTTCAGCGTCGCGGTTAACCTTTCACAGTTATATTTTGTATTTACATGGCCGACTTACACGAAGACTTTGCAAGTCTTGAAGGTCCGCGACAATGTCCGTAGGTTAAAGTCTAACGAGCGACACATATAATTGCACCACGAACCATAAACACTCTTAAGTAGTCCACGGAGACGATTCTCCTCCGTGAGTCCATCTCTCTTCTTGTTATCCGAAAGTTTGACTCTCTGTTCTCGACGACGACTTGGAACGATTTCCATTGCCCCATTGATTTGCGCGGTTGAGCACGATCGTCTTGGAGTCTGGTTGCGTGCAGCGACTAGCTCCCATCCGATTGAGACTTTCTAGGCCTTCCCTAGGTTTTCTTCCAAGAGTAGTACATTTCCAGAGGTCGATTGACGCGCCAAAATTTGTCATTTACTTGACGCAGTGTCTGAGATCCACTCAAGACTACTAGTTGACCCGGAGAGGGTGCAATGTAGATGCAGAAATTTAGTAATCTGTCAGACTCCGATAGCTCTGTGTCCAGATCTAAGGTCAGTCTCATTGCTAGGTACTTGCTAAGATGATCCACTGTAGGCAGAAATAGGAATGATTTGTATTAATTATTTAATCGATAAAGGATTCATTTTGTCTGATGTTACTATTCTTACCTGTTGCATTTGCAGTGGTTTTTATGTAACGAATACTGTTTTCTTTGAGAGCTTTTATTAGGGAATTGTCACCAGCCATTTCCGTTGGATGTGGTTTAAATACCAGCTCGATTTCGTTTAGCATTAATGGCTCGCTAGGTCCTTCACCTTCTGTGTCTACCATCGAGTCGCCACCACCTGTTTCAGCTTCTGCGCTTGAAGAATCATTCTCAGAATTTTGTAGGCTCTTTTGTCGTTTAGGTGGCTTAGGTATCTGATTTGCAGGATTCGGTGAAGGTGTCGTTGAATTTCTTGATGTTGTTCCTGACACTGCTGGACTACTAGCAGGTTGAGAAACGCTGTTGGAATTTTGGGAATTGGAATTGTTATTATTACTAGCCCCACCACTGTTATTTAATGGTCCTGTTGCACTTTGGGAGGAATCACTCTGATTAGCTGCATTCGCTGCTGGATTTGGTGTTGTAGGTGCACTTGGATTTGGTGTATTATTATATGAAGTTGCATTACTTGCATTCTCAGATTCGTTTGCATTCTTTCTGGATCTCTGTGGTCGATTTTGACTTTGCAGTTTAATGCCCTCCGTTATCGAATTTACTAGTGCAGCTTGTGAGTGAGACTTATTCAATTTCGCAAGTACACGTTCCTGATGTGCTTCATACTCATCACGACTCGGATATATCTTAGATATCAGTAGATCGAAATTAGGATCTGGCCTCAGTGAACGTTTTGACACCAGCTTCTTTCTGCATGTAGGGCATTCCTAAATAGAAAACAATAGAAACCACAATGAAAAACAGAAAATAAGATCAATAACTCATTAAGTAAATTTATTTTCTCTACATTCAAACGTACACATATCCATCAAAGTGAAATTTTCTACTAATTATAAAGTCATTAATATTCAAAACATGAAAAGTACACATCAACTCATTAAATAGGTTTGTAGCACGTATCCACATGCGCTGTAGAACCAGCCATGATACAGACTTGTAAACAAGTGTTAAGATCTGCCATCAAGAAAAACAAAACAATACTCAATACCCGCCGATACCGAAGGGGCAAGTAACCATACAGTTAGGAATGCACAATAATTAAAATACAATAATTACCTTATTACCGCTCCGAAGTGCAGTAATGATACAATCGGAGCAGAAGCGGTGGAGGCACTCCTTCGTGGTCATAGTCTTCTTAAGCATATCCAAGCATATAGGGCACATAAGCTCACTGTGTAAACTTCGCGGACTAACTGCAATCTCCGTATTGTCGGTGATTGCATCCTGGGGTGTCCGATGTAACTCGTAAAGAGATAATTCCCAGGTTTTATTAAGACCGACTTGTTCCGCGGATGCCATCTTGGCTACACAAGCCGTCAGCTGAACACGACAGTCCCGCGCGCAACTCTGACTGCGCACACCGCCATCTACCGTCACAAACCATAAAGTAAAAATTGCGTCGATTGCCGAACAATCTGAAAAAAAGCAAAATGAACAAAATGGTTATTAAAAATAAATTAAATAATATATCATGAAATCTCCATGTTAAGCTACAATTATGGCGATGAAATATCGTTAGTTCTCTAGACTCAGTTGCATAAAAATCATATATTAATTAATGACTATAACAGCGAATCAATATTTTCCTAAATAACATTGACCAATGTAGTACGTCGGTAATATAGGTACGTCAATGGTATTACCGACCGATAAGATTTTAACAACAATGGTTCGCAAACTCAAATATTATCAGTGACTTCAATGCCTTCGCGTATCATCTCAGAAAACCGTTGAAACTCATGCTTTCATACTGCAACGACTTTGTAGACATTGCGGAACAGGTTTTCACGATGATAATCGAACCGTCGCGAAACAATAACAACACGCAAGTCCACGTGTAGAATGCAGACATTATGCGTCGATGCGGTATTCAAGTAAAGAATTGATTCTCTTACAACGGGTTAATCGGTCATTTCTATTATACAGTGGATTCCTGAAGATGTATAATGTCAATGCAGTTGTAAATAATATAACGGTAAATAAAATCGGAGAAGGGCGTATCCTGAAGTAGGCGACCAGCATACTAGATCATCTCGTTCTTCATAGCCTTACAGATGCATGCTGGTATTCTAGTATCGCAGAACTGGACCGACAACATCAGGATCCCAGCCAACGCCAATTAGCGACCTTAACTGTACACCGTCGCATTCCCGTTCGTGAGAGAATCTATGAGGTAGTATATGGCCGCGAGTGAGCAATAAAAACGTATGGAAAAAAAACAATTCCGACAAATAACCCCACTCGCACCCACTTCGACAAGTTTATATATACTGAATAATTGTATAAAAAGTGCCAAGCCTATAGCAAAGCGTGTTAAAGCCGCAGCAATCGATGTAAACCGTCGATGACATTTGGCCAAAGAGAATTGGCAATTAATAAATAATCCTACGGGACTTCTTAGGATGAAACACATTTAACCAATCTGTCACTTTAGCAATTTAACTCGCAGACCGATTATGCATAATCGATACGTTCTAAATATATCCAAAAATTAACGTAAGGTAATACAGTTAAAAAAATCCTGTCACTCCGGTTTCTCAAATCTTATAAATAATGTTTTTTATCACAATCGCCTCGATATGACTAAAATAAATATTCCTCCTTAGTAATAAAAAAATCTCTAGATCTGCTAGATTATTAATTCACAGGTATTTTGTACCCACCGATCTCTCAGCTTTTCGCTTACAGAAGACAGTTATCCAAAATGATCAGGTAATCCCGACTTTCTCATTAACTCGATATTGCCATCTACTTCTTGCGTAATCGTCTTCTCGCATACGCCTCTACTTCGCGGTTCGCTTATCACCACCGTTACAGTCATCCTGACGGAGCTGGGTAGAAGATCGTCGTTGTCTGTTTTGTTTCCCAGGAGATTTTTCTTTCCACTCCAGTCTTTCCAAAGAGGACGACGACTTCTTAGAGCGAACCGATCGGCTGACCGCGTTGCTCCAGGTTGCCGTAGGTCGTGGCTTGACCCAGAGTCTCCTGGTGGTTGGCGTAGGAGAAGTCTTGGCAACGCGGACACGTGCACCGGCGGCAGCCAGTCAGCGTTCGAAACCCGGCATCGCCGCTGTGCTTTTCATTCTGCGGTTGTTACGCATCGACTTTACGCATCAGTGTTCACTTGACTATCGTGATCTACATTGTTAATGAAAGACTCTCTCGTCTTCTAGAAGAATTTACCTCGTGGCAGTTATAATCCAGCGAAGAAGTTGAAAAAAATATTTCGATCGATCCTAGAGTCATTCTGCGTTACTCGATGAAAATGCAAATGTGATTTCGGTGATCGGTGCTGAAGTGAATTTTTGTATTTGAAGACATGACCTGAAAAAAAAATAGTTATAAAAAAATTTTTCGGTGTTTTGTGGTATATTAAAAAAATTGGGTGATGAACAAAATAACAAATTTTTCGTAATGGTATTTCGTTTAATGTCTGGATTAAATAATTAATTTTTATTGGAGAGTGATATTCGGCCTGCTGCGAAGATAGACAGACACGTAGTCATGTTGTTATAGAATGTAAATGTTCGTGAGAACTGTTGGTTATGGTGAGAGTGTGTGTGACAGTCGTTATCTAATTTTATGGTGCGTCGTTATAAAAAGTACCATGGGAAAAATGCATTCCGCTGGTTCAGTATCCTTAGAGTTACGTCCGAGTCTTGTTGTCAGCGGCTGAAATTACAGTCCAGCGAACGAGACTTTCCTGGGTTTCTCGCGCGGAGTAAATTGCGGAACGATCGCGGCTCTCGATCGCGGCCAGAGAAAACACAAGAGGTCGCGTGATTACTGTAATAATATATCCAGTGGGCGTTCGGGGATACTCGTGAGGGCCAGGCATACAAAAAAATCGGGACAGTTCGGTACGCTGAAATGTGCCTGACCCCCATAACGCCTTGTTCGTGTTACGCGGAAATCGTGATCCAGAATCTCACGATCTACCAACCGAGGCCATAAGGAGACGCTTCGATGGTCCTTGTGGAACGGCATGTACAAAATTTAGCGTTTCGACGCAAGCGGTGAAATCTCCTCGCAACAATAGATGCGGGAACCGTTAATTTCACGCATAGAGCACCTACGGCCACGTCCATTTAAAAAAGGCTGAACTAATGTAACAGAGAGAGAATGGGAAATTCACGATCTTTGCCGTGTCGACGGGGGCGACCGCTCTTTCTGTTCTACCTTATCAATCGCACTTGGAATATCGTGGTGGATCATCGTGCTAATAAACAGACTCATTATGAAGAAACTGATCGCGATACCGAGCTGTCTTCAAGATGCAGTGGATGCAGAGATTGTACTTATCTACAAGAAAGTCTTACCTTCGAAAGGTAAGGCAGATTGTTTTTAAAAAAATTCAGTAGGTCATAGTATTCCTACATTACCGACTGCCGATATATTACTTTTTTTTATCCTTGTGAGGAAGCGCATGGGTAAGGTAGATACGAAGAGCAGCAAGCTTTAACGGAAGCAATATTTCCCCAGACATTTCCCCATTTTCCACAGCCTGTATTCAGAACTCGCTTTCAGTGCTAATAGCGCGCTTTTAAATTATTCTCTAGTGAGTTTTAAGTAAAAGCGCCTCCGTTAGTGGATTTAATAGCGATTTCTTAATACGGGCTTCTATATTTTGGTGTCTGAGAGCGGACAGTCGTCTGCAAAGGGTAATATCCCACATGTCTAATCCGTTCTATAAATACCGTTTCTACCTCTCAACAATACTTTCTCGATTTTCTAATAAAGAAAAAAACATGGACCTCATTTCGATATCGCTTGTAATGACACGAGTTATATGCGCACGTATATTGTTTCTACGGTCATGAGCGCTGATTACGATGATATTATATAACCTATTTTGAATGTTACGAAAGCGCAAAGTGGTTTCACTAATCATTATCGGTTGTAATTAGGTAGTGTAACAGTCGGCAGTACTTTCTGGTTCGTCAACCTCAAAGAGAAGGGTCTTCTCAAGTTCTAAAATATGTGTAGCGCCGAGCTATACACACTTCCTGTCAGCTTATGCATCTAATACAGTTGTTATATCGTGATATGAAATTTTTATGTAACTGAAAGTTACCGTAGATTAAAATCTACGTGTGTTAATTTGAAAAATAATTTTTTATCTTTTTTAACAATGCTTAATAAAATGTATACATCCAGCTTATCTGATAAAGGTATCACGTTATTTTTTTCATAATCCACTATGGCCGAAAACCTTAAGCTAATCCATGCGCCATGGTTGTTACCCTTTTCTTTCCCACCACCACGCATGACGCATCCCGGGTAAACTGCGGTAACCACTACGAGCAGGTGGCCACTTCGGTCCTACCTTGTCAGTGAAGCTCGCGCTATCTCGAGGAGCGGTGCGCTCGTGTGGAGCTCCCGAGATTTTTCGAAAAATTTTCCCCAAGGAATATAGACTGATAAAAAAATAAAAAAAAAGCACTCGATACTATTTCGAATTTGAATTTTCGCGGGGTTTCCAGTAGTTTTTAGTGAAACAAGACATGGATGGACCGGTTTGAAGACGACAGGATTTTTACTACGGAGAGATCCAGGTATTAGTTAATCGTTAATTTTAATAAATAAAAAAAAATAATTTCAAAATATGACCATGCAGTTATTCATACTTTTCTTCGTGGTACTAACGATTCTTTTAAATTACACACAGTGACTTGTGATTCGAAGTACTAAACTAACGATTTATTTTGCATTGTGGGAACTTGTTTGTAAAAATAAAAAATTAAAAAAGAACTAGAATAGCGGAATCTGCCAAAGGAAAAATTTCTCAAAGCTATAGTACTACGTATATTGACGTGTATAAATATGCATGTCCCTTGCCCCCTTAGGGTATAAGAATTCATGAATGATTCTCGCGCTAAGAATTATAATCATTCTCCTCTCTATACAACACGAGCTTCACTCCGTTACTTTCGACAATTACTTCAATTATAGAAATGTCAGTTTAATGCAAGAATCGCTAGTTGCCGTTTCTCGCGCTATGATTGCCCCCCGTATGCACGCGTAATTGCATTCCGTCGGTATAGCTCTGCGCCATTGTTCATACATGGAAACTGGTGAGACTCCCATGAAACATAAAACAAAATACAGGAAGGTTAGAAGTGATAATTGAAAACAGAAATTTACCTGTCCGCGATGAATAATCGTATCGAATCAGCCAGTTACGGGCAAAAAAAGATAACAGCCGTAACGTCGTTATATATTGTCAATAGCATCGAATAAAATCCTGTAAGAAGTATAAATTTCTCTTAAATTATTCATTATAACCTTATCAAACCAAAATTGAAAAATCGAATTCTTAGTTTAAGAAAAAAAATTATTTATAATTACACACAATGCACTGTAGTGCATTGTTGCATACATGCAAACAATGTTTGCAATGTCAACAAAAAATGTCAGTCACATTCCAGCCCCAAGTAAAGGACCAAGGAAGGAGGTAGTACATAACCTAAAAAATATTTTTTTTCAACACACCAAACGCCACAAGTAGCAAAGTATCGATTATTGTAAACAGTTTGACGCTCGATTGCTCCGGGATAATGAATTTTATAGATCGCACGGTCAGCTGTTTAATTAACATTACCGTAAGCGGAAGTTTAGGTAGCTAATCAGTGCAGTTAGATGAGTCACGTGCGAAGCTGTCCGCAATATTGAAAATGACAATGACAATAGTGTTTTACAGGATCGCCGATAGATGGTAGATGGAGGCGGTAAATTTGAACGTGAGAAAAAGTTTAAAAAAGGTATTAGACGAGATCGAAGAAATGCAAAGAAAGAAACGAATGCTATAAAAAGATCATTTGATTAGAAATTGTTGATCGAATCTTTCAGAGCGTAACGACGTCCCTTTAGTAGTGTCAGGAGGGAGGGGGGGTGGTAGGGGGTGATACGCGACGATTTACATTTATTCTAATATCATTAATTTGAAGCGTCCGCATAGAAAATCACGGTCATTTCACCGGATGAGGAAAGTTAACGCATGAAAGTGATTTTTAATAATTGTAAACACGTCCGTAATGGCCGTCAAATACGGTCGATTTCGAATTGTACAAGTCCTTAATTATATGTATACGCATCGACTGGTAGCTCGACTAGGTAAATTATGTGTGTTAATTGTACGCTTCAAATTATAAATTTTTTCTTTTTAAATTGTCGTGTACAATAAAACTCTTGTTTCGTCGCACGATATTTATCGGGGCGTTAAGGAAAACGTTTCTCCGACTCTATTTTGTCTTGCGTGTCCTGAAATTTCCACAATTTTTACCGTATTACAATTTTCCTCTATTCCTCGACAACTTTTTTTTTTACTATAGACTCTCTCTTCCTCTCTTTCTAACTTATCTTCGCTTTCTTTTTTTCCTTGACACTTATTCCAGGAATATTGAGATTTTTCGGATCGCCGCCAATCCGTGACGACTGTCGTTCGCTTTGCTGTCGTCAGTGACTTATTTGTAACGATGACAATAGCTCTTCCCAATTAACTGACAGTTAGAAACTTGAATCGGTGATGAAATGGTAACATGAAAAAAAAAAAAGAATAGTAACGGTTCACATCGATCTAAAATGTATTTGAAATATTTATTAACGACGTTATTTATAATGAATTGCTGTTAGACTAATCGATAAAGAATATTTTTGCAACTATTTTATGACTGCCGTTGACAAATGATTTATTCACAGTCGTGACAAGGGGTTAACGAACGACCGTCCTTAATGCGTTCGATCGCCGTTGCATTGAGGATCGTGCTTACATTCTCTCGATATATATATATATACACATATATATATATAGAAACATATAGTAGATGCACGCGATAAATTCGCAAAGGACCACCAATGGCGGCTAATGCACCAGCAAAGACCTTACGTAGGTGTAAACACATGTAATAATGCACTTCGTATGTAAATCAGCCATATCACGACGCCGTTCGAATTCTCGATCAAAAGCGAATTCTCAGTTACCTGACTGAGCATCGCCATTCCTGCATTCCGTGTCCGTTACGCGTCGTATAACCAACCTATCCCAGCCCTCAAGGCGTCTTCTCACGTGCGACAATAAGTCATTTGATCGACTCAAAAGCAAAGCGTCTTATTTCCGTTGACTAACCGTTGCAATTTTTAAATTATAACCCGAGAGTACGGGGAATCCCTGAAATTCATGGCGGCTTAAGAAAAAAAAAAAGTAAACATAAGAACGGAAAACGTCACGACGTAATGGATCGAGGAAACGTTATTAGCGTTGGGTTCTGTTGGTCGTTGTAAACCCGCCGTAAATTAGATTTCTCTCGATGATACTATTCGAACTAATAGAAACGTCTAGAAATCGTTACGATTGGTCTTGATAATTTAATTTGTTTTTTTTTCTTTAATTCTCTCCCCTTTGTTATTGTTGGAAATTTCGAGTGCGGTGCGCATGCGTCTTTACGAGATATACAGTTATATGCGCTTAGGCCGAAGATGCGACTTCAACTTCGACGCGTTTTATATACACAGAAATTCATAACGGCACACGATCGCACAATGGATAACCGCCTCGGAACCTAGTGATTTTGATATCGGGTATGATCGACTCTAAGCAGTAAATAATAAATTGATTCTAGATATTAAATATTATCACGACGACGTAACGCAATGCCGGATACAGAAGACGCGACGGATCCCGGAATTGCATGCGTATAAATGTTATCAAGTAAATTGCTAAAAGGGGATGCTTTGTAATTGCTAAAAGTCCAACTGTGCAAATAACGTTGCCGGTAAAGAATCCTAGGCATCCTGCTTAACGGTACATAACGATCAAGCGTTTATAATGCTGCTGGTTGATATTTTTAAAGAGTCTAATGAGAATATCCCTGAGCACGGATTATTATTATTACATATATAATTTCACACGAGAAAACACACGTGAGAATAGCTAAGTCGCGGTAATTGAGATAATTGGATATACAATAAACAATAAGATGGAAAATTATTGTGATTGGAGAGGAAGAAAAAAAAAATTGCTATGTTAGAATAAATATCAATAATAAATTAATAATTTAATTAAAAAACACGCGATTCGAACGTAGCGGCTGATAATATCGCACCCTAACCTCTTTTCATCTTAAGAGATCATCTTATAGGTTCGTATCTCATCTCTAATTCAAGTTCCGCCCCTTTTATTAGGAACACGATACACTTATGTGTACGTGCAAGATTAACTTACTGCATGTATATATGTAATTGCTAGTAATTACGCATGATTGCGCACGCATCTCGCGAGGGAGTACATACGGTCCGTGTTTAACCTAAGAAATACTATCTGTCTATTAGATAGTATCTAGATAGCGTGTAACCATATACAAGTTTAATATAATAGATACTGACCCAATAGAATATCCAGTATCATCGCCAGTCTTCATCCATGAAATCAGGCTGAGAGGTTATCCTTGACAGATTGGCTTCTCCATAGTCGTTGTAAGAATCCAGGATACTATCCGTGCTAGTAACCACAGTATATGCAAATATCCGTATCGTTGCTCACTGAAGCAAGCCAAAGCCCAATAAGAGTGAACAACATTCGGCAGCCTAGTCGAGTCTTAAATATTTATTCTCTTCTGCTCATAGACGCAGCCATTCCTCCACTCTAGAAACCGAGGCAATTCTATTGCTTACGTTTATGGTCGTCTGCGCCGGTAAGATTCTCTCGGTAAACTGGATCGTCTAACGTCACTCATATTCCTTCGCGAGAGTTTTGAAGTTTTTGACGGATCTTGATGTGTCCCGATTGTCTATGGACGAAGTACAGTAGCGAATCACGTGATCCAGGATTCACGTGAAAGTCTGTTTTCGTAAGACGACGCCTAAATAACATATTTTATGGCTTTTATGTATATACGTGTCTAAGGAAGGGAGACCAACGGCGGCTGCCGCCACGGCGCCTCTTTACGCATTACCTATTCACGGCCAGATCGCTCCTTGTGGACGGCTACCTTGTGCGTGTGTACATAAAAATGGGAGTGTGTGCGTGACTAACCGTGCGGGTCAATGCCTCTTCTGTCCTCAGAGGTATATAGTACTGGAGGCTACCCACTATGCCACGTTATGTCCAGGACGTCGGCGTTGGATAGCCAGGTTACTGCGTCTATCCATCTTTGTATCTACTTGTCCATCCAGGAACAATCAAGATTTTCCGTCGTGACTTTGGATTGTTTCGGATTTTTTCCTTCCTGGATGTTAAGCATGCTCGAGGTATCGATGAATAGAGGATGCTATTGATAATTGGAATACCAAAATGTGGACGCGTGGCAAAGAGGTTATGTCTGTCATTTTTGTATGCGACGCTGCATTTGTGCTGACTTTAGGCTTTTTTTTTTAAATTTCACGTAGATTGTTGAGAATTATGAAGGAACCAGACTGCCTGGACATATCTGTGAGAACGTCGGCCATTGTTCTGGAATGGCAAAGAACGATAGGTCTGGCTGTTGCCGAGTCTGTATCTTAGAGAACAACGCGGATGATAGAGGATACCGTTTTGTTTCTACAAGGAGGATTCCTGGTGCATTGTTCTTTTGTTATGCGATCGGCTGCCATTAGTTACTACGTGACTCTTGTCGTATTGATGACTTTATAGAACTGTAGTTGCGGGTAGACATATGCAAAATAGAATAAGTCACGTGTGAAGGAGAAGCGCGGTAAATTTGAATTTTTTTACAACATGACTCATTCTATGACTTGTTTTTATGTTAATGACGAATATTATTTTTGTTTTAGCGAATCGGAAATGGCTCCTAACGCAGAGGAGGAACTGCTTGTGGTAAAACCATGGGGACCGCAACCGGAAAAGGTTAGAAATCGTTGAAATTCATTTTTTTTAATTGTTTATTGGAAAGTTATTATCTTGCATGGAGGGTATCGAGAAACAGTGTTAATTTTGTTCTCTTTTCATTCATTCGTATCAACGAATTTCACAGAGTCCACCATTTCTCAATTTATTTACAGAATACATAAATACAAGAGAACGTTACTTCGATAAATCCATTCCTAGCTCGTGCCTGTTCGTTTTATTTTGACGCATGCTTTGATACCTCTTTAAAATACTATACTGAACATGCTGAACGACGAACAGTGAACATATGAATCCGTTCCGGGACTCTGGTTGCCGCAGGAAGTTTCCGATTAGCATATCTCTCAAGTTTGAGTCAACACGCTCGAGGTTGGCTCACAGCTTGCTTAGAGATTGCCATAAGGTCTTTTATTTCGTATCGTCGGCCCCGTGAGAACTTAATCGCCTTGGGGGACAGTGCTAGTTTCCAATGCAATTGTCAAGATTGGGACAATTGGTCGCGTGCAGCTAAATGAAAATACCGTACGAGCTTTTAAGCTTGTGCTTTTGCAGAACTCGGAATAGAAAATATGATATTTGTAATATTGAAATACAATCAATGATATACGTTAATCAATGCGGAATAACTTTTCGTACCATCCTTAAGACTGGTTTACAACCACCGTCTGAACCTGAGACTTCGATCTCATGAAGATCCAGTTGTGATTTTTCTCAAACCTCAAACGTGGACACTTTATCCGAACCCGATCGCACCTACTGCGACATTACAATATTTTTTAATTCGTTTTCTTTACTATGTAGAAACAGATAGAGTGAAAATAAAAAGAAATAAAAAACGCGACCATCTCGACCGCAAATTAGAAACTCACCGATACGATACACCAACCACTGCTTTTCCTACGTCTATGTATCTACAGGACTGTTCAAAGCCAAACACCGTTATATGATCTTGATTCGAAGAACCTCCGCGTCATTATTCCATAAACTAACCGTATTCGATTAAGAATAAAAATCAATTGAATATAATTTATGGAATCCCCATTAACCTTCATTTCGCTTTCATCGATATATGAAAATATTATTTTCTTAAAAACGGTATTTAGTTATTTCCTTGACGAAACCAAATTTCTTATCTTTCTCATGTAGGCTCAAAAATGATAGCAGTACGCTGTAAGTGAATTTAGATCGTACATCCAGCTAGCAAACCCCATTTACGTTATAGGCAATTAATTTCATAATTTTTCCTCGAGTATCATGATTTCCTTGTCACTAGCGACTGTATTCGATAGATCAGTGGTCAACGTTGAGGATTTCAACCAGAAGGTTCGGGGTTCGCGCCCACCTCAGGTAGTGACATTTATCCGTGGATTTTTATTTATAAAAATTTAATTGAATTTCATACCCATGTGAACTAGCCCTAAGCTTCTCCTAACACTGTTCCAGTTTCGTGTTCAAAACCTTGTAGGTCCACTGTGATGGCTGCTACAACGGAACCCATCCTGGCCGTGTCGATGACCTACGTCGCAGTTGTCACCCTTACCATTTCCTTTACCGTAATGGCACATATGTACATCATTAAACCTGTTTCGATGATTCCAGCGTAAGAGTCAAAAATCACATGGCGTAACAATTCCAATGATTTTATAAGCGTCCCAATGACTCCATCAAGATCTACAACCCGGTTACGTCACAGCTGGTACCAAGTTTCCTGGCGTCGTTTGAATTCCGCACTGTTGCATTTACGTTGAATTGTCAAAATCAATCGGTGAAATCGTGACGAGAATCTTGATTTGTTAGGTTCGCCAAATTTCGAATATTTTTGCTCTTGCGCAACCGATCACTGACACTGATTCGCTGTAGCCAATGCAACGTTAACAGCGAGAAATTTTAGTATGCACAAATTTACAAAAATATTTGGGACGATAAATATTGGAGTAAAAAAATTTTTTTAAATCATTTAATACTATCTGATGATTATTATTGATTCATAATGACGTTTCTCTAAACGTCCTTGAACCGGTACAAGTTTTTGCTGCTAATCCATGACCTACGTAATCCTCAGAATTTATTGGTCGAACGTTTTCACAATGGATGATATACGTTAACGCGACGATGAAAAATTTATTTTGAGCTGAATTTTCTTCCAATGCGTATCTCCGTGACTGATAGAGAATTTGAATGATAATTAGATACAGAGAATCGTTATTATTTCTAGAAGTTATTTTAAACCGTTAAGATACCACAGTTTTAGTACTTCCGATTATTAAGTAACCCATTAGAAAATGAGTCAATAAAATCCGTCTTTAAATTATTATTGTCGAACGGTATTTTCATCTTTCAAAATTCCCGCCAGCAATTCTTAGTCCAAGTCGAATAAAGATTGACGCCATTGCAAGGCGGATTTTATACATACCCCAAGAAAGGCTGATATCACTGTAATTATTATCATCGGCAGGTTTGATTTCCATACAGCGTCAACCTATATGGAAATCATCCAGATCCCATGATCCAACTGGTTTCTACGCCACTGTAAAATTGTCGCTCTTACATTTTCATTGGTAATTCGGCGTTAATCGTAGCCATTAAGAAGAGACGCCCTCTGCGCACAGGCCGATAGAAAATATCTAACTACCCAGCAGATAATACAGATTATGGTTAACCGAACTATGAAATATTCATAGGATTCGCGCCAAGGTTCTTCCGATCATAAATCGATTGAATTATAGTGATTATCGCCTTTCCTCGCGAAGCACGTTCTGGCTCTTTCAGCTACCGAAGAAATAGGCTGTTTCTCAAGTAACGATCGAGCGACGAGAATTTCGTATAATAAATTCTCACCCATCGTCATTCTCTGTTTATATATGAATTTTATGCTTTTTGTCTAATTTAGATCTAATTGATAATTGTTTTCTTTACTAATTTTTTCCTTCTTCACAGGAACGTCTCAGACCTCCAACCTACAATGCAGAAGACTACGCGGTCGCCCTAAGAAGATGGGGCAGACGTCCTCAAGGTGCCACGCAAGATTCCCAAGGGACTTTACCCTCTACCACAAGTTCAAGTTCCGGTTACGCTTCCGGAAGTGGTGAAATGACCTTAAGACAGTTCACATCCGTTAGCGAGCTTCTGAACAAGCTCAGGGCGGACCTGAGACTAGCGTTTCCAAGGTAACGTCAACGTAAACAAATTGTAGAATTAATTTTGATATATTTTCGAAGATTTCGTTACTGTAAAGCGAATTTAATTTGTGGAATAGATATTCCGTTCTGCTCTATTAATCATTGTCAATTACTTGCACAATCAGTGCCAGGATATTCCTCAATAGAATCCACAGATTCGTAAAGCCGTAACGGTACAAGATTTCCGTGCAGACCAGGTACGAGAAAAAATAAATTAAAAGATAGATAAAAAAATAAATTAAATACGGAAAATGGTACGTTAATAATTCGAGAACACGATGATCGCTATTTTTATTCAATATTTAATGATTAAATTATTTACAGGAACTGTGTATATAGATATATATGTATATACATTTAACTTCATGTGCACTATACCTGCTGCATAGTCCACGACCGAAAGTCCATCTCTGTAAGAATTTACAGTTAACTTCAAGAAGTTTCACATACGTTATACGAGGCGTCATTAAAATACCAAAACTCCAATCAGCCTTGGGACGTTCCTCTTCCTAAGTTCTAACCTCACCTGGATCTGACTTTACGAAGTTTCTAAGCTGCTCCCTAAACCAGTTGGAATTCCAAGGTCCATGGCTTAAATGATACACCAACGATAAAATCTTTAACATCCGTAATTTTTAGGTCGACTGTACATCATCGAGGAACATTTTAATAATACATTTCACAAAGCTTATTATGACGTAAGAGAAATCATGATTTAAGTACTCGTAAAAGTCTCGACCGTATGTTCTTCATTCAATTACAATAAGAGTATTAGTATTAGGTTAATCGTCGACGTGTTAATTTGACTGGGAAATATTTTTTTCTCAAGCATCCGCAGGTCAATGGAATCCAGTAATTTTTTATCATTGCGCAGCATATGGTCAGCGTGCTTGGTCGTCCTAGATAAATGAATAATCAGTTATCTGTAAAGATTATAAATGGGGTATTTGATACAGCTAATAAATTTAAACAGCGTTATAAAATCTGGAAGTGTGACGTATCGATAATTAATGATATTTTTTAACACCTTGAAACGCTTTTAAATTTAAACGTAACTTCATTCGTTTACGGCAATTCTCGGCTATTTATGACACACGCGATCGTTTCGCGTTGCGTGTTGCGTTTGGGTGAAAAAAAATAATTTCATATATTAATCAATATTATTACATAGGAATTCTAAGCCTTACGGCAATCAACATTGAACTTTTCGCTCACGTGAAAACACGCACTTTGTGCTCGACATTACTCGCTTGATGTATCAATACATTGCTATTCAATTGATATGTACATTGTTTCTGTTAATTCATCTGTTTACGTCACTTCCGACGATCTTCGTTCGCGCATGCGCATAAACAATAGTGCGATAACCTCGTCAATGAGAACTGATTGGACCAATTAAGGTGTAACGACATAAACTCAATTACGTGTCTACAAAATATCAATTTGGATCATATAACAAAATTGTCTAATAATTATAATTACAGTCAATAAGTACGAGGTGACAGTATACGTACGCCATCTTGATTTTTTTATACACTGAACCACCGGCCACTGAACTCAAGATAGCTCCTACTTCCGGTCTGCGTAACTGCGACATTGTCGCCTTCCTGTACTCCGTTATCACAAGTATTAATGACTTTACGTATCTCGAATTCTTCCTGTGTAAAGTATCCGTAAATTCATTCGACGCTTGCGCGCTCGTACACAAGATGGCCGATCGTAATAATTCAGACTTTAATGGTTTATGGAATTCGTTAAATGCCCATCTGCATTCCTTTCATAAGATTCTACCTGTGCACTCTTGCATTTTCTACGCTGCAAATTCCTCGTGTATACCTTATTCACGTACGATAGTATCGTCAGCCCTTACTTTACGATTTCTTTGCGTATAACCATAGGTAACTTAGTTTTTAAGGCGTGTCCAATCTCAGGACAAAGACCGTGCCTTTGGTATTCATCGCGTAAATGTCCAGATACGTATTCTCATGTAAACAACATAATGCATCGTGGTAGTATGCATAATACAAGTCGTAACATAATGCACCTATTGTCCTGAAGACGTAGAGGAATTCTCATGCATCTCGAAATATGAGTCAGGAGGCGTGAAGTCATTTTAATCGTGCATACATTTCTTCGACGATTCTTTTTATTAACGATGAATCAACGATGCTGAGCTATCAAGCTTTTATCATTAAAATGATTTTTATGTGTATCCTGTAGGTCTTTTTTTGTATTATGGATATTCGTTGTATATATTGCGTCATCAGGTATGTTCAGATATTGACTCGTCAAGATCTAGTCACATAATAGCCAAGTCATTGATCAGCTTGGATCGTATATTACCCTAGAGGCTTGTACCTTGCGATCGTGTTTGTGATCTGAAGTAAAACGATCTCTAGAGATGATAATATTAATGATCGTCATGATTGTTTCGTCATTGAAATAAAAGTGCGTGAGGATAAAAGGTATCGTTAAAAAGATTTGTCAACGAGGATATAAGTTTTTATTTTGAACTTTCGTACCGACTCGAGTTGTTAATTTGAATTTATGTTAAATTCGTATGGCGGAAACTTTCAATTTTTAAATTAATACGCGAATCTATTTTTAATCACTCCTAAACGACCGTGCGTACCCGTTGATTGTTATGGCCGATGATTTTGTGATTAGGAATATTTTTAATGGACGTAATTTAAAAAAAAACTGTCAATGACGTATCTTATTCGTAACTATACGTACAGTCTATGGTTTTTTGGATGTCTAAAAAATTGTAAATCACACAGCGTGGCCGCTCAATATGGCCGAACTAATGAAGCCATTGTCCGGTTCACGTGAAAATATATGTCAAGCGAATGCGACGTGTAATTGGCAGTACCGGAGAAAAATCCCTGCGTTTCTTGTCCAGTCGAAAAAGACACGCCGTGGCCTCCGCTGCTTCTGTGACAGTCGTTGATTTATAGATTCTTTGTCTGACCGGTATTTTCGTGTAACGGGCACGTTGCGCAATCCCGTATCCCACGTGCCATAAACGGCGACGTTTATTCAGACGTACGAAAACTTATACTTAAATTGCTTCGTGCCTGTTTCTGTACGCCGTATATTTTATTAGAGGGGAGACAATGTACACTGAACTCTGAACGCATTGCAACGTCGCTGCAAATGGGTGCAGATTGCATTTTGGTTTTCGCGAACGATAAATAAGAGAAACGAAGTAAATGTATCAGCGACACGAGTAACAATGGAAATTCCTACGACAGCTACGTTATTTTTTAAATACCGTTTCTATCATTGTTAATAGACTACGAGCCGGTTTCACTCAATAAGATTATTGTACTTTGATACCGTTACTCCGTTACTTGGTATAAGCTTGACAAAGTGCAAAGAAAACGTTATGGTATTTTCATGATCATATGGTGCCAGTCTGTGCGGTAAATGAGCATCATAAATTCATAACTGGTATCTTTGTCTTTCCGGGACAGACTTATAGGTTATGTACCTGGATAGGTTATTCAGGAGGAGACTTCATAGTCTACAGTTCCGTTTCTGACACGGCTTAATTAGGATTTATGGGTATAGTGACCCAACACTCGTGCAAGATCGTTGTTAATGTAACACGTGCGTTTGTATATATATAATACTAATTATTAAGTATCATGTTAAAAAAGATAAATGATTTTGTATTTGGTGTGAAAAAAATTTTTAATTTGTTTAATTCTTTTTTTTTTTAGTTTTGTACAAGAGTTCGCTTCGCCACCAGCAGATGGCATCACTCTGCTACTGGAGACCTTGAGGGGTGTTCAATTGGCACAAAGTTCACCACCGTCGGGTCAGCACGGTCCCAGAATTGGAACCCGAAGAGCTGCTCTGGATGAACTTGGTTGCGTGGAATGTCTTGCCGCTTGTGGAGAACGTTGTACGGATGCTGCGAGACTTTTGGTCCAGGCGCAACCTGGTCTCTTGGCACTGGCTGTCTGCCTCACCAGCAGTTTAAACAGATCACGTGTTCTTGCCCTGCAGGTGCTGAATTTATTCACTCTGAATATTTTGCTTTTGATGATGACTTTTTTTTTATGATTCAACTCATCAATTCTACTTTTTTGCTATCCGGTTCAAAGTCATAGAGCTGATGGACCGCTTAATGAAACCTGGTAATTTTTTACCTTGGATCCTGCCGAAAAAGATCTTCATAGATCTCCAGAGACTCCACTCATGTTTTGTTGCTGGGACACAGAATTCTTCTACCTTGGACCCCGTTACTCCTGAAGACTCGTCAGCGAGAAACCAGTTTCCTTCCTTGTCCTTGTCGCTGTCGTTCTGGCTATATGAATTTTAGTCACTTGGTCTTGCGTTTATTATAAATACATTTACCGTCTGCTCGTCCACGTGGAGTCATTTTTGTCGTTTAGCTTGTATCTCAATGTCTGAGACCAGCTGTAATGCTGGATGCTCTCATAGATTAAAGTGTCAACGAACTTGTAACTATATGCAAATGCGTTTCTTCTCTGACTACTTTTTTATTTATGCCTCTAGAGAACTCTCGAGATACGTGTGAAAATTTTTCAAAGTGAAGGACAACGCTTGTTCAAGGCGTCCGTCTAAATATTTTAGCACGTAGCATGTAGGTTCAATTAAAAATATTTGTTTTAGCTCCTGACGAAGGTCTGTCAAACTTCTGGTGGCCATGCTGCCGTGTCCGAAGCTGTTTCTACCCTCAGACTTAGATACGGGGAAGGTGGTAGGTTCAGATTTTTAGCTGGTGCACTTTTGGCACCAAGAGCTGCCATTGCTCTGAGAGTCGCTGGGATCTCATTTTTGAATGCTTTTCTCAAGTCTGCCCCAAGAGCCCAGGCTAGGCTTTATATTCAGGTAAATAATATTTTAGTTTGTATTGAAGTGTCATTCTTGGTTTTTATACTTATGAGTGTGTCAATATATGATTGATTGATTTTTATTTAAATATCCAATAGGCAGAGGCGTGCGAAGCTGGCCTTGAGCCAAAAGCATTGCAAGAGTGGCTCACGGAAATTGATGGAGGTGAAGAGGACACATTGACGGATTTATTGCACAAGGAAGTCCAAAGATGGACGCACAATTGCGTGGATGTCGAGGCCCTACAAAAACGGGCCGCCCGGGCCGAGGAAACTTGTCGTGCACTGAGCAAGAAGATTTCGGCATTACAGAGCCAGTTGCAGAAGCAGCAGCTCGAGAATGTACGAAATTATAATTTGGAGGATATGGAGAAGATGAAGAATTCACAGAAGACACAAAAGGTGTCGTCCAATGCTGAAGACGAAGGCATTAGTTCTTCTGAGCGTTCCAGTAGTCCTGAGGATCTAAAACATGGTCAGGGTCATGTCAAGGTGTCTATAGTGGATAATGATCAAGAGACCACTATAGATGACGTCATTGAAGAACTGAGGATCATCGTGAAGGATGCTGAGGAAGAATTTGAGGATCAAAATGCTCTTGCTAGAAATTCTGCAGATACTGTTAATTCTGGCGAGAACAAATGTTCTCCACTGTTCACATCCGGTTCTAAATTATCATTGAATTCCCAGGCGAAGACTTTCCTCTACGACGAGATAGATTCAAAAAGTTCCTCTAGGTTCAAGGATGAAGATTCGAAGGTCACCGGTTCCAGTGCTGGCCAAAATTGTACAGAAAATCCTATAACCTATTTCGGGGCTACCGACAAGGAATGCTCGTCGTCCGAAGGGAGTGTAAAGATCCTTGTTAAAGGACCGGAAGTGGAGGATGCCATTGTACCGGCTATTTTACATCCGCAGCCACCAAGAAGAACTCCACCTTGTCTCTCTGCCATTTTAGCCGCAAGAGATTCCAGTTTCGTGGACGTTGAAGAGGAGGAAATTTACAATTCTCACGACGAGGAGGTCGAGGAGGAAACATTGGGAGACGGAAGTGACTCTTTGTTGAGTGCGTCAAGATTAAAGTACACTTCCGGCAAGGATCAGGAGACTGAAATCCGTAAAACTGCGTTAATCAACGAAAGACCCAACAAAAACATTGAAAATCGCCTGAAGGACAATAAATTTACTAAAAGCTTCGACAATATTCACGACATGGCGAACGTGCGACGTGACAAAAAGACTATAAGAAACTACGAAGTGTCGTCCAAAAGTAAATTCGATCAGATAATATCCAGACAAATGGAATCGAGATACAGCAAAGATTATGGTCCATCCGGTGAAGTTCAAAGACACAACACAAAATACAGAAGCGAAGTTGAGAAACGTAAATTATTACGTAGGGCCGCAAGTCATGACTTCCTGGACTCGGAAGCGTCGAGTCCATCTTTAAGACGTACCGGAAGTAGAGTCGAAGGTCGCATACGGAAGTTCGAAAGTCTCACGTCCTTTGACAACGCCAGTCTTCACAGTTTTGCAAGACACGGCAGTACGGACAATATCAGTAAGATTGATCAGCCTCAACAATCCTGGAGCGAAGGCTCCAGGTCCAGGATTCGCAGATCTGAATCACTGCATCACGTTTCCCACGCAGTTACAAAAAAAGATCATGGTTCATCTCGTGGAGGCAGTGACAGCGGTCTTTTTTACGTAACGGACTTCGATCTGGAACCTCTGGTGGGTAGAAGACTCAAATCGGATTCGTCGAAATCACCTAGTTTGTTGACGAAATCATTAGACCGAATTGACGAGGGTTTGGACTCCATGGTCGATATTGTCATAACCGAAGAGAAACAGCACTGGGAATTAAATCGACGCTTCGCCAAAGACAGGAAGAGAACCGGACGAGAAAGGTCATCGAGGGAATTAAATAATAATAAACTTTACGGACAGATAAAGAGCGACGAACTTTATGGGGAAGAGAGACATCATCGTTGGAATCACGAAGACATTGATGGCAATAAAAAAGTGGATCCCACTGTATTCATTAATAGAAATGGCTCTAGACACGAACCGTTTCGCTATGAGAAATCTGCTAATAAATTTTCTACAAGATCAACAGAATCTGGTATCTTTCTACCTTGCGGACGTCCTTCCGATGCTTTTGGCTGGAGCAAAAGCAGGTTCAATGCTGGAAAATATTCTGGAAATAATATTCCCAGAGAGAACAATGTCAGGAATTCTGGATACGGTGGGAAAATTGGTGGTAAAGTCACTGACGTCATATCCGGACTCTATTAAGATTCGTCTGAATTATATATTTGATTGATACAAGAAGTCAGTCAATCTGTATTAAATGTCCTAACGTAATATTTAAACAATTTCGTACCTTGCGATTAACACAATTCAATGACAAACCTTGTGCAATAACTTGAGTATTATATCTATGAATATATTTAAGTAGTTTTTATTATTAAGTGAATTCGCGCAAGTGTATAGATCACGTATTGCTATTATTAATTAATTATTGACCAGGAACGTTCGATTGATAATTAATCAATAATTCGTATTTGTATATTTCGGTTGTTTTACTAAGCAGTATATGGTATGAGAGTAAAGATCTACTGGGATCAAGTATTCTGGTGACGGACAAGTTTTAAATGTTAACGACTGGAGTGGTTTATTCGTTTGTTAATTTTGTTGTTGTTTTTCCTCTTGATTGTTCAAACGAAAGCAGGCCTATTCAAGCTTTGTATGACTTTGTATAGAATTCATAAACTTTTGGAAAATAGTGTATTCTGTATTCTTGAGAAGAAACAGTCGTTTCGGTAACTCTAATGTATTACAGTTATGCGTAACGAATTCTCCAGAGAAACGGAGCATTTTTGTAACCGAATGACGTCTTTGATTTTAATTTATTGCGTTTAATTAATTCGATGGGAGATGTAAATAAATTGTAATCAATTGATACGAATAAAATATTACTACGTATAATGGTTAGTGGTTACTACGTATATGCTTAACCTGACAACACTAGAGAGTGAAGGGGAATATAGTGAACAGAGAAGGTAGATAGAAGGAAAGAATTTAGGAAGTCAGGAAGTAAGAGAAGAAGAAAAGGAGGAAAGAAAAAATTAAGCAATAAAGAATGAGAGAAAGAAATGAGAAAGTAAAGAAGTATGAAAGTAGGAAACTATAAAACAGGAATATTGAAGCAAAGAAAGGTAAAAAGAAAAGATTGGATAGGAATGAATAAGATGGGAGCTTCCAAGAGACCGGCTTGTGGAATAATGAGGAGCTCCGAGTCGAGCACCTTCTTAAGTGCTCTCCCCACTCTCGAGATACTGCGCAACAAGCCTGCGCTCCGACAACTTTGCAACTTCTAACATTTCTGAAAATCATACCAGTAGATATATCATAAATATTCATGTTCAACATTAATTAAACCCGAGTTATAATAAATTATGTCAATATACAGTAATGGGATTCTCTCTTTAGTCACTTAGCAAAGTAACATGTTATACACTGGATATTGCATGTAAACATTCTAAAGGATCTAATATTGAAGTTCTTTGGAAAATAAAATAAAAATATTTCATTTCTTCCTTTTAATATTAATATTTATGTATTGAAAGTTACTCTAAATACATTACAATTCAAACAAGGAGAGTTGCCAAATAAATGTATGCATTTTATAAATCGATGAATCGTTAATTAAATATGTTTCAGCTAATAAATGTTTATAAACATAAAATAATTTTCCGTACTTAATAAGAACACGAAGCAAAGTGAAAATGCTAAAGAAATCATCTCGAAAACACGTTCTGATTGAGATGAAATCCGTAATATTTCTTAAAAGTAAAGTCAATTACTAAGTAAAAACAAACAAAACTACATCGAGATTTACGTTTGTGCTATAATATAACGGTGCGATTTGTCGAATCGAAGTTTATTATTTTGTGGCTAGCTTAGATATCAAGGTCTGAAAGATACACTCGCAACGTGTGAAAGTATGGAAATAAAATCTAGTAGCTGCTAACATAAGAAAATAACGCCAACCTTCGTGATCGATGATACTACAGGGTAAGATATACGATTAAACTCCATCTTATACTAATTATCTAAGTTCTACAGATACATATAATATTTAAGTATACTCTCTTTGTACAAAAGAATCATTTTCGAACCAATAACCATGATGACGTTTGTTAGATTGTTCTAAAACGATTCTTTGATGCCAATGGAGATGATATATCACAATGTAAGAGCAATATACCGTACTCATGTCATTACATCTCAAATGTTAATCCTTCGAGTTCACTCAGAGGTCTCGACAAAGAGCCAACATGCATTATAATAATGACGGTTCTTGCATCGCGATACTACTATAACGTTTCATCTTCTATTAATGTCTCGTGCTTACTGAATGTGCTTGGTTAAAAGGCTTGGCAGTGACAACTATAGTAAATCTTAATGGGTACAACTGAAATGCTGTTAATCGTCCAAAATGGCTTAAGAAAATACGAGAACAAGATGGAATGAAAAGATTCGTTATGTCGCGCATTTATTATTCCACTTTAGGCGCGTTCACCACGAATTCGTCGAGCCAACTGGATATCCTTGGGCATAATAGTTACACGCTTGGCATGAATAGCGCAGAGATTGGTATCTTCGAAGAGGCCAACCAAGTAAGCTTCGGAAGCTTCCTGAAGGGCACCAATAGCAGCACTCTGGAAACGTAGATCGGTCTTGAAATCTTGAGCAATTTCACGAACCAGACGTTGGAACGGCAATTTCCTGATCAGCAACTCTGTAGATTTCTGATATCTTCTGATTTCACGAAGAGCTACAGTACCAGGCCTGCAATGCGAAAAAGAAAGATTTCATATAATTAGACAATTGCAATTAATTCAATCTCACTAATAGCAGAATATATTTCACCAAACAAGAAAAAGCTTTATTCGTACCTGTAACGATGAGGCTTCTTAACTCCTCCGGTTGAAGGTGCACTCTTACGAGCTGCCTTGGTGGCCAACTGTTTGCGAGGAGCTTTTCCTCCAGTGGATTTACGTGCGGTCTGCTTAGTACGTGCCATTTCTATAAACAAAAGATACGAGAAATGAAAAAAAAGATATAATTGATTATTCTTATCCTTATATTATTCTAATAACCGCACAAAGTACTCTATTCGTAGTAAAAATATCTTGAATTTAATCGTGGTAACTAAAAGCGCTTATATTGAGTAACATATTACTTGAATGAAAACATTCATAAAGTAAACAAATTTTGACCCAACGCACCCAATTATTAGCGATGAATTACGAATACCAAGGAATTCGCTTTTCCCAACTCGTATATAGCAACGTGAACCTATATTTTACACCTAATAATCATTCTCGAATCGTTCGCACGTGTAGTTTCAGCGTAAAGACGCTAAATTGAGCACAAGAACCGATTTCCCTCCAAAAGCAAATACAATAACTAAAATGGCGGACAGCGTACATGCTATTTTCAACGCGTAAAGAGACGCCACATACAAGACTTGAATAATGTTTCTTAATTATTGCAATAACCCATCTCTCAATATGCTCAAACTGTTTCCCGTAATTTCGCGCACAATATACACATATTTATTGTATGAAACTCGATAAAAATACATACCTAATCACTTCTGTTTAAGGAAATGCTTTGCGTGCACACAAAATACTGCGACTGACGATTTCCAACTGATGCGTGATGTCAACGTTTCATCGGAAATGCGGTTTCTTGTTAGATCGAGATGGCAAATACGAGTCTACGCGGGAGGAAATGGCGTTCGTACGAGAGCTGTGATTGGTTGACACATTTATAAAACGCCATTCGATTGGCTGTTGGCGGTGGATGTAATTACCATCTACTGGAAACACACTAACTTCTTAGCCCATCACTATGTGAGTCAGTACAAAGTTAAAAATAAATAATCGTGACAGTCGACTCAGTATCTTAATATTTTTTTCGAGATAACATTAGCAGCCATGATGTCTTAAATAAATATTTGCAATAACGTTAACGTCCTTACACTCGTACAGTGGCTCAACTGCAACAAACTCTCGTGCGCATGCGCCGATAAATTCATTTATATGAAATACATCGTGTGATCGAGCACGTACGCACCCACGTAGCCCTTAAATAGGATCAGCAATAGGAAATTCAATACTTCTAAATGCTTCATAATAAACGTCCGTAAAACTAGCGAAAAATTCCAACAAACTTATGAAACAATAAAGGAGAAAACCCAACAATAGATGCCACGAATTCCACGTTACAGCAACACAGACAAATAATACGTAAGGTTCCAAATGTCATTTATTATATTTCTTTATAATATTTACAATACTTTTCATGCCAATAGTAGGTATATTTACTTGTCGCTCAAAACGTGAAACAATTGTAAAGCACGATTAAATATCGTTTATAATTCCAGGATGTAATATGCCAAAGAAAAACGTCACGTTTGATCACTCTTTATTTTATGTTTAAATTAGTACAAAGTAGATGTTCATAATAGATACATTCAATATGCTTAATTATTAGCGTTTTTTGATAACCATCGTAACAGCAGGTGCGTTGTCGTGATGACAAAACTTCTGAAGGCAGCTGATGTGCTGTCGCAAAATATACCGATTGTCGTCGAGCAGATGAGCGACAATTCACGAAGCTCGAAATTCAAGGTTCTACATGTCGCGAGCAACAACCGAGGGATATTCGTATAATTTTCAAAAATCCTATCTAGACGAGTGAGAAAGTAAAGACAATAAAAAAACGAAGCCGTACAGAACGCTGCATCTGCCATGAGAATAAGATGTTTCCTGTCAGCTTCCATTGAGTCTTTCGCGCCATCTAATTCCATCGTTGCAGTGACTTGAGTATAATCACGTACGTCATGGCAACTTCTAACGGAATGAACAAAGTAAAATGTCGTGGCAATAAAAAAAATTCGTGTAATTTCAAACAACCACACTCGACTACAGAGAAATCGTATTATTATATTATTCAATTACGTGTTTAAATTTTTCGTTTACCTTCGCTCCTTCAAATTCTCACAATTATTTTCAATTTATTATCGATTTACAATATCCATCCTCTTTATCTTGTATAGTACACACTACCTAGTGATAGCATAAGAAGCAATAATGAAAAAATTCGTTCTACGAATTGTATTACGTACGTCGTATATATAATTATTATCGTTATTATTATATAAATTTTCAGTCATCAAAAAAATATTAAAAGGAAATTTATTTATCGGCTACAAACAGCTACTATACTATTTCAGTATATTTTTCCTCGTCATTGTCCTTCGTTACTTTTCATCTTTATCTTTTTTTTTTAATTCTCTTTAACGCTCACTTAATTGTGTATTGCCAAAAATACGAGTCGTGAATATTTTTTTTCTTTCTCATTTGTCGCCCTAATTTCTTCCACTTATTTTTCACCCCACTTTTTGCATCCCACCGCCCTTTTCTTCGGTGGTGCCCTTTATTTTCATTGTTTACGTCCTTAGTTAGCCGCCCCCGCTTACCATTCCGTCAATGACCACCCAACATTGCACCACCATTTGTCATTCAATTTGTACTGGCATTCATTAGAATTTGTTACAGTCGCTTTCAATCACTCGATAACGAAACTCAAAGTGAACTCGCCCATCGTCGCGCCACTGAGTTTTATTAATTCTCCGTGTTCTTTAGCGAGCATCCGCCATTTTATATCCACGACGTCTCTCCCCCTCTTTTTAACGCCTGACGAAGAAACAAAAAACAGAAACAAATTTTCAATCACACGTTACCATTTAGATTCACTACAAAAACAAGACACTTACTACCATAAAGCGACGCCAATGTCACTCGATAATACTTATTTCGTTATTGTGAGTCCAAAAACGAAAATAACAACGACCAACAGCGACGATTCAATATCCGAGGGAAGAAAAATGAACGCGAAAAGGAGAGAGATCGAGGACATTATAAATATTTAAGAAAAATTGTCAAATTCCTTTGCGACAATTAATAATGTCGCGAGACGATTCACTTTTTTGAAAAAAAAAAAAAAAAAAATTAAAACGCACGCGCCTACTTTTTTGAATTCGCAAGTACTTTCACACTAGACATTAAAAATGTTTTTTTTTTTCTTTTCGCATGCGCAATTTCGCCTCTTACAGCTAATACATTTGCAATTGTATATCAGGCTCCCATTCGAATGACGTATGCACTGAATTAAAAACAAAAAACACTCGAGTTAATTTTTTACTCCTTCCGAAAAGGAGACCCAAAAAGTTTCTTTTCCGTTTCCATGTAAATGTCATAATTTCTTTGTTCTCTTTTCCAGCCAAGAAACACGTATCACTTTGCCGACGGTCAGATCGTGCAAGACCGAATGGGAACCTATTAAACATTGAACAAGAAATGAGGATATAAAAAAGAAGATAGCCCCCCTCGATGATGCGAAATCCTCGATCGATTGATCAATCGAGATCATCGAACGTATCGGCATGAGAATAAAAACGCTTTCTTCGCCGAAAAACTTCAATATCGATGAAAGAACATTTTTTTTCTGCAGAACGAGTAGAAACATCGTGCTATTAGATTTTGTTTTTGCCAAGTATTTAGTAATAGGCAGTTCGATTCTACGAACATAATATACACATATATGTATAATGTTTTACATATACGCATATATATACATATATATAAATCTGATAAACAATCGATCCTATCCGCACAGAGCTTTACGTATTGTTACGCAAATATAGAAACAGTCGTTATTCGCCTCGAGGAATTTACAAACATACAAAACCTCCAAATTTCATACCAAAAAGTTTGCTGATATGAGAGTCAAGAATTGATTAAGTTTTATTACAAAATGCACACGTAGAAGTAACCACAACCAGAACGACAGACCACTTTGAAATTCTAAGAATTTGTTATCGACTATTATCATTAATATCAATTAGGAGTAAGGTATATTTCGTTAAAATTATTGTACCCGTCCGACAGGGTGGCTAAGAGGGTGGGATTTACACGAGTTGGATCAAAGAGGGATAAATATATTGTGCCCTTTGAAAGCGTCGAGAAGAGACTAAGATTCTTTAAACTGCCCCTCCCCAAAAAAATGCATAATATACTCGACCAGCTCGCGTCGAATAAATACAATCGAGAAATATTGGTCACGATTTATTGTAATACGTCATAATATATATATTCCATAGACGTCCGTCAGTCTTTCTGGAGTGAAAAATGCATTATTTAATACAATCGACTTTTAAAACTTTCTTTCTTTCCCTTTCCCATGTTTTTTTACAAAAAGCCAATACGCTCGTACTACATACAGAACGCGTAGAAGCAACAATACTCCAGGAACAGAGAAAGATGGATGCTCTCCTGAAAGGGACCCTCTTGGAGCAGAAGATAATCACTCGCGTACTTTGACGCAGAAAAAAAAACGAAAAGAAATATCGAGTGTTCGTTTCCTTATAAAAAAGTGAACCGCAGTCGTACAGCATAATATAGCCACCCTGTGCGCAGTCCGTAACAGTGTTGTACGAGCAAAACTTAATATTACTGCTATACTTTCTAAGAATTCACAACGCGACGTCAAGAGCTATGCGGCGGCGGGAGACGTGGACAAAAAAAAAGGTAAACAAAGCCGAGTTAACGAAGAGAAAAAAAAACAATACGCATTGGACCTGCCAAGTGAAAATGTACGTTTAAGCTCATCCGCTTTGCTCGTACAACAAAGTTTGAACGATCCTCGTCAAATATTCATCCTAACGCATAGCACATTGCTTTTATTATTTCTCGTTTAAATCGACACCACAAGCTAAGGTATTATAATTTTGTAATAAACCTACGAAATCTTCATTCCGAAGAACGACAAGTGACTTTCGTACTTGTACACGTTACAAATTGTGTTAGAATGACAGTTGAGGTTAGTTCAAAACATTTCGTTTTCTCTCTTTCCCTTCTCGCAAGACTGCACGACATCTGGAGGAATTCGAGGTTACGGATTCAGCTTACGATTCTCCATAACATTTGTCCTTCCGTATCCTCACTTCGCTCACCATTTTAATTCATCGTCCCATCTATCCCTTTTACTTTATTACGTTTTGCCTTTACTCTCCGTCCGCTCGATCACAGTCCTCCCAACCAACGCCGCTGCTTCCATTACGCTTTGTTTATCAAGAACCCGACCGACGTCAAAAATTTCTCTCACTAGACACAATTTTTTTTTTTCGCTCTGGGCTAACTAACGGACGTATCGACGTCGTTTATCGTACCGGAAGACGGTTTTCTTTTTTTTTCTTTTTTCTTTTTCGTAATATTGCAAAAATAGTCAAACGTTTCAACGGCCACGAGAGGTTGCGCGCGCATCGCGCATGCGCTTTCACGGAGTTCGGCATACACGAAAGAGAGAAAGAGACAAGCTAAACGCGCACAACATAATTCATTCTCTCTCTATTATACATACGTCACGACGGCCTACGTCGAGGAGCTCATTTCTTTGTGTGTTTATTGGACTCGTCTTACGTTCGTCTTTACTGGAATTTCCTTTCTTAGAGACACACGGTGCACTGACAATATCGGAGATAATAATTTCATTTATGGTGACCACGAGAGACAGAGTTATATAGTATATTCTAGAATATATAAATTTTTTTAATTTTCTAAACGCTTTATAATTATAGATGGCATTTTCCAAAGCGACCTTGTACTGCTATCAAGAATTTATTTATTGTTTCAGATGCTATGTCTTTCTTTTTTTTTTCCTTATATTTTTTTCCATTCCGTTATTACTTCCATGATGTGAAATTGTCTTTGGAAACTAAAAACATTGAGCGTTCGATCCGTTCACAAAATGGCACTGTTTAAAACGTCGTCTATATACCTGTCATGCGATATAATTGTCTCTGACGTGGACGTCACACGTTTCTCCTAGTTTCATCATTTTCCTTATATCTTTTCATTTTTCCTCTCTCTTTCTCTTTATTCGCTTGGTCGTTTTTCGGTTACATTTTTTGTTTTGCGTTCTGTTATTGTTACTCGTATTATTATTATTCTCTCTTTGTATCATCTGTCGTCAGGACGTTTGCGCGTCGCGCGACGAAACGGGCGACACGAGATTCGCTGTCGCCTGGCGTCGCGTCGACAAAGATATTATTATTATATTTATATATATTTGGGGAAATAGCTTTTCCGACAAGAAGCAAAAGAGAGAAAAGAAAGCTACAGAGATTGCGTCTTCCAGCCGTACTCTCGCCTTTTCTCTTTTTTTTTTCCCTTTCCTTTCTTTGGGTATCGCTCGAAGTGCCTGGGGAAAAAAGTATCACGCATACATTCTCTATCTGTAGAATCAAGCATATTCGGGACTGAACGTTTTGGCAATGGAGATATGGCTCATGGCGAGGGAGACGCGATTCCAGAAAAAAAAATATCGAAAAAATCGACGATATTTTCAAAATCCCCCGCACGTATACAGACTTTTTTGTCATTAAATAATAAATCCCATCGTGAATGCTTCACAGTTTGATCCTCAGACATACAGTGTCAACACTCCGAAGTCAGGTTAGGTTAAATTGCCATGAGCTCCTCGCTACAAAAAACGACCACTCGATGACGTAAAACTTTTCAGAATAGCGACCTCCCTCGTTCAATCAAAATCTTATAGTCAGTGAATCCTGAATGTGAATTTTCACAAATATCTCAACGACCAACGAGAACTCGTTACGTAGCTCTACGGAACGACAGCGATACGTATTTTGTATCCCAACGAATGCAGGTGGCGCTAATGTGCACAACAACAGGAATCACGATAATAAAGAATTTCGACACCAGGAGCGACATAAAATAACGATACAGATAATTCCGCAGCAAGTATATCCAAATTACAAATTTTCATACAAATACATAAACAGCAGACTCTCTGCCGTTCGCGATCCTTGTTTATCGTTCCATTCGAAATATTACACATTACTAGCTTCCTTTACGTCATTATACTATTGTACAGTATAGCCTAGTGATTATGTGTAGGTTTTCTTGTCTGGCGTGTGCAAATCATTCGGCCCACGATACGCAGGAACAAAAGAAAACATCATCCAAAGAAATATTGACTGTGATAAGAAGTAAGGCATGAACGATTGCCAATCAATGATTAAGAAAGAACGGATACCTTTACAAAATTTTGACGGCGTGCAGCCTAAGTGAAAAATAATGAACGGAAAAGAAAAAAAAACAATGGGAGAAGAATCATTTGCACAAACGGAGGCATTTTAACGTTTTGCATTTGCGTTATTGTAACTTGTCAAAAATATATATATATATATATATATATGTATATATATATAGTATGTGTATGTCGGTCAATTTAGCCTGCCTTATTGTTGGTTTGCAATTGTGCGTTCGAGACGAATTTTTGTTTGTAAATTTTTTTCTTTCGTTCGACAAAGTCAAGTTTCGACAAGTTTCGCGCCGCTTCTGAACATTGGATTAACCAGCAATCGGCAAGCCGACTCGAGATTAAAATTTCTATTTTCTCACGGCAAGACAATATCTTATTTTCTATTTTTCCTTGTCGCCACACAAATTTTCAATCTTTAACCTTTGCATGCGTTTCTCGATTAATAGGCAACGTTCACCTGGTCCACGTAGAAAACGCAAATCAACACTTGGGCGACTTACGAAATTTAATTGCAAACTGTTATTTCGTGTCGCTTTTGTGTTTGACTCGTGCGCGGCGGCGTCTCACGGAGGAATTGCAGTTTGCCGTGGGTACGTGAATAACACAAAGGGGTGGACACACGGTTCGATTCGAACGACGAATTCGAAAGGATCGACGAAACCAACAACGTTGACAGCGGTATATAAATATTTAACTGTATGCTTTCTTTAGTAGACAATATTACCTAATCATTCACTTTGTTACTCTCCTATTACCCTATTTGTAGCTAAATTTGTTGCTTTCACGATAACTTCATTATTATTATTATTCGCATTATCATTATAATATTCGTAAATATTATCGTTACAATCAAAATAGTATGTACATATACATATATATTTGTGAATACATATATGTATATATATATATACATATCGTAATTGTTTCATAATATAATGTTACATGTTTACATCATCCAGGAATAACTTCGCAATTGTCTTTTGGCTCAACACGATCGTAACGGCACCCTCTTGATATTCTGTCAAAATCACGTAAAAACAATTGTGCAATTAATTTTTTATCCAATTCTTTATTAATTTTTTTTTCCCGTCAACCTCCCTCATCATAACATCTCTCTCCACAAGTGGGCTAGTCGAACGCGTGACTCGCTCGCGAACAAAGAACCGTCGTACGTCAAAGAGTCGTTCACGTAAAAAGATCTCTGACAGGCCGGAGAGACAAAAGAAATCAGAGATTCCGAAATTTACAATTAAAAGTACAAAAATAAACAGCGGCAATAAAACTTGTGTCATTGTACCGAACGAACTACCGTAAAGTGACACAGAGCGCGCTGCGATCGCATTCAGTTAAAAGACCCTGCGATGGCTGCTCCTTACAAGTGGCGCACGCGTCAATTATTTGACATCGGTTAAAGATATTTATTGCTAGCGGATGAATCGGGTGAAAATAAAGAGATACAAAAATGACGGCAGTAAAAATAAAAAAATTAAAGTCGATTCTCCCTCAAGGGTCAACAAAAAGAAAACAGGGTTAACTTACGCGAATTAGTTGTCACGTGGATCCGGCTGGAAACGAAGTTTCTCTATTGCCCAGCCTCGTCCGCCTGACAACTGACTCATACAAATAGCCGGTGTATCATCAACATCCCTTAAGGTTATCCCTAAGTGCATTAGTCGCATAAGCAAAATTAGGTAGTCAATTGCAATATTGAATTCGGCCTAATTTACGCAGCAATGTCAGTCGCGGTAAGAATCGTTGACTGACGGACAATACACATACGTATAATCCTTGTAAAGAGCAGCACTAGTCATATAAAACGCAATTGAAAGAGCCACGTTATCGTAGCGCTAAATTCTTTAAATCCTAAATAGTACTTTGCAAAATTGGCCAACGGTGTGTACACGGTCTTCGTTAATTCTCTTTTTATATATATATATATTTTTGTTAATGTAAAATTAAAAACGAGCACACGTTGTCGGCGCTGGGTAGCAACTTTGTTTTATCATTTTTCCCCCCCTTTTCTTCTCTCATCTTACTATCTTAAATGAAGTTTCAATAAAATATAGAATTTCAAGATATAACAGTTATTCACTTTTTTTCCTTCTTCTTTACTTATCGTAATGACAGTGGATAGGAGTAGAGACAAAAAAAAAGAGAGAAAGAAAAATTTGTACGCATACGCAGTCTATATGTGCTTTCAATTTTTATATGCATCTTGCGTGTATTCCTTCGTCTTTATTGTTTTACTTAAATAATTTCATCACGACGGTCGTCGTCACCCATAGAAAACACATACCCGGACCGTACACACCATGGAGGAATAATTGTATTTTATCATATAACGTCTATAATATTTCAATATTTATCTGTAATAAAAACTGACCTAATAAAAAACATTTTATTCTTTGCTTTTTGGCCTCACTTTTTGATACTAAATTATTAAGGTAATCGAGAAACTAAAGAGACGGGCAGCCATTAGAGGAGAAATTAAAACAATTCGATTGATTGTACGCTTTAAATAATTAAATAATTAAGTAAGGTGGTCTCCTACTGATAACCCCATTTTTGTTTTTCTTTTCCTTGCGATTCGCAGTACCGTAATCCTTGTTGCTTTAGTTGCTTTATCTCGACCCGAGACTAAAGTACCACTCGAGCCAAGAACATTGTTTAATTTTCGCGTGTTACAAAAAAAAGAAAAAAAAAAGAAAAAGAGAAACGATCTCGCAATAAAATGCAAACATTAAATAATAATAGTCTCTAAAATTGGTTACTTCAACATTTCAATGTCTATACGAGGAAAAAATTTGATAATGTTGTTCCTATCTATCCTAGTAATCTAATACCTTAGATAATATTAATGGGTATCTTTTAAATTTTTTTTTCTTACTTCTCGTCGTTAAATATTTATAGTCACTTTATATCGTAGACATTAACAAACTGCGACGTTCAGTGATTAAAAATTAAAAAAAAAAGAAACTTTTTTTTAAAACCAATCGTACGTCGCTGCAAAGTTTTTCAGTTTTTGTCGCGTTGCCGTGAAACTTTCGTTTACATTATTTTGGTTCGAAAATTTCGTAAAATTAGCACTCAACGGAAGAGCAAGTTGACAAATGCTAAATTATAAATGCATAACGTGACAGACACGCGTTTCACGTCGAACTGCACCGTACACGTCGTAAGAGGCACCACGACGCATTTAATTCTTCTCTTCCTTCCCCTTATATCTCTTCCCTTTCTCTCTCTCTCTCTCTCTCTCTCTCACTCTCTCCCCCCTCACACAGCGTATAAATATCATTCCCTTATATTTTGATTAAATTGGAAAATCCTATATATCCACTACTAACGACCGCACTTACAACTATAATGTAAAAATGACAACACGACTGAGTTGAATCGGTTACAATTACGCTATGCTTAACGTACATGAAAAAAATGCTCATCTTTGAATCGCCCGCCAAAAATTAATTCATACTCACATACACTCTCTCTCTCTCTCTCACACACATACACTTTTTGTCCCCCTTTAATTCTACGTTAACGCTTTCGCACGGACGATAATTATAATTTAGTATTTTAATTCAATACTAAGAGCTAAATTTGATACACGCTTACAAGGTAATATCTAAAAGTATTCTTGGCCTACGTAAAAGCATCAAACGTAATGTACGTGCTATTATTCTAATCTAAATCGCAATTATGAAAATAGAAGCGCATCGATATAAAAATTGTTTTTTCTTCTTCATTAACTAACAATAACCGATAAATTATCGCGTGGTAACGCGTCGATAAATTATCTTTCTATATGATATATCGTCCACTTTGTGTTCGCCTCCCTTGAATTCTTCTATGTGTTTCCCCAGTGGGAAAGTTGTAATCGAGTTAAATAATATAGGCAATAAGTGACGCAAGAGAAAAAAAAACATTAACGAGAAGACCACCTGCTTCAGGAGACTTTTCTTTCATTTGTTTTTTACAATTGCCATATTTCCTTTTTTTGTTAATCAGACTTCTCCTAAACTTCGTTGGATCTATTCGAAACGCGAACGTTACTTTACTATAATGCAATTATAAATGAGCAATCTCGTCAAATGACACCTAAAATCTTCATAATTTCAGAAATCGACGTCACGCGTATTACACTTCAAACTTGAAAATATAAAAACAGTTAATACTCATAATACTAATAATATTAATAATAATAATAGTAATATTCACTGCCCCATACAAATACAATTGAAAAATCCTATTTAAACAGTACTTTTCCTTAAATACAATAGCAACGCGGGTACCCGTGGGGGCGCGCAGGGGGGTAGGTCGACGTGCACAGTGCAGCTCATCGCAATCGAACGAATTACCAGGTAAAGAGAGAGAAAAAGGCAAAGAGGAGTGATATTTAAGATGTAAAAAGAAAAATTCCACTTGCTTTTGCAAAAAGGTTGGGGAACTATATAAGTTGCCTTTGTCTATTCCCTAGCATGTCCTAACGTTAACGATCGCTGCTCTACTCTCAAAGCTCCTTTAACATTCAAGTGTAATCCTCCGACTGTGAACTCCTCCGATAAATAATCTCCCCCACGGTATCCATTCGCAAAGCCCAATTATTCACAAAAGATTGATCTCGTTCCTTAATCAAAGACCAAGGAGCTAAGCCATATCAGAGTACACTTGAAATCATCCGATAGATAATAATTTCACGATGCAGCAAAACCTAACTTTTCTTTGATAAAAAAAAAAACGAATCGATGACTCTCAGTGCATATCGATCGAAAAAGCTATCATAGCGCTATACGTATGTGTGATATCTATGTCTCGTGTGTGTAATATATTTATATATTATATATATACTTCGCTTTGTTTCTGCCATATCAATTTTTTTTTGTACCGACTAGCACACGTCCTCTCGTTCTCTCGCATACAAGACATTCCCAGATTACATTGATAAAAATTCATTCTCGTCGCACAACTTAAATAATAAATATCATAAATTCACGACTGTTAAACAAATTATCGTATATATAAAACCGCATTTGTCGGGCGCCACGGAGATCGCAGAACTCCCATTTATATTTAAAAAAAAAAAAAAAAGATTACAATACAGATTACGTGTCCCCGCAATGTGACGTAATACAGATATATATATATAAGCGACGTGAATAATGCTCGTTGTGACATAAAACGAGAGACACATCGATTCCCGGTTATACTCGGGTTTCCAAGGCCGAGATATATTCTATTTAGCTTTACTTTTTTTTCCCTCTAATACTAATGATCAACGGTTATAACCAGGGATCATCGGACATCGGAAACATAGCGCTCCTCTAACGCAAGAGGACAAAACTTCCTGATGGTTGTTCCTAAAGATGCTGGGGCTTTTTTTGCAAGCTTCACACGAGACTGGACATACTAGGAAATAGAAGTAGGAGATCCTAACTTGTGGAGGATACCGGAGTCTGGCAGTACGGACACTCGCGCTGATTCGGAGCGCACGACGAGCAGACCACGAAGTGGTTGCACGGTGAGAGGGTAACAGTGCGATTTTGTTCCTCGCAAGCCATGCACTTTGTTGCCGTTTCCCTGTACAGCACCTGAAACGGCAACATCCGAGCTAGCCAGAACGTTTCCTCGATATCAAGAGAAATTGAGCGTGAGCAACTGACATGTATATATATATACATACACATATATATATATATGCTTTTCTTTGTAAACGAGGCCGGTACTTTTTTTTTTCTTATACTTGCATTTAATCGAGGTTCGCATGTATAATTTTATTTGTGTCCTGACAATGGATGAGGACCCTCTCTCTCGCTCTCTCCCTTGCTCTCCTCACTCTCAATGGCCAACGAATACGAGAGCGAGGATACGTTTTAAAATAACAGCAAGTGCCGTGGACGACACCAGCCGATAATTTCGGAATACAATAATTGTTACAGATTTAAATATCCGTTTTGGTCGATAAATGATTATTTTTGTCTCGGCATTCTTAATTCTTTTATTATTATTTTTTTTTGAAGGCTCGTTCATTTGCTCAAAAGTGGCTGGAACATCGCTCGAAGTCCCAGCTGTTCAAGTCCGAGTGACAATATTGCTGTTTTACCTTTTCAATTTCTTCGAGGTCCGAGCGTAGCTGCGACTGTATTGATTTTAAAGTAGATATCGACAATGATCTCAACTCGCTGGTTCTTCTCAGTGTATGGAGATACGGACCGCCGCTTGATGCTTCGTTCTCGACTCGTAGCGCCTTCACTTGCAGCAGTGCCTGTAAGCAATCCACGCTCTGTGGTACGTTGTACCGTACTACTTGAACCATTGTATCCACGATACGACAAACGGGGGGCTTCGATCGTAATCGAAAATTATGAAAAATATTTTTAAGCAAACACAGGGCATTTGTGGAACTTCAGATTGTACGTTATTAAATAGTGATTACGTGAAATGTATTATATTGCGTGAACATACCTCATCTCGTTGTTGTTCAGCTATGGACGCCTTGCGCCTAGCTTCTTCACTTTCCAATTGCCAAGCTTCGCATGCGGCGCGCGCCTGATTTATGCGTTCGTCCCACTTTGCCAGTTGTGCGCGACTGGACGTCAGCTCCTCTCTCAACCTCTGCACCTGTAACTTATCGTGTAAGGTACGTGACGCACTTGGACATTGTTATGACGGCGGATGAAGGAATCAGTTCCCTTGAACAAAGTTATCTAGGTGATTAATATAATAAATAATGCGGCAAGTAACCTCTGAGAGAGATCCCGTGTTGCTTGGACTTATGGAGAACGGATTGACCAATGGAGATGCAGGAAGTGGCTGAGTACGAGAGGGCGACATTCCTTGATTGGCAAAGTCAAAGAGGCTGCTGTTGAAACCGCTGAGTTTTGAGGCTGAGCTACTTAGTTGAGAGATGTGATTGCTGAATGGATCTGATACTTGGTTCATGAATGGCATCGTCTGGAACAGGAATAATTGTAGCACGTCGGTGAGACAAAAATTAACGATAGTATCGAGGATTCTGGTTAATTTGCATTTACCGATTCCATTGAATCTTGATGAGAGAATCTAGACCCTGTTAGAAAACCGGCTGACTGTAATTGCTGTAAAGGACTCGATGTGGATGGCGAAAAATTTGTAAGCACCGAGCGCTCCGCCATTCCTGGTATGTTGACGGGAGCTGAGCTGCCCAAGAGTCCGGAGCTGGCGAGACCGGCAGATATTGAATTGCTAATAGGTGAATTCGTATCCCTATGAATTGAGTCTACTAAATTTAAAGGGTCGTCTAAGTGTAACTCGTCTAATGCAGTTCCTGAAATATAATGAAATCGCAATTTATGGCTTTGAGCTTTACAAAAGTGACTGTCAAGTAAATAAAGGTTGTCGAATAAAACAAAATTATTTCCCTTACCTACTACAGATTCCACAGTATCATTTGGATAGAATGAACTGGACAACGGTGAGACTGTACTTGTTAATGAGTGACTGCCTAATGTGCCATTCAAATTGTAAGCTATATAGAGACTCTGTTTCCTCTGTGCTTTTTCAGCCTTTGTCATTAAAGGATCGCTATCAATGGCCATCATTTGTTTTCTAATTTCACTCTGTAAAGAGAATAGACCAAATTAGCCAATAAGTTTATTCGATTAAATGTCTACACCTAAGTAACATCCTACATATAGAAAAACTCACAACTTGAATGAGAGACGATGGGTTGTACAGTATGCTTGTGAGTTTCTGCTGCGTAGAGGCTGTAACAGTGCTGCTTGAAATTGTATTATGTAGCTGGGCACCTGGTGCTTTACTGTGTGAACTATTGCTTCCGATGCTGCTAGTACTTGCAGACTCAGACACCTCACCACTCCCATTCTGCAACGTAGCCAACTGATCACAAGAGGCATTACTATAAATTTTCCTTCCATTGTATAATTCGAATATTTTGATGAATGAAATGAATATATTAGAGAATTATCAATTATTCTTTCTTGATGATTCATGAATGACGCGCTAACAATGATGATTCACACATAATCCAAAGACTTACGCTGCTATCGCTGAGTGGCTTGTCCTTCTCGTGGCTTCGTTTGTCAGGTGGTAAAGCGTTGCTGAGTAAATCCGCCAGATTTGTTCCACATTCTATAGGTACTGCCATGTCCCTCGCCAGGCTCATTTCTTCTGTTGGCAACACTGCTCCATCAGCACACCATACCAAGGTCGGAATATATATCAATTTTGAAAAGCAATTTTGATTGACTATGTTTTACCGGTTACAAAGTCTCCTAAAAGATACTACGAAAGCAGGTCGAAAGTCTTTGACGCTAGATGAGTGCGATTGCGACCAAATACGTGTAAAATTAACAAACAAGTAACTCTTACTGATCTAGCGATGCATTGTTAGTAAACTATTATGTAATATTAGTAATATCCCGATTATAAAATGGATTTAGTTTCTGTTATTATTAAGCATACAATGAAAAGTTCAGTATCTAAGCAATTTTATATACTTCAAATGTTACGCAGTGCCACTTCGCATCTGCGAGACATCCAATTTTTCATAAATAACAAACCAAAGAGCAGATATTAATATAACTTTCATTCACTAAAATCGTATCTCTCTTTAAATGTAATATTTAAACCAAGACACTAAACCCTTAAGCCAAGTAATGTTAAGGAGTACTGCGGACTTAAGAAATGCAGCATCAATTTTAGTATCCATTAGAAAACATTCACCGAAGCTAATACTTGAGCATTCGTAACAGCAATATCATAAGTCCCACAGAAACTTTCATCGGTTGGACTTGATTTAGTGCTTAAATAAAAAAGAGATAGAAGTAAAAATACAAGAAGAAAAATAGGAAGAAAGAAAAATCAGATTCGCTAACCCCCCCCCGCCCCCTCAAGGTACGTTCGCCTCGTTGAACTTGCAATTGCAACGACCGAAGTGACATCGTTTGCGATACGACGAGTTCCCAATAGAGAATGCCGTGATTTCTTAAGCACACAGTTATATATAATGACAGTTTTACGTACGATTGATGAGGGTACACTCACGGTCAACATGCGCGAACGCGCAGAAGACGCCGCGCGGGCAATAGCCAGCCTGCTGAACGTCATTGCACTTGGTCGACTTGTAAATCTCAGGATGAAACTGTTGTTCGGTGCGAGTGTGACAGTAGGTGCAGGCATCGCCCTGTTCGCAGTTGCCAGGTTCGCCCCATTCCTCTCCATGCTTAACATTGGGACAGGGCGTGGAGCTGAAAGCAAGAGGAAAAAAAAACAGTCATCCTAATGAAAGATCCATTAACGCTAGTTACAACGTGGCGTCAGAAACGGAGGCGTTTCTGAACGACGTTCTACTTTCTATTGTAAGAAACTCATACAACCTGACACACAATAGGTGAAAACTAATAGAAAGAACCGGCTTATAGAAATTAACGTGTACCAGAGAAAAAGCCACACGATTCCACCGTTCGTCCTATCTCCAATAACTGTTACGATTAATTGAAGTATTACTATAATAATCACCGGTATTTGTATTTACGCGGACTGCGTCTTTTGTCTTTGCTGTTGTGATACTGAGGACAGGCATATCCTTGACGGCAGAGTCTCGGCGGTCTTTTACACGGTTCGGTTTTATAATTACTCAGCACGTAATTGGTGTCCTGCCACTTAGGATCCTCGTTCATAAGATTACGCTCCTTGTCAAGGATATTGGGTCCATTGGACGACGAGTTGGGATCGGAATCTGGATTCTCCAATGCCTGTATCTCCTTGATGTCGTAAACAGGCGGACGAAGATCATGATTGCCATGTGCGAATGCACAGTGTGGACCGTTCTTTACGCAGAAGCCACGTGTATCCGTATCGTGTACGCACATGCAGGTCTTGTAGTAACGCAGATGGTAGCGTCTCTCGGTATCCCCGGCAGTGCGATGAAGAAAAGGACATCTGAAAATGACAACAAAGTAATTAGAAGGGATCGTGACACAGGATCTTGACTCGCTACTGATAAAAGTATCGGACAGCTTTTTTTCCCCTCGGACACGGCATACAGTTCTGTTTCACGTACAATTAAGTAATTATACGCATGCATCAACGACGCGCTACTTTAATTGCAACATTTCTCGAGACATGCCTGGTCGCAGACGTGTAGCTATGCCGTGTTGAAGTCTTTCCACGTAAGTTCCTGTATCTTGTGCAATCCGAACGCGACGCGATAGCCGTTAACGTAAATAATTGCCTTTGGCTGATACAAATATTTTCTTAGAAATATCCGATGAAATCAACGATATATAAATACAAGTGCATGCAAAGTACAGTTGCAGGTTACGAGGATAATTTGTATTAGAAAAAAAGTAACGAAAATAATTATATTAAATGGTATAACGAAATATTCAAAACATCTTAATATTTTGTATTGGCTGCCCTGTAAGCTGACAATTTTCGAGCAGAAGATACATCCTTTGGGAAATGGATTTTTACAAAAATTATATAAAAAATCGAGTCTGCGTTAATTACGCGTGAAATATTTTTGTTTACCAAATTGAGAATTACATTGTTTTCTCCTCCACGTTTGGTCAATACTAACGGCATCGTAATGACATTTATCAGGATTTTTGCAATACTTTCGTTACTCGCTTTATAGATATCGAGCAAGTACCAACGTTAAACGGGCACGACGCGAAACGGTGAATTAATACTAAATTAAATTCAAACAAAGAAATTTGGATTTACGGATACTGCTGAAATATTGTACAATGGTAGGAAGCCGAGTGTATATCCCTATAAAATTTGTATCGCCCCGAGAATTCGGTAATGTCGACAGAAAGACACGAGAGTCTCGGGTTCATTCAGCGAAAGATAAAACGTATCGAGGACAAAGAACTCGTTCTGTAAGCATTCTACCAAAGAACCATCTGTCGATCGCATTTTACATCGATACGGTACGCACGAAAAATAATAACCAAATTGGGTTCGCGTCATAAAATTACGTAAGCTATGTAATAAAGATCAATATTTATTAGCCACTGTGTCGTGACCGACGGCAGTTGCTGTTGCCAAGAAAAATGAAACGGAAGAATTTTTTTTCTCACAAAATTCATAAAACTCCCATATTAAAAAAAAAAATAAAAGTATCCGTTGCGAACGATTTCGATAAATCAGGCGATCGTTAGAATATATTTGCACGTCGCGCGAAAACAAAGGAAACCTCACGATTCTTTGTTGCCGTCGTACCGAGTGAGAGAAAATCAATATCAGCCGGCTCCTTTGTTTGAAGGCCCGCGGCGCAGTACATTTTGGAGGGAAAATCGTGGCCGACCAAGAACTCTCAGATACTCGGTGTCATGTATTTTACTTTTTTACTTCGCGAAAATAAGACACAAGCATAAAAATGGAAATTCGGGCGCCATTGATAATCTACGGGCGATAAGACAATTTTTTGACCACAATTTAAGCGATAAGAGATAACGATCGCCCTTTCGCTTATCGTACGTAATCGCAGGAGTAACAGAGTGCACGTTACATTATTTAAATTTAAATATTGCAACAGCCAAGGTTTCGCGGATGGATTAATATGTTGTACATGAATAACCTATTTAACTGGTCACGAAAGGGGATAAAAAGTTCGTAGTCAGGTTAAGTGTGTCGTTGGCATTATCTTTGATAGAAGCTGCAGTTTTCAAATCGCCCGCGCAAATCTTTATTATGCAATGGCGTGACGTAATTGACTGTTGCACCAAAGGGGGCAGGGAACGTTAAGTCACGCTGTGATTATCAACTATATGTTCCATGAAGAGGAGGAACAACAACAGGTGCCAACACAAAAGTAAAGAGGCGACGATGAAACCATTTCAAGATATATAACACCGCCAATGGCGTAGACTTTGTTTTATGGATGGTGAATGTCAACTTTCTACGAAGCGATAAAAGAAGGGAAATAATGAAATAAAAAAGGATGTAAAAGAGAAAAGGAAGAGCCTCAGCAAGTATCTACGGGTCGTCGGGCATTCGCGTCGATAGCTTATGCAATATGCTTTGGAAAAGTTAAGTGAAAGAGCGGCAAATGAATTAACGTGGACGCATGTTGAGCATATTAGCTTTTTGTCCGTAGCAAAAATTCCGTGAATGACCTAAAATCGGATCCATTCAATGTGTACGTTTATTGCTGGGTATGACGTAATAAGCATGGGCGGGTGGCCAATTTTATTTGAAAGAAGAAAAAAGGTAATGGACGTGTACTGGAGATTATTTTGATAGACCGTCAAATATTATCATTTGTATAAAGCTATTAACGCTATCGAATAGACAAAGAACTTTCACGTATTCCACGAAATTGACTGGACAAAGGAAACTTTTCCATAAAGCGTCTAATATTTGGGTTATATTCTGTAGTATCGTCATAGACAATTATTTTTTCTATTTTACTGAGCTCATTCATATTCTCATTTCATTAGTCATAAAAATTATACACGCTTTGGTTATATTATGTGAGAACGTACGTTCAACGACACAAAGAAAGGCGCGTTTCCCTTGGCGCGCCAGAGTAATCGCGGCCATAGCGCCGTTGTATAAGAGTTTCCCGCAATTTTCGCCACGCGAACGACTCGCGGCTCAGCCAAAACAGAAAAATTCTCGCGACGCGCGATACTTTTTTACGCCATCTTTATTAATCGCGAAGCGAATATACACGTAAGCGATGTATAACAAAAAATTTAGATAAAGCACAGGGCACAAAGAAAAGGACGTCAATGAAGTAACTGAGAAAGCTGTCACAATGAACGATATAAACAGTAACATCTCAATGAAGCTAATCATGAGATCAAAACAAAGTTACATTATGATATCCAACCAGCGTCGTTTTGACATATTTAGACGGAAGGAGGCGACGTGACGCTACATGTCAAATAAAATACATGAAATAAAAACAGTAATACAGTCCGAGACACGAAGGCGCGAGAGCGTCTTAACGGAACTACTAAGAAAAATTTTACTCACTCATCTCCATCCGGACAAATACCGGTAGTCTCGTCGTATTTTGTGCAATAATTGTCGGCACTGTAGTTGAAGGTGCGGTCTCTTTTGCGTACGGGTCTCCGTCTCCGTTGGTTCATAAAATGCCAGTTGAAGCACGTGAAGGGCCGATGCTGGGTGCACTTGCGCTGTATAAAGAGGGGACATTGTTCGACGCGAAATTCCTTCAAGTATCTGGAATGCGAATCCACAGAGCTACACATTATTTCGTGGCGTTTATCGCGGTAGCGACGGTGCTACCCGCGGACTCCGCGATTTCTCTCCTCTCTCCTCTCCCTCTCTTTTTCTCTCGGCCTGAGAGCTCTCCACTCCACTGGCACTGGTTTTATATCGTTCACGTAGCAGGCGGCCGGCGAGCGCTACTTACGTGTAATGATTCGCCTTTTCCGCCTGAGCTGTCAACAAAGGTTTAGAGTCGGACTTCATCTTGGATAACGCGACGCGACGCGACGCGGCGCAACGTAACACAACTCAACGTACACGCTTCCTTCCTCCCCACCCAAAAATCTTCTTTCACGTCACCTCCTTATGCGCCTCTCACTCGCACCCTCTCACTCTCGATATATACACCCCTTTATCTTTACAAAATTTACCTTCCTTCTCGCACACGTTACCACCAAGTACTTCTTTTGCCGTCCAACTGAATGCTCTCCAGCTCTGGCATCGAACAACCAATCAGAAGAGCACAGTGCGCACGGCGCAGTAGGCGTAATACACTCCTCGTTCAGCCAATTCCTGATCTCCTTTTAGATCACGTGACCAGCCCGTTTTCAAGGTCATCGATGTTTTGGTCCAAGACGTAAACATGCATCGTCACACTGACAAAACCTTACGGTATACAATGTTGCTACTGTTACCCCGCCTATAAGAAATGTATCGCTTTTATCTGACTACCGAGCGCCGTTGCCGCTGCTGCTGCTGCTGCTACTGAAGTCATACGAGCTGTCGTCACTTATTCCTGACCTAATGTTTTATTTTTGTTCGTACGAAACACCAATACCGATGCTTTCACTTGGCAACTTGAAAATCCTCCAATCGATGTCCTCCTGCGGAGTATCTTGATTCAGCTACTCAGTCCCGGACGATGCTCGTTGACTGCACCTTCTCCTTTAGCAACGTTTAACTGTGCCTCTACGAGAATCTTTTTTGCATTCTTTCTCGGTCTCTCGGTACGGAGTAATTTTTAGATCGGCTCTTCAACCGTAAATCTTGTTGCTCCTCCGGCTTTCCCGCCTTTCGTTAATCTTCTTGTGTCTCGGGTGCGTTCGGTTTTTCTTTATAATGAATGGGAACGAGGTACAACCGGCATTTAAAGTTCTCTTTGTTATTCATCAGCTACGAAAAGGACAAACTTTGGTATTCCTAATAATTAAAATTGTACTTATACGTTCAAGTATCCAGATTCGTGCTTCCTTTTAATGTACGATGCATGCAGGATCTTCCAGTCTTATCAAGTACCATATGTAAACCATGGTAAATCCTGGTGTAAGCACTTCACAATGCACCCGGTGACTTGGATACACAGTAAAACATAATTACTACGTAACAATACAGTCTGCTACAACATTTGTCTGTATCATTTATAAATATTCACTGACAAGCCACTTTTACGTTGAAGATATCAACAGGACTTTGACAGACAAGATAAACTACAACTGCTGGAACGTTACCACTTGTGTTTGTGCCAAGGAAAGTAGTACAAGACGTATTAGGATAAGCACTACGCAAAAGGGATTGAGAATGTTACTAGACGGGATAATATATACCAGGCAGTAGTACCTAGCATGATAATCCAACAGGACTGCATATCTTCTCTGCCATTAGAAAGCACAACACAGCAACATCGTTTAACATTGGCTCCCGCGAGAACCCACGTTTGTTAAACTTTTTTTTCACTTTCTTCCTGCCTCGTTGCTGCTCGATGTACGTGAAAATTCCTCAAATACCGTTGCCGGCGCGCATCGCTGGACCACGATACCTCAGAAACCGGGTCGTCCTCGAACTTGACAACGAGACACCCTGATACCCGCTCTTTATTAGCGTCTCGGCGCGACGCCAAATACACCGACTCTCCCGAGTGTCCGTCGCGTCGCACTTGCTCCCGTAATGATTTTATAAAATGGGCGCTCTGAGAACTCAGCGAAGTATTGCCGGCACAATACTCGCATGCGCGATTATGCGAATCAGGCTTTAGGAAGATGTCGGCCAATCGGTGACGTCCGGCAGCGGCCCCAGATACGTTGCTTTTTTTCACCTTGAATTATCGGTTTCTCCAATCTGCCGCAAAAGCCTCCGTGGCGCTGTTATTTGCTGCGCAAAATTATAACGCTCCAAAATCGCCGTATATGTCCGCAAGGCGCTGGCGTCGCTTCACGATGACAATTTGGCTGCGTATTACGAAATTTCAAATATGGTCTTTGTTGGGTATAATATACGCGTGGATTTTTCTTCCTTTAATCTTCCTTTTATCACATTCATGTTTAATGTGTACAAAACGTAAGTAATTAAATACAATAGTACAACGCAACGTACAGTGGCTTTTTTTTTGACGTGAAGATGTGCACGGATCAATGAGGCGTCCTGTTTATGTCTGTAATAAAGTATAATAAATATTACTATGCGTAACCGAGACTTTCTTCTCGCTATGAAATACGATCACGTCATTGCTAGTGTTTTTATCGTATTGTTATTGATATATTATGCTAACATGGGAGGTGTTTATGCTATTACTTGAATAAGATAAAGAAAGTTCAGCGACGATCTTCTCTTTACATTCTCAAGTCGCAGAGAAGAGTAGAATTAACCATAATTTTTAGAATTTTAAATTAAATACTTTAGTCTACGACTCAATACTAGTATTGCAGATATACAATTGATTAGTGAGATTTTAAATGGAGACCAAAGCTATGGTGCGAGATTAAGGTAACACAAAAAGTAAGTTATATATTGTTAACGATCAAAATAGGTATGCCACGTCTTTGCTGTGTATGAAAATAATATTCGTATCTGTTTCCTCACACTGGGACTAAATAACCTGAATTTCGTATTTTGTCTACGATAATTTCATCTCCTTAAGAATCTTTCGCCTCGCAGATTCCACAGGAAATTACCGATAGTTGTATTTCCATTTCGCGCTTTGTCAAATCCAACAGGAAAATACAGGTAAGAAAAAAGCGCTATATTCCAACGTTCTATATTAGAAATCTACGAGCGCTATTCAATAGTCCTTAAATTGAATCTTGTGAACGTCAAATATAATTGGGTAATCCCCGAAGCAATAACGTCCCAGTAATACTTCATGTTTTATGATACTAAAATAAAAAAAATACATCCCATCCTTCTCAAGAATTTTACGAAACAATGCTACCGACGCCGAAAATTGTAATTATCAATAATAACCAGTAATTAATAATTACAGGACGTTAACGCTTCTACGTGTATCGACTGATTGGTACAATAATGAGTGGAGTTTAAAATAAAGAAAAATAAAAGAAATATAATGTAAAACGGTAATCCAAGGATCTAGAATAATAATTCTTATGCCAGAGTACATGAATTGATATCATATAATGTAATATTTACGATACCAAAGTTATTATTCTATGGACCTATAATCTATAATGTAATTTAATGTTTGATTCAACGGCTCTTTCTCTCTTTCTCTTTTTCGACACTCATACATCAGTCCTTTCTTTCTACTCCACACTCACTCTTGCACTCACTCACATTCTCTAAAATTGATCCTTACATATCTAATAATTAAATCCTGCTTGCTGTCAAGCCCGCTTAAATACTTTTCATTTTATTTATCTTCATTGGTAATAAAATTGATCTATTCAAACATAGTCGTTGGGTAACGGCTATTACTTATTCTGGCTTGTGTCAAGATGGACGTTATTTAAATTCCTAGTTCGTAAGGGTGTTACTCTCTGGATGGAATAATCGCGTGGATTTGTAATTAATGTCGTAATGCTTTGTGATCTGGAACAAGATTATCATAGAGAATGCTCAGAGAGCAATAGTAGTGTAGTACTATTGTGTATATGGTATATAGATCCTGATCTAGGAATACTATGAGAAATCATTACTCTCAGATAGTATCAGGCTGACAGCAAACGGAAACGATCGACGAGGGCAGTTTGTTCTAATAAATTGGAAAAAAGTTACTTAATATTAGGAATGTATCCAAGCAGCAGTAATTGCGTCATTTTTTTCATACGTTATTTCGTTACTATTTCACTGACAGTACGGTTTTTTTTAATTACGCTTTTACAGATATAATGCCTATCGCGCCGCAATCTATTTCCATGCCAGAAAAATACTTTTCTAAATGATCCACCATATTTTTTCTTTCTTCAACGCTTAGTAATCTCGTACATTGCGCATTTACATATATTACCGATATTCCTTTCTCGAACATCGAAATAGAGATTGTGATTGATACTCTACAGTAAAGAGACAAAGTGACAGATTCCAATGGGACTTGAAGCAAGTACCATTTGGATCTGGGAACAAGTTCTGATACTTATAGACTAACCCTAATCTTTACGTTTCACGAGGCATTAAGATCGATTGGAAATATTAGCCATTTCTTGAATAATAGTAGGTAATAGACACACACTGGTTTTTTTTTAATTCGTCATACATTGTGAACTCGTCCAAAATCATCACTGGATCATTCTGAATGACGAATCACGCTAGCGTCAATTACAGTTTTTGTATTACTTCAAAATTCTTGGCTTACTTTTTCTTTTCTTCTTCATTGTTCATTGTGCTCTATCTACAGTATGTTAATGACATCGTTATTATTTAGTGTATAATATTATAGGACTAATTCGCAGGACTCCTCTATTATTATGTATGAAGAATTTTGTAGCGTATCCAAAAATTGATAAATTTAATACCAATTGAATGTCAGAGCGAAGTGTCTTTGAGACAATTTCAAAATTTTCTTCCATCGTGTAAATGTAAATTTGATCAGAATCTACTTTGACTTTGTGAAACAGCGAAACATGGAGAAAGTAGATAAAAGAGAGCAGTGTCTTTCGTTATCATTTTTGAATGATCCTATTCATTGTAACGATCAATATTAGTATTAATAAGGAAGTATAGTATAGCATGTATGCGCGTGTGTATGTCTACGTGTCTTTTTAAAGTGCCGTAAAATTAATAAATATTATCTCGTATATATATCTCCATATATAATTATCTATCTATATACATTTTTCCTTTTTTTTTCAAATCGATGCGAATTTTACTGTATGTACTTAATAGAGTAGCGCATTAACTCATTCGTTAGTGGTAAGCAGGTCAGAAGACCTTAATTCTTCGATATTCTTTCTTTCTCTTTCCTTTTAACATTGTCATTATTTGACTACGTTTATCTTGTTATTAGCGTTTACAATTGCGCAATTATAACGGACACCCTAGTCTCTCCAATGAGCTGTCGATATTGTGCGAACACGCGTAGCACCTTCTACACTAAAAAACATTATAGACCAAATTGGCGATAATGTAAAAATAATGCTGATAGAACGATCATAAATTCGCAGGAGGAATTTAATAAGAAATAATAATAGCTGTTTACAACACATGTCCTTCAACGTCGACACTAAGTCCTTCTGTTCCGATCGTTAATGCACAAAGTGTCATGTGTAAAATATTCCACATGCATTATTCAATTTCCGTTGACCGTTGAATTACATCAAATGACTCGTTGGATAGTCATACGTAAAGAGCAGGTAGTTGGCATTATTTAAAATGATACTGGGAATGTCGATAGAACTTTCAGAAATGGAAACAAAAAAAAAGAAGGCCAAGACATCCTCATGGCACTCTGGCTGTTTCTATTGCGTCTGGTAAGACGAGAATGCGTCTTGAGCGATGGCTACAAGTTGCTGTTGAGCTTCAAAGAGAATGCAGAAGAAGAAACATAGAATCTCTAAAGATTCTAGTCCCGTTATTGGACATTTTTGCAACTTACTACGCGACACTACAATTCGCTTCCTCGTTGCAACAGCAGCCGAGATCACTCAGTCGTCCTGGTGATAATTAAAAGGATAAAAAGCTAGAATCTCTGTCCTCGCGTTCGGTAGCCATCGTCTCTCGATTTCCGTCTGATTAAGAAGTACGCCTTAAGGCGTATCGTCCATCCTAATGTAGCGAGGACGCGCTCGTTAATCTAAAAAAAAGGGACAAACCCCTAACGATTGCCGATCTTATACATTGGATAAAAACGAAGCGAGACTCCGAAACGGCAGAGCGTCAATTTACACGGTGGTTCCGTACGTACTGAACATTACTCTGGTGGTGTCGGTGTCCAGGGTGACATCCTCGGGAGATGCTAGATCAACCTTTATTGAGCCGGAATTATTTCTTCTTCGTGCCATTCCACCGCCCCAATTTGACAAGGTCCAATGGTACGTTTCACCGGTTTCCTTCTCGTCGCTTCCGATTTCTTGAGCCTCTGCGTCCTTGTCCAATCTGGTCTCAATGGAGACAGAAGACTGCGAAGCGACAGAGTCAAAACTCGAATCGCCACCACCTCTGTAACGACTGACACTCTCCGTAGCCATTTCGCCAGGTGATTCCTCGATGGCTCGTAGAATGTTCTGACAGATCTCAGAGTCCAATGGAATAGGTTCCTCAGAGTCACGGTTATGAATGGTTACGGCAATGTGGGCAGGATGTGGAATAGGAAGTGGAATAAGTAGTTTCTCAGCGCTGTAGGGACGCATCTGGCGCTTCCAGGGTTGCCAGCGGGTCTCACCTGTGCCGTTTGATGACATAGTGCGTCGTCTTATTCGCGTTGACGTCAATAGACCACCAGTGTCACTGTAAAATTATAAAAATGTGATCGCATGCTTCTCTAGATTAAATATATTGCTTTTAATCAATAAAGTCCACTTTACCATCGCTTATCGGACTTTCTGCTGTTACTCGGCTGTTTGGCTCGGGGATTAAAAGCGGAAACCTCCAGATAGGGACTGTGAACTTGAATATTTCCACGCGGAGCGTAAACAGCACCGAGTAAATCAGGTCCGTTGGTACCACCGAGTTCAGTACTGTGCACCATATCCGTATAACGTGACAAGTCGACACCAGGATGCGGCTCAAGTTTAAACTTTGTATCGGTATCATCGAGAGGCTGCAGAAAATCTAAACTAAAGATGTCGGCATACATAAGACCAGCCAGTCCGGCCCAATCGCCAACACCCAATCCTTTGTTTTCCCAGAAATCCTCTTCACTTCCGGCTAGACGCGCAAAGACATGAGTAGGATACAGGCGCTCCAGCATTAGAGCTCCTTGCTGTATGACAACCTGAAAGAACATTCCAGGAGGTGTTTAAGTATCGTATATCCACTCTGTCAGACTATAACGATAGAATGATAAAACTACCTTTAGGTTAAAGGTCGTAAGTTTTATTTTACTTCTGACGACTACACCTAACCCAGTCTGTAGGTCCCTTCTACGACGATCCAGCTTCTCGTGCAAAACTGCAACCAGGTCGCGAGCCTCTTTCTCGAGGGCTCTGTAAGGATCCTTTGTCTTTGCGAGACTTGCGGAGAATGGTCCAAAGCAGGCTTCCACAAATTGCGTAAAATCACGTTGCGGTTGCGTTATCAACCTTTCCGTTTCTTGTTGGAAGGCAAGAAGCTCATCTAATTCAAGCTTGGCCTCGAATGCAGCCAGAGCTTGTTCCGGTCTTATCTGATAGAAGAGAAATTAATGCATCGCCGGAACTTCCTTATACAATTTTAATACCTGAAGAAATTGTATTTACCTGGTAATAGTAATCGGAAGCCAAACCCGGACCAGCTATTCTCTTAACGACGAAACTGTCGCTAGCTGGTATTCTGCCCCTGCTCTTTATCACCAGATGGAACATGGCCGCATCCCACACCACTCTGATCCAGTAACGTATCACGGCAATTGTGAGAATCGTTATGGATATGATAGGACATATTACGAAAGCGACGATTAAAGCTGCTACAGGTTGTAGGCAACCCTGAGCTCCTATGTTCCATATCAACGCCTCCATAACGACCAGATATCGATTTCTGCTTGACTCTGGACTGTCCAGATCCATTATGAGACCCATAAACATATGAAGAGCCAGCGTGACTAATGGCATCCTAAAGAAAGAAAATTTGTCAGTGTGCAAACACAAATATTAAATAACAATAAAAATATTAATACTGATATCTACCACATAATTGCTGTTAATGCAATCACGAGGGATCCAAAACTGGCAACGACACAGACTATAGGAAAGATGAATAATATGACAAGTGTACCCAGGAGTCCCTTTACTCCATAGTTCCATAATCTATTCACGTGCCTTGTCATTCCCTTTCCAATAAAGCCTAAAATATTAAAGCACGTTAAAAAAAACCCGTAGTAAAAAATCAACGAAATACCAGAATTCACCAGATTACTCACCCGTATCCGGTTCTGTCTCGAAGTGCGTCCTGCTTTTGCTAATATGTCGCCAAAGAGCTACTAGCCGTGAACAAAGCGTGGGTGTCTGAGAAGATTTTCGTGGAAAGAGAGTTCCGTTAAGCTGACTAAGCTCCAGATCTGGTGTGAATGGCTGTACGAGGAGTAGAGCTCTTAGAGACACAGGACTACACCAGGGTACTGCCACACCGAGTAAAAACATGGCATTCCAGGTCCAACACCATGTTCTTGCTATGTAATTTATCCAGCGCCACATCGGCCACCTTTATCAGTAATACAATTATGAGTACAAATTAAGAAGATAAGGAATAATAAAAAATATATACATATATATATATGCACGCTCATTTACCTAGTCGTGGTAGTGTGTACCACTTCTCGCTCCACCAGGAACACCGGCTGACTAGGATCTGCGCGTGGAGTGGTAATGGATGTCGGTGTATTGCTGAGTACAGTTGGTATAATTTCCGATTGTCCTTGGAAGCTGCGTCTGACGATCCAATTTCTTGGTAACCAAATTTGCGTGGGCCACTGAAAGCTCCTGGTGGGTGTTTTGACCTTGCGCAGTTCCTTGAGGAGTACCGGTTCTCTCTGGAAACAATAGATCGTTTCATAGCGTAATCTTCAGGATGAAGGTATACACGGAGTAGCAGCTATTAATCGAAACCAAAGACAGTACTTCTTTCATGAAGGTTAAATCACGATAGAGGAAATAAACAGTCTGCTGAAGATTCTGATGACTGCAGAGTGCCAGGGCTTCCTCGTGGGCGCTCCATTCGCATTCCTCGATAAAGTTTGCCTCAGCCTCGCGCATTCGATCACGCATCCACGGCCGTATACGTGAAAGAACCGGATGTTCCCTTTCCATGCGCGAGCGTAAAGAATCTTTGGTCTGCGTCAACTTTCTCTGTACGTTTTCCACGGCCCTGTGCATCAGGACGACGGACTGTGCCTGCTGCACCAGGAGCTGCGCGATTCCTTCGCCCAGGGCGAGTATGTCGGGATGAGAAAGAATACTGGAATACACTCGCTGAAGATACTCCCGCATCACAGCTTCGTTTACTTCCTGTAACCAGGTAAAAAACCAATTGACTACACTACTTCCGAATTTCACGTTTAAAGGATGCTCGCTAGAACGTATTCTCACTAACCCGTTCAATTTCCTCGTCCGGTTTCTTCTGCGCCCTCAATTCCGAGATAAGCCGCTCTCGGAAGTGAAGGAACCAGCCTCTAGTCTCTCTCTCCAATATAGCGACAAGCGTCGGAAGTGCCTTCCTGATGATATCCCTGCTAAAGAGCCTGAGATCAACAGCCGCTCCGCTGGGCGTACCAAAAACAAAGGGAACCGGCACTGGTAGAAGTTGCGAGGATTCACGTTCAACCTCAAACTTCTCCATGGCAGCTCGACGAAGTTGTCTTCTCACAAAGCCGCAGAGCAACTCCAATGAGTCTTCGTACTCCGGCTAAAAGATGGTAATACGTATTATACAGATGCTACGTACATTATGGCACGTTCACACATACCCTGCACACCAATTCAGCTACAAGATAGCGACAACGTTCCTCTCGAATTTTTGCATCCAAATTCTGTGCCTGCAGCGACGGCACCCCTATGATAATATCTACAAGAAACGGATACCCGGTGTCAAAATAAATCATCACAAAGAAATATAATTATCAATCGTTGATATACTTACCAAGAAGTCTCAGTAGACCCGTCAACAAAGCTCTGAGAGACTGGGACACGCTGAAGCAATGCGAAACCAGTCGTGCCCTGGCGGTCACCACGAGGAACCTGGTCGCCAGGGCAAGATCCCTCAGGAGTACTTCGTACCTTCTATCCCGTCCCCGTTGCAAAAGGGCACTCAATCTCCATCGATGTGTCTGACCCGCAAAGTTAATGGAGTCTACCTCGAATTCCCTGTAAAACAATCTTTTAGTATACCAAAATATTATAAACCCTACAATATATCTTGTATATCGTAATACAGGGTGTACCATTATAATCCTTCGAATATTCATTAGAGATATTTTTTTATTGATCGTCCGGACGACCTGATACACCCTGTATGGTAATGAGGTATGGTTCACTTATAGTTTGAATGAAGAAAAAAAATTATACAAAAGTAACGTTCTTTCACGTGGCAATATAAATATATAATTAAATAATAGTCAATAAGGATACCATAGAGAGACTATTTACTACTTTGGTATAACGCACTAAATAGTCCCTTTCTAAATAGTACTCTACAGGGATTACTATTCGCATCTAATTGTGAAACCACTATCCTCTTATATTATACTACAGTTGAGAACTAAAGTGACATACACACGTGCAGATATATAGACCAGGATCCCTTGGAGCTTAGGAATTACGTGAAGTTACACACTATATTAAGGTACGTTTAACCTAGTGCAACCACACCATACTCGACCATCCCGGAGCATGAAGACGTATATTAACAATGCAAAGAGCGCATGCTAGAATCCACATTAAACTCCAATTTTGCAGCCACATTATAAATTTGATTGTAGATTGATCATTTTTTTGTTGTTCTCATATTGTGCCAAAGAGTTAAGGATATGTAAAAAGTAACATATGTACATTTGATTGTGGGGTTGGGATTCCACAGTAAGCAAAATGGTCTGGATCAGGGTGACATTTAATTATTAATTGATCGACACTTAATTAATCAATAGGTGTTTATAATATGGAGTGTCGTGATTCGACGACGTACCCGCATCTCCGAATGCTCTCCAACTGAGTGGCATTCAGCTTCTTCGGCTTTCCATACTTATCCTTGTGCAAGCTTTACAGAAATCGTCACAAAAGAGTATCAGACATCGCCCTTACAAATAGTATGAGAGAAAACGAGGTCATCCCGCGCTCATCGCTAACCGAAAGAATTGGCTTGTTCCATTTGGTATTAAAGAAATTGTACGACCGTCGGTGCTAGACACTATAGAGATCTAGAACCTGAAGGATAGATAGTATTAAAATAAAGAAAAAAAAAGTATAGAAAAAAAAAACAGGTTTCTCTTACAGTACTAGAAAAAACCGGATCACTAGGTACTAAGCTACCGCACGAGGATGATCTACGTATTAAATAAGCATCGTGGCCGTTACGTCTAGCTAACCAAAAATGAAATGTAGAAGATATATAATCGAGAAAGATGATACCCCAGATGTCTCTACCCGTCACGCGACACGTGGCAAAGCTCACCCTCGTTCCCTTATGCTTTCCAGTTGCTTATTAGTGAGCCTCCTAGGTTCGCCCTTACTATCCACGGCAACAGCATCGAGCTCATCGAAGCTGGGAGCAACGAACATGTCCCTGAGGTGATGCTTCTTCCTGGCCAGGGTGTCCTCGCCATCCGTGCACGTTGACAGAGGCGGCGGTAGGACAATTGGGAATGTTCTCCAGTGGTAGAGAAACTGCTGTGCGACTTCCTTGATATTGTGGACCAGTGACTCCACTTCCGCCGGTGCACCTCGTAGATGAGATGTGTCGAACTCCACCGGCTCCTTCTGAGGAGGTTAAAGAAAGATAAAATAAATTAACGTCAGCCTCTCTATCGTCATTCCTGATCTGCTCTAACGTCTCGCGCCGTGTATCTACACTTGGAACATAGGGTCGTAGGTCAATGTTACCTCGGGCTGGAGTCCATCCCCATTGATCCGATGATAAGGCTGAGATGGAGGATAGGGCTGATGGTTGGGGCCCGTGTTAGCGGAGTTGGCGGATGTGGAGTTCAGATTGTGGGGCATCTCGCGCGTGAAAAGAGTGCGCGGAGGCTGGGGTCAGCTGCCCCGGACTCCCACGATCTCCTCATACACCATGCTGCTGGTTGCTACCATTTGCCATAACCCTCTGTGAAGTCAAAGATACATATATACACACAATATAAGTATACGATTAAGCCAGCAGACAAAAGGGAGCGTTTGAAGTCGAGAACGCCTGTAAAGTCTATCCCATGGCTGTGAGACACTTCTAGAACGTTCCATGGCCTTTTTTTTTAACACGATACAAAACACCGTACATGGATATACACGTGGATACTATATCCAAGTAAAATAATAGAGCTATATAAATTAACGTAACAGTATCTCATCCGTATATTAATCGTACACGCTAACGATCGTAATTGCTAATATCCATTGTGCAGTAGCTAACGTAATGGCGTACGAGCAAATCGACCAGGGCAACATTATGCCTCATTATATTTACCTGCGACAGCGTGTGATATTGACTTTCAAAGGACTAATAGTAAATAGCCTCGACGAGGGATGTCGTTCCTGTACATGACAACGACCGATGGGTTATATACGTGCTTGTTATTTTTTCCTTACGACACTTTTAGGTTAGGCTACAGTGACGGTACACATAAACCGTAGGACGAAACACTCTACAAATTAATACTGAGGAGGTCGTACAGTCCGTACAGCAATGTCAGCTCAATGCGAGTCCCATTAGCCGATTATATCCCATTAAACGATTAACATTCTGGGCATTCCGTTCTTTGCGTGATGCTGCAACGCGTCAACTGACATGACAGACGACAACGCTCGGATATAACGATGGCGGAAATATCGTCGATTTTCATTTGACATTTTCTTTCTTTTTATGAGGGGATATATTATATATACTTTTTTTTTGTATTATGGCTTCGTGACGATTCTTGAATTCTTTTTTAATTTTTCTTACTGTCTTTTCACCGTGTCTTCCTTCCTTTCTCTGTTGCGAGGCCCTGACTACGTTAAACCGGAAGGGTGCATTGTCCTCGGGTACAACCACGAGAAATACGAGAAGCGACACTTTATTCCGCTTCCCGGTTAAGACACGAGATATTACAATTAACGAGACGGTTTGTATCTCGCATATCCCATTACGTATTTCAGTGGACAGTATTGCGAGCTCCGATACAATGAAATCTTTCGTGTATTTTTGTAAGACGGTAAGATTTGTATTTACCGGTAAAATGTGATAAGAAAAATAAAAAAAGAGTGATCATGAAATATCCTACAGTGTCCTGCCGTATCAGCGCGTTCTCACGAGATTTAGATAAATACTAAAAGAACGTATAGGATAAGCCAGCTCATTGTGACGGTTCGCTCGGGCGACATCTTAAGCGTCGATCTCCTAACCGGAAGTGGCCTTTATCTATCATGAAAATCCGTCCCGCTATCGCCAGATGATCCTTGGATCAAGTCGTTAATCGTTTTCCGATACTGTACTAGGTGGAGATATAACGGATGAGCAAAGGGAAGCAGAAACGCCAGACAAAAAGGGGACTAACCTAAAAGGTTAGGTTTCAGGGAAATGTCACTGGTGGTATTATAAATACCCTTTTAAAAAATGTCCTATTGTAAATGCTCTTTCTCGCCAAAGTTAAATCAATAGAAATCAATGAAAAACCCCATTTATCACCCCTGGCAAAATGGCATTGGCGACTAAACATTTTCCTAGGGGTAGGCCAACTGTTACAAATGATGGGTTCTTACTGTTTGCAAAATCGTTTCTGAATCCAAAAAAAAAACAAGTATTTATTTTAACCACAAATCAAACAGAGTATATCAAGGGTTCATGGAGAAATGTTTAAAAAGAAAATATAAAGAATATGACTCGACCTCGGACTCCCAAGAAAAGGAGTCGTCTGCTTGAATTCCTCGGGGAGAACAATAATCCTACTTGGCAAAATATCAAATTCTCAATCTGACCGCGACGAATTCTCACAAGAAAAACAATCTGGCAAGTATTACACGTTACTTACCAGAGAGACTAATAAAAATTTAACGGATTCTCAGTCGAGAGTGTACAATCGAGAAATGTTCTGTCTGACAGATAGATATGGCGAAACGGTAGGGCACGTAAAACTTCACCGAAGTCATACCAAGTTAAATAATGCGTGACGGTTGAGCGAAGTGAAAGGCGTTGATGCAAGGGAAAGAAGAGAATGAAGTGGGATTAGAAAATGGTCCCTGAAGTTGGCTACACTGTTGGGAACGAAGAGCAGCTACATACTCATAACTTGCCACCGTTCTAAGGAATTCTCGACTCGTTGAATCCCCCAGCTGGAAGTAATCGAAATTCCGAGCCGGGAGACCTTAAAAGGGTCTGGGGGACCCTCTTGGCAACGTAAAGTACATAGCGTACGGGTATATGTATACATATACACTCTACGTCGATACTCTTTTGAGTCAATATATTCAGAAAGGTAGTCCTACCGTTTACCCTTCAAATATAATACAGAAGGTCCTTCCGAAAGGACACAAGCTATGAGATACACCTTAAAGGACTCAGGTGGACCTTTGACCTTTTATACCTAGCAAGTAAAATCTGCCCAAAGCTCAGACAAAAGTGAAATCATAATATAACGCGATAACTGCCACTAAACAATTCCTAATCCAACTACCAGAGTTTCTAATTATTCAGACTCTACGATCAAAGGTCGCAATTACTCTGTAGATAGCAGTGATAAGAAATTGCTTATACAGAGTGTCAATTAGAAAATTGAGCCAGTACGATTAATGAGTTAGTAAATGCAGAGTGGAAAGTTGAAATAGGTTCTTGTATTCCAAGAGGATATTGGCCGTCGAATAGAAACGGAAGTCAGCGAAGCGTCTATCAATTTCAGTGATAATAATTAGACGTTTTGTTCTCGTTAATGAACTGTTGTCAAGGTAGCTTTATCGTCATACCGAGACGTCCACAGGGAACGAGCTACTCTAGGTCCCCGAAAGCCCATCGGGTAACCCGGGGCAGACACACTATAGGTTGCTGAGCTAGCATGGAGACGTACCCTTATTAAAATCAGCATGGATGGTTTAATCGATGATTCGTATAGTCTGATATTATAGTATCTATGTATAAAAGCCGGTATTCCATTAACAAGCGGAAGTGCGCCTCGTTATGCTCGTCTAGTGAGTCTCTATGGTTCTCTGGCAGCTGATAATCCTAATTTTCGCTGAGGAGCGCAGACTATCGATTGACGGTTACGATTTCGTAAAATCCAAAGGGTCTGAACTTCTTCTATCCCAGGTAAGTAATACGTCACAGATTCGTTAGGGATCCTGAAAGAAAGTTATAGGGTGACAAAAAATTATACAATGAAAGCAATTACTGTTTAAAGGATAATCAATAGGGTCCAACCTTATAAATTCCCACTAGTTACACGTACAGTGTTCAAAAGTGCCTGCTGAAGGTTAGGCTGGCCTTAAAGCTCTTTGGAGATGCAGCACGACAAACGATAACAATCAATGGGAGCTAGCAGATAACCTGCAGCCTCTCGTACTTGGAGCGGACACACTCGGAAGTGGCATGAACAAAATTTCCTGATAGCATCCGCAAGGATTTGTAGGTTGGCCGGACAGGAAGTGGTGAATGATTGATAGCAGCATCGAGGAGTGTTATGAATGTTCTGTGATACTCGTAAAGCACGCGAGGACTGTAAATAGAAGAGAATTATTAACATTGGAATGTCGATAAAATTAAAATACATTTTTTTTATATGGTTAAAATTTTGTGTGTGTGTGTTTTTCATCAAATTATTAAATCTACCAACAGTCGTTGATCGACTCTCTCAACGCGTCCTGAAATTACACGACGGACAAAGAGAATCTTAGTACAATATTTTTTAGTAGGATCAATCGAATGCAGAGGGCAGCAGCGTCTATTGAATTCTCGATAGCAGTGTCCCCACCCAAGGCAAAACTAACCGGAAAGGTTATATGAACGGTGAAAATAAGCGATGCTAATAAAGAGAATTATCAAAGGATCAAAGTGTTGACGAATAGCGCGCCGTTGACGATGTTATACGAAACGGCAAAGTGAAACGTAAAATCAGATATAGCATTTGGAAAATCTGACACGACTGGGTTGGCAAAAGAGGAGCGCCGACTTTTGACCCAGTTGGAACTCTCGCAAGCTCTCCTAACCTTAAAACGCTGCTATTCCAGGCCAGGTTATATATCTGTATAACAAATGTTACCCAGGCGTATATATGCACGCATATACATCAGTATATACTAAGCTATATATCATACTGTGCAGAGGACAGTACCCAAGCCCAGTCGATTCGTAGCTGCCCCGCCTACGTTAGCGATTTAAGCTACACTATTTCGACTCACGTTAATCCCATTAATTAACCACAAGCTTGAATTCTTCGTTAAAGAAGATTAAGATTTGCCAAAAACTTTAAGCCTCCGATTCAATTCCATTTATCTTGATCCTTTGAGCCGTGCTGTACTAACCGTACAATTTTTGGACCATTTTAAAAATAAATATGCAAACAATTCTTTTTATATTTTATTTAATAATCAAACCTAACCCAGTCTCACGACATAGACTCGTTGGCAGTTAACCGCTGTTACGTAGAGCATCAGGTAATAAATATGCAAGAAGAATGAATGCCGGGCATTCATTGATTTTATTCGACGAAAGCGGCTAGTGGCTCCTACGAGTACTGAGATCCGGTATGAGGTTCTTGTATTTATTTTAAAAGAAAAAAAAAATATTCTTCAACGTCAACTTCACAAAACTTCACTCGTATACGAGCGCGATGAATAAATCCGTTGTGATCGGTCGAGGATCGCTGATTTGCGATTGTCGCGACAAAAGCCGCGTTACGTAACGCAGTGCACAAACGCCGAAGGCACGGTAGGATATTTGAGCGAAGATTTAATTTCAAAGAGTTAATTACTTTCAGAGCCGCGTAGAACCGACGACCGTCGATGCGTTAAGGATCGTTTCCATTGGGATTACGTAATCGCGATAATTAAATCGATCGTACGCCCCAAGACGAGACACGTGGATCGAAGACGAATTTATGGAATACTCAACTCTCTTCGTTAATCGCTCTCGACTTACCGTGAATCGACGTCGCGCTTTAAGCACGAATTTCTTCAATGGATATTCCCCTTGTTCTCAATGAATTTTCGTAAACATCTTTTTACAAGGTACAAACGCCTACGCGTCTAACTGTAAGTAATCAATGCATAATTATTGATTCGCGTTCCATACGCAAGGATATTCTTCGTGGAATAATCATTAAATTAATATCAGAAATTATAGACAAGAGCATTGGTCGCGCTTTGAGAATCAGGGACGGGATGCCCGTACGTTGCATTTATATACGTACATATATATCTTGACGACGCCAGTTATGCGTTCTCGCGTTACCAAAGACCTCCCGCGTCGTTTCTCCCTCGTAACCTGAAAAGAGGAGAAATCCGAGTGCACAAGCAGAGCATATAAATTCGTACGACTCGACGTCGCCACGCATCACGTGTGAACGGACCTTCACGCGCACCCGTGCGAATACACCTCTAAGTACGCATTCTGTATATACATATACGTGGATAGTCCACATTGCGAAGAGACAGTCTTAAGTTAAAGACGGGACGAATAAAGGCGGTAACTACTATGCACGAAATTCATGGGGAAGGAAGTCCTGAGGGAATACAAAATTTTTGTAAAAATTAAAACAGACACCTGAAACTCGTCTGGTTCGCTGCGGTGCGCTGTGCTATTAAATTTTGTTCGCTTATCAAAAAACAAATTACCTCGCCTACGACAATCTTAAGTATCTACCTAAGGCAGACCGATCAGCTGATTCAAAGACACTCGATACCTCAAGCAGGCCGTAATGCAGGTCGGCAGGCATAATTATAAAGCAGTGCAACAGATATCTGGGTCAGACACAGTCAGACTATCGGGCGGATCTCGAGGCAGCGCAGTCCGACCAGCGCGAGATTAAAAAAGCTCCGTCGTGCACAGAAATGCTCTTCCCCCTTTCTCCGTGCAGCTTCCACGTAACGGATTTACGTGACGGTTTTGATCTGACATTCCTGTGCCCGCGACCCTCCCTTTATACCGAGAGCTTTCTCGCGAACGACCCTTTATGTCTTTTTTTAGCATCCCCATCCAGCTCATCGGTGTCCCCTGGACCGTGGACCAATCTTGTGAAAAAAAGGGACAGCAAGGACGCGAGTGATCTTTAAAGAAAGATGCGAGAGGAAGATGAGAAAAAAGGCGAAAGTTAATAACACCATTAAAATTTTGACAGTGAATGATGGGGCGGGGGGGGGGGGATAAGATATAGATCAAAGGTAAAAATAAAAAATACGATTTTTTCGTAAACCCACATCGATATTTGTCTTTCGAAATCGTTTGAAACTAAAAACAAAAGCACTTGCGACCCTTCGTACGTTAATTTTTTTATCTTATCATCTTCGCCGAGAGCTTTTGACACGTTATCTGTGACGTCACCGGGAGGTCACGAATTGGACAAAAGTGTTGGTCGAGTAAAGTTTACCCTGCGGCTTTTTTTTTTCGCGTTCGGAAACGTCACCCCCGACCCTGTCGTATAAATTGACACAGCTGCGGTAACGCTGTCTCCGTCGCGCGCACTATATGTATATGCTGCGAAGAGTGAGAGAGAAAATACGATGGGTTTGGTATAATAGTGAATTTCAATATTGAAAAATATATATATATACTTCACGTATAATAACTAAAATCACTTGTTGCTCCAGTACCTTGATTTAATGACAATTCAATCAGCGATCAACATGACACCTGTCGAACTTGACTGCCGGTTATTTATTCTTAAAAGATCTGTACGCCACGTACATGAGTTTCTGCCTAGGCCAATCTCCCCCCAATTTCATTTCCTTTTCGGGCTGCTCGCGGCTCGTAATAACTAGAGCGAAACGTGTTCGAGAGTGACGTGGGGAGACATAACGTCGTGATACCCCAACAATATCAAGCCTCGATGTACTAGCAGGTATAGGTTTCGGAATAAGGGTAGGAAAAAGGGGGGTGGTGGGACGTCGATGGGACTGGAAGAGGAAGCGAAGACGAAGGGTGGTACTACGAGTAGGTGCACAGAATACCAAGTACCCCTCTCGTGGTCTGATAACTTTTTTTTACCCCCGTAGACCAATCGCGACAACCCTTGAGGGTTGGATCGTCTAAAAAAGAAAGATGGCGACTGAAGTTCGCGAATAATTTGACAAATTTCGATTTGGCCAAGTATTACAAAATATTGTGCTCTCGTGACCTCCTGTCATCTAGGGTTGCCCAAGTTACGTAAATACATATGGCGGGGGGAGAGGGGGGGGATGAAATTCTTTTTTTTTTTTCAAAAAATTTTTTTAAGGCTACCTTTGCCCAAGATTCGTTCTATCTGAAAGATATGTCTTGCGACTGTCTGGAGTTCATGAGGAACAAAGGTCAGAGGTCACCTGATACCATCGAAAAGGATCAAGAAAAAATATAGTACGTGAGGTCGCGTTGACTTTTTTTTCTCCCTAAACGAAATTCTACCCTTATATGCTCGGGGACCTTCGGACCATCATTGTCATATGATTTATCTTGTCGAGGATGGCTGCAGGGGAGGAAGATAATTTTTTTTGTCAGTCCACGAAATCTTCCTCGGGAAATGTGAATAGGAGAATAATGACGTCACTCGGAAGAGGGAAGAGACGAGTAACAAGAGTCGATAAGGAAGGAAAAAAAAGAGTCCGAAAATCATTGTCGGATAAAGTCTGGTCCAGAAGCTGCAAAGTTACGTACGATCGAGAAATGGTGGTCCTGATCGATTTTTTCTTAACGAATGAAAAAAATTTAATTTCCACTCTGGAAAGATGAAGCCGAATTCACAATGTCGTTTCTATGCAACGAACAAGCGCCCGGGCGTGTATGGCAAGTACGCACGTACGTTCATGAAAGGATTGACGTGGGCGTCGAAACGAGATACTCATCCAGCCTCCTGCTCTCCATTCTATTCCCTGTATCCCTCTCAGTCAGATCTCGCCTGTCCCTCGGTAGCAACGCCGTTACGTTCTTAACCGACACTTGTCCCGTCTGTGATACGTTTTCATCTCGCCTACGTATACGTATGGTCGTCTCACGTGTGAAAGGGTAACGTAACCACGTGACGAGGAACAATACAACCCCCGTGACAAGAGACTAGGGTGAAACTGCAAGCCCGAATTAATAGCAGAGGCAGCCAAGTTGGAAGAGAAAATAACTTCGAGAATGTAAAGAAGAAAAAAAATATAGTACGAATCTTATTTTATTTTTTTTTATTTTTATTTTTTTCAAAAACAGGTAATACGAATAAAAGCCAGGTGCTCTTTATTGGCGCGCTATATAGTGCGATAAGAGGAACTAGCTCGATGACGTCAAAGAGAGAGAGAGAGAGAGAGAGAGAGAGAGAGAGAGAGAGAGAGAACACGTTTTAATAGTACGAAAAGATCCCAAACGCCAATTAATTCTGGGCGGGAAATTCAAATGAGGTTGTCACGACGAAATTGATGGAAATGCATGTAAATTACTCGTAATAATGCAGCGCGATAACTGATACAGTGAAGGGACCGATGGGGAGGGCGGGGGAGCAGTCTTATCACAATACGTCTCGGAACGAATAAATTCAAACGAAACGTAAAACGAATACAGTGAATATTTTTCTATGATTTGGATAATGTAAATTGTCAATAAAGAATGTATATATTGTTATTATTGTTACGTGACTAATTGTAAGTGATACATCAGGTTCTGGTTATAGTTAGCCGTGCACGTATTACCCTGTCAGCACTTGAATACGTTTTCGCAGTTAAGCGATGCCGAGTTCGAACGACCCGACAGTGATATCAATAAAATGCCTAGATACCAAGTCGCCGTCTAGTCTCGGCTCCTCGACCTGTATTTTAATCCACTCCCGATCCGCCGTCATCCAAACGCATTACCGCAAGTAACAGGGCAAAGCACTGTAAGAGCGATAAACGCCGCCATCTTGACATCCAAAGAAGAATAAAACAGGAAATGGCGCAGCTTAGCGATTTAATGCCAAAGGAAAAAGAAAAAAAAAGCCCCGATTCAAAATGGACGTCACTGTCATTCCTTGTCCAGTGGTATGTATGTACACGTGTCGAAGAAAAAGTCTAACCTAAACGAGCAAATTATTCAGAACACACTTTTCTCCTTCCACACGTCCTAGAGTATACTCTGTAGCTTGTTAAAAATTTTCTTTTCTTTTACCTTCGCTTATTTTTTTTTCACGCCCTTCCAACGTCACACGTAATTGCAGCTACAGGACTAACAGGCACGGGAGAGACTCGCGTCCACGTAATATTCCACGTGCAACCGGTACAGATCGATTGAAAATTTTTTTTTTCCTTCAAGTCCAATTCACGTGGGTCACGACTACTGTACGATTTGACGAGACACAAAGGACGACGCAGATCCTGCCGAGAGTCGGAAACGACGATTTTCACGGCTTTATGGATTTATTCACGTAGAATTCACCGAATTAAAGGCACCCATTGAAATTTACATGTTATCCCTGTCCTGTATACAGCTATACACGTATAATACCTACAACGATAACAACATACCGCGATTCTATCTATATTCCTCGTGTGGCCCAACCTTTCCGTATTATCGATCTGTTCCTGAAGTTTGTATACGACATAAATTACCCCGTGTGTACTTTGACCGTGCGACACTATCGCCTGGATGGTAAATGAGAATTTCGAGTATGCGGACTCTCGATTTTATTTCGAATTTCAAAGGATGAGCGGAGGCCGAAGAAGCTTCTAGAACTTTCCACGCGAATAATTGCACCAGTTGGAATTGCAATGAGACGCGTTTGAAATAACTTCCATAACCATCTAACCTGGCTGTACGTTAAGGTATCCAGAAACAAGCCTAACCCCGGCACTTGGCTCTCTCGAAGCACAAAGCCAATAGGACCAAGAAGAAGAAAGTTCCCGCTAACCCAATCCCTTATACACTGGGGTGAATGTGGAACATTGCCAAGATGACGCGAGGCCAGGAAGCTTCTGTTAGGAATACGTATCGTCAATATATTATTTTTCCATCCTCCACGTGCTTCGCCCCCAGGATCCTGAAAGCCAAGGGGCTGACGTCTATACGTGGTAGATGCTCATGACCTTGATACAAATCGTAATAAAATTCGATATATTGGTGATAAGAAGATAAAAATAATTAAGGGCCTTAAGTCGAGTTCACAAGAAACGTAGAATATAATTATTACTAACTGTAATATCGATAAATTATTTTTCACGATTTCATTTGCGGTTACCCGTGCATAATGTTGTACGTGTACCTCGTTAACGTTACGTCTTATTGAATTGAGCTCGAGGGGCTGTCGTAAATTTTAGAGAAAATTGTGAGAAATTGCAGCTGCGCCCGTTACGAGAGCGCCTCTTAAAGCCTTGCAAATCCTGAAGCCAATAAAGTCTTTTTCACTGACGAATCTTACCAGCGACGGGCACGGTCTGTCGTATGAAGTCGCAACTGCAATTCCAACTGATCCCTTACCATGCCATAGATATAGAACTTTGACTCATGGAAAATTGCAAAGGCCTGCTTGTCTATGCATACATGTCTGCATAGGACGCAGTTGCGTGTATGTTATATAGAGAGGACGAAAAACGCGTGTAAAAAATTTCACGCAGTATGAATGCCGAATGCATCTGAAAGGTGCAGCTGCATGCACGATGAATGCATGCATACAGAATCAGGGATAGACAGGTGCGTAGGTTGACATTTGACTAATGAATTTTTTTTATTTATCAAAATGTATACAGCACGGCGGATAGTTATTAGCGTGAAGAAAAAAATTGCACAGCTGTGACGAAAAATGATTGCATGTGCATGTATATCCCACAGTAGGATGTAACACAGTGGATATGTCCAGTGGGACGGGTGACGTGTGTGCGATACGAAAGTACAGCTTGGGAGGGAGTCGCGAGAGATTTTCTGATGGAAAAAAGGGGGCAGGGAGGGATCGTGTGCATCTGCAGCAACTGGTAAACAGGTGCAGGAATACATTGACCAAAAACTTCGTTCGTTATGCAACCTCTAATCAGGAAAAAAAAAAAAATAAAGAAATATGGGAATTGAAAACAAACAAGCAATTTTGCTTGTATGAAGGAATTACGACAAGATGAGCTTTCGTGGTTGATCGTTGGCAGATAGATGAAGATGCAAGGAAAGAAAGGAAAAGGAAAATAAAAGAAAAACCAATATCAGGAAAAATAAGAGACAAATTCCGTTCTAGCGCAATACGAGAGATCTCTCTAGTAATTGCGAAAGAAATTCCAAAGGGCCTCTTCGGAATGCAAAACCTCCTGGGGATGTTTCCGCGTGGCCGATTAGATGGGTGAATTTTTAGAATACAATTTTCACGTACAATCGTACCTTGCTCTTGTTTCGTGCTGCGTTTTTAATATTTAGGATCGATGAGAAAAAAAATTCGTTTCCACAGCTGCGAAGAAATGCACTTGGGTATGTGAAACGTATATTTCCTGAGGTTGCAAAGAATTTTTCGAGTATCCTGAAAGACTTACTGCGCTATTAAAAAGTAACGACGAGCATGCGTGACACGAAAATCTTATGTGGAGGTCCGGAATGATAAACGTACCGGCATAAAGAAGAAGGAACTCATTCTAGTGCGAAGGCAAAAACTGTGTTACGAGAGTGTATAGTAGGATGCGCTCCAGGATCTTAAATTTTTTGCATCAACAGTGACAAATGTGAACAGTCCGAAAGCTTTAACGTTCGCTATGATTCTCTTGTCTGTGCATTGGATGTTCCGAGTGCCCGTCGATAACCGTTGGGATTTTGAGAGTCCGACCGAGTACAAACTTACAGGCGCGCCCGATAGGTCGACTGACTGCAGATTGTGCCTTTTCGGCCATTATACTCACTGTGGATATATATAGTGTGCAGCAGCGATTCCGTGCTCCAAATATTATGTACAGAGAATCAGACTCGTGAATGTCAGTCATCCAGCAAAGAATTAATGGAAAATAATGTATATGTACAGAGGCTGAAGTACTGAATATAAAAAAAGTTCCGCCATTTCGCTCGCTAACAGTACTACTGAAGTAAACTGAGCGACTGGTAATGGTGTACACTTGATATTTATGGGGCTGATTTGTTAAAGAATAAGTAACAGGAGCTGAGAAAGAATGGCATTTATGTGTATTGGGATTTTAAAAACTCTCAGTCGTTAACCACGTGACATTTTCAAGTCCGCTGAACAAGTTTGACTGTTTTTTGCTGGTAACGCCTGCACTTTCGTTCAATTAAGAAATTAAAAGAGGGTCCCCCTCGCTATAATCGTAAGCCGTGCGACGAGGCTGAATCAACTAAAAAGAAAGAGGTAGAAATGGAATGTACTGTAGTGTTTATCTATAGTCTAACATTGTAATGTACGGTTTAATCCGTAGACTGAAAATAAATGCGTAGGAAAAAATCTTAGTCATCGACAATAACAGGTCGAATACTATTTTATGACGCTTCACTATTGAATACACTGAGGCTGGGATTCCTGGTAGTAGAATTTGGCGCATGTATTTGTCTATCAGCATCGAAAGGATAACGAACAAGTTAAATAAACGAGGATTCTCTGGAGTACGCTAAAGCAACGTATAAATATCGACGGCATCTATCCAAGACTCGTTACGGTCCTCGAATATCGACGAGACATTCCTAGAAGTTTTCTACGCCGCTTACATATCGAGAATAGGTTAGGTTAGGTTACGCACGTAGAAAAAAAAAGGATGAAGCCCGTGTGTTTTTCCACGTAAGGACTACTAACGAGCCGTGGAAAATTCTTACGAAACGTCCTAGTTGTTGCGACAATGCCGAAGAAAATTTGTGTTAGGAAACAACTAGGAAAAAGATAGAGAAGTAACAAACGTAAGAGCTAGAGAGCCATAAGGATCTGTTTGACAGCAGTTGTTTTATCTTTTCGTCGCCAGGAGCCCCGGGACAAACTTTAATAACGTTCGGGACTAAAGAAATTCACGGAGAAACCTTTTAGTACGAAGGCGGGAGAAGATTGAATTGGATTCTTAACAAACTACAAACACGCGACCCGAGGTCTACTACGTGCGAGTTTGCGAGGTGCTTTGAGAAAAGGAACAACTGACTGAGGAATATGGTGAAAGAAAAAAAATGGATGTGCAGCTAAAAACGCATAAACCTTTTTCACTGAAATCAATAGAAATATATATTATACGCTCTATAAGATTTTCGTCCTCTAGCAGTCATCCATCTGAAGCGAAATGGATTTTCAATATCACAGATACTTAAAGGATAGATAAGCTCCAGGCACTCTAAAACCAATGACTCTCAATTTCAGTAACCTGGGACAAACTAATCTTCCTCTTGTCACCGGTCGACACAAATCGTCACCTGCGGAACCTTGGAAACTGCAAAATCCAGGCTTCCGCTAAAGAGTTGAACCGACGTCGAGGGCAAATCTAATTAATACCAGTGTCACTGGACCGAGTCACCACCCAGGAATCTATAGTCACACAACCTTGACATTGTGCACAGGAAGTTTTTATTTGACAGATGAGAAATAACACTAAACTGTTAAACAGAAATTGCTGGGGATACGCGCCAAATTGTTTCTAGGTCATTCGGCGCCGTCAGGACGAGCACCAACTTACAGCTGATCCTTTGCAGTTTCCTCTTTTTTTTTGATGCTCCAATCTCTAAGACTCTTCCTCATGTATATTGCTTCGCTTTTCTATACTGCATATGTACTTATTGATCTAATTTTAATGAATAATTCATAGCTATCGACACTTACCGATATTAATCACTGACAATTAAGTTTTTCACTCGCGAACGGTACTGTATCCACAACGCGACACGGACACACCACGCTAAAACAGCCCCCGTGAACGACTGATTTTTATCGAACTGGCCGCGGCTGCGAGATGTCTCGAAATGCGGACCGCCATGAGACGACAGCGCCACCGTGGATTGTTCGGCAGTTACTTCCGACATATTTAAATGGTTTTCAAATGAAAGAAACAACATATGTAAATATTATTATATTTTTAACTAATCAGTCATCAGTCAGGGATACAGTGGATAAATGTAAAATATGATCATAAAATGAACACGTAGCTATTAACGCAAGATTCTTACTACTATCAGGAGAGAACTCTTCGCTGGTTGAAAAGGACCAGTCGCAACCATAGGAAATATTTTTGTGCTCCATGTACTGAGCTATGATCACTGGATTGCTGGACTGTTGACAATTTATTATTTTAAAACCGTCGTACATACAGGCTGCTAAGAGATAATCTTTAAAGAATGGATCCCATTTCAATCGCCATATTCCACCTCCTAGATTAAGTTCTGATAACGGTCTTGCAATATTTCTTGTGTCCCAAAGCCGTAGAGTTTCATCATAGCTGAAAATATTAATAATACTTGTAATATTCTATAATTATATATAAATTATACTACACATACCTTCCAGAAGCTAAGGAAAATTCCTTAGAAGAATTACAATGAAGACTTGTTACTCCAGTATGATGACTTCTGTTTATGGAAACTGGCTTAGGACTCATTCTCAGATCAAAACGCAAAAATGTACTATCATCTCCACCTGTAATATTCGCCATGAAAACAAAATCAAACATTATTTACATCAAATGGCTTTATATTTCGTACCAGTGTATACTATATTAGTATCCCAATAGTCGAACGCAGCGATCCACGCTTCAAATTCGTGTGCGTTCCAAGAAATAGTTTTCTCCAATTCCTCAGTTTCATTCAGCTGAAGAATATTAAACTTTCCTTCTGAATCGCTTACGACGATGCTCGCATGTGTATTATCATTACTTTTGCATCTTCCTGTCGACCAGTCTAAAGACAAGGCCAAGAGCCCTGGAATATTACCATCTAAATGTGACTTTGAAGTTAAATGTAACTTCGGTTCCCTTTCTTCCAACAATTGATAAATTTCTATAGATGCATCAGCACTCACAACACCTAGTAATATTTTTCCATTCAGCCTAACATGGGCCCACTTCATATCTAATACAGCTGCTACATGTGCTTTCTTCATTATTCTCAATAATTTCTTCTCGATCACTTGAAACAGATAAATCTGCCCAAGACGCTCTGGCACTTTTTCACCTGTTGCAGCCGTCTGTAAATCTTCTTGAGCCAAGTGATATGTGCCACAGACAAATAAATTCCGATAGGGTTCTATGGGGCACCATTCCACGGAATCAGCTGGGAATTGAGTATCAAATGTATCAAGCGTTGTGAAGCTCTCTGACGTCATAATTCTGTAACAAAAAAATTTGTTTCTATAAAGAATTATCTTCCAGAGAAACACTATATTTATATTTCAATCTAAAGTACAGCTTATGTGATCGTTCTATGTGTCATTTGAAAGGTTTATTGAGTTTCTACATTAAGACAGAAAGTCGAATAAAAATACCTTTATTAAAACTATGAACGACAGAATAAGTTAACAGATCATCGTGATTACTTTTATCACTAGCATAATAATTCAATGGTATTGGTCATAAAAAATATTTCAGTACATGGGCTACATTCTTCTATAAAGTTTTATGCTAAGCTGTATAATATATGTATGTTAATATATGCTTTCTCGATGAGTGTATTAGATTAAACTTCACAAGCTTACAGCTAAGATACGAATGTTTCATTACAACCATGTAAGTCCTGTAATCATTGGTAAGATATCACCTGGAAAAACCAGGAAGGGATACCCTGAGCAAACTACTAACTGTACTATCTATCTAGGAACGCGTCGGCAGTGTCTGTTTTATTACATATGCCTTTTTTTTCATTGATTTTAAATTAGAATACACAGATTTGAAAAAAAAATCAGAATTACTTTACGTCCTACTATTTCATGATGGTTCTATTTATCCTCTTATTTATGTTTCACAGATATATTAATTATTTTATTATTATAGGAAGAGATGATTTGTACTTTTTAATGTAATAGTTAAGGCTAAATGCAATTCGTGAAACGAAATGCTGAATCTTATTTGTTTTTACTTAATCTGCCTAGTTTTATTTATTGGTTTGTTGTTTATCTCAATGGCGTATGTTGTACTTGTTATTGGTGGCAATACGATAAGGTTCTATGAGAATCATTTTGTAAATTGTACTTGAACTTCGTAGAACTTATTACCGAAAATAAATTAGGTATCCAATACTGATTATTATGAGCAACGCCTTCTATTTGGCAGTGAAGAAAAATATTTGAACTTGTTAGTAATAATTTATCTTAGGCTATATTAAATTAAAACGTTTTTTGTAAATATCATAAAAATATCAATCAATGTGTGTGACTGCCTGAATGAACGTGACATTCACAGACAAACCATCAATACTTTTAAATGCCATTTAAATAAAACGAGCTTTTTGTCTTAAATACTTAAGATCTAAATTTGCTTTCATCAGTCATTGCTACTATTGAAATTATTCTATTGTTCTGCTTTCTAAGTTAACAATGGTTTATCTTCCCATGAAATGTGAGGTAGACAGATTCTTCTTCTTTCCCTTGTCTTCAGTTCATAATATTCTGAATTTTGTTACTAGTTAAGTAAAAGTCTTGTAATTGGTGTTTTGTGACACTTCCAGTATATGCTACTTAAAAATTATTACTATTCTTGGCCTTGTATAGTTAATGCGAATGATATAAGTTTGGAATTAAAAGTACTTGCAAGAAGCACTTATAATGCATGTAGTAAATCAAAACTATTGTAGTCTATTTCAGACATTATGAACATTGATATAGCCATTCTCCGACATCAGTATTTCACAGGGAGTCTTCTATTTCAAGTAATATTATGACTCCTTCAAATAGCACTGATGTAGAACATTGACTACAGGTCAGCATAATCTAAAATTTTGGTTATAGCTTAGATTCAATAAAGCATAATGATATTTCATTGGCGTGCACTCCTTTCTGTCTCAACAAGACACTCTCTGACTAGTATACGTGCATGAACAATGCCACGTTTTATACGTTCAGCAGAACTGCGGCTGCCTGCATAAGTTGGTCGAATATCACGTCCAAGTTCTTCTATGACAGTGAGGAGTTGAGCATACTTGGACTGTCCAGGTATGGTAGGAACTGTGACTTGTGCAACTGTTTGTTGAAAGGCTCTGGGATTTGGAACAGTTATTACAGGTTCCGTGATCTTCGCTGGACCTTCACTGCTTCCACGTTCATCCTCCATCTTCAAATTTTATAAATAATCCTAACAAAGAATCAAGATATGAAAGGTATCATTGTAAAGAAGTTGTTAAAACCAAGCTAGACAATCACTTCTGGAATCAATGAGCGTGCTCAGTTGTCTGTATCCGCAACATTTGATATGGTAATGACACTGGTATAATACAACAACACAAAAAGGTGATTATAAAAGTATTGAACTGTGAATGTATTATTTTGCAATTAAGCTTCTGTTAAAGGTTAACGTTAATAAGGTTAGTCAATACATTCTATTAAAATACATTTGTTACAGAACAACAAAACTTACTTCCAAAAAGCTAACCTAAAATATTACTATTTATATTCACACTAGAAAAATCATTCCAATACAGTATTTCTGGAAATGTTGAAAACACAGAATTGCGTACCTGAAAATGGAGAATGGATATCACGTTTTGCAATTTTTCTTAATAAATAAAGGAGAAATAAATAAAAACAAACTTATCACGGCACAACACACGACTACGACGCGCAGGCAACGCAATACACACACAGTAACACAAAAAGACCAAACAAGAAGTACCGGCTACTTAGTTTGTGGCTGCGTTTACTTTTTTTTTATATCCTTTCTTATAATTTCTTTGCGTTACAACACAAATCTAATATTAAAATAAAATAATAAAGTTGAATGCCAGGTTAATTTATAACGTAATAAAAAAATACCAGGTACATTAGAAAATGGTACTTTATTATTTAGCAATATCTTATATGTATAATCCTATATGCAATAATATAGGTACACATTGCGTTTGATCAAATTTCGCCATACGTATACGTAATAATAAACGTGAATATTAGGTATTCGTTAAATAAAACAAACAGATATCATTCCCTCTTCAATAAAGTACAAAGAAAAATACATGACCTCAATAGGTATGTAACTGGTTAATACATTCTCTCCGCAATAGGTACATTCACCTTAGTCGCAAAACACTAAACAATACTTCAATTACTCAAAGATCTGGGAGTGTTCGACGACCGAGAAGACGTACTGATACAATAAACGATAAACGAAACCCCAATAACACATATCACAAAGGGAAACCGAAGGAAATTAATTTCCAATTCTACAAGCATAAAGTTCATTTAACATTATTACATTTATAATAAATGTACCGGTCTCATCAGTATAAATGCACGATTCCTTTCTATATAGTTTTATCAGCCGTTTAGGCTTTGGCTAAGAAAATGAACAATTCAAAATGAAAAAGCTGTACCAGCTACAATAATCTTACTTTGGCTTTATCAAACCCTCTTGAAATTCATTACAAAATACAATAGATATACTATGGTACCTCATAACATTTCAATCATAATTCTCTACGACAGCGTAAAACTCGATTGAATCGTTATTTGCACGCTATAACCACTATTTACTATGTTTTGGGATACATATGCATATACGTGGCTGTATATGTATATATATATATATGATTGTTTAATGGTTCCTACGGATGCCGAAACACTCCCGTGTAAAATATACGACTGTACTCGATACATTGTGGATAGCATAATTATGTAAAATAATCTTCTAGAAACCTAGAGACTAAGAATATCGGCAGATCATTGTCGTGCATTATGCTCAGTTTCTAGAAGACATTCTCGTACGAGGATTCTGGCGTGTTGAATTCCCATTTTTAGGCGTTCAGCTGCACTACGGCTACCTGCATACGAAAGGCGAATATCCCTACCGAGTTCCTCGATGATAACAAGTAGCTGGGCGTATTTTCCCTGACCAGGAACAGTAGGGAAGTTTATGGTGCTGGATGGACTAGCTTGGGCTACTTGAACTGTTTGCACGTTTTGAAGATTTCGTGGATTTGGCACGGTAATGACGGGTTCAGGTATTCGGGAGATTTCGGGTACTTTTGGAGCTGGTGGATCATTCAATTTTGTAATAGTAATTTCATTGAGTTTAGCTAATTCCGTAAGTTTAGCCATTTCGGCCATTTTTGAATACTCCGGCATCTTTGTTATGTCGTTTTGCATATTCGCCATTTTGATCATCTCGTTCATTTTGCTCTTCTCATTCATCTTTGCTATCTCTTTAGCCATCTCGTTTATCTGCGCTATCTCGTTGAGCTTTGTTATATCATTGTTGTACTTCGCCATCTCAGTCATCTTAACCATCTCGTTAAGTTTGGCTATCTCGTTCATACGTTGTACTTCATTTATTTTAGCCATCTGTGACATCTTCATCATCTCGTTCATCTTTGCTATCTCATTCATCTTTTTGATGTCGTTGTACTTAGCCATCTCCGAGAATTTAACTATCTCATTCATCTTGGCAAGTTCTGACATCTTAGCTATTTCCTGCATTTTCATGTACTCCGTTGTCTTTGCATATTCAGCCATTTTTTCCATCTCATAACGTTTTGCCATGTCCTGGGACATTTTGTTTAAGTCAGTCATTTTACTGAACTCAGCAAATTGCGCCATTTGCACTATGTGCTCTGGGACTTTACCACGTTCCATCATTTGCTTCAATTCTGCAGATATCTTGTTCATATTCATCTCAGACATTTGGGCTATTGTTGCTGCATCTGGCATCTTTGAAAATTCTGCTATCTTTGATATCTCACGTGCTAGATTCTCGTCCAGACAACGCTTCTTCTTGGCACGATGACGAGCCATCCTCTGGGCTTCTTGCATTCTACGCATTGCTGCCTGCTCCTCTGTTTCCTTTGCCCTGGCGTTCTTCATCCTCTCAGCCGCCGTATACAATCTTATAGCACGTTCCTCTGCTGTTTCTGACATTAGTCTTTGTCGTCTATATTCACGCATTTCCCTTACCTTTGTGAGGTAAGATTTCTTCTTGGCTTTGGGCATAACACGGTATTATGCGTGGTGCCAAAACAATCATCTACAATGAGTCGCATCTTTATAAAATTCAAATAAAAGTGTTCTTAATAAATTCTTTGCTGGGCATACGCTTCCAGCTATTCCTGGTCCCTCTCAGCTTCGCACACTACAATCTCTTGCTATATCCTGGTTAAGCAATTCCAGTGTTACAAGATATAGTCCTATCTTACAAAAGGCACCTAATAATAGATTCAGGTATACTCCTTGCTATCTGAAACAGAAAAACATCATGCAAATAATAAAAATATTCTCCTCCCCATTACATTTATTAAATAGAAAGTCACAATTGGTCATCGAACACTACATTTTAAATATATACTAATATTTCACTAAATTGACTTATCAGCAACGAATTTTGACACTGAATACCTGTAACTCAGTTAATATTTCCCTAAAATACTTAATAGCCAATTAAATATTTCTCAACGAGGCTTTTGCGTATGATTTTCAAATTTTCTTAAAATTTGAATAAGGAGCCTCGTGACAACTTCCACCACGCATGCGCGTCAAATTAAGAACGCCGTCTTCTCTGCAACGTTCACCAATCACAACAATGGCGGACGCAATTCGGTCAATCCGCTGAAACTTACAATCAACCCTTGAGGACGTTAAATCGGTCGACGAACTGGTCTCATTTCACATCCGTATCTTCCTGGTACTCGGCCGATTACGGCGACGTCACTCTCTATAAAAACAAGCCGGGGTTTCTCAAGATATCTCGCAGACAAACGCACAAAAGCAATATCGGCCGACATGTAAGATTTTCGTTCGGAGCCACTTTAAGGGGCCAAGCGAGGTCGCCGATAGGCTGCGTGTGATGTGGTTGCGTTTATTGACCATAACCCCTTCCTATTCCTGTCTGCAACTTCATGGCAGACAGGTGTACGTATACAGACGACGTGATAAACTATTGACCACCTTGTTTTTATATGGTAATTTTAAATGGGTACACGAAAATCAACTGTACTTTAAAAGAATGAGTATATCACATTGAACCCATCTTCTTAAGACACCCTTCTTTTACTCCCACCTTACGTCCAACGGGCATATGTACGGCGCCGTGGAATTATTGACCCATATTCGATTCAAAAATTTAGAATGGAACCTTCTATCTTTCATGGAACGATGCTTCTTATAGATCTTTATACTTTATTTTTATTTTTTCCAATCGACAAGCACGCCACGCAACTCTTTGATGCATAACTGTTTTTCTTGTGAAACGTGACTTGCACTGATGAATTTAATCTTAATAAAATCTAATATATTTTAGGAATTTATTGAATTGTCCCATACAGTTTTGTGGTGTTGATGCAATAACCAAACTTTCATGAAAGTGGTATGAATACACATATGAGACAACCCAATAGATTGAATACTTAATTTTGGGTTTCTTATGTTTCTGATATTAGCTTATTGCAGGGGGCATATTGAAAGTATTTTGAGTTCTTAAAAAGTGGTGTATATTCGGTACAATTACTAACAATTATTATTTTTTATTGTTATAACTCTAAGTATTTTGAAACTCAAGGTCACTGTTGTAGGCTCTGGTTTTGATCAGACGCTCCTTATTTGAGATATAAAGTCAATAGACGGTAACATTAGATTTTGAGACCTGTGTGTCTCTGCTGTGTATGACAGCTTGAAATATGTCGCTTATAAAGTACATTAAGAATAATGATGGATTTCATGCTTATTCCCTGATATTATCACCGTTTAAGGGTTGTTCTACGTGTAATTTGTACTTTAAAAACAATTAAGAACCGAAATATTTCATAGCTCGGTAATCGATTGAATGCCATTATTAAATGACACACAAGTATAATTTACAATTTACTCTGTGACCAGTGGATCACCCTCAGTCTGACTCAACTAGAGGACATGGCCGCATTGAAACTCTCAAAAAGAATTTCCTACATATATTATATAACGCACGAACAGAGTAGTGAATAAAAATAAAAATTATCCTGAATTGACTTCAGTCTCCAAAAGGCAATCTCTGACTAGAATTCTGGCTTGTACAATGCCCATCTTCAGTCTGTCAGCAGAGGTACGACTGCCAGCATAAGTCAGTCTAATGTCCTTTCCAAGCTCTTCGATCACTGCCAGCAGTTGAGAATATTTACTCTGAGAAGAAGCTGATGGTGCACTAGCCTGTGGAGTTTCTATAGTTACAGGCTGATACGGTATTGGATTTGATACAACAGGTATAACAGGGTTTGCTAATTGTAAGACTACGTTCCTTCTTCTTAGCTCTGATATAACTGCTATCTCTGCCAGTTTAGAAGCTTCCAAGGCCTTTGCTTCCTCAAGAGCCTTCTTTCTCTTGGCACGAAACCTAGCCATCCTTTGTGCATCATGAAACCTACGAATGATTGCTTCCTCTTCTGTTTCGTGTGGCCTTGGTAATGGTTTTCGAGTAGACTTCTTCCTCTCTCCAGATGATCCTGGTCGTCTCTTTGGTATTGGTGAGTTTTTACTCCTGCTCCATCGTCCATGACCATTCATCTTACACCTTTCTGAACTCGTACTCAATCCTTACAACGCTTGTTATATATGTCCAGGATAACTCTTTTTTACAAAACGCTCCGATACGTCTGCAGAGTACCTGTTCATTCATACGTCTCAAGGGCAGGAACAACTAGAATCCACAAGAGAAATTAAAAGCTACCTTTTTTAATGATTAAGTACACATCAGTAAGCTTTGAAAATTTTAAATTTACCGCGCCGTCAAGTATAACAACGCTAGCGCCATTAATGTCTTCTTTAACTTCTCGAAACCAATCACAAGAATGGCTACAGGTTTATCAGCAACGTCCTCCAAATTTGCGAATCACGTGTGATCTCCAAAGCAGAAGTTGACAACGAGAACTGAGTCAACGGATCGCGTCACCCATAAATCATCATTTTCACGTTAAGAAATCCTAGGACTGCGGTCACGTAATAAAACTCTAGGCAGTGTAACAGGAGCAAGCAGTTACATCGAACGTAAGACTTTCGACCCTCATGCACTCTTTTCCACTGGTACAGTTTCGCGAAAAAATTCTAAGGTCTCGGTTTATTGGAGATTGGAAGGAGATAGTCGTTGTCGCCTGCTCCGCACGCACCCGTATATACCGTCAAGGTGATTCACTCCCGAAATAGCGTTGTGAGATTAATTGTCACCGATTTTTATTGATTTTTTTTACCTGCCATCTTAGGCAATGATATCGCAATCTCAGATATTCTAATCTCATGCTACACTTGAGCCTTAATTTTTGACAAAAAAATGTTCCTTTTCTTAATTATCTAACTTGCGTGTTTTCTCTCGTTATCATCAGATAAGATGAACTGACTGACAATTGATTTGGTACTTTAAAATTATGGATATATATATATATATATATATTATATATTCTTTCTTAATAATTTATTTTTATCGTTATCATTTTGATAATGGCATTACGGAATTTCACGTTTATTGCTAGATAAAACCCTATTGTCTGTAAACAATACAATTAGCATAAATGAAAAAAAATGTATACTTTAGGATACATTCAATGTTGTATTACTTATCTAATATAGAAGTTTGTATTGAATTTTTTGTTTTAGGATTTACAAAATAACATTGGCATCTGGATCACAGAAATACCCGGTTATATAGAGAGAACCAGCTCTGGATACAAAAAAATGTATATATCAACTTCTGAATATTATTTTCTTCTCTCGTTGGTTATTGTCCCAGTGTATTTATTTTTTAAGCTTTGGTCATGGCTTGGTTGGGAGTTATTTGTTAATAATTAAATAGTATATATTATAACTTTGTATGCTTTGAACATTTGTTATTCTCAAATTTGTCTATATCTGTTAGACTATTTCACTTTGTCTCTTCGAGTTCTTTAAGTTAATTGTTGTGGGTTAAAATTTTCTTTTTGATAATCATTAATTAAAAACTATATCACCCTTATTGAAAACAGCTTAATTCTTTGTAATGACCAAACATTAGTCGAAATAATAGTTGCAAAGTACCCAAAGTATAGTGAATACTATATCAAAATTTCTCTTAATAGATTCTGTCATAGTTTATCGGTTATAAGAAGTTCATCCAATCCCATTCTCCCTTGATGTTTCCATATTCTGTATTTAGCTATATCTTTTCTGGTTATCATACCAACCACCTAAAACATATAGAAAATTGAATGTCTGTCTTATTACCGTTTTTCTAATTCTAAAGAAGAAAAAAACCAGTGTAAAAGGAAAACTCACTTCATTTGTATCATTTATTACTGGCAAATGACGAAGTCCAATTGCTCTGAAGAGTCTGAAGACACGTGGCAATGATGCGGACTGAAATGATAATAAATATCACTTTATAAACAACATTGACCCAATCACTTTGTAATTATTTACTAACATGTTGAACAGTGTATGTAGAAGGGTTCATAAATGGTCTTAAGTCCATCATGTATGTTTTCTCTTCCTCTGTTATTTTGACTTGTTTTATCGTTGGATATCGTGGATATTCATTACGGAACAACTCTATATCTATCGTTTCCCAAAATTCATTGTACTCATTAAAAATTTTATTTTGTAAAAGCACTATGAGCTGCGATCGCAGAATTAATCCACGAAATCGTCCATAGCAGTTTATCTCAGCCTGAAAAAAAATATGAATAAGGTATATTAAATAATAATTGAACTACACAGATAAAATTGACATAACTATTTATACCTCGTCACTACTAGGAGGATCAACTACTGGGAAACCATTGAAAGTAACACAGGTTAATAGTTCCACTATATGACCCACGTTCTCTACTGTTTTCAAAGTCACTATAGGGTGGCTCATTATCTCGCTGGCATAAATATTATTTGACAATGGTGGTGGCTCCCATGGTAACAATGGTACTCCAGCCATTTGAATATGAATATCATAAATTCCCTGAATTAAAAAATCATGTTATACTTATTTTCTTTAGTATAATATGGAATTATTCTGATACTAACTTCGTTAAAGAAATCGCCCACCCATTTAGCCATTATTAAGACAATTATGAGTGGGAGACCAAACGATATTCCTTGGGTCGCTTCAATGAGAATAGCTGTTAAGCTGATTGTCATTCTTACAACACCACCCAGTTGTGCAGCAGCACCCAAAAGAGCATATTTTCCAGGATCAAGAAATTCCTATAAACATATAATAGCGTGAGGTCTACTGTCTATGCTTTTAGGATATAGAATTTACATTTGTTTAAGTCTTACACAAGCCGGCCAGAGTTTAGTAAATACTGCTCCAACAAGTCTACCCCAAGCAGCACCAATTAGGAGCGACGGTATGAAAAGTCCACTGGACATGGACAAACCGAATGTGGCAGCGGCCAGGAAAAAGTACAGGATTACGAAAACAGCCAACGTTACGTCATTATGAGAACCTATAAGGGTAAACATTACTTTCTATAGAAGCATTAAGAATTGAAGTATTTAGGGTTTAAAGTTGTTCAATGTACCTTTTGGATCATGAAAGAGAGACCGCACACTACTTTCTGGTGTTTGAAACCACAAAGCTGCCACTGCACTGTATTCTCCTTCTTTACAGTACATTTGTACTGGAAATTTTGTTGGAGATTGACCCAGTGGTTTGCAATCATCAAGAAAATAAATCATCAAGAACCCCATAATAGCACTCATTGCAGCTACTACCAGAGCTTCTATCACCTTCAACCACTTAGCTCTTATATATCTTAGACGGAAGCAGCTGATTTTGTAATTCAAGTAATTCCACATTGATCCCAGCAGACCTCCTATAATTCCTACTATCATGAACAATGGGATTTCATAGACTCTGTAGGTCATCGTTTCAAACTTTCCCAAATTTAATAAACCTGGATAAGACAGGTCCCCTGGGTGACCATGATAGGCACTTAAGATAATATTTAATGTAAAGGTTGTTATCATGCTAGCGAAGAATGTCCTCCAAGTTAAGCTTTGGTTAAAGAAACTTGTACCCTCTTCGATACTGAATAATACACCTCCTGTAAGAATTTACAAAAAGCTACTGTATTATTATTAATGTACTTGATTAGTCATTAACTACCTATTGGAGCACCAAATGCTGCAGAAACACCAGAGGCTGCACCTCCAGATACGAAATCACGTTTCTCATGATCTTCCCTAAAGTATTTAAAGATCCTTAAGTCCTTGCGAAAGGTTGTGCTCTTTCCCTGAGAGATACCTGCTGCGACAACTGCTCCAGAATGTATCATGGGACCTTCCTTGAATTTTCGGGAATGAAGGCAAAAATAATATAGATGATTAATGATCATGTTAAGAACTCTTTAAATGTTGTGTTGAAATGCCTACAAAGAGAGAAATAAATACCTTTCCTCCTGCAAGTCCTCCAACTACTGTACATATTACTCCTATAATTTTTACTGCTAATGTTTTAATCCTGACTACTCTTGGCACTTTGATACCATTCAGGTAGCATTTTACTTGTGGAATACCACTACCTGCGGCGACAGGCTCTATATATGCTACTAAAACAGCTCCTATCAAAACTGGCACTAAATTTAAAGCGAGCCACATAAAAAAGGGCAGCCATAGGCAGTTTTTTAACACACATTCGTCCATAACTGTATTATATCACATGTAAGAAAATATCAGTGAAAACTGTAAAGAATGCACCATATTTTATGAAAAAAGGATACATATCTTTAAACGACTATATTTCACACTGGATAGTTCTTCAATAGAAATATCTACAAAGCAGGCAATTACAGCCGTGCAAATTCCAATTAGTAGAAATATGAACCATCTGGCTAGATTTTTCTTAACCACGAATTTATATCCCTTTCTCCTTTCCTCATCCAGGAGAATATAATTTTCACAGGTATCATAGTCGAGGCTCTGAAAGATAAAGTACCGATGCATCCAAGAGATAAAATTCAATAGAAAGTAATGTAATCCATACCAATAAAAGATCAACAGATTATTTCTAAACACTGCTAAATATGGACCAAGAATTTGAAATAAATAAATGAACTGAACAAACTATAATGACTTTTAAATATATCCAAGTATATAGGTCAATTATTAAAAAATAATTGAAGGTTTTACACTTATGTCATGAATACGATGTATATAATTATTTTCAAGATTATTACAAGTTATTCTCCTGCATTGAGAATGAATTTATAAACCAATATTATTATCCCTGTCATATCTTAGCCATGGAAGAGTAAAATACTTTTCATTCAACCATAACTCATAGCAGAAATAAGACTAAGCAATTTTTCATAACTACACCTAGAACCATTACCTCATAATTGGCTGACAGAAAATTTGTAGCTCCTGGTGGAACATCTTCAGCATTGAGTCTTGCTGACCGACGATGGGAAAGATTTTCAACAATATTGCAGATATTACCCTGACTATTACTCCTGACATTCTACAAAGAAAAATATTCATAGAATCCAGCACAGCAGTATAATACAAAATCGACACACCATGTATGAGTCAGTGTGAAAGGAATGTAAGAGGCAAAAGTAAGCATGAAAGAAAAATTGATTAACTATCAGCATTCAGTATGCGAGTTTAAAGATCATTAATTTTTTTACGACAATTTTACTCATTATACTGACAGATGTATCATCAACAAAGGTTATGTTTGTTTCCCGAGAAAGGAATGCAAATAAATAAATGATGCAATCACAAGCATGATAAACTTCATAAAGAATTTCATAATACTCACCCGAAATCTTATACTGACATCGTCACTGGAGTAAGAAGCAAAATTATTTCTAGGCTTAATAAGTCTCTCTTCGCCGTCACATACGTCATTTCCATTATTCTCATTGACGTTGCTGTTAATCAAGACATTCACATGTGTCGATGGATCCGTCATTTCTTTTTCTCTCTTATTCCTTACTTCGTGATTAATAAAATCTTTCCACAATTCACATTCTGGAATATAATACAATAACAAATACTAAGAGTATCTCGACGTCAGTCGTCTTATCAACAACTGCTAATAGTACGACATACCGCTCTGCTTCGTGTTGCGATACCAGTAAGTACGATACTGCAAAGCGTGTCAGCATGAGACACACAGTGCAATATACCTACCACGTGATGAATTCTTGTCATGTCAAATGAATGGTTTTATTGCCTATATATATATATATAGCCTCATATATAACGTTTCGTGACGATTTTATTGAAAAATTTTTTTATTTCAAATCAAAGGAAATTGATTATATTGCAAAAATAATTTTCGGCTAATGAATAAGCGTAAGCGATACGGTGACTATGAAATTCGGGGTTTCCCCTGTGTATGAAACGTATCACGTTCTATCTGAATGATTCATAAGGAATTTATGAGATAAGTAATACAATATATTAGTGGTTTAATACTATTATTAATGACAGTTTTGATGCTAGGAATATTTTATATTATATAATATTATAATGTAGCTTTTTAATTTTTAGTTTCTTCTTTCAGGTACTCCAATTTGACATAATTGATTTTGTTTCTTATAAAATATATTATTTTCTGAAATACATATTTTCAGATGTACAAGGTATTCAAGTTAATGCCGCAGCATCAGAATTTAAGATAAATCTTGAAAAACCTGAAGATGATTTAGAAAATCAATTATGGATACGATGTATACGTAATCTGAAAAAATCAGGCTTAATTACTTTGAAAGTATTTAATTAATACTGATGATCTCTAACTACTAAAAATAATGTGAATAACGTATGAAGAGCTTCTATTCTAGAACTTCCATGGACAGGAATGTCTAATAGATTGCAAACAATATCAACGAGATGTACAAGATCACAATCTAATTTTGACAAATCAGTTTCCATCTCGTTAAGCTTCTCTTCTAATTCGTTCGGCCATTGCTGCATAAGATTATCAATGTCAGGCATTGGTTTCGATAATTCAACAGCTGGAGGATGCCTACTTCTATGTAATTGGTTGATATCTTCGATCCATCTATCAATTGATTTCCCATTTTTCTCAGCATCCTCGATCCTCTTTATTACCGATTGCTTAGCTGGGCCAGCACTTTTGCTACGACTTCGTAACTGTAGATGCAGCACGGCAGGTTCGGACTGATTGGCGCATGGTTCATCCAAAACTACCAACCCAACTTTATCAGCCAATCCGTCTGGTCTTGGTATTTTAATAAAAGCATCTATATCACCGACCGCCGGTATATAGTCTGGTATGAATGGTATCAATTTATAATTTAGATCAATTTTCTGTGGAGTATATCTGTAAAGTATCAATAATTGAATTTTACAGAAATTTCATTTTCTATAACATCTGAAAATAAACTTCTTTTAAAAATATGAAATTCAAAATGAACGATACCTCATTATGTTTTGAAATAATTCTTTAACTTCCGCGGAAACTTCCATATCCTCAAATTTTTTTGGATCATAAAAATCTAAACTTTTTGCCATGCTGGTAGCTTGAATATCATCGTCATCAGTTTCTTCGCTGTCTGAAGGATCGCTACCAATTCCCATAGATTTTCCATAAGAGACGCCACGATCGATTTTACTCGAATACCTAAAATTTTGTTAGCTTTATCGTATCAGGAGCTATCAATAGCTTTCACCATTTTTACCTCATCAATTCTGGTTTTCTACGTGGAGAATTTATTTCGGCACTACCAGGTTTCTCGATACTTTTATTCCTTGTCGGTTTCTTCATACTCGCCGATCTACTGTTTATTGGACTTTTGATCTCTTCAGCATTTCGCACCTCGATACTTTCATCAAATTTTGAAAATGCTGAAATATTCGGCACTTCTTCTTCGTCGCTGCTGTCTTTTCGATTCATTGTTCACAGAGGTTCTAAGTATTTTTATTGATTATTATTTATCACCAGCTATCCCATTATTTTTTCAATATCCATAACAATTATCTAAACGGTCAGCTATGTTTGTTTCTTCTTTATTATTTCCACGAACATTCTCAACCTAGTCCTAAAATGCTGAACACTCAGTTCATACTAATCAATCCTCAAGCGTTCATTCTAGTTTTATTATTGTTTGGCTCGGGTTGCTATGGTTGCGCAATGGTCGATCCTCACCTGTAGAAACGTATATTGTATGTTCCAATAGTATTATGTTTCTATTATACCAAGTTCTTCAGCCTAAATGCACCATCTGATGAAAGCCATGTTCAGATGGTACGTTTGGCTTAAATATTTGTATTCATGTTCAACTTCACGTCATATCCCAATTTAAAAGAGGTGACAGTTTAACAAGACATACCTACATATTTCCTCAAACGTAATTCATCATCCGTATCATAATCCTTTCACTATGAGCGTGACTGGTAAAGAAAATTCTTAAATACTAGGACAAGCTATCTTATTATCTTGAAAACACAACCGGTATGAATTATGCGATTAAACCTATATATACATTTATTAGAAAAAGTAAAGTGACACTGCGCATGCGCATGTATTAACTTCGAAACTGGATGCCTGAAAAAATTCTGTCTGATTCAAATGTGGAATTACAGTCAACTCTCTCTCTCTCTCTCTCTCTCTCTCTCTCTCTCTCTCTCTCTCTAATTTCGTATTCTCTAGATTAACGTAACCATGACAATTATCCCTCTAGAGATCGCACTAGGCTGATAACAGTTCCCCTTTCCGGATCACAATTTACGCAATGACGAGGATAAGAATAATTAATATCCAGAGAGGGGGAAACGCTCTCTAAAGTCGCACTCACTGTTAATATCGCTCTCACAGAGCCCGAAAGATGCGAAATTAGACAGAGTTGACTGTATAATTTGTTTTTTAAATCTCAATTTAATTTTTTCAAAGACTCTCCTATACTTAGGAATTCATTTGGTCGTAGCTGAAAATACAGTTTATAACGAAGTTCAAGAAAAAACAGCAGAGTCCGTTTATAACAACCCTTAAGAGACGGGAAATTAACGTTAATAAAATGACTTAAAAAGAAATTATATCAAAAGTATTCATTCTTCATACTTTTATAACCTAAAAATTTCATTCAAGATTAATTTTAACAGTCACGTACCGGTTTTATCGAAAATCGGATGTAGATAGTTAAACAAAGAAAATGTCGTAATTTTCTCATCGATCATCTGAAGTCACAAGGAATCTATAATTAATCGATCTTTCACATATCATCGGTAATGAGACTTTACATTATTCTGCCAGTTTAATCGTATCAGTCAATGACATATTATAAATTTTAACTGTTATTGTATTTCTAGGATACTCATAAATCTTAGTATAAGTTTGAACGATTAAAATTGAAGTTGTGAAATATAATTAGTAGATAAAGTCATCAAATGACTGTCGACGTTTTCGATAAGCTTACCATAAGAAAGATTAAGAATTGAAGATTATAATATCGTTATCAATGATATCTCAAGTTCTCTGCTCAAATAATTCAAGCATTATTGTCCTTCAAAATAACAATTTATCAGATTAATCAAAAACGTTGATGATTCAAATGTCTGTATAAAGCCTAACGACAATGAGAACATTGCAAAATTCTAAAGTATAATAAACCATTAAGACAAAGCTTTGTAAAATGTAAACAACTGTTTTATAGTGGTTTGATAAAACGTTTCTTTGAACGACAAGTCGCCTAATCTCATCCCTGGCGATTGATTATTTTTTACTGCCACAACATATATTAGTAATAAAAACAGACATGAGTTTATTTCATAAAATTATAAAACAAACCTGTATAAAAGGGACCCCTTGAAACAAAGTATAAAAGTAAGTAAGGATAGTAATAAAATAATGTAAAGCATCGATAAAAATAAAAAAAAAAGGACACAAACATCGAGTGGGATTAACGTGAAGCGTTGTCAGAGGCGATTGAATTCAATGGATATAAAGTATTTCAAAATCCTTTGGGCGTGTCCGGCGTATTACAATGCCACCTGTCTGCAGCAAAATCTAAACGATGCTATCAAATATTATTTAGATAAAGGTGATCAAAGAGATTTACGAATTCTCAGAGAGCTTCCCATTAAGAACATCCACTAGATTGGATATTTTCCATAAACATGGCCGCTTCGTGTCTTTCGTATCATCCAATCCTGAACGCATGCGACACGCTTAAAGGTGCGTTCATCCGTTTGTGTACTTTGTGAATGACGAGTAAACTTTGATTGATTTCTAATGGCAGCAACGAACTGGGATCTAGTCAGATTGGCATTTCTAGGGCACGTTATAACTGAGACGTCATATTTATATCCATTTCTGGTACATGGATCATTGGGAAAGCAGATGTCGCCACTCGCTCTGCAATAGGAACTGGAAGCAGATGCCAATTTCGGTGGTATGACGTACGATGCGTCTTTCGGTAATTCCTGAGGTTTTCTTTAACCGTAGAAAAAGATGATTGTGTTAAAGATATTCTTTAAAGTGTCATTTGAACGTACTTCATGTTCCTGGAAGTGGTGGATATAGTGGATGTTACGAATTCTTCGTCATCCTTGGAACTCTTAGCTGATATCAGAACAAAGATTCCCAGAAACCCGCAGAGCGTAAAGAACGCAACGAAATCCGCCAGTGCGTGTCTCGATAACGATCCTTGTGACTTTGTCGATCCTTCGACATCCTGGGATTCGACGGTGAATCGTGAAAATTCGTTAAGTATGAAATCCTGCAATTTTACGTGGTCATCGTGTGAAACAACTTGACAGGTGGGATACGTTAAAACGACAATGAATTTAAGGTTAAGTTTTGTGTTGATCGATAACCTACTCGTAGATACACGAAGATTTGATGTACTATTAATTGAAACACATAGCACACGTCACTGAGATTATTCATGATTGTACGAAGTAATGGAACGTTGCATAAAAATATTTGATAAAAGGTAATGTGATCAATATCTGTCATTTACATGACGAATGTCATGGACGTGTTGAAAAAGCTGCTGATAATTTGACAATATCCTCGCGCATACATTGCCACTCATCATGATGTACATTTTTTTCGTTAATGTCTTCTGTCATTAATTGACAGTCATGCTTTTTATAGCTTTCAATTAAATTGATTGTTGATCAATAAATATTCAGCGGATGAACCTGAACTACGTTTCACGTGTACCTTAAACTAAAATATAATTAGTCCCATAAAAAGAATCTTAACGAGCACATCTTTGGATTATCGAATTGAGTTAATATCATTCGAATTATAAGTTATCTTATCAATCATATAGATTACCCATTCTTTCATTTCGAATTGTCTCTAACACTTCCCAGCTACACGCACACTACCTATTACGGTCGAAACAATGATGCGTATACCTTTCATTAATTTTAAGGAATATCTTCAAGATTAACTTAATGACAGGAATGGAATAATTTGTTGTCGCTCGGTCGCAACATCGCATAGACAATTAATTATGATAAAAGGATATAATGATGATATTTTGATTTTTAATACGTTCACTGCCCCCGCTCTCCTATCGTAGTGGTGCAAGATGTGTCAACGTGGTAATTTGATTACTATACATATATATATTGCTTAATGTATCACGTGCTAAATTGCATTACTATATGGACCGTTTATTTTGAAAGTGGTGTAAGTCCATTTTTGAAAAAAATGAGATATCACGTAATTCCTGCTTAATTTAATGTAAATTTTTTATGTTTATATGTTTTTTATGTTTTTACGTGTTTAATTTCTTAAAAAATTCCCATGTTTTGTACAATTTAAAATTGGTCGGTAAATGAAATTGCATAATCATCGATTATGAAAGAGGTGTAAGTCCAATTGACAGAGGTAGGTGGCTTAGCAAATGTTGGCCGATCAGTAGCCTGTTATTTTACATTTGTTTTATATTACGTGAAATATTGCGTTAAAAAACACAGATAAGAAAAAACACTAATGGAGAACAGGTAAATTGGTTGCAAATATGTTGGATGAGGTTTCTCAAAAGTGCACCGTACACTATTTTATATAAAACATCGATGAAGGACAAAGAATTTAAAACTATAAATTTATTACCGACACGTCCTAGAAGATCGCTAAAATTTGAAAAAATCGCCCTGGCGCCTTTGTACCAAGATGCCAGGCCTATTACTTATGAAAAATATAGACATCAAGCAGTTATTACCTTACATACCTCCGGTGCATCATGCATATTTCGAAACACTGCCAGATGCAGAGCATAAGTAAATACTATCAATATCTTGTAATTTTAACAATGTAATTAGCGTCTAAAATTATAAATACTACTTCTATTTTATGTCGTGTCATTATTGGTAAACAAAATTGGATTAATATGAAGTATATTTTAAGTGTCTAATTTTGAAAGTGGTGTAAGTCCATTTGCAGCCCGTAAGTATGTACACATCAGCTTAATAAAATACGCCTAAAACAAATTTATATAACCAAATTACATATTGATAAAACAGTAGAAACATTGCCAGACTTCATATAATTTGCCTAAATTTTGTAATTAACAGACATGTTAACATTTAATTTTCTCGAAACATGAGAAAATGGACTTACACCACTTTCAAAATAAACGGTCCATATATACATAAGCAATTAGAATTTTGTATTTAAACGTCACATTTCACGACTTCTTGGAAATACAAAGATTTCGATTTATCAAGATATACTTAATTTGTACGATGTCACCACGGTTATCAGTATTAACAGGTAATTAATTTTAAAACGTATATTCGATCTTTTACAGTATGTATGTCCCTTTATAAAGTAATTTATATAATAAGTCGATTCATAGGAATCGTCGAGAAGAAGGGATAGTTTAATCATATGTATGAAGGGAAATAAATTTGGCTAAATATGATTTAATCTATTTTAGGATGAGTTATCAAACAGCTATATATGTTTTATAAATATACTCTAAGGTTTAAAATTCAAAATAGTAAAATGTTTTTTTACTATTCAATAAATTTATTTTATTATATCGAAAAATAAGACTTATTTTTTTATTATTCAATCTCGTCTACGTTAATTTTAGCACCGTTTTAAGAGGCAAATTCTCTAACGTCATTAAATGATCCGACAATTATGACTCGTTATCACTTTACAATTCTGACCTAGTAATCTTTATTATTGTTTACCTAGTTGAAACGATCATTGTATTATACAGCAAGCAATTACATACACGTATTTATTTAAGTATATATGCGTACGTGCGTATTTTAATAGCAAAGGGTGTTATAGGCTTTACTTTAGTATACGTCATAACAATTGATTCTGTTATCAAGAAAGACATTTTGAACGCCCGTCTTATACCGAAAATAAAGTCTTCGTTATTATATATTCATCGATTGGTTAGTTTTTATTATTTTTTAGCTTCCTTCAGACTAATTAAACCTTCAACTAATTTCACAATGAGATCAAAGCTTGAATGATTCATGATTATATATTTCAAATTTATACCATAATATAGGTTTTCGAATCTGTCTGGAAAAGATACGATAAGAAAGAAAAAGAAGATGTAATTCAAGATAAAGAAAAAAATCTAACGTTGCAAGGTAAATTAATTTAAATTAAATATGGACAAGAGGTTTTACATGTCTTACACAGTTTTCGTTTGGTTCCCAGTAAAAAAAAAACAGTAATACATATAGACAATGATAAAATATCATACTCAGGAATACATCAGTTACATACATGAAGTATTGTATGACCGTTACATGGTCGAGTAAAATATTTTAACGTCACTGATATGTAAGTGTCACTTTGTGTTTACTGGATTTTACTTTTGAAAAACTTCAAAATGAACTAAAGAATTTTCATCTGAAGCTATCTGTATATACATCATATTTGTATAGAATATCCCTTTGTTCTGATAACGTTTTTCTATTACCGTCAATTTAAGAAACAAAGTTTTTACTTTACAGCAGCTGATTTTCAGGATGCGGAATTCACGTGGTTGATTGTCATGAAATCTGGCTGTTTAATGACAGTAGACAGGCGGTGCGTGCTCGATGACTCAATGACACGTATTATGTCATTGACGAAGGAAAAAAATGCTTTGTGAGTGTTCTTAGATATGCTAAGGAGTTATGAGAGATTGAAAAATTGTCTTATCTAGTTGCCTATTACTTCCCGTTGATAAAGAAGAAACTTTATCTTATCCACATATACCTTTACGAATCAATGTGAATTGGCCGATCGGTCTCTGGTGCGATTTGCTTCATAGAGGGGCGACGCTTAGAATTTTTGATACAAGCTGTGGAACTAACTACGTGAATCCCGTTTCGTCAGTGCCTCGTGGAACTTGGTGGAACCACTTTGAATTCCGGGGATCTCCGAAGACTTGTAAGATTTACTTAAATTTCGAAAAAAAAATCGTTCGTACCTGGAATTTAAAGATTATTTGTATTTTGCAGATGATTGTATAATTTTTGAAGTGACTTCACGTCTGAGGATGACGAAGAGACTTCGGATCTTGACATTTTGAGTTTTCTCCTAATTAAATTTTTTTTTAATTCTTCGGCCTTCAAGACAATTTGAATTTACTGTCTTGGAAGACCTAGACGAGATGGCGCAACAAAATGAAGTTGAAGTGAGAACCTTTTTCTTTTTTATTATTTTTGTTTGTCATTTTCTTTTGATTTTATTTTACCTTTCCATTGGAAATTCTCATTTCTCAATGATTCGTGTCAGCTGTACACTCGATTTCACGTATCTTTAATCGTTATCACAAGATTATTAATAATTAACGCGCATTTTTAAAGCTTTTATCAAACCAGCTCTGTCTGTGTATTCGATAAATTTGTTTGTTTTAACACCTTAAGGACCGCTCATAAGTTTTCTCGTTTTTTTTTATACGATGTCTTTAGATGTCACTTACTTTGATACATCGTATTTATTTTGTCTACTTAAGTGCAACATCAATAGCCAATGTATTAAACTCAATTGCCTTCATGTTTTCTTCCCTTATTTACCGGTGCTTCACTCTTTCGTAGAGTACTTGAACTAACCGCCGACGCGTCCTGTTATTCGTTGTAGGGTCCTTATGATAATAAAATAGTATAATAATTATTAAAAAACATATTTTTCTTCAATAATACCTAGAATGCATCCTATTCTAAAATTTCTGAAAGTTTCAAAATAATTGCTTCATAAATAAAAAAACGTACGTCTTATAGATTTCTTCGTGGTCCTTAAGGTGTTATCGAGATTATTTCAAATGATAAGAAAAAATTCTTTAGAATAATATTCGACGGATATAAGTGTTTCATGAAACATTGTCAGATAATATTTAACGAACATGAGTCATCTTCAAAGTCTCTAATTTTATATAAATGCCAAGCAAACTTCTTTTTCATGCTTATGTGACTTTTGCGTAACTGTTACTACAACAACATAGAATTAATGTAACTGAAATGTAATTGTTACGAGGTGTGTTTACTGGATTGTGTTTTAAACGTTCTGAAGCTAACTGCATATACGTTTGATCTGGAATGAAAATTCTTATTTTGAACTATTACAAAGATTGCAGTGATATATTATCACATCTAAATATATATCAAACAAATTTTTCTATTCACAGCAGCCAACTGGATTGACGAATGAAGCTTTTGAAGGTGAAAATGGGGAACATACAGAGATCGACAAAAAACGAAAATCCTCTATACCAAATACTAAAGCAAATGGAAATCGTGGAAAGCTCTCAGTCATATCTATAATATCCACGGTATGTAAATGTGAAAAAAAAAGAAAAAGATTCGATTAATTGCAGAGTGTCATTAATGAATTAATAATTGATCCTATACAGAACAGTATCAAGCGAGATGAATGGAGTGGCGGATTGGAATTCTTGATGTCCTGCATCGCGACGTCCGTGGGACTTGGGAATATCTGGCGATTTCCTTTCACAGCCTACGAAAATGGCGGTGGCGCATTCCTCATTCCATATATTATCGTTTTATTACTGATAGGCAAGCCCATGTATTATCTGGAATGCTCCTTAGGTCAGTTCAGTAGTAAATCTTGCGTAAAAGTTTGGGCCTTATCTCCAGCGATGAAAGGTAATTGTCCGAATCAGATCCTAAAGCAATGATAATACAAAATTCAATATTTGATTATACCTTCGATATATGTATAGTTGGTCTGGTAGTTTAATGTATTTTTTTTGACAGTTTGCAAAACAATGCAATCCTTAAGAAATCAGACGTGTGGTACCATAAAATTATGTAAATTTATGCTAAAAGAGAATAATGAAATATTTAGTGGAGAACCACGCACATGCATATTTTGTTAGAAAAATTGTATGCAGAGTCGCATGCGGCTTGTTAGAGATTTCGTTGTTTTCTATCTGTCAAAAATGGCTAGATAATATAATTTTGCTTTAACCCAGACTATACATGTGTGCTTGATTAATCTTATCTACGGGGTTATTACTTTCATTTCAGTACTGCGTGATGAGCTATCGATATAAAAGAATATATTTTGTGAAGTTATGGAACAGTACATTATGATACAAGTGCGGAAAGTTGATGATTCCTGACGAGTGTGACGTTTGCCGCTCCAGCGAAGCTAGGATGACAAACGTCAGGAATCATCAACTTCCCCCAGTTGTATCATAATGTACTATTTCAATCGTTTAACATTATCTGTTATATTTGATAATAATATTCAGTATTTTTGTATCGTTCTAGGAATTGGATATGGACAACTAATAGCGGCATTCTGTGTAGTGACGTATTATTGCGTGTTAATGGCCTTGACATTGTTTTACCTTGCTATGAGTTTTCAAAGAGAATTGCCGTGGTCCTATTGTCGAGATGAATGGGCTGGTTTCTGTTTTGATGCAAAATCTAATACGTCATTGTCTTCTGATGGGAATCAAACTATATCCAGTTCAGCCGAATTGTATTACAGGTTAGTTATTAATACATTATTCTGTGTATGAGTTAAATTTTACATAGAACTTTGTAATCCAGTTGTATTTATTGAATTATTCGGAACTTCTTGTTTCTTTTTCAGACTTATCATCCTCAACGAAAAACAATCGATCGACGACGGTATCGGATGGCCGTCTTGGAAATTGTCACTATGTCTGTTTTTCAGTTGGCTCGTTGTTTTTGGTGTATTAAGTCGCGGTGTTAAGAGCTCTGGAAAAGCTGCTTACTTTCTCGCAATTTTTCCCTATATCGTAATGATAATTCTACTAGTTAGGGCTGTCACATTGCAAGGTGCTGGCAATGGGATTTTATTCTTCATTACACCCGATTGGAACAAATTGTGGGAACCAACTGTATGGTACGCGGCAGTCACGCAGTGCTTCTTTTCCTTATCAATCTGCTTTGGCAGCCTCATAATGTACTCGTCGTACAATAATTTTGCCCACAATGTTAGAAGGTCTGTTAATAAACAAAGTATTAAAATTACTACTTTATATAATCCATAAAACAAATCAGTAAAAATATTATTACCATTTACAGGGATGTTATGATCGTGACGACATTGGATACTTTCACAAGTCTCATTGCTGGTTGCACTATTTTTGGTATTTTGGGTAATTTGGCACACGAAAACGGATCCAATGATGTATCGAGTGTAGTACGAGGTGGCAGTGGTTTGGCATTTATCTCTTATCCGGAAGCACTTTCAAGATTTACAGTAGTGCCACAATTATTTTCTGTATTATTTTTCATTATGATGTTTGTACTTGGTACCGGAAGCGCAATGGCACTGGTCGGTGGTGTGTTCAGTGTCCTTTGTGACAAGTTTCCTAAAATAAAACAGTGGAAAATAATTCTGATTGTAAGCATCGTTGGATTTCTGATCGGACAAATTTACGTTACACCGGCAAGTCAATGATAACTTATGAGTATTATATCTAATCTATGTAGCAATCCAGTTATATTAATTAAATATTTCTTTTTCAATTTTAATCAGGGTGGACAATGGATGCTTACATTGGTGGATTATTACGCCGGCACGTTCATTCCCCTTATCGTCGCTGTCACTCAGTTAATAACAGTGTTTTGGATTTATGGGTTGTCCAACTTCCTCAATGATATAGAATTCATGCTAGGATACAGACCTGGATTATATTGGAGACTCTGTTGGTTTTTGATTAATCCAATTCTCATGCTGATCATTTTAATTTACACTATGGCGACGTACGTACCGCCAAAGTATGACGGTATGGTCTTCCCGAATTATGCCTATGCAATTGGCTGGACAATAGTTGGCATTGGCACAGGACAGATGTTATTTTGGATAAGCGTCTCACTGGTAAAAAACAGGACGTCATCAATTCTCGAGGTAAGATCAGTCACTCCGTAATATTAACTTACAGCGTTTTCGATTGATAGAATTTGTCTACAGTCATAAAATATGACATGATGCCAAGTCGGTAAGGTAGAAAACTCTTACAATTACTACTATCATCTGTTAATATTTTTTCTTTAGACAATCAAAAAATCCTTCACGCCTTCACATAAGTGGGGTCCCAAGAACAGCAAGAAGAAAAGAGAATGGCGGCTGTTCACCGAGGAGAAAAAGTCCAAGAGCGAAGGTGGAATATATAATTTGTTGTTTAAATAAAAAAAAAACTCTAAATGGATTCACTGCCTTTTTCTCTCTAGCGACAAGCGTTTTTAAAGACAGTGATGAACTTTAGATTTGTACTTAATAGATAGTCGGTACCGCGTCGTTACGTAAGAAAATACGAATTACTGTGAACCGCCATTATTCTTGTAATCTTTCCTTGATCTTTTTTAATGTCAGCCAACCATGCAAGATATATTGTACATACCATAGATTTGTGTAGTATAGTCATCATACATAAATAGCAGTTTACTAGTATATTATGTACTACGAAGATTGTTAAGACACAATGTGTTTCGGATGTTCACGACATCCGGAGTTATTTGCGTACTGAGAAGACTGTATGTGCATTTATACGCGTATAAAATCATAATCATGATAGGCCAATACAGTATTGTCGAGTGTTGTATATAATTTTTTTCTTTAGAATAAATAAAATCTAAATTTGTATATCCATATCTGTATAAGATTATTCAGGGGACTATTGCACCAACCGAAGTCGACTCTATCATAGAAATCAAATGTGCATGTTAAATATAGTTAGTGGAATACGATTTAATAGCCATGTATACCTACAAAACAATACTTTTAATGACAATGTATAAAATAGCATTTGGGATTATTTCTATTTTTATCTCATAACTATCTTTACCATCTATAATGACATCGATGGAGAATATCGACGAAAATCAATAAGCAAATTGCAAGGAGGATACAGGGTCGTTCAACAGTAGCTTGACTATCTGTAGGAATTGTTTTACTGTATGAACCAAGTAAATGGGGCAAATCTTATGGTTTTACGATATTTATGAAAAACCATATATGATTTCTTTTTTCTCTTATCTGAACTTTCATCTTCTTGGTATTTGGATCGAACGATGGAATCGCAATAATAACGAGCGAGAAGACAAACTCGAATGACAAAAGTATCTTCTTATGGAAATTTTGTGTTCGTAATAATGCAGGTTATAGTATAAAAGTATTTGTTATACTTTATGTACGTTATTGAACATACATCGATGTGTCAATACGTTAATAGGGTACGGGTATCTGACATCTGGTGGCGGAAAATAGAAGTATCGAATGAGTACACTTTTCATCTACGGTATGAAGAGTTGACATACAGTAATGTGCAATTGAAGTGGAAGACTTGAATTTTTGTGTATTTCTGAGAATCGCTTGGCGCGCGTAGTAGGGTAGTAGTCACCCGAGTACCTCGAACGAAACTCGCAAAATTTAGGCGTTCTTTAAATGAAAAGCTTAACCCCTTAACAAACTCATTTTTTCATCGCATTCCTAATGAAAATTGGCGGGGAAGCTTCGGGTGCGCTTGCGATATCTCGAGATCTCCGTCACGGGATCATCTCGGAGAACAATAATTTTGTGAGAATTCGCAGTATCATTACAGATGATATCACGCAGAAACTGGACCAGATTGGCCGGCGCGTTTGAAAGTCATGGCCAATTAAGTGTTTTCGCTTCGAGGGGGTGCAGCTCCCCCTAGAGTGATCCTACAGGGGTTCAATGGGGGTGTTTTTTTAATGCCGAAGGATGCTCTCTCTAGTGACTTAATTAGAAATATGAATTTCCTCCCGGAACTACTAGTTCTCGCACTTTTCAAAAAGTCCCACAATGCACTTTTTCACTCCGACCTCTGCCGTTCAGCCATTTTGTATCGACTTTACCATTAGAACGGGAAGGAAATTTCCTAAAAAATATGTCTTCGGTCTTTTGAAATCGGTCATAGTTTCGCAGAAATACACAAAAATTCAAGTGTTCCACTTCAATTGCACATTACTATATAAGGCATATAGAACCAACGAAAATTGTGCCCTATTTCGGTACCATTCTCAGAAGACCCTGACTTTGTATCAGGTATCAGTACGTTCCTACAATGTTGTTCGATAGTTATTATTGCATAAAAAATCAATAAATTGGTTTTTCTTCATAAGAGTACGATCCCCAATAATTTCAAATTGAAACTAAGAATCCCTTCGATTATTATTTATTTGATTAAAAAAACTTATCGATTTCTCACATCAATAATCTATCACTAAATTGATCGGTAAGACAACTTAACAACACACGGTATCGCATATACATATATTGAAACTTAAGTAATTTTCCAAATGTCTTATCTTTACGATTAGATTAGTTTTCTACTGGCAATAAAATTTTTGGGAATGGAATAACACCAATCCCTTGATAACTTTATTATTGCAATACGTATGAAGGTCCTCGTTAACCTCAGTGACAAGGCTCCTCCACACGTCAAATATTTACCAGGGCAGGACCAGTCGAACGGATCTAATGATAGAACTTATGATAATGACACGTATATCATTTCCATAAATTATATTGGGAAATTTCGACCATTTTTTAATGACGGAAATGACGTCATTAAGAAGTCCATTAATTTCTACGAGATTAAGATTAATCAATTGTTTATTTAATTCAATTCTCTCACTCGTTAAATCTCATCTCTCGAAAAGCTTTCAAATTCGAGGGTTCAGCTAATGGTATTACAAGCCGGACTGGGACTCTAACCTATTATTTATCTCCAGCAATTCTCTGTAGGTTAATTATCCACTCGGATTCTCAGTTAAAAAAAATTTTATTTGATTAATCCTAATAGATTCGTTTCATCTTATTCATTGTTTAAGCACTTGGCTCGCATTTTCCGAGAGCCTTAAAGCATTAGGTAAAGTGATTGGCCAGGTCCAGAAGTCAGAGAAGATCAGCGACCACTTGTTGAAAAATTGTTTCTTCGGAAAATAACCACGGAATCCACTGCAGCACGCAACTATAAAAAGTTAGTGTACTGTTAAGAGACGATTAAAAAAAAACATATGTAGTCCATCCCCAAGGCCTTACTATCGTAACAGTCAATCTGCCTAATCTTGTTTTCATCAATTATTAACAGACCTATAAAACGACGATCTTCACCAATAATAAGTTTATCGGAAAATTTCGAAATTATCAATTTATCTATCTCGTCGTTTCCATTGCACCATTATTATACGTATACTGAGTTATTCCCTCGAAACGTACGACCTGAAGTTAGCGCCCATTTAATACTTATGGTATAACCATGTTCAGGTGGTACGCGTTTTGGTCCGAACATGGGTATATTGTCTTTGTGCCCTAAAGCCCTTCACCCTTACGTCTTACGTCGTTACGTTATTTCGTGAAGGGCTTAAGTTTATGATAATTTGTAATAACATTGATTATTATGATTATTCGATATACTTGAATACAGCTACATATGCAATATTTTTGCCTATAGTAGATGAAAATGTATGTACACAAACTTATGTTTTCTCTATGGATCCCTCGGTACTTGAATTTTATCTAGAAGATGTACGAGTACACTGTATCATTCGGTCGTTCACTAATACGTAAGACAATCCTCAGAATTATATTGACGTAGGTTGGGTATTAAAGCCTTGTGTATCTGAAGCGGCGAGAGCGCACCTGGGTGGATATTCGTAAGAGCGCGCGAATTCGTTTGCCAGTCACTGGAATACAGTCGGAGTGTCAGGAGCCTGTGATTATAAACATTGCGCATTGGATGCTGTGAATATCCAAAGATTACAGATGTTTTATAGTTACTGAAATAATAATAATAATAATAACAATAAAGTATAAAATCCATAATGGTACGAATTGAGATTGATTTATAATAAATATAACATGAATGTGTTCTATTACGAAAGAACTCAATGGATATTTGAATTTTGACGTGTTGAAAAAAGTGACGTCATACTTGGGTTATATTTGCCATGTTTTTTTTTTATCAGATATTAGTGGCCGACAATGGTCAACTAAGATATTGTATTCACAAGTTTTTGGTGTCACGAAGGGTTCGTGTAAGGAAATATTAATTAGTGCTATATTGTGCAATGAAAATAAAATTAATCTGCAATTGAAAGATTAGCAATCGCGAATCTTAATTACGAATTTATTTAGTGTCGTTTGACAAACATATCTGTCGTAATGACAAAAGCTAAAGAGCAATTGTTGTTGTAGAAAGCGTTGAGAGGGGGGCGCATTAGCAATGTGTGTAATCTAAATTGTATCCATAAAAGTGGTAAAATTATAATAGTACTTTGCGACACGAGTGCGAGAAAGCGATCTTTGTAGGCAGGCGGTGTGACAAACTTCACGACCTGCGTATAGTATTCGCTTTATTTCACCAGTATCGCATATTTTCTGTAACGAATGCATGAAAAGCGCTACTTTTTGTGGATCCAAAGTAACTGGTACATATTCGCGGGAGGAGGCAGCCATAAGGAAATTAAGGAAGGTCTCCGATATGAATTGGCGTGTCATGACAGCGCACGAGAACAAAGTTTACTTTATCGGAGTAGTGCGACAATGTAAAATCGGGCTGATTTGCGCATGCGCAACATTTTTATCGCATCCTTAATTATAAAGCGCCACTTGCGCCACACTTTGAAGGCACGAAAAGTAGCGCTTTTCATGCATGAGTTACATAAATACTGTTTTCATTTGTGGATACACGATAAAGACTTTTTCAAATTCCATGAATTTATTTTTAATGAATCGTGTACAATAAACATCAGCAGTGTCGTAAAAAAAATGTAAAAAATTCCGTTGTCTCTATAGACATAATAATCAATGCATTAATTATGGCATGCAGACATTTTAATATGAAATATGACAAAGATTGAAAGTATTATTAATAAAAATATCAGGTTTGCTATCTGAGAATGAAATTTCTATCGGTATTAAAATATATATATATATATTACATATGTGCAATGTTGTACGAAGGGAAGAACGTAGGGACTAGGGAAAGAAACTTGAGATAAAAAATGAAGGATATACAAGTATTAAAATTTCATATCATTGCGTTGTACTTGTTTGTGTATGTTGTTTAATTTGTCTGTTACGACACAACAAAGAAATATGTATGTATGAAAAAAATATTACGAAACTAATAATTAGCATGTGATTAATACGCCGGAATGCGTGGCATTCGTGATATCACGAGGTCGATCGACGTCGGAAAATACAAGTGAATAGGGTTTAATTAGCAATTACAGTGGTGAACGTCGCGACGCACGCCAATTCGCAATCAGTGACCAATTTTTAATTGCAGAGCGCAGCCGATACTGATAGTCGCCAATCTGCGGGGAGGATCAAGCTGTCGATCATTGGCGACGGTATGAATAAATCTGTAGGGGATATGGACAGCGGAGTGAGTTTCAATTAAAGGAATTATATTATTTTCGAGAAACAATTATATGCCGTTGTTCAAATGTGGTAGCTTATATATAATAGGAGATTTTTTAAATATAAATTTTAGGGCCATTTTTTTGACCAATAGCAAAACAAATATTTAGTCATTTAGAGGTTATGGAAATACTGTGGAATTTTGCCGAACACCAGGACGTATTGTAGTATAAAATCAGGAATGAATTTCATGAATCGAATGGATCTATTTTATAAGTCTTCGATACAAAGAAACGCGACGCGTCGCAATTGTGGCTATTCTGAAATTGGGATACATTCGTCTTCTTCAGAGTGTCAAGTCCGCGAGAGACGATGATCCGGACGCTACTGACAGAGCACAGTGGGGAAACGGAATAGAATTTCTTATGTCCTGCGTAGCATTCTCCGTCGGCTTAGGAAATGTCTGGCGATTTCCTTACACGGCGTATGATAACGGCGGCGGTGCATTTCTTATACCATACTTTGTGGTTCTTTTCATCATCGGTAAACCGTTTTACTACATGGAGATGGTCCTGGGACAATTCACAAGCAGATCGTGTGTGGATATTTGGTCAGCGTCGCCACTTTTTAAAGGTACAGAAAACAATATTAACCTTAATTTTTAGGTTGCCCTTAATATTCACTCTCTGTCACAGGCATAGGCTATGGAATTGCTATATCAGTATTCTCTGTAGTTACGTATTACTGCGCCTTGATGGCGCTGTCCATGTTCTACCTAGTAGCGAGTTTCCAATCGGAACTACCCTGGTCGACTTGCAACCCAGAGTGGGGTGATGAATGCGTCGATTCTAGTTCCACCGGGAGTTTCAATAGGACCTCTAGCAAGAGCAGTTCCGCAGAGTTGTATTTTCTGTAAGTAAATATTAATTGCCATCCATTCTCAATATGGAGTATATAATATAATTGTATAATTGAGTATAATTGATTAATAATATTTCAGGAGGGTAGTTCTCAACGAATCCAGTTTGCAAAATGGCTTAGGTACGCCATCTTGGAGGTTAGTTCTGTGTCTTCTCGCCAGCTGGATCGCCGTATACATAGTTTTATCAAGAGGTGTAAAGAGCACTGGAAAAGCTGCCTATTTCCTGGCATTATTTCCCTACGTTATTATGATCGGCCTCCTTGTCAGGGCTGTCACTCTCGAAGGCGCTTCCAAAGGCATCATCTATCTCTACAGTCCAACCTGGAGTAAAATCTTAGATCCTTCTGTATGGTACGCGGCAGTGACTCAGGCGTTCTTTTCTCTGGGTGTCTGTTTTGGCGCTGTTACCATGTACTCTTCTTATAACAATTTCAATCACAATGTCACCAGGTGGGTCATGGTCTTAATCATGCTTGTTGAAAAATGATTACAATCATTTCTTTTGTCCATTGAGCATTTTTCTATTCGCAGAGACTGTACTATCGTCACGTCTTTGGATCTTTGCACAAGTCTCATAGCTGGCACCGCCATCTTTGGCATTCTTGGTAACCTTGCACATGAACTAGGAAATGACGACATAAGTACAGTTGTCCGTGCTGGCACCGGATTGGCATTCATCTCGTACCCGGAAGCACTTTCGAAATTTTCCGTAGTTCCGCAGCTGTTCTCGGTTTTATTTTTTCTCATGTTGTTCGTCCTGGGCGTTGGAACCTCTGTAGCCTTTTCCGGAGTTGTTATCAGTATTATCAAGGACGATTTTCCGAATGTTGATCAATGGAAAATTGCACTAGGTGTTTCAACGTGTGGCTTTTTAGTGGGAATTATTTATTGTACTCCGGTAAGTTGCCTTATGAGCAAACGCTTGTTTGAAGCTATATGAATGATGTTATAGCTTAACAAATTTTTTATCATCAGAGTGGACAGTATATCTTAAATTTAGTTGACTATTTCGGCGGAACCTTTATCATCGTGTTCTTGGCATCTTTTGAAGTTGTCGCCATCTCTTGGGTATATGGTATAATATCTCAATTTTTGCACCATCGTAATTCAACTGAGATATTATTAGCCGTTCTTATTTTACAGGTATCAACAATTTTATGGATGATATTGAATTCATGGTGGGAAATAGACCTTCAATTTATTGGCGATTCTGCTGGAGTTTCCTGACTCCGTTGATGCTGTTTACTATACTTATTTATTTTCTGGCTACTATGACACCACTTACGTACAATAACGAAACTTATCCCACTGCCGCTTACGGTACAAATACTAAAAAAAAAACTATTTATTTTTAATCTAACGAGTTTCTCCATCTTCTAACAAAGTTTTTTATTTCTTTGTTTAGCTGTTGGGTGGACACTATTGGTTGTTGGCGTAATTCAATTTCCAATATGGATAATTATAGTTAAAATGAAGAACAGAGACAAATCATGGCTCGAAGTACGTATACCTTGATGCGTAATTGACTTTGATATTTAAATAATTATACTATTGTAATTGCACAGCTGTTAAAACCGACGAGCGACTGGGGTCCGAAGAATCCGAAAAAAAGAAGGGAATGGATGGATTTTAAGGAATCGAGGCGTATAATCCGAGAAGAGAGTTTAAAGAATTCGACTAAAGCAAAGATCATAGCTACTCTTTTTGGCGTGCAAAAATGAGATTGAACCAATTAACCCTTTCGCTACGTCAGTCCGTTCCGCGGGAGTGGCGCCACTGAACGGGGCACTGCGCTTACGTCTTTCAATGGCACTTTGGAATTGTCTTGTATGTATACTTTTTTAAGAGTTATGTAACTGTTTCGTCATATTATATAGAAAAACATAAAAATGAGTATACTGTGGGTATTCAGAAATTTACATATTAACAAAGTAGTAGATTCTGTGCTACCAACGAAGTCAGCGTAGGTGGTCTCGCGGCCGCCGACTATAGTCGGCGTCCGTAGGGAAAGGGTTAATATTAAAAAATGATACAGCAGTATAGATCGGATAAAGATCTGATCAATTTTTTATCTATTATATCAGTCTCAATGAAATCATTATAGAGATAGAATAATAAGGATGATATTCCTTTTTGTAATTATTGTGTATTATAAATATTTAATAAATGTTTTTCTTTTTCATAGAAAGTATATCATTGTATCGTACATAAGTTGGGTTTATCGTTTAAACATTAATTAATTTATTGATACATCATGCTCGATCAAAAGTTATCATTGATCAATCACAGTTCCAGTAGACGCTAGTGATAATTTTTTTCTCGATATCACAAGGTAGATCGATAAAGCGTTCTCAAATGTAGATAAAAGTGATGGGCATTTTAAAGTGGATTTTAGATTAAAAATTGCGTTGAAAAAAATCGCATCGTTCTACTTTTCATTTATATTCAAGATCACGAAGATTAGTTGAACTATTCGAGACTGCTTCTTCGACTTCTTCAGATTTTTCTTCTCGTCCTTGAAGACTAGCCATTCTTCTCTGTGATGCGACAATAATGGTCCCCAATTTTTGGCAGGTCGAAAAGCATTCTTTATCATCTACAATTGTCAGGATCCGATTATAGATACACTGATTACGTATTGATTACGTATTTGAATATAACTCATAATACAAACCAAAGGGAACGGCAAACCCCGATTTTTAAATATTGTGATCGCCATCCACGTTGGAATCTGTAGAACGCCAAATGCGAATAAGATCCAACCTGCAGCATGAGCTGTCGTCGGCATTTCAACTCCGCCATAAGTAACGGGTGTAAGCTTAAACATGGTATATATAAAAACAGTCAAGAGAAGTGATGGAGTCACGATGGCCCAACACAATCTCCAGTACATACTTTCTCGACGTCCAAGCATAAATTCCATATCGTTCAAAATATTTTCCAAGCCTGCCAACAAAGTAATGATCAATATTTTCTATAATGTTGTAATAATAAAATTAGTAAATAATTAACGGTTATAATCTATTATAGAATTACCATAAATCCATATGATTCCAGTGATCTCAAAAACAGCCAAGACAAAGACAACAAAAGACGTGCCATAATAATCCACAAGAGTCAGAATGTATTGTCCACCCTGTATATTAAAAATTTTATATTTAATTATAATACGTAATTAATAAAATTCATTATGAATAATAATTTCTAAGTGAACATTCACAACCCTTGCGCATAGTGATACAGTGCAACCTCTATCGTTGCAGATTCTCTCAATTCCCGTACGCATCCCGTTGATGCATCAGAAGTGTGACTGGTAGGCAGCCATAATGAAAAAAAGGAAGGAAGGACTGAGTGGTGAAGATAGTGCCATCGAATATCTCAATCGTTGTAAAACTCCATCCCCTTTGGTTTCAAATGTGGTCAACGATAGAGGTTGGACTTATAAGAGCTAAGCTGACGTCGCATTTTGTGCATTGCAAAATTACATGGATATCGGCATGTAAATTGTTTAGTATGTTAAAATTACTTATTTACCGGTGTAACGTAAATGGTCCCTACACAGAAACCAATAAAACAGGTTGGGAGTGCAATTTGCCAGACTTTCAATTTTGGAAATTGATCACCAATTATATTAGTTATGCTTGATGTAATTCCGACTGCGCTTCCTACTCCAAGTACGAACATCATCAAGAAGAAGAGTACTGCGAATAGCTAAAATATCAATTGATACCATAATTTATAATAAATGATGTATGCAAGCAATGAAATTATAATAAAAATCTTACTTGCGGCAATACAGTAAATTTCGCTATAGCATCCGGGTAAGAAACAAATGCAAGACCCGTGCCGGGTCTGACGACTGAACTAATATCGTCGCTTCCGGTTTCGTGTGCCAAATTGCCAAGGATACCAAATATAGTACATCCGGCTATCAGACTAGTAACAGTATCCAAGCTAGTCACTATCATAGCATCTCTTAAATAAAAAATGACAGTTCCTATTATTAAAAGCTATAGCTAAAATTTAATTAACATTATGCAATTATCCGTGTAAATACCTATAGACATTGTGTCGAAATTGATTGTGCGATGCGTACATAATGATAGAACCAAAACATACAGACAGTGAAAAGAAGCACTGAGAAACAGCGGCATACCAGACAGTAGGATCCAATAATTTTCCCCAGTTAGGACTAATGAAAAATAAAATGCCATTTCCAGCGCCATCGAGGGTGACAGCACGTATCAATAACGACATAAGAACAACATATGGAAACAGCGCCAGAAAATAAGAAGCTTTTCCGGTACTTTTGATGCCCCTTGATAAAACCAGACAAACACAAGTCCAACTAGCGGCAAGACAGAGAGTTAGTTCCCAGTTGGGTAGGCCGATGCCGTCATCAATGGAGTCCTTCTCCTTGAGAACGATTTTACTGCAAGAGTCAAAATAGAATATTTTGTTAAGATTCGTTGAGATTAATTTATTATCTATTTTTTCTGTGACTACTCACGTGAAATAAAGTTCAGCAGAACTGGAGAAACTGGTGATATTAAGTAAACGAAGCTTCTCCAATACGTCGTTACTTGTACTCGAAGTAGCATTGTCAGATACAACTTTAGTAGTAATGGCGCTGCGCTGTACTCCGGAGGCAACACAGAAATCGCCCCATTCTTCTCTACACCATGCCCACGGTAATTCGGCAGAGAATGACATAATTAAATAATATAATGTGAGTGACATGAGTGCGCAGTAATAAGAAGCTAGAGCAATCAATGAACACAATTGGGCCCAGCCGACACCTATTGAAGAAAACGACAACTTAACCTAAATCCGGTGACAAGTTTAATGTAAAGTAAAGTGTATAAATTGTATTACCGACGCAGGCGGGTGACAGGCGCCAAATTTGAACACAGCTTTTACTGGAAAATTGACCGATTACCATTTCCAGGTAATAAAAGGGCTTGCCAACCAAGAAAAGGACGATTATATAAGGTATGAGGAATGCACCACCGCCATTTTCATACGCAACGAATGGAAATCTCCATACGTTTCCGAAACCGACAGACAGGGCGATGCAGGACATCAAAAATTCTATACTGTTTGTCCATGTTGTACGTTGCTCTATTTCGCCATGTGCAAGTGTCGATTCTGATTTTTCTGACTTTACCGAACTTTCTGCTGTTTCAAATTGTCCTGAATTCCTGTCATTGGCGTCACCTTCAAAGACCTGATTAACACGTCCCTTATCGACACCATTGGAACTCTATAAAATTAAAGATTAAATATTTGAAGTGTGTCAATTTAAAAATTAGCTCATCATTTGTTTATATATTATCTGGAATATCTGTAGTCAGTTCTCAACTAAAATAGCAAAGGAATATTGGCAATTGGGTAATCTTGTTATGAGAATTCCTAGCACTAAACACATGTTCAAATTTGTCACTAAGCTATTTCAATCATGGACATGGCAGTATCATTAATTTTTTCATAGAACTGTTTACAAGACTATAAAAACAGATACATGTCTATGGCATAAAATGATAAGATATTTATAGTGTAAAATTATGAGATAAGGCCAGTACGCGCAAATATTGATCTAATTTCATCTATTTTCAAGATATATGGAAATAGCCATGGATACAAGTTTAATATGGAACAGAGTAGAGTAGAGCCTCTCTGTTCACGTCGTATCGATCATCGGCGTTCGATATTGCTGTTTGTCTTTTAAAGAACAAACATCAATTGCAACAGTGTTGGAATGCCCAAGCAAAATACCTTTTAAAATGAATCTATTATCGACGCGTAGAAAAAATTAATATTTTATAAATTTTTAGGCATAAAGACATATTATCTTTGAGATATGCAACTATTTCATTACTCCTGATAACAGCTTGATTTTATAAGTTTAGTTTTTGATCAATTATTTAAATACTGTTTATCCAATTATAATACGCATCACTGTTTAAAGTCACATAGAAATAGATACTAACATTCTCTAATTGTTATAACATTTTTTTTTAATCAATTACCTTATGTAACTATTATTAACAATAAAAATTAACTTACCGCATCTTTATACATCCTGTACTTACAAATACTGAATCACTTGGACACTTTTCCATGTAATGATAATTAAATCAGAAGACAATAATGCGATTGACGAGACTTCACCGACGCAGGCACGATTCTTTCTGGCGAGTGTTCATTTTACTGCCATTAATCGCTTTATCTTGAAAGCGGCTCGGGAAACAGCGGCTGCTTCCATAGAGATTCTCTATTGTATAATTATCATGATAGAGAGTTGAGCTAAGAAACTTATGAGACAAGGTAATGAGATAACGATATTTAATAAGTTTGACAGGAATTTATTTATCCTTTTAATCGTATTTCGATATCATTTTTCGTATATGAAGTTTAAATGATACTGGTAACATATGGGTATGGAGAGGTACGTTCAGTTTTGAGAAAACTGGAAATTATTCAGATTGGGATATGATGACATAAATATCATTTATCAGTGCGATTGCGAAAATACATTATAGTGGATTAGGCGTAAAAATGTAAAAAAAAAGAAAATGAAAAAGAATAGAGAGATGCAGGCACTCGAGATTATCACAGTAATTTGCTCTCGCAGCCAAACATGACGTATACGAATTGTTTGATTCTTGAACTGTTTCTTTGCTCGCGTTTCTTCTTCGCCTTTTCCTTAAATTGCCGCCAGGCGGCCAAGTGTCGTGCGTTTCTAGGACCCCACTCGCTGGAGGGCCTGAAGGCTTCAAGGAACATCTGTAAAATGTAAATAATAATTTAGAACCATTATTATGTTATAATATTATAATTCATTGTAATTTTATCCTCTACACGTACTTCCGGTACTCCTAGATCTTTTTTGGTGAGGATCGTATAGATCATCCAGAATGGTATTTGCAAGACACCAAAAGCAAAAAGCGTCCATCCAGCAGCTGAAAAGTAAATACTCGAATTACAGGACGTGAATCTCAGGGACTTATGTAGTGTATGTAGACATAGCTCGAGTAATATACGTATTGAAAAAAATTGTACTAGTGATTACCATAGGCGCTAGATGGATACATAACACCACCGTAGGTAAGTGGCGTTAACCTGGCAATTGTGTAGATCAAGATGGCCGCCAGGAGTAAAGGAGTCACAAAGCCCCAACATATTCGCCAGTAAACGCTGGGCCTTTTTTCTAGCATGAACTCCACATCATCCAGGAAGTTCTCGAGTCCGTAAACCCAAAAGATACCGGTGATCTCCAGGGTAGCCAGGACAAAGACGATGAATGATCCTGCGTAGTAGTCGACCAATCCCAGTACAAATTGACCACCCTGAAAAAAGGAAAGCACAGAAGAAAAATGAGAAACATTGCAAGGAAGTAACTTGGGTTATTATTATTAATTACGACAGATCACTAATAACAAATTATACTTACCGGTGTACAGTAAATCGTTCCTACGCAAAAACCAAAAAGCGTAGTTCCCAAAACAACGTGCCAATGTTTCCAATTGGGAAATTGGTCACAAATGATGCTGCTTATTCCACCAACCAAGGAGACTGCACTGCCGATACTCAAGACATAGAGCATCAAGAAGAAAAGGACCGAGAAGAGCTATAAATTTTTCATCATATATGTCTATGGAATTAAAAAAAAATATTGTTTTGTTCAATCGATCTTCCTTACCTGAGGTAGTACGGTGAACTTTGAAATAGTGTCCGGATAAGAGACAAAAGCTAGACCGGTTCCGCCGCGGACTACGTTACCGATATCGTCGGTCCCCAATTCGTGGGCCAGATTACCCAGAATACCAAAAATCGTAAAACCAGCCATGAGACTAGTGAAAGTGTCCAGAGTAGTAACGACCATTGCGTCCCTTTACGAACAAGAAAAATAAACTTTAGATATCGATTAGAAAAATTAATTATCTTTATCATACAATTGTACCTGTAGATATTGTGATCGAAGTTATTGTACGAGGAATACATGACGACACCACCAAAACAAACTGACAGCGAGAAGAAGCATTGCGTGACAGCCGCGTACCAGACATTCGGATCGAATAATTTACTCCAATTTGGTTTTATAAAGAAGATTATTCCATTGATAGCGCCCTCGAGAGTGACAGCTCTTATCAATAGGGCTATCATGACGACGTAAGGAAAAAGTGCCAGGAAGTAAGCAGCTTTACCGGAACTCTTAACACCTCGCACTAGTACAGCGAAAATGCAGGCCCAGGCGAAGAAAAGACATATAGTCAGGTTCAAATCCGGCAGACCGACGCCATCGTCGATATTATCTTTTTCCTTGAGAACGATTTTCCTGCAAATAAATATAATTAATTGACAAATAAATAACGCATAAAAATATTAATGATTATTATAAGTCACTCACGAAAAATATAATTCGGCTGAGCTTCTCAGAGTTTCGTTCTCATGAGACACGTTGGAAGTACTGTTCTCGCTCTTTCCAGAATTCACACACGAATCTCCCCATTCCGGCCGACATTTGGACCAAGGTAACTCTGATTGGAAGCTGCCAATCAGATAGTACAGAGTAACTGACATCAAGGAGCAATAATAAGTTACAACGGAAATCATGGAGCACATTTGGGCCCAGCCGACACCACGAAAGCCAGGAACAATGGACCACATCTTGACGGATGATCTGCTGGTGAATTGTCCCATTATCATCTCCAGATAATAAAACGGTTTTCCCACGATGAACAGGACAATTATATAAGGTATGAGAAAAGCACCTCCGCCATTTTCATAGGCCGTGAACGGAAATCTCCATATGTTTCCAAGTCCAACAGACGTGGCGATGCAGGACAATAAAAATTCACGGTTGTTGCCCCAATTTTGTCTTTCTACCTTTTTCTGCAATCAATAACAGAAAATACAAACCTGAAGTCATAGTCCTACATCACGTTAATTTTATTTCAGATGAGTCCCAGACAACACGTCAGATGTAAAGTCTCCGAAGGAGAACCGTGCCATATGCTTGTACAACAGACAAGACACGCATTTCATAAAGGTCGTCTTTTATTGCACGACTTATAGGATCTGCCGCTAAGTTGCGACAACGCCCAACATACAACGTTCGTGTTATCTGGAATATCTTAGACAACAGTAATACTTTTTCATTTACAATCTACGTAACGGTGCAATTATAACTATGTCGCGCTTTAAAAGTATCAAGATGTGGCAAAACGTAGATTTTTCATAAAAAATTCGCATATTGAAATGTTGCCTTGATACTTTTATATTTATTATGTTACTTTAGTAATTTCATGTATTTTACAATTACTTACAGTGACTTTTCCATTTTTCTCTTTCCGTATTGCAAATACTTCGTTTATGGATACCTGATCGTGTTCGTATCCTTTGTTTGAGACGCCATCCCGTGTATTCTATAAGAAATAGTATTTATGATATTTCAAATTTTATTGTTATTTTGTATATCAAAATTATTGATTTTTGTTTTGTTAATGAAATCTGTGGAAACTATTTGTAGGGGTTTAAGTTCTTTTTGTAACTTGAAATATGTCAAGAAGTATTTTCTAAAAAACTAAATAGATGAAGACTGTTATATAATATATTTTAGTTCTGGAGAGATTGAAAACACTATAATATGGTAAAAATGTGTTGTTCAATGAAACTAAATTATTGGAAATTTATATTTACTATATTCTGCATTTTTAGAAGACACTCCTTTTTGAAGAACAAAAAAGTCGTTCACTACGTCTCTGGAACACGTGTTAAACTGATAGTACATACAAGCTATTCTCGAGACCAAAAAGTATTTTACACCGGGGTTTGTCTACGAGTATTAGTAACGTAATTCAACATGGTGAATTGCGGGAGTATTATCAATAAGATAAAATTTTTCATCGTCGCCAACTTGTCTTATTCACGTGGATTTTAAATTTCGATTCACTTTCAAATAAATCGACTGAGTCGTGTAAGTATTTTTGATAAAAAATTACATTTCAAGAAATAGCGAGTATCTTTTGTTTTTGTAATAAATTTTTGAAATATTTAGCCACTGAAGACAGGTTAAGATACTAAGAGATGTCGGAGGAGTCCATTAAAATCGAAGCGACTGACTCTAGTAATTTGTCTGCGAATAAGGATGAATCATCGAGAATCTCAACGGAGGATAATTTGGAAATTGAAGAAGTTTCCAAAGATTCGAGTAGTAACAGTGCATCAAACTTTATAGATAATGAAGGTTCTGCAGAAAATTCATATCACATAGGAAATCTTCTCGATTTTTTGAAATATAAAGGGCTGAGTGATGATCTGAAAAATCGACTATTAATCGATGGACCTACCGATGAGATAATCAGGTAATCAAATAATCTCCTGATGCTTCCCTGGCGGATCCCATTCACTGAGTTACCGAATAAAACGGTGTATTTTTGAATTTCTTTATAACGATATTATATCATGTATACTGAAATTAAAATGACCGACATTATGAAGATTTTATACAAAGCAGATCTCTTCTCTTTTTTTTCGGGATGATTTCGTTAGTTTTTTATTCTGACATTTTTATTCCGCAAAATTTAGTCTACTCAAGACGCTGGGGTTCTCCGATCGTGATATCGAGATACTGATTAGTCTTTGGCGCAATGAAATCCAAGGTTGCGAATGTCTCGACGACGTACGCAATAAAAGTGAAATTTCATCCACCGACGATAACGCGTTATCAACATGTCTCTATTTGAAAAGAAACTTCAATCTTGTATTGAGACAAGCATTGCGAGAAGTATTGATGCGGAAGCCATACGATCCCATAGAGTTCCTAGGTCACTGGTTACTGAACTTTACGGTAGATAATTAATTATCTTAAAAAAATACTGTTATAGAAAATTTGATAAATTAAAATAAAAAATTCATTACAGGTCTGTCAGGAACGCACGCGCATGCGCCAGGAGTTTGAGGATGAACTGATGGCTGAGCGTGAAAAACAAAGGGTACGTTTAAAAGCATCTTTTTAAAAATTTATTGACTGTATATTTTCTTTTTCAAAATTCTTACAGGAACAACAGTTGGTCGATACTATTTCCGAGTTTCCTGAACGCGACGAAGCGGAAGAGTTTAATGAGGATTTTAATTTCGTAAATTACGAAAAAGCTTGAAGAACTTTATTGAACTGGGAAACGTTGTCGTTCGGTACGGTTTTTGGTAAAATAAAAAAAGTATTTGTTAAGTGAGAAAAAATAGAGTGGCGTTATAACGATAATCCGTGCAATCGTGCGACTTATAAATTATCTATAATTTACGATAATATCCGGCTGGGCGAACGGCATGTCGCGACAATGAAAATTGCCTTTACGATTCCGTCGCTAACTACGAATACTTTTCTGGTAATAAGGTCGGACGCTGTTTCGTATCAACGAAACGCTCTCATTAACATATCTTTTAATTAAAATTAATTAGTATAAATAAAATTTACATAAAGTAAATCGCCCACCGCACGCGGTGACGTAGTCAATAATAAAATTGTTTTACAAAATGAAAATGAAGTTATCCGTCACAAAGACAAGAGTCTTTGGTATTTGCATTTCTTCACTGAAAAAAAAAGTAAAAAGTTAAAAGCTACTTTGTCATTACGAAGACAAAATAATTCTTAGAAGAAAAAAAAAGAAGATAAAAAGAGTTCAGCAACGAAATATCGTCCTGGTCAATCACAGTGATTCATTTCTACATCTACCACTTTGTTTTCTTCTTTACTGAGCTTATTCTCTATCTTTAACGTTCTCATTGTTCACTTATCATTATTCCTTCCAATACTGTTCAGTTTTTTTTTCTTTCCAACAGAGTGAAGTGGAGAGTGGAAAAAAAGCGCTTACAGGTTAAATTAATATGAGAAGAATGTATCTACTGCATACGTGTAATTATGTGTGTGATTTTTGTATCAGTAAATTCTGATAATGTAACTGAGAAGGACTATTAAAAATGAATCTACAGCTAGGCAGGTACGGATTATGTACATAAGATGCGCGACTTGATTTGACCAAAAAAAGGGTCTCATTCAAAAGTGCGAGTGTGAAAATGCATTATGGTGAACTAAGCCTAAAAAGTAAAATAAAGGAAATGAAAAAGAATAGAGAAATTCATCCACTCGAGATTATCACAGTAATTTGCTCTCGCAGCCAAACATGACGTATACGAATTGTTTGATTCTTGAACTGTTTCTTTGCTCGCGTTTCTTCTTCGCCTTTTCCTTAAATTGCCGCCAGGCGGCCAAGTGTCGTGCGTTTCTAGGACCCCACTCGCTGGAGGGCCTGAAGGCTTCAAGGAACATCTGTAAAATGTAAATAATAATTTAGAACCATTATTATGTTATAATATTATAATTCATTGTAATTTTATCCTCTACACGTACTTCCGGTACTCCTAGATCTTTTTTGGTGAGGATCGTATAGATCATCCAGAATGGTATTTGCAAGACACCAAAAGCAAAAAGCGTCCATCCAGCAGCTGAAAAGTAAATACTCGAATTACAGGACGTGAATCTCAGGGACTTATGTAGTGTATGTAGACATAGCTCGAGTAATATACGTATTGAAAAAAATTGTACTAGTGATTACCATAGGCGCTAGATGGATACATAACACCACCGTAGGTAAGTGGCGTTAACCTGGCAATTGTGTAGATCAAGATGGCCGCCAGGAGTAAAGGAGTCATAAAGCCCCAACATATTCGCCAGTAAACGCTGGGCCTTTTTTCTAGCATGAACTCCACATCATCCAGGAAGTTCTCGAGTCCGTAAACCCAAAAGATACCGGTGATCTCCAGGGTAGCCAGGACAAAGACGATGAATGATCCTGCGTAGTAGTCGACCAATCCCAGTACAAATTGACCACCCTGAAAAAAGGAAAGCACAGAAGAAAAATGAGAAACATTGCAAGAAAGTAACTTGGGTTATTATTATTAATTACGACAGATCACTAATAACAAATTATACTTACCGGTGTACAGTAAATCGTTCCTACGCAAAAACCAAAAAGCGTAGTTCCCAAAACAATGTGCCAATGTTTCCAATTGGGAAATTGGTCAGAAATGATGCTGATTATTCCACCAGCCAAGGCGATTGCACTGCCGATGCCCAAGACATAGAGCATCAAGAAGAAGAGGACCGAGAAGAGCTATGATAACACAATTTTTGTAACATCGTAATAACGATAATTGTTTATGTAATTTTAAAAATCCTTACCTGGGGTAAGACGGTAAATTTAGCTATAGCGTCCGGATAAGAGACAAAAGCCAGACCGGTTCCACCGCGAACAACGTTACTGATGTCGTCGGTCCCCAATTCGTGAGCCAGATTACCCAGAATACCAAAAATCGTAAAACCAGCCATGAGACTAGTGAAAGTGTCCAGAGTAGTAACGACCATTGCGTCCCTTTACGAACAAGAAAAATAAACTTTAGATATCGATTAGAAAAATTAATTATCTTTATCATACAATTGTACCTGTAGATATTGTGATCGAAGTTATTGTACGAGGAATACATGACGACACCACCAAAACAAACTGACAGCGAGAAGAAGCATTGCGTGACAGCCGCGTACCAGACATTCGGATCGAATAATTTACTCCAATTTGGTTTTATAAAGAAGATTATTCCATTGATAGCGCCCTCGAGAGTGACAGCTCTTATCAATAGGGCTATCATGACGACGTAAGGAAAAAGTGCCAGGAAGTAAGCAGCTTTACCGGAACTCTTAACACCTCGCACTAGTACAGCGAAAATGCAGGCCCAGGCGAAGAAAAGACATATAGTCAGGTTCAAATCCGGCAGACCGACGCCATCGTCGATATTATCTTTTTCCTTGAGAACGATTTTCCTGCAAATAAATATAATTAATTGACAAATAAATAACGCATAAAAATATTAATGATTATTATAAGTCACTCACGAAAAATATAATTCGGCTGAGCTTCTCAGAGTTTCGTTCTCATGAGACACGTTGGAAGTACTGTTCTCGCTCTTTCCAGAATTCACACACGAATCTCCCCATTCCGGCTGACATTTGGACCAAGGTAACTCTGATTGGAAGCTGCCAATCAGATAGTACAGAGTAACTGACATCAAGGAGCAATAATAAGTTCCAACGGAAATCATGGAGAACATTTGGGCCCAGCCGACACCACGAAAGCCAGGAGCAATGGACCACATCTTGACGGATGATCTGCTGGTGAATTGTCCCATTATCATCTCCAGATAATAAAACGGTTTTCCCACGATGAACAGAACAATTATATAAGGTATGAGAAAAGCACCTCCGCCATTTTCATAGGCCGTGAACGGAAATCTCCATACGTTTCCAAGTCCTATCGACATTGCTATGCAGGACATTAGAAACTCCAGTCCATTACCCCAAGTGGCTCTTTCTTCAGTATCGCCCTCCGTTATTGTCTAAAATTTTCATTAATCAATGACCACAAAAATTCATTAATTTACCCTCTCTCCTTTTAATTCAACAATCTTACTCACCATCTGTTCCGGCTGCGGCACCACCTTCTTCTCCTGCACCCCATATCCAAATCCGTAAGAATCATTATTCTAAAAGAAAATTCTTGTTAAAAAAATTCCTCCTGTAATTGATCATCTATAATTAACACTCACCTTGTTGTCCTTATTCAGGTCGACCTCGGTAAGACCATCGTCCCCAAGGAAACCAGGATTACGTTTACCATCCTGAAGATAAAAAGAAAATTCACAATTACAAACAAGTGCATAAGTCAGTCAGATTATATTTTGACAGGTTATCAAATCACCGATAACAGTCACTGTTCCATTTTATACTATCGATAAGGTAACCCAAGGCTGCTAAATGCACGTGCTACTAAATACACGTAGGTTCATTGCATATTCATATAAATCCTAACATCATCACTCGCACTGTTCAAAAACCGAACGCATCGCTCACCAAGTCTAAACGCATGAAATATTTATTCCATCAACCTATTAATACCTTATCGATTGTAAATTTCCGAAAACTCTTTATTCACAATAATGTTCAGCGATTCGTTACACTCTGTACGCGTTAACTCTACCGTGTTTGTATGTCATCCGTAATGGAATTCAATTGTCTTTGCAAAACATTTCACTATGTACAGCATGTTTCAAATTCCAAAGTATCTCAATAGCATCAAACCGTCGTCTAACGAGCTTTCTGTCGTTTGCTCATTAACTACACTATATTTGTCAAACGTATAATTTCTGTATCATTCGCCATTGTATTTCTCATTACTGAATCGATCGCAACTCTCGGTATTCATTAACGATATTGACAATTCGATTTCAGTTGGTTTTCGCTGGTCTATCCTACGTAAGGGAACTCCACGTACAATCCGAAGGACACTTTCTAATTTCCGAACATTATATCGCTACATAACGTATACGTATACTGTAACAGTATCGCATCGAGTTACTTTATACAGAAGTCATACGATTTTATGATTTATTTAGGTATCGTTTAAATAATGTACCTTTTCCCGCCAAAATATTTCAAATCCAATTTAACGTTCTTTGCCATCTATTTTCTACCGTCAGGCAGTGCTTTTGTATTATATGCTTTGATGGGTAAAAGTGAACTAGTAATTGTACGACTAGCACGACTGTGACAAATGACGATTATGATTCCTGAACTAATACCGGTAGTCGGTATTACAGTAATTTCAAGACTCTCAGGATTTATCTAATATATGATTTTAATTCGTTTTGTTTCTTAATCGTGATTTCTCTCACGCTTTTAATTACTGTAATGCACAGATTGACACTGGATATTTTTATACTCACTGTGTATATGATTATAATGGATTCTGATATGCTGATGTAAGTCCGTGTATAGGGAGCAAATTTTATGTAGATTTATTATTGTTTGCAAAATTGTTCTTGTCTTTTTTTAACTTCTTATTACGTACTAGGGATCGGTAATGATTATTTTTGTTGATATCAGGAAGTATATTCCGTATCCTTGATACTTTTTTGATTACTATATGCTGTGCGTATCTTATTGGTTATGTTCGCGATGCAGTTTTGTACGATGCAGATTAATTCTCAATGCCATTAGCTGGGATATCATTCTTGGGAATGTCGATTAGTTCGTGTATAAGGAATCTGTTGTAGAATGTCGACCAAGAATAGTTCTGAAGGATAACAAGAATATTTTCAATTGCTTTTACACGTTAGTGTTTAAGAATAAAATTGGAAGGCGGTTATTATGAAATTATAATAATCTGGAAATTATTTTCTATTTTTTCACTTTATGCCTATTTCACTTCCTTTCATTTATATATTACGTATTATCGTACTTACTGTCCAGTTATTAAGCAATATTAATTACCGTTAATGACTGTATATAACATTGTTTATTATTTAAATTGATTTTATAAATTTTGGAAGACAAATTTTTTATCTGAATCATTAGTACTAGTAATGATTGTACACGATAGTGAGAAAATTTTTGAAAAGATTTTGACATTTTGGAAATTACGTTTAATCTATATGTAAGTTGTTAGGGAAGTAAGCCAACTTTCACGTTAACCGATAGAAATAAGTTTGATTTCTCGTAATTCCAAAGAATTTCAAAGGCCGTTCGAATTTAAAATCGAAAGTATATAAATTCTTCGCTAAGAATCGTCAATGTCATGAGATGGAAAGTCTGGCTGCTCCTCGTAATAAGCATACACGTATTATACATCTTCTATGAAACATCAAGCAAAATGGTATAAATATCAAGAAGACTTCTTTTCAAAATAGCATCCGGTACTAATTGTGAGACCGTATCTCATTACTATATACAATATGCAAAATAGACGCAACACTGAAAAGACATTTCAAAGACATTAAAACGACAATGCTTTGGTAAGCATAAAGAGTCGATAAAACTATAAAGGTATATGTAACTTAAAAAAAAAAAAAAGAATACCAAAAAGGACTAAGAATAATAAATCAAATAAATGACAATAAAAAGGTTTAAAAAAACTATATAATTAAATTTCAATTATAAATCACTGCTACTCCAGTAAATTCCAAAATTTATTAAAACTAGTAAAAAACCATTGATTCCAAAATAAATACGTACCTCAGAAATATTCATGGTTCAAAGCAGTAAAAACGAAATATCCACAATGATGAAAACACATAAAACATATATCGATTTTATCCAATGCAAAACACGTATTTTGTACACCGCATTAAAGAAGTAAAGTAGAATAGTTAATCAAGTTTCTTACTTCATACTTTGTTTCTTTCGACACATACGAATAATTAACTTTTACGGTGATAACAGGCAAAAAAATTCTAATAGCGTTTAATGATAAGTCCCAACAAGACCCTGGCCCAATGTAATCCCACGATACCAGTTGGTGTTTCGTCGACGAAGTGCGACTACTCACTGGTAGCGATCACTGAAGAACACGAGGTTGTCGTTGTGTCCCAGGTCGTTCAGGTGAATTGTGACCACTGCGTATAGTAGAATCAGGGTAAACCGTTCACTGGTAACAATCATGACGGAATCATCATTGGAAGCATGAGATATACAGTATAATAGGCAATTCCCACCATAATCCATAAACTTCCTGAACGCCGATAAAATTCCTTTCGTGGATCTGAACGACCGTGCTTCCTGAATATCTGCGTCATAATTTAATAGAATTGCAGAGGTAGAAAAATTAAACGGAACGATTTTGAAATTCGATCCTTGATAACCGATCTTCGTGGGGGGAAAAAAATGCTTGAAAAATTAAAAAAAAATTAATTTGAAATCTTACGAAATTAAAACTGCCAATCGTTTCATGTGGGATGACTTTACGGAAGTTGGTACCCAACGCACGACCTAATTACTTTCCTCGAGGTTAGTTATATAAATATGAAATTTCTACAGGATTTCTTGCTGTGTAAAATCGAGAGTTTTGAATGGCGCTGTATAACTATTGAATTCTTTTCACTCGTCTGGGACGCCGTCGTTTTATTGGTGGTAAGAAAGTAACTTAATGAATTTTATAAATTGGGCTTTATGATAATAATTTTTTTTTCCTTTACATACTGATTCCAGTTACCTATATCGTGATGCCGAACATTCTAAAATTTTCCTTGTTTTTCTCTCGGTCGATAATGTAGAAAGGTTCGAAACTTTCTTAATAGTTTTTTGTACTCCCAACAACATAAGAAAACCGATCCGAGCCCTTCTACGTTATAGTAGAGCTCGTAACACCGTAACACCGTGCTCCAATTTTACGAGGAACGATCATCAAGGTGTATCCACACTGAACGATTCTAGAAAAAGGAGAAAAAAGTTGATTTTTTTCAAAATTTCAAATAAGCCATTTTTTTAATCATTAATTTACATTGCATATATCGACTACAGGAATGAGATTAAGCTATCGTCTAGAAATTGTGTAAGATTTTGAGAAATAAATTAAAAAATTATTCTATTGATTGAATCTATTGTTTTTGTTAATGTTTCGATGTTAATTGTCTCCTTTTACCGTTTGACGAACCCTACTAATTTCCTGACCTCGTTAAGATGAACTAACGTCAATCGTAAGACAACTGTCTACATCATCCAGACAGCTTGGACTTGGCAATCCGGTCCAGCCGGGAAGGCAGGTTTAAAGAATACGTAAAAACTGGGGAAAAAAGTAAAACCAGAGTTATGAGCTAAACGAAATTGCCGACCATTTTTCTTGGTATCGATCAGCACTGAACTGGATTCTGCCAGACAGGACCAATGGATGTACTATTTAATAAGGTGCGTGCACAACATTCAGTGGCCATCTGGGATTATCGAAGACCTGAAAAAGTGTCAGGAAATAAGCAACAATTAACGAATACAAAAATAACAAAATATTCATGACCAAATGAAATCGTTTAACAATAAAAGCATCGTTTAGATAGTTCGATTGAAATAATTAAACCGTAATAAATAGTCAGTATTTACTAGATATTAACATCGAATTACTAGTTCTTATTACTACCGCATTCTATATATCCTCCGTGCATTTCATAATCTACGATTTGTCATCCCACAAAACGTCATAGACAAGTACATACGTCTTGAGAAATGACGTTGACGGAAACAGAGAAATATATGTATATCTCATTAGTATTTTTACATGTGCCTTTAAGCTTCGTTAAATCCCACGTATATGTTTACGTACATTTTTTCGTTTACGCACAACCGTACCGTCGCGTAGTAAAAAAAAGAACATGCTCAAAAAGTACTGGTGAGAAGCATGGTTACTGTATAACATACAGTGTTGACAACAATGGATTCGGAAGAAAACGAAGGCCATCATCCTCACTTGGAACAATAGAATTGAGGCATACTTATAAATCGGATATGTAAGTTCAATCTGGATTGTAAAATATAACTTGAAAATTCTTCATTTTCTCTGCAACAAATAAATGTGTTATCATGAAAGTATAATTTTCAATGAAAAGAAAAATAAAAATAAAAGACGTTATTTTATACAAACTTACAACGGAAAGTGATTCTTTGCAGTATCTAAGAAACATCGCGATTTACGGTTGCTCGCGCAATGGTGTCATTCGCGAGTGTAAAAGCCAATATTCCTTGGCAATCTGTAGAATACGTGTATAAGTATATAAAGTTATTCACGACAAACGTACAACCTGAAGGTGGTTTTGCCGTTGAAATCAAACAGAGAGGTTAACTTCAGGCGATCAATTTCCCGTGGATAACCTTGCATACATTTACTCCAAGGATCAGGATAATCATATTCCCCTACTTCTACCTTAGATCCACCAGCTGATCAACATCACGTACTGGGATTCACCCTGAAACTTGGATATTCTGAGAATTACTTTTGCGTGTATTGTTTCCAAGAAACACAGTTTCGAAAGCCAGACGACTGCGCTAAGTAACACGTGTGTTCGGCTATCCAAGTATTCACGTGTGTGTTGAAGGCGACAGACCCAGTGTTTTGCAGTGACGTAATTGAGCATCGCGTACCAGTTTAATGATGTTGCTGTAGGTTGTTAAGGAGAAAAAAAAATACAAAAAAGGAAACTAAACTAGATACTTAAACATCATCTGTATCCGGTTCACGTATTTCGGGACTCGGAATGGCATATCTCTGGACGTTACATTTGGATCTGTCAGTTCTTGTAATAATTACGGAGTGACGTCATCCTCGGGTAACAATAAAGGTAATTTCTCTTTTTACATGCTTCATCTTTGTTTTCTTATTGTACCCTGTGATGTGTTTTCATGAGCCATATTTTTTTCTAAAAAAAGAGAAAAGAAAATATTAGTTCATTGACAGGAAATTCAGTGATTGTGTATTTTACGAGCTGATTGTTTTTTTCGGATCTTACTTCTTTTGTATATTTTGAATTCACGCTTTTAAGAAATTTTCACGGGTATATAAGTGGAGGTGTCATCAGTGGAGGATTTACTAAACGCGGTATTCCCCGAGAATCCAATCCAGCTGTCTTGTTCGAATGAAAGAGTAATACTTGTTTGAATCTATTACCAACATCTTATGCATACTGTGTTTGTTCAGATTATTTTGAAATTAGTCATACGTACGCAATAGACCCGACTGAAATATTTCACACGGTTACAATTAATTTTTTGTTTTTATCGTGAGTTATTACTGTCACTAAAATTTCGGAAAATCACTGTCCCATGGCTAGGATGAATTATTATGACAATCTACAAGCTACGGATCTGATGTACCGGACTGAATGAATAAAAGAATAATAAAAAGTGTCATCTGGCTTTTAATCATTCTCCCAACAAATTAATTATCTTTATAGCAATGCACAATAAATATGCTTAGCAAAACCATATGCATGATATCAGAAGGTTAATTTTTATCCGAGATTCTTTGTTCCCCGATATTTATGAGACAGGTTATTTTGTTTGTTGTTGGTAAATAAAAAGTAGTCTAATTCAACGTGGACAGAGGCTCTACATGGCTGGTTATGAAAGACCCAACAAAGTTCTTCAAGTTTAATCTTTGATTACCAGAAAAATTGAATAATAAATCAAAAGTACGTCAATTTACAATGTGACTAATGTATAAGATGAAAACCGGTATGGTCCGAGGCCATTTTATGGCGGATTGCTTTCATCGCCAAAAGAGAAACAAAGGTCAGTGACTTTTCTTGCTGATGGTGACGGGTAATCTTCGCATTGCCATGTTGTTTACTGTTGTATTCTTCCTATACGGAATTATATTGCTGTAGCCTTTACGGCTTTTAATTCTTTATGGCGCACCTACACCGGTCGCCCTTGGAAAACTTTCCTGGTATCACAAGAACAAAACTCGGCTAGTATGTCGAATCATAAGGAATGGCTGGAGGCGATTTTTGTATATAAGTACACATATGTGTCTTTTAAAGATCGCATTGAAGACGAGTACTCACTAAAAAAAATGAGCAAATAAAAAAAATATTACATCTGAGAATTACTCTCAAATACTTTTTCATATTGAAAACAGCCTCAACGACCTTTTTATGCTAAATCAATAGCAACATTTGCGTCACTGTTTTAAATGTCAAGTGTAACCCGTACGGGATCTTGGAAATGTAAAAAAGATTATGCTCATTGATATTTCGAATTCATTTTGTACATACATACTGGAGTTAGGCGTTCCACATCGGTCAGAGGAGTTCTTGAAGATTTAAAATAAAGACGTAAAACATTGAGAGGCCACCATCTTTTTAAGCATGCTACCACGTCGTGTTCTGCTTACAGTAACAAACAAAAACAGAAATTGAATAAATTACTTATACATATTTGATCAATTGCTTTTATGTATTTTTTTCCGTTAGGAGAGAGTTGTATTGACTGAAAAACAAACGAATTTTATCTTAATTAATGTTATCGATAACTCTTAAGAATTTTTTTGAAAAATGTTGATCACTTCTTTTTTTAAAAAACGGTACAGCTGATCAGGCTATTTATTCACTAGCAATAGATGGCAGATTAAATGGTTTTATTTTATTCGATATCGTCTTTCGATTGACACTGGTCTCCTATACTGGTGTAGACGTTGGAAATTTTCGTAAATTTTGTATAAAATTAATTTATGAATTCCAACAGAACTTGTTCTTATTTATTCATTTGTTAGGCAATGTAAGTATTGATTTATAATATGGAGAATACTTACAAGGTTATCTTAGTAAGACAAACCCAATCCCGATTCCTTCGAATTACGAAATCGGGCAGCATCTATCAATACGTAATGATCATTAATAGTGAGGATCACAACGAGAAATCGAATGGTACAAGTCTGCCAGCGCATTTGCTTGCCAGAGTATAGATGTTTGATGATTACAATTGCCTTAAAACCAGTTTCCACCGGTAATAGCTGGTTTCTTGGTTCTACTTTCACCTTATTCCTTAGCGAACCCTTTACTTAAACCAAAGGTTATGGCTTCATTGTCTGTTACGATAATATGAATAATGGTGACAACTGTCATGCATATATTATTTTAAATTTGAGTGCCGTGCAACAAAAGTAATTACAGGAATAAATTGAATTCTTTGACAGATGCAATTAAAGTGTCCTTCTTTAGCTTTCGAGGAATACGTTCAGAACGGTAATAATTTACCGGTGGCGTTACCTTAATTGTTATAGAGGAACTAGTTTCAAAATAATCTCGAAATATGACTGTGTGATGGCGCTGTACGATAAATAACGATAATTTCTGTTCGCATTTGAATTTTCTCTTGTAACGAACTTCCGTAGAAGTAATTGATTAACGAGAAATTTTTATAATTTGGATTAAGATGAACGCCATAATGCGATTCGACGAAACTAAGCACAACGGTATTATTCTGATTTCATAATTAAAAATTTTTTCTACTGAATTTATAACCAGCAACGTCACTTGCTTATAGCCTTCCAAAAAATCGTGGCAAGGTTCTTGATTCTTGATTTGTGGATATTAATGAAACTCAGACGTGTTTTTAAGGCGTGCCTTAAATTATTATTACCAGCTGTTGAAATATTGTGCGTTCTGGGAGTAGGAGCTTGTAAGTTTTTATGCAACGAGTATAAAGCTATTTCATTATTATAGATGGTACTGTACAGTATACAGTTTACAGGTATACTCTTTGCATATACATTGATGCAGATAAAGGTAGACGTTCCTGCATATAGCGAGGGTTACAATCACGGAAAGATAAAACCTCTGCGAGAAAATTTACTTAGCTTGACAGATGCATCGAGAATTGACGCCTCGCGTATGAAGAAAGAATTTATATTGCTGAAGAATCAAGCGCAGAGTCTGGAGATAATGTTGCGCAAAATGGTCTGACTTTTGACATTTGATTATCTAAAACAAATCTAAAGTTATTTCTTTTCAGAAATCAAAATTTAGAAGCCTTCAAATACATAACGAAGTTAAAGGTAAAGAGGTAATTCAAATTTTGACAATGTTTCTTATATAAAAATATATTTTTCTAATAAAAGAGGACTTGGCGGATTTCGCATCTGAAGCAGCTGGTGCATCGATTTTGGATACTCCGGATACACAATCCTTTTATGAACCAGCTCAAAGCCAAATAACTCTCTTTGGAATTCCATTATGGAGTGCCAGTTACTTCACTCCACGAAAAATCATTCAGGTTTATGCTTATCCTTGAAAGTAATGTAGTCTCACGGTTATTTTATGATCTGGATTTCTGTCATAGCCTTGGACCCAACCTGGGGAATGTTGGGCATTTCATGGATCCAAAGGAAAAGTAGAAATTGCATTAGCATATCCTGCAATAATTGGAAGAGTAACTTTGGAACATATTCCAGCATCAGTTTCTCTAACAGGGAAAATAGATTCAGCTCCTAAAGCATTTAATCTCTTGGTAAGGCAAATAATATATGTATGATTATAACAATAGGTGACTACTAGTGCCTTATTTTCAATTTTATGTTCCATGCTAGGGAAAGTCCCAAGATGGTTATATACTAATTGATAAGTTTGTTTACAACATTCGTGGCTCACCTTCGCAGACATTTCAAGTTAACGTATGTGAATTTAATGTCAGGAAATGTATTTCTAATGTATAAATAGCTTTACTTCCGCAACTGGTTATAGAATAAGGATGTGCACAAGGTGCCTTTTAACAAAGTAATGCTGGAGATCTTATCAAATTGGGGACATCCAGAGTATACCTGTATTTACAGATTTAGAGTTCATGGAAGGATATTCCAGAAATCGGATAGGATGGGACAAGCATATAAGTATCTGAAGACATATTAATGCGTAGAAAACAATTTTGTCAAGGAATAAATAAACGGTTGTTAAAGTTTAGCTCACTTTATTACAATTGTACAAAGTGCAGTCATCTCGTGGTAGTCACAAGGATGATGACATTTACCATGTTTCGTTGGTAGCACCACCCCAACTTTGGGCAGCGGTGGTAGCAGGCGTGGTTGGAGCCCATTCCTCAGGATCCTGAAAGGAATATACATATATATTTTTGTTACATTTTTAATAAAGAAAGGATATCGTCATGAAGATTAATTGTGACGTATAGGAAACCTTACCTGAGCAGCCCAGTCCACATTTGCTGGACGAGGATAAGTAGCAGGAGGAGCAGCTTCTTCTGTAGGGATTGCAGGAGCAACAGGTTGAACTACATCATCACCCCAGTTTTCGGCAGGAGGGGCACCTGGAACTTCGTTATTCCAAGCAACCTCGGCTACTGGTGCAGGTTCGGGAGCTGCAGTGAATTCCTTAGGTGGTGGAGCTATTTCCTTAGCTGCCTGTTCTTCCTTCTCAGCCTGCATTATGAATGTTTAATTAAATAAAAGAGAAATTTTAAGATAAACCTTTAGTAATAAGAACGATCAGTTCAGCAAAGATTAAGCCATATGTACCAACAGATTTTTAATTCTGGACATGAGTGTATCATCATAGTATTTAAATTCATCGTAATTAAGTAAGTGATGCAAGTGAAAAATTATATTAGAATACAATGCGCAATACGAACCTCATCAGGATCTCTGTGGAAGAACAAGTCAACGACTACGTCCCATTTGGTCTCACGTGCAATGGATCCACGAAGACGAAGAACCTCACGAGCTAGCAGCCACCACATTAAACCAATGCTATGTGGGTTCTTGTTGTTGCTTGGAATCGCAATGTCGACGAAACGTAGAGGCGAATCAGTATTGCAAAATGCGATTACTGGAATGTTCACATAACTAGCTTCTGTGATGGGTTGATGGTCAGTAGCTGGATCAGTGACAATAAGAAGTCTGGGTTCACGGAAGGCAGCCTACAAAATCAAATTAATTACATTAATTCTTCTACTTTAAATATTGAAGCAACAGGAATTAAATAAAAGCATGAATCAGCAAAGATTAAGCCATATGTACCAACATAGAATAATTCTGGACATAGTTGTCACATCATATCAATAGATTAACATATTCAAATAAGATAATACAAATTGCAAAACTCATACCTGGATCTGATTGGTAAAGGCACCAGGAGTGAAACGTCCAGCAATGGGAGTAGCACCAGTGTGTGCAGCAAATTTCAGCACAGCCCTTTGGCCATACGATCTACAACTGATTACAAACACCTCGCTGGGATGCTCAATAGCAACAATTGCACGAGCAGCAAGCAATAACTTTTCCCAAGTGTGACGAAGGTTGATAATATTCACCCCAGCACCTAGCATTAACATTCGATCATTAAATACCAAACTCTCAACACTGTAAATTCCACAATTTGCAAAGAACTTACCATCAACGCGACGCTTGTAAACATACTGCTCCATTTGGAAATTAACATTCTCGCTACCCAAATGGGTGCAAGCCGCCAACATTTTGGTAACGTCATCCTCTTTGAGGGCTAAGACGTCTAAACCTCCTGACATCTTAACGTTGTGGTTGAATTACGAGTCAACCTATAAAACAAATTATCATTATATCTCTACTCACTCCATAAAAATTAGTACAAAAGTATTAAGTCTAAAATTAAAAAAGTACAGTAAAACGGATACAGTAATGCAAGCATGGTAGCAAGCTACAGTGCTTACCACGTGTGTTGAGTGAAACATATAACAAACTATAAGTATAATATACAAATCTATAATAAAATGAATATATATTTTCATTCTTTATATGTATAGTAATACATTTTACTTAATTACAGGATCTTAGGCGTGCTTTATATCAAGAAATATTGAAAAATTGAAGAGCAGTCTTACGTGTAGCAATGCCACTAGGAGTTCCTCTGTCGGAAAGGAAGTAGACCCTATATTTACTCGCTCAGTACGGCGCTGAAAAACTGGAAATCTATTATTAACTTTATGTTTAATAATCAATTATAATGTGAATGTTGAGGTACGCAAATAATCAAACAATTGTTTTCATTATTTTTTACGCACACTTTATTTACAATTTAAACAAATATAATATACTTTTATAGATATATAGTAAGCGGATATGCACTAGTCAACAAATAACTGTGCATCAAGGATAGTCATTGGTATAGCAAGATGCGCTATTGGCTGTTGAATAGGGAGTACATTTTGTAACCCAATGAAACGCTTATTTCGACTAATTGTAGCAACTACTGCGCGAATATCAATTTACAGAGGGATTTTTAAATAATTTTACTCTTCAAGAAGTCAAAAAATTAATTATGTTAATTTTGTAGATTACAGTAGCTAAATTTTGTTTAATCTATATAATTACTGTTATTAAAGATAGGATTTCAAATATATAATTACTGTTACGCTACGTAATACGTATGTATATTTTTTTATAATCGGATAGTTCAAAATAAAAAATTTGAGTTACTCTTAGACGGATAAAATAAAGATTTATTAATATAATGTAAAATGTATTTTAGGCTTCTTCAAATCGAACCTAACCTACGAAAGGATAAAACGAACATAACCTACGGAACACAAGCTGCCTGGTGTTTACCAATAATAAATTTCTGCTTGTCAATAGATTTATCTAATAAATTTATTCAAGTATCGTGTGTAAATAAATACTTCTTATTTTAGCGTAAAAAATAATATAATTCCAAACTATAGTAGTTTATCCAAAATGATATAAAAAATGTATCCAGCAAATCACAAAACAGTTTTCGTGTTAGATCATACACCCTATTTTGGTATTTCTACGGAAAGTCCATTAGAATTTGATTGCCTAAAAACTCGGGGTCAAAATCTTATACCATTAGCTCCAATATGCAAGTCCCTATGGACTACAAGCGTGGAATCTTCAATGGAGTACTGTCGTATAGTTTGGGATTTATTTCCCACAGGGAAATTGGTAAGAATTTACATTTCTCTAAATCCCCTGTTTAATAAAAAAGAATATATATCATTTTTATTCTTAGGTAAGATTTGTAGTCAGCGACCATGCTGCTCACATATTGAATACCTGGAGTGCATCACAGCAAAATTTATCACATGTGAGTCACAAACAAAATAGCAGTTAACAGTCATAAATTATTTATGGTTTATAAACTATATATTATGTCTTAGATAATGAATGGAATGGCCATTATTGGAGTACCTCCAAGAACTCATCAGCCTGGAGTTGACTTCTCTGTGATACATGGATTGCGTGTGGCGATAGAGGCTTTAACAGAGAGTTCAGAAATCCAACATGAAAAAAGAACTTCGCTAACAGAAAATGCTACCAAACTTTTAAATAGTGGCAGAGTTATATGTATTACTAGTGCCAGAGACGATATTAATATGAAGAGCTTAGAAAACATATTTTTAAATCAACTAACACAGCAGAACAAAATAGCCTTAACCTCGGATCAGTAACTATTTCATCTATCATACATGTTATAGAAATAATGTTTCTATTATAAAACTACATTTCTGTTTCAGCTTGATACCAGTGCATCACTGTCATCTGGTAATCCTCAATATATTTCCTAATAACATCGAATCCCAAGTTACCAGTCAAAGTCCCAGAGAGGTTTGTAATTTGTTTACTCTTAATAATTTATAAATTATTTAACAAGAACAAGAATAAAATTATTACTAACCTTAAACACAAATAACAGGTATCGCCATTACTGACGATGGAAGTACATTCCATGAAGGCTCCCGCCTTACATTCTAAATTGTCTCATTTAATTCTATCCCATTATGACCTGGCCAGTACGACAGTCACAGGTATCCCCATGAAAGAAGAACAAAATGCCAGTTCATCTGCAAATTATGATGTGGAGATATTTCACTCATCAGCAGCACATTCAGCAATTTTAAAAGGTAATTCCGCAACATCAGAATTGAAAATAATATCATCCTTGAACTGAAATATGATTGTTTGCAGGAAATCCTCAAGACTCGGCATTGATAAAAACTTTCAGGAGATTCGAGGAAGGTTCTGAGTACGAAACTGTGACGTTAAAATGGTGTACGCCAAGAGGATGCAGTGCATGTGAAATGCAAAACTGCACAGCGATGCACAGAATCACACCTGTCGACGTAAACAGTAGACCATCCTCATGCCTAATCAACTTCCTATTGAACGGTAGATCTGTTATGTTAGAAATGGCCAGAAAAAGTGGTGGGAAAACGATATCACATCTCCTAGCTGCACACGGTGGTGAGATATTTATTCACACGTTATCCACGGCAAGAAGTGTGCTTGAGGATCCACCGTCTATCAGTGAAGGCTGTGGAGGACGCGTTACTGATTATCGTATAACAGTAAGGATTTATCCTCGAGAAAAATGATTAACTTATAAATTATTTAACATTTACTAATTATCTTATAAAATCTTACTCATCTCACAGGATTTTGGAACTCTCATGCGAAACAATGTCTTAGTGCCTTTAAAGAAAAATTCAAGTGATGAGGGAGAAGGTCCTGCAGCAAAAATGAGATCAAGGCTTGAACGTCATACTAAATACTGGCCCATCACAATATCAAATACTCTAATGTTTAATCTAAAACAAGTAAGATAACCAATATGCTAAAATAATTCTCAAGATGTAATCCCAAAACTAATACACTCTTTGTATCTGCAGCTGATAGATCCGTTACCAGAGTTAATGGTTAAAGATGACTTAACGAAGGAAGAGATAGTACAGTGCAAACAAATAATCTTTGCTCTCCTGCAACTTGAAGCAAAGCACGAGCCCCTACCATTGCCCAGCATAGGTGGTGGACGTGGTGGTAAAGGAGGAGTTCGTCGCGAGGAACATTACCGTCTTCTCTGGGGAGAGTTAGAAACATTTCTAAAAGGTCACGCAAACAATTCAGCCGCCCACGTCGAGGTGCTCAATTGTCTTTTAGAAGTTCGAAACAAGGACGACAAAGATAAAGTAGAGCTGGACCAAGCATTACGGGAATTGGACGGGTTAGTTTAAGTCCAAATTCAAATAATTATCTCTCCAACGTCTCTTTAGCATCAAACAATAATTATCTCTCTCTACAGATTAGGAAAGGAAGACATAACAGCCCGTGCAAGTGTAATCCGTGCCACAACAGATTCTCCCATGTCACCGCCACCATGTACCTCTGTGTCCCTTGGCAAACAATTACACAAGGGTAGTCTATACACTCCAAAGAGTCTCCTGGACATCTGGCTACAACGTAGCGCACCCAAGGAAAGGAAACCAGAGTTCCACGGTAGAATACAGTCGGACGGACCCAAGGCAAAGTTATACCCAAACCTTAAGGAACCTGGCAGGGAACCGCGAGAACCAATCCTAGAGGCTTAATTAAAAAAAGAACAAAAAAAATAAAATCCAATCATTTCAATCAATTGTACATAATGCAAGAGAATACATACATTCAAATATAACATTCCTATCAGCCTGTACATACACTCTCTACAAGAAGTAAAGTCGGTGCAGCAATCTATATACTATACTATTGATTTCCATCCGAAGCTAACTTATCAGAAGCGTCTGAGCCGAAGATACATTGACCCCGGAGAGTCGTTGTATAGCGTGCCTGTCTCGAGGAATGCCCACGCCAGTCTACTAATCGATGAAAGGGAAGGAAGGAACTAAGTCGAGAGAGAAGGAAGGTATACTATATAATATAATGCGAGCACGTTGGTAAAAGTAGTGGGGATGTGCCAGAAAGTACAAGTGTATGACGTAACGGTTCATTCATCCGGGGACAGACGATATCCCGGTCAATGGTATATAGATGCGTATATGTATACATAATACATTAACTTATATGTATAATATACGTGCTTGTGTAAATATGCGTATATACAAACACACGTATAAAGAGCTACGTTTTAAATACAGGATAATCCAAATGTTCGTGCGGCGTCTGAGTAGATGTATTTTACACTCAAGCTTGTAACTTCATGACACAAGTATTACTATTGTTTGTTATGTCTCTTCCGAGACTGCGTGTCTTGGCGCGGGTCTGTAATTAATTATTTACAAGGCTGTCCGTTATCGTCGAAGCCAATGACATTTGCAATATGAATCAAGTATGCTACTTAGGTTGAAGTTCTGGGGCAGACATAAACGAGGTACAGTTATTCTTTTAAAGAATATAAATTAGTGGAAATGACAATTTCATTTTTTATCAGTATTGAGTTTTAGTTTTGATAATCCTGAACACTTGGTTTCTCATGAAATAGAATTAAAAATGTATAAAAGGGGGAAAGATTGATTTTCCGATAATGTCTTTACTATTTTAGTGTAAAGTTTCATAACGTCATTGTTCAGGTTTCTGATATTGGATAGTGCAGTGCTGGATATCGACCGACCTGGGTAATCGTGTCCGTCGGGTTTATGTTTTATAATTTAGTGGCCAGCTTTACTTCTAGAAACTCTTATATGCCTGCAGTGATCGTCATAGAGGGTACAGAGCGAACGGATATTTTACTGTAATGAATCCTCAACGTTTATTCTCTTCAGTGTTGAGATCTTTTAAAAATAAATATTGAAATATCTCGTATAAATATAACAGACCTAATAGAACCATTTTCCTGGAGTTTTCAAAACTTATGGAAATACAGTAACACAGGATAGCTGTGTGTCCCAGCAGGATTTTCATTTTCGCATCTGTAAAGCCCCCTAAAGGCCATTTAGGGGTTCGGCTTCAGTACGGTTCTGTACGGACCAGCAGAAAATGGTAAGGTTTCACGTTAGAAGGGAGACTTTGAAAAAGTGCGTTTCCGTAGCAGCTGCGCATACGAAACTAAACGCTATACGAGGGTACGAAGAGGGAAGCCAGCTAGTGTATACTATGAGGGTAGATTGAAAGGCGACAAAGGGAACCTCTGACCCTCGGGTTACCCTGGACTACCCGTAGAGAGAGGGAGAAAGCCATACAACCGTGGCATAGTACAGTACGTATAGACTCTACCTAGAAACCAGTCCTGGTACAGCAGCTTGTCAATGGAATACGTTAAAACACACCTAAAAAATTCAGACTTCACTGGTAGAAGCTTTTGCTCCAGTAGAAAGAACCTAAGTCCCTGCTGGAAATAGCCTCACTGAAAATTTCATGACAAACATAAGCCACTCCACTAGGTATGAAACGTGGAATATTGTTAATAAAATTATTTCAACTTGCTCATAAGCATAAGGAAAACTTACCCAATCCTATGTACATACAATGTAATTCATACATTACTCATATTGACATCCTAAGTACCCTGCGTAACACATGTTGCTCAGTACTCTGAAACTACCTGTGAAGGAAGGGTGATTATGTAGGTCAGAGACTCTGGATGGATCGAGGTAGAAAGTCAAAGGTAACACTAGGTATGGTACGTACATATAGAGAAGTGGGAATGTATAAGGGTGGCTACGTCGAACGCCCCCACAGCACATTCTACGCCATAATGTTTACACATATATATACAGCATATACTATATCTATACAGTCACATCGTTGACCTTGTGTTTTGTATACATTATTCTCTCTCGCTTACTCCTTCTCCGGCTATCCTTTCGTCGTGACGTCCGGAGATGGGAGACGGCGGCGGCATTACACCCGCGATCCCGTAACCCAGGGAATTCCCCCATCGTCCCCTCCTCAGACCAACCAGTTGTTCCGTCTGTGACGTAACGGGCTATCACACGAGCTGTCGGTGTTTTGTATGTATCACTCTCTCCCGGCTGGTCTCCTTGTCCAGGAATTCCCAGCAGCCTCCCGCGGCCATCTTGCCCATAAGCAGGAGGTAAAGTTGTATGGTGAAGGAGTGACGTAACAGGCTATCGTACCATCCATCCTCTATACATATATATACATATAATACTAGCTTCATGTAAGAGATAGAAAACAAAGAAGATAAATAGCTAATAAAGAATACACACTCTTACTAAAGACCTCCTTACCTCCTAACCTACGAATACACCGATATCCCAACCCTACCCAACTCTCTTCCTCGAGAGTCACTACTCGAATGAGCATTTATGCTACGAAGGTCGTTGTACAGACATTACTAGGTCACTAATCTTCTCCCTCCACTTAAAACAGGCATGCTTTCCCCTTCTGCTTAGCGTAGATCGTAACATAAGATTCACTGCTTTAGTTAGTCTATTATTTATGTCTCTCTATTTTACAAATGCTGTATTAATTTCTAACGGACTCCTTCCTCCCTACTCCTACGCCGTCAACCAATTACGTACTCAAAGTACTATTCGTTCAGCCAATCAGAATTCAGTCTCAGTGACATACCTTTCGTCTTGTATGAGATACCGATGTTTATTTCTCTTATTAATCTTTATTTTATACTGTTTTTAATTAGACCATCGATTTATTAGTCTTCAAGAAGATCTTTATTGTTAATAGTGCAAGGATTTCGTCTAGAAATACTGGGGTTGCTAGAGAGGCGTATTTTAGGGTTACATAGAGCTCGCGTATGTAATGGCATATTTTTGTAACCACGTCCACTTAGGTGTAAGTATGCGTTCAAGCCAAATTTATGAATTTGGTGTGTATATACATAGCGATGATAAGCTATTAACGGATACCGTGCTGTATCTACGTGCCTTGAGAGAATTCATATACGTTTATATCCAAGGTCACTTTCCAATGTAATTTTAGAATCTGTGATCTAAATAAAGCCTCGTTGATGGTTACGGATTATTCTTGTGTTCGACTAATGCGACTGGTATTTACTTAGCCTGAATACATCGGACTCGTTCTATTTAGGTTTGTATATTATTTCAGTTGAATATTAGTAGTTGTATTATTACAAGTATAACCTATGTACATAAATTATTATTCCTCGTTATGCTTTTCTCTCTTGACAGATCTGGAAAATATGTCTGTCGCACATAACCTATACGCACGAATGCTCAGTGATAAATTGTCTAGCTATCTTTTGTCTCGTTCAGAAAGAAATTACTGTCTTCCCAGATAATTCCCAGGGGAAACGTGCTTCCCTAGTTGTATCGTGTATCGATTTTGGTCTCCTTGTAGAAGACGTCAATAAGGTGTACTCGCCGTCCTATGTATTTAAAAGCAGGAAACGTCAACGTTGACGCTACCGGCATTTTTTTGCGATATTAAGAATTTATTTACTTTTTTTTCTTCAAAAGTAATACCTTCTCAATATGTTTTTAGGACTACTTTAGGTATAAATCGTCTACACTTGGGATCATGTATTTTTATTTATTTTTTAAATAATCATCCACTACATTAATGTTCACTCTGATAATTACAATCATCTTTACCCAATCGAAAACTGACAAAGGTTAAATCATCCTTGCGGTTGATCCCGACGTCAACGTTATCATCGTCGTGGTCATTATCATTATCGTATCATTTTATTCTCGTAGTCAATTAATTCTTGTCGGGGTCGTCGTTCACCCTTACAAATAATGACAATCGACATTTTTATCATTAATAGACGATCTTCGCAGTAATCCTGGCATTTTGGAAAATCATTAGTTGTCAAAGAAATATCTCATACACTCCTCTCTCTCTTGCACTCTTGTTCATTTTCGCACTCTCTCTCTCTCTCTCAGTAGCTACATACACGTCGTCAATCTTACCCATTATTACCATAATAATAAAGATTAAAATAACTCCGTACAACCAATAATTATATTAAATACAGCTAGTAACATTCGAAACTAAAAATCGCCGTGAATCGGTGTTGCTACCTCGCATTTAATTGTTTCTCCATTTATTTTAAAACTCATGTTCTTTTTTTTCCATCTATATTTTTTGTTAATTACTTTTTTGCTCTTTCCTTTCGTTAAGGCCATAAGTGAAATATCTAAGTTTACAATATTCAGCGCTACGTAGTGTATATAAATTGTTCCAGGATCCTATATGAGGTACAATATGCAGAAGTCTTTTTTTTTCATGAACTATGTAAATCGTCTATGTCGACCATTTTACTTTTTCATTTTCCCGCGACTTCCATCGTATCCACAAACCTTTTTTTTCTTCTTTGCCGTTCTAGTTTTCTTTTTTCTCGCTTCATTTAACTCCCAGTCATTCCTATCGCACTCACGCACACTTGTTTTCCCTTTTTCTCTCTCTCTCTCTCTCTCTCTCTCTCTCTCTCTCTCTCTCTCTCTCTCTCTCAGACAAAAACAATCCCAGTCTTCTCATTCGCTCTAAAACACCCGGACACATCGATTCGTCACACTTCCAGCCCTACGAAGCTTTGTCTTGTTCCTTTCGCTCGTGGCAGTGCGTCTTCGCGAATTTCTCATAATTACTAAATATAAGATTGTTAATGAGTTCCTATCCCGAATCGGATATCGACCGGCCATTATATTCATCATTTAAACTAGTCACCGCGTCCCTTTCGCGAATAAGCCGTAAATTGTGTTGGAAAAAGAAATTCAAAAACATACCAATCGAAGCATTCCTAAACCTCTTTGTCCCCTATTTATTAACAAAACGGCATTTCTATATTTTCTTGCGTTTTGCCTGTCCAGGCGTAGTGAATCTTTAATAAGAAAAATTGCATGCAGAGAATACGTCGTGCAATGTCTTTTTTTTTAACATTGCATAAGCCGTCCTTCAGCTTGAATTTTTACTCGCATATCCAAACATACGTATATTCGTATACCGCCTGCACTTCTCTCTCACTCTCTCTCTCTCTCTCTCGTGACAATACATCATCCACTCGTATCTCATGACTGCACTACAAATGTAAACGTCAGATAAAATATAAAAAATAGCAATGTCTCGACACTGTAAGCACTAACGTGAATGTAAAACCTTACGAAGGATGTCTTTCCTTGTAATATTCCTGTATATATTTTCTAACCGTTTTACGACATCTTTTTTTAGCCTCCTGATCGTCGCCCGCCCTATGTCAGAAGTTAATAATAAAATACGCACGTCGATAAGTGATCGACCGGTTCGTCGCCCTCGACGCCCATGGTTATCAGGACTGCAATTTTGGTACATTCTTAACCTCAAATATGCAAATACACTTAAGGTCACAATCTTATGCACACACTCACTGTCCCGCTTTAATTAATTATATTTTAATTGCAGCTCTCTCTCTCTCTCTCTCTACAAGGTTTCGGACGTGCATTTGAACCTTGATCGGCTAATACCGGAAATTGGATACACATATTATATGGGTATATGGATACGCTTTCCGCAGTTTACTTCGCGTCCTAACCTAAAACGGCGTTTTCCATTAGGATTTGAAAACGATTGGAAACACAATTCAGGACTCATTGTTAGTCTATTGTAAGTGCAGAATTTACAGTTGCCTCAGAGACCATAGGCTAATTAATTTAGATAAAGCACTGCCTATTTTATGCTTTATCTATTTCCTTCTACATGTATGTTTGTATTATATATATGTATACGTATATGACACGTCTATTGTACGCGGGTCTGTAACCGTATGCAATAATCATAACGTAATTCGTTTATCAAGTTTGAAATAGAAAGAGTCTAGCGTAATTACGTAAAAAGCTCAATCCGCCTGTTACTATTTTGTATTTATAATCCAATTAATCAATAAAAAATTTGATCTACATATACATATAGGGGGACTGGCACATCCTTTCGTCATCCAGAGTCATAAGGATTACTGAAGATTTGAATTTGTGAATTTCAATCGTAAATCCCTGAAGGATGATGGGGAAAGCTGAGATGAAATTTTGCACGGATGAAAACGGGGCTGGGTAGTGAGGGGGGTGGAAATTGATTTTGAATCGTTAAACTCCGCGTGGAATTGCAAATGTACGGAGAATTAATTATTCCTGCGAGAAAGAGAGAGAGAGAGATAGAGGCGACAAAAATGGCGGAAATAGAGGAAATGTACCGGTCACTTTAATTTCATCTTTTTTTACTTTTCCTATGTTTGACCATTTTTTGTAGTCACGTTATCGCCGGTACGCAAAAGTCCCTTTGCGTGACAGGGTGGTAATTTTTCTTTCTTGACGAGCGAGATAACTCGCGAAGCGATAAAAGCAAAGTTAAGGAAACAAAGAAAGAAGAAAGATAACTCATTAAAATTATTTTGGATTTCGGTATGTAAGCGCGTATCTATATATTATCGCGTGTTTACATATATGTACACGCGTTAACGTACATATAGGTAATCACGCGAATGTCTACGCATATAATACATAATTTCACGTTATTACAGCAGGTTCGATTTTTACAGTTTTATTGTGTCATTCAACAGCTGCACTATACAGTTTCGTAGTCAAATTACCACTACTCCTTAATTAATCTAGTTCTTACAAAATGTGCCCTAAGGTCTAAGTCGAGGGAAAAAAGAAATGGAAAAAAATAACGAGAGTGGGCAAATTTTGGGTATCGGACGAAGAGAAGACGAAAAAATTGTATACGTAAAAAAAAATTAAGGAGAAAGAGAGAGAGAGAGAGAAAATGTATAAAATTCTCTTCGTACGAGTAGGAACATCTGGCCGATGCCATTGTTACTGTAGAAAATTTGTATTTCTTAAAAAAAAAAAAAACAAAAAAAAAACAATTTTTTTCACCCTTAATTTTTATCTGTTCAAGCAAAATTTACAGGAATTATTAATATCGATTGCAATTTTGATTTGCTATCGAACACAAACATAAAATTTGTATTTTCGATGGACCATGGATTTTACGTAAATCCATGTAATACCATACGTCTACTAGCTTCCTGTTAATTTCCTCTTTCTATTACCTCCGCTACCGTCATCCTAATCCCTCCTTACATTCCCTTCTGCTGCAGTTACGTAATTCCTTCAGCTCCCGAACTTTCCTCCTATTTAATTGATTGGCAGCGAGTCCTTCCATTACTTTTTTTTCTCTTTTCTTCCTTCTGCTTCGCAATCACGTAAAACGGCCAGCAGGTTTATCGACATCCGTATTGTAACAGCATATATATATATATATATGTATATGTATGTAATAGTAACTGTGGCGAAGTTTAGTGACGCTGTGCGACGATAACGATAGCATTTATTGATTAAGTGGCAAATTAAATCACAATATAATAATGATAAGCTGTCTATAACATTTACAGCGATGCGCCGACTTTCGCGCTAATGGCTCGTTGTCAATTCTCTCTCTGTCTCCCTCTTTCTCGTTTTCTCTGCACTCTACGCTCTCTCTCTCGCACTCATTCGCTAATCGAGAACGAGCGTAACTTTTAAAATAAGTCTCGTAAGTCATATAAACAGATAAACGCCGGTTCGATAGACTTTTATTTTTTTTTTCACGACACGCGGAGGAGAAGGAGGATACGACTAAAAAGAGAAACTCAAAAGAACAATCTTCAGACGCAAGTATTTAAATCGGTCCTTTTTTTCTCTCACCTTTACGATGATTTCCATTGTAGGTAAATGTCAATCATACGGAACGACAGCCGTCGAGGCTATTACGAATAAGAGAAATAAACGTGTCCACCTGGCGGCGAATCTTGGCGACGATGCATGCGGAGACGGTAAACAAGCTAATGGCGATTTCACAGTCGCGACTGCAAGCGACAATACCAAAAGTTCGTGAATCGAGATAAAAAGGAGAGAGAGGAGAAGAAAGACACTTTTTGCTTGTATGCGACTAGGTAATTCATTAATTCGCAACAGCCTTGCGTATATTAAATCTGGAATGTTTCTTTTTCTTTGCTTTTTTTTTTCAATTTTAAAAAATTTATCATCGCATAATTTTACTCGTGTATTTCGGCCCGGCGATTATAAAACAGAAGCACGAGAATGGAAATTGAGTGAAAAGCCCAAGAAAGTGATAAAAAGGATGCTGTCGTGGTGGAGAACGATAATGATAATAATTAATAATAATAAAATGGCTACCGATTACCCCAATCGTCGCTCTAGCTCAATCGTTGACGCTGAAACGCGATATCGAATAAATTAGACGGTAAATAAATATAAATGATTATTATTATTATTATTACAAAAGTACACGCGATCGAGGATTCCTTCGATGATCAATGGATATCCTGTCCGATATCTTTACGCTTGCTTGAATTATTTAATTTTATTTTGATCAGATGCGTATGACGATCTACTAAGTTTGGAACAAGGATTTGACGTTAACATATAAAATTTCAATCAACTCTCCTAATCCTAATCAAGCACGTGCTATCATCGATCAATATAATTTTCCATCTCTCTCTGTCTCTTAGTCTTTTACTATCAATGACTTTCATTCGCACCTGATTTGTTTTTAAATTTCGGCTATAAGCATTCACTCCTGTATACTAATTCAGTCATACACTCGATTCCATTAATTTTCATTAAACACCTTTTGCCCTCGTGTTAATTTTTTTCCTTCTTTCTTTAACTCTCATTACTTTTATCGTTATTACAGTCGTTATGCAAAAATACTAGTTAAATTACCTGTACAGTAAATCTTGACGCGAATACGTAGAAACTACGTGCCGTCATTGCCATCCCTTTCGCCATTAGGGTCGGACAGGTGTCGATCTCGTATAAATAATTAATCATTTCTCGAAATTCGATAGTTGTTTTAATTGTTCAGGAAAAAAAAAAAATAGAAATTAACCATTGAAAATCATCAGCCGGTATTAATCCCTTCCTTCTCTTTGCTCTTCGATACATCTTCCCAAGTCATTTCACGTAACGCATTTTCTACGCTGTCGTTGTAATCTCTCTCTCTCTTTCTTTCTTTTTTTCCGATTTTTATTATTATTATTTCTTTCTAAACTTTACTTACAAGGTATTTGGTTTGCTCCATGCATCACTCCGACATGCAGTTTTCTTTAGGTATATAAATTATGGTAATGATTCGGTATAATTATTATTTAATATTTATCGTTATTAATTAATATAATAAATGTTATCGTTAGGGTTCAGCTTTCGTCACGCTTGTCCTGTTGCTGGTCACGGGTTCCTGTACTCTCTTAGACGCAATAGTGGGTCGACCTTTTTCGGCACTGTGGTCGCGTTAAAGGAAGGAAAAAAAAATATACGTCCGTTTTTTTTTACATCCATCCTCGTTTTACTCGTTAGTTACCGATATTTTCCTCGATTCTCTCGCACTTCTCTGATGGTTCTGCTCGGTTAAAAAATATCTCTTCCTGATAAAGAATCGATTATTCATAATTATTCGTACTGAAGATGATTTTCTGTATTCAGTAGAGACTAGCGCGAAGGTTAAGCTATATGATAATACTTGTGACGAGTTTAAGAAAAACGAGGGTCTGCAGTTGATTTAACACGAATGGGATGTGGGTGCTCGGGTATCGGCGAAAATTTAGAGAAAAGAAGTAAACAAAAATGAAGTATTAATAATTAGCGACCTCGATGCATTTTCATTCTCGTGGGCCTCGTCGCCCGTCAATATAAATTCGCCGTTGAGAACGCGATATAGAATCGAAGGGCAGCCCCAAAGTAGCCGAACGGAGAAAATAAAAATGATTGTATAAAAAAAAAAAAGAAGAAAAGAAAAAAAAAGAGAGAGAACAAAGATGGAGTGGAAAAAAGTCCATGTGTATATAATATACATTTGTCGAAAGTCACGTGGAATTAATACCAACATGAATTTCGCAACGTGTCGCGAATTATTATACGACTCTGAAGAAAGGGCACGACCGAAATTTCAGAGAAAGGAGACAGGCCGGTGTAAGCGTTCGCAAAGAAGAGACAAATTGCTTCCTTATCCTTTAATCTTTCACACTTTCAGTACTTGAGATTGCACTCTTGCACTTTCAATCCATTCCCCTATCATACCCTCGCGCTATTTTCCATCCGTGCATGCCGCACTCGATCTGTCACCTTCTCCTTTTCTTTCTGCCTTACGAACCATACCAATCCTTAAATCTTCATCTCGATCACCTAAGTTCCCTCTCGCGTTTGCATTCGCTCAGTGATTCTCGCTCGATCTGTCTCTCTATCTCCCATTCGCTCCGGCATTCAGGCAAATATCTCGAGGACGAGCGCGGGCGACGTGCGCGACGAGGTTAGAATTAACAGTTGGTTTGTCCATGGACGCGACCCGTAGGAGTTTACCGGCAGCTAGAAGCGCCTCGCCCTGATGACGGCGAGGTTGGCGGCTGACACGAGTGGGGTGACAGGGTTTATGAGGGATCGGCTAAGGGGTCACTTCTTGCTCTTTTTGGTCGGTGGCTCCTGGACGTCCTGCGAGTCCTCCGTATCCTCGCTGTCGGTTGGCCGAGTATTGCTTTCGTTCGTGGCCAACGAGTCATTTGTGTCTTCGCTTGCGGGCGCGACTGTTATGGGAGTCGCGGGCTTATCCAACGAATCTTCAGTGAACGATGTCGTGCTATTCTCGTCGATGGCGGCCGGGTCGATTGGTTCCTTGCCATTTGCGACTACGGTATCCTGATTGCTGTCGTCTGAGGGTTCGGTGGCCTCGCCATTGGTCGGAGGATGTGAATTCCCATTCTCGGTGGAGCCGGGAATCCCGTCCAGGAGTTCAGGCTTCAGCTCGGATGCTACGTAGTGAGTCCAGAGCGCCAGCTCGACTCTGTGGGGGCTCCAAGTCTTCCCATTGGACGCTGAAGTAACAATTTAGTTAGTATTCGAAAATTGTCCTCTCGATAATGCTGCTCCTCCTTCCCCAATAACGTAAATCTCAAGCTCATCTGCATCGCTATCTCTCGGATCACCGGTTTCAGGGTGGTGATCCAAACAGGCGAGGATACTTACTCTGTTTGTTGAGCCTCTCCACGGTATTCTGAATGTGCTGGACAAAGTTCAAATACTCCTTGGTAGTGTAATCGATACCCTCGATCTCAGGAATCGCCATGAGACACTCGTCAGCCATAAAGGGTGCATTCTCTGGGGATGCTGCGGCGAGCAGTGCCGATGCCATTGTGGTACCAACGCCCTTCAGATTCGACAGAGCCGTGATGGCCTGTTCGAGGTTCGGTAGCTTCTTGAACGCCTTCTTCGTCTCGGCCATCACGGCTCTTGGCGTGTTAACCTTCACCAAGTAGGACAGCTGCGGGTAGAACTTACCACGCTGAAAACGCAAAGCCACCGGATCAGAATTACGTATTTCTTCCCCCTTTTTATCCTTTTTCTTCGCTACTTACGGCATCGAATAAATCTACGTGCGTCTATCACGCGATCAAATGACCACTTACTATTTGCTTCCACTTCATCGTTTGCACCAGCTCCTCGTGATTGAGATGAGCGTCCTTGCCTCGCGCTTTGATCTTCTTTGGAAGCTCATTCTGATACCTTCAGACAGAAAATACAAGAAAAATTGCCTAAGTCCAGTGTCAAAACCCAAATACGTAAATAATTTAACATGTCAAGCGCACCGAACGAGACGCAAGCCATAAATGTGAACTCGCAATTTAAATGTCAATTTATATTTTTTTTATCTCTCATCGTTACAGGATGACACGAGGAATAGGTACGTCCATTTTGAGTCTCACCCTCGACACGCAACGCCACATAAACAGCCTTGACGCGTTTACGCGTTTCCACCGTAATCCGAGAGAACAGTCGCAGAGGGTAAAAAAAAAAGTTAAAATTGCAAGATAAAAAACTAATAAAACGTTTAAAACATCAACTACAAAAAAAGGCCAGATAGTAATCTCAGCTATAGGGGTTGATAAAAAAAAAAGTCGCTCAATTTTTCACTTCACACGTAACGCGACGCCATTGCTACCGATCGATCCTATCGGAATCATCCCCCGATATATTCGAACTAGATCGGAAAACGGCAATGCAAATCGAAAGAGGTTAATCCCTTATTATGGTACGGCTTAGTAACGTTCCGCGTTGCCTGCACATTCGTTGCACTCTGCACACCACGTAATTCAAAACGTTCCGAACGATTTAAAAGACAGTCCTACCTCACTGTTAATCGATACCAATCTGTGCCCAATATTATCTACAGATTTCGTACGGTCACACAAGTGTCGTGGAAGTAACGTGAAACTGCTGGCCTTAACACCGAATCAAGTAGTGTCACAAGAGTTTGACAAGGCGGGCGTCACGACGACGCTGCCAGCAGCCGGGACGGCACGTTGTTAGTTAGCACTGTAAAAACAACCTTGACACGAACAGGCTTTAATAGGAACTAAAAACAACGACGCGAGGCGTACCGGTCGATACGGAAGAGACGTTGCATTGATTTTTTTTACACGTGAAAGAGTGCGATACGGTGGCGGTTGTAGGGACGGAGAGAAGGAGAGTAGAGGATAAGATGGTAAGAAGGTAAACTCGGTTGGTAATTGAAATTTAATTGACGGGGATATTGAAAAATAAAAATTCGATCAGTCAGTTTACGCCTGGCGCCGTGCAACTTCGGTAGAGAATGAAAAGAGCCAGGAAAATGTACTTACTGCTTCCCCCCTTTACGAAGTTTCTTTCTTGTACCCCTAATTGAAACGCTAGTGAAAAACAATTATCCGGTTGAATTTAAAGGAGGACGAATGCCGGGGAAAATTTTTTGTGCCAGACTCTCGAGAAAGGATAAATAATGAATCTGAATACGACTCGTCGAACCTTAATGGCCGCGGTCTTGTGGAAAATCATCTTCCGGAAACCGCAAAGTTATTATTCGATTTTTGAAAGACGTTGACGCCGAGGACGCTCGCGACGAGTTGAACGCAAGAGGTAGAACGAGAGGGGGAGAGGGGACTTTACCGTCGAATTTAACGAAGCTTCAACCTGCCTTAATTAATTAAGGCAGACGTGACGCTGTGGAATGAAGCGGCGTCGCGCACTGAAAACAACGCCGTCACGGAGCTATTCTGTAACCGAGGTCTCGTAAATTATTTATTCTTCCTCGAATCGGCAAAAAAATAGACGTGTTCTAGATTCTTGGAATATCCCTGCTGGATTTACGTGTTGAGACAAATTTTGAATTTCTACGAACAAGCTAGACAGCCACTCGGCGTCGAGTACTTTAAAATGGCGAAGCAACGTCGGAATGCGTTACAGAGTCTCGTGTGTTGTCACATTGCTAGTGGGTACGTGTCATTGGATTGTTTTGTAAAAGTAAATTTTTATAGAGTACGATGCAAGGGAATGACTGATGATGTACACGAAAAATAATCTCGGTTGGAAAATATTCGATATCGTTCGATATTTCCTAAACTACACAGATGGCTTTAACGAGGTGGACATGACGCCGCAGGTCGACGTGCTTTTTGAAATTTGCAGAAGGAAAATAAAGCTAGGAACAACAGAAATCGTGTGGAATGGAATATAAACGTGACAATGGTGTTTCAATCCTGAAAGCTTCGCCGACGTTGCTAACAAATAAGCCCATAGCGTGACTAGAAAAAAGAAATAGGTTAAAAGCAGCGACAGCAACGAAGCGTACGTGACGCTGTGAAACGGAAGCCTCGTGGCGAAAACAGCGACGTCGACAATAAAACGTCCATAGAAATATTCGGAGAGTAAATAACTGCAGCGACGAATAATAAAAATCAGGATACTCTGAAAAGAGAGAAAGATAAAGAATATCGTAATATTAGAAGACAAAAAATAATGCCCAGTCGCGTTTCAGATCAACGATAACCGCCTGTCAAAAGATTAAAGACAAAACGCCACGAGTTCGGCTACCGCGTGGCGCCGAATTGCTTCAAGATTATTTACACACAATACTACTTTTAGTGTACAACTGAGATGGAACGACATACGATTGACCCTTACCAAAGTATAAGCTGTGTATCAGACAAAGTCGAATAAAAGAATATCTGAGAAGGGCGAAAGGAGTGCAGTTTGTATCCGTAGAAATCGCAAGAGCCACGTGACGGCGCGTGTATGGCCGTGGGTATTTTAACGAGGCAATAGAGAGCGTGGAGAGCAGACAGCTAAAGTGAAAGAGAATAAGGGCGAGTGCGCAAGTGAGAGGTAAAGAGTGACGGAGCGACAGGCGCGAGGATGGGAGGAAGAGAGTGAGAGAGGAAATGGGAATACGTGAAAGAGGCAGAGAGACAGTGTGGATCTAGCGGCGGGGACTCGGGACAATCGTTGATTGTAGCAATACGAGAGAGTAAATAGGCTGTCGGGTTGGGTCGGTCTCGAGGGGGCCAGAGCCCGGACGGAAAAGACACACCAGTGCGCTACGTGCTGGCAACTGGCGAGCCACGGGTTCATTGTCCGGTGCGAGAGGAAGCCCCTACGGGAAAGTGGGCACTATAGGAAGCATCGTTTATCACTTACCAGTTGTCCAATTTAATCAGTTCCTCAGGTTTCTTAGTCTTGCGATCTGCCTTGAGCCTCAGGGCCTGCGGATAGAGCTTGAGAACATGCTCGAACTGATTTGCGGTCCCCTCCGCGAAGAAAGTCGCTGTGTCTTTCACGGAAGCCATTGTGATAACTGTGTTTCGAGAAACGGCCGTGAGGGCGCAGTACGATCGTGCCGCGACGATCGCCGTACTTCTATTCTCTTCTCTCCTCACCTCCTGCACAATCTATTTTCTTTTTTTCTTTGCGGTGTCTCTTTCTTCGGCGCGTTTAAGATTATTCTTTGTATATAAGTCAAACTGTTAACAGTGGCTCGCACGTTTTTCAATCACGCGCGTCAAACTCGAACGATAAACTGTTGTTACGCCTCTGTGTCCCCCACGATATTCACTGTCGGTATAATACGTGGACTAGAGAACAGCCCACGCCACGCCAATACCCTCTAAAGAGTCTTTTGTATGTATATATAAGTATATATACTATATATTCAAGAATGAGGGAGAGTGTGAACTCTTCAACACGCGCGCCGATTCGAAACTAGACGCTAAAGCGACTAGTGGCTCTCCTCGTAGACGTCCTCGTCGTGGGTTGTCGTCGTCTTCGATACTCCTCCTCCTGCTTCCCCTCTTTCTTCTTCTATGATGGCAGGATCGCCAAGGAAAAACGGCACGAGCAACGGAATATATCTTCTCGACGATGGGCTCGGTATCGCGCGGCACCACAGAACCCGTACGTCGAGCACTTTGCGAAATTTCATGCGTTTCTGCCGAATTTCGAGGGAGCCCTCGCGTACCTCTGTTCGACTGTCCCGGGTGGGGAGCAACTCGCCAATAGGGGGCAGCACTGCTCGGCGTGTTTCTACCTCCCTACCCTGTCTCTGTCCCCGGCGCTCTATCCTTTCCTTTTCCCACACGAGCGTGAGTTCCCTCCTATATATTATGTATCCAAATTTCGAGCGTTTCTCGCCCTAACTCTCTTTCCAGGACAACGCGGGTGGACAGTGACGATTCTCAGGAGTAGAGAAAACGCCGTCAGAGAGCACAGAGTATCAGCTCCCTTTCTCTCGGTGACTCTTTATTTTCTGTTATTCCCAGGAAACTCTCTTCTCACCAGGAATTCAGTAACAACACCATCAAGACGGTACAAAGTCCTCGTGGTAACTCTCAGGGTGATTTTTTTCTCTTCCTTAAATCCTCTAGTACCGCACTGGTGCCGACCTTCGTTCGATCGTGCGCTATCGAGCATCGAAACACGTAGCCAGCCGGAACTCGTTGCTGCTGGTGCTGCTGTTACTCTGCGATGAGGAGGTCTTTACTCGTACAACGATCCCTTCCTCTCTGTATTTCTCAGATATATCACTGACTTCATTTACCCAGGCGACAACGTTTCCCGCAGCTGTGACCAACAGCGCTCTATAGAATGTGACAATGAACGTGAAAAATAAACTTCAGCAAGATCAAAGCAAGCTCAGCAGACGTCAGTAAACTCGATATACATCGAACACGACTTATTTCCTTTCTCGCTTCTCTCCAACGCGGATTTTAAACTCCTCCCAGTTGTCCTGCCTCGACGTAAAGCTTTCGAATTCGTTAAGGATCTCCCGCGCCCCTTGTCACAACGCGATTCGCTAACGCTCCAAGCGTAGCGGGAGCGCACTTTATTATTATATATCCTGATGTATAAACGCTCGGCTCGAACGGGAACACCGAGTCTCTATTCGAACGAAGTTTATTTTCTCGTATGTTGACCGTAGTGAAACGGGCGACCGACTGAGGGCAGCGCCTTCGCCAGCTTCTCCTGGTATCCCCACCACAATGGTGCGCGCTCACGCAACCCGTCCTTCCCAAGCTTCCTCAACGTATTGCACTTTATTATGTATGATCTACGACGGATTTCGCAGTCTCTAAGGCCCACGATAATATACTAAAAGTCCCTTTCTATCCACCTTCGGGCCCTTATCTCTCTGCTTACAAAATTATATACTGGATATTTTATTTTAGAGGGGGGACCGCGCGCGTTCACTCGATCGCACTGGGTCGCCCGACTGGAAATCGATGCTAAGGCTGGGAGGCGCACCAGTACCGTACCCGAGCGTCGGCTGGCACTCACAGTCCTCTCTGAGCGTCGGTGTGACGCTGTGTGCGACGACGCTATCCATATATGTGTGAGATTGTATGCTGCGTATCTCTATAGAAGGTTGCGCGCGCATGTGCTCGTGTCGATAAAGACTGTGTTAGAGCCTGGCCTCAGTCGTGTATGCGACGTGGTACGTAGTGGTGGCGTGAGATCTCGGCTCGCTGAGCGCTCGTTTGCTAACGCTGCCTTCGCTCGCCCTGCCCACGACCACCACTACTGGCATCCTTGCCACCATCACCGCTGCCCTACCCTTCCACCGACATCTACCATCGGTACTACCACTAGGTGATCCTGACTCTGAGTCGGCTGGACTGACGGGGAAGTATCCAATGTTTCTGGTAACTTTCCGACTTTGAGTACTGGGTCCTGAAAGGCATTTCCCGAAGGTATAAAGCACTTTGGGAGTAATCCAGGTTATATCTGGATTATAACTGAGCAATACATGTAGTAATAACCACGGTACAACCTTGCTAAAATATTAACCTAACCATTTTCATTTACTGTGAGCGCAAACAAGGCAACTTCGTCGCTCTTCCAGGTAGAAGCGGTTTCAGGTATACAGATGACGGTTTCCTGAAGAGGATTATATCGTGAGCATGCTAAATCCTTTTGCTTAGTGGGTGGAATAGCAGTATTCTAGGTACTTGAATACCTACCCTATGCGGTTATTACAACCTAACCTAACCCAACCCTATGGTAAGTTACTATGCGAAAGTTTCCACTGGGGAGCTCTGCTGAACAGGCTACGAGGGGCCCGGTTTTCCACTCTGTTTGCCCGTCTCCCAGGTTACCCGAGTGAGCTGGCTGCCATAAGCCTGCAGCATGGCCGTTGAGCGTGTGCACCGTTATGTTCCGAGACATCGGCGGAACCCTCGTGCCCCTTATACAAAGAGCCGACCCCCTGTTCTCGTGAGCGTTTGAAATTCAACCCCGGGTATCCAGGGAGAGCCAGTAAACCCGGGGCTGCCAGACGGTTGGCTATAGAAAGAGTATTATAAATGCAGGAAACATATTATTATCCTCGATATTCGAAAACATGGAAAATATTAATGTAACACTAAAATTCCTTGTTTATATATTTACGTACCTGAAACAAAGGGTGGGTACTCGTACGGTCGAAGAATTATTTTTCTCTTTTAAGCAACAGGTCACTCTTTGCGTGTCTTCTGGCTTCCCGGAAGTGCGTTACGGGACCCGCCACGGAATCGCGATGGTCTCGACGCACGTGCGTACCCGCCCTCGTTTCCATATTCATTTCTCTAACCTCAGTCCAGGTAAAAAAAATGTACTCATCTTGATAAATTCAGGAAATACTTCGTGCAAAGTGCTCAGAGTATCAAACGTTCTCTGGCTGCGTTGCAACCTTGTAAAACTAACATATATACACCATACTGAAGGAACAACTGAAAGTTCTTCCCTTTTACAATTCTTAAATGTTACTCCAACGGCTACTACTATTATACCATACCAGTGTTCAATACTGTTAAATAATTTTTTCTCCATGATCAAATGTCACTAGCTTTTATAACACGTGTTGCTAAAATTATTCCTACTCACCTAAGGGGTGTAACCTAGGACTGCCATCTCGGGGCTGTATTTATCATCTCTTCCTTACTCCTGAACTGGCTATATGCATCTCATGCGCTGCGAGTCTTTTGCCACAGCCAAGCTCTGCTTTATCGTGGGGCCAATCCGAGCACTGTGACCTTGAAGAGCTCTAGAGAGACAGATATATTTAGCTGTGAGCGGCCAAGCTGCTGGTTGCCTGCCTGCCTGCTTGCTTGGCTTGCTTGCCTGCCGTCGCTCCTGCTAGCTGACTATACCACTACCATACTTATGCCTCAACCTAGCTCGCCGCTCTCTACTCGCTTCCACAGTCCTTCGAGTTAGCCTATCCGCCGATATAACAAGCAAAGGAACCCGTTTCCTCGTCACTTCGGCGTAGTCAAGGTTTTCTTAGTTTCGAGGGCTTCCAGGGTAATTTTTTTATTACTCAAATATTCAAGGATACTCCACATTTTCAATTTCTCAGCCTTTTATGGAGAAATTTATTTTTTTAAATTCCTCTTTTCAACAACCGGATGTCGACCACTCTTCTACCTCCTCGTACAACGAAGCCACCTAACCTCGTAAAATTGACTGCTGTATGTTACAAGCGTCCCGATCGACGTCCCGTTGAATAATATCTCTCAGTTCCGCCGTGTTCTCTTTCACGAAAGCGAAGCGAATTCCACGACGACTCCTGATTTCTTTCACCTTGCGACATCAAAGGGAAAGGAGCTATCAGGCGCTCTCCTAGGGGCGAACACCTCCGCCGAGCTCATAATACATTTTTAACATGCTTCTAGGATCTTCAACAACGGATCGAAGCGCCAGACATACTTGTCGCAACACGTCCAATTCACATGTAAAGAGTAGCAATGGCAAGAGTTACGGAGATCCCATCGTATCGAGCGACGTCTGGAAAACCGTTAAAAATTCAAATATCCACCTACGCAAAGGAAACAGGGGAATCCCCGAATCATCCCACTGTGCATCGCTCAAACCCTACGACCCGGTTGATAATAAAATGCTCCCAATTTTTTTCTTTCATCTTATCAACCCAGCACCTTTTCCTATCCAGATCCATTTGACCTACGACCACGTGCTTCCTGGACAATGTTCCCCTTTACCCAGGAACCGTCTTTCCTTTCTGACGCGATTGTCATTCATGCATTGTGAATCAGAGATTTATTTTTAGAAACTCTCAATGAAAGTGGAGTACTCATAGTAGTATAACGTTCGAAGGGAGGTGGAAGATGTTCCCCCGATCTGTGAGTAAAACGTACGTCACCAACACGTTTGCGCGTGGCTCTCACGTAAACGTACTTACGCACACTTATCGTACCTACGGCATTACCTAGTTATACGTGTTGGTTGGACACGCTACACATTCATAATCGTATATCAATGATCCCTATACGGGTATATATATATATATATATATATATATATAACTCCACACTGGAATCCACTAAACGTCCTCACCGACATATATTATCATTATTATTCCTCCGTGAGTGATATGCCTTCGTACACCATCGCGCATTAAACGATCCAATAAATACAAGGATCATTGACACCGTCGTGTTCCACGTCATTTATTTACATTTTAATTCAAGGTATCTCAAAGAGTCGGTAACATGCCGGAATTTCTTGTTCTTACTCCTGATATTATTGTTATTATTCATCTGAAATTTTGGCATAGGATTCGTTATCTTGCTCTCTTCCCTTGCACGTGGTTATACTATGTGGATATATATATATATTTATATATTCCTTGGTATTTGTGTTTTTTTCTTCGTTCTTATGCTTTTCTTCTCTCTCTCTCTCTCTCTCTCTCTCTCTCTCTCTCTCTCTCTCTGATATCAACAGAGGAAATGGAGCACCGTGTCGATCGAGCTGACTCACCAATATTTACATATGTTTCCAAGGCTTGCCAATTACCGTTATCTATACTGGACTAACAGATGGACCGACCATGACCTAGGACACCAGTGGCTTATCTAATACGTCTAACGGTGCAACGTATTACTTCGTGTATTACGGCCAAAGTCCGTTCGTAGATGGACACGACGCGGACCAGGTGAGCTAAACAATGAAACGGCCTTCGTTCGGCTATCGGTTTATATAGATAAGGTATTTTATGAATGGATTAATTAATTTTTGACCATAGTACTACGGCGATGTTTAATAGACAACGAGTCATATAATAGTTACGAGTTTTTATTTGCCGTAGGTATATATGTTGTGGTAAGCCTTGATATTCTAGGCTTGAAATTACTTGGAGAAGTCCGAAGGGAAAGGACACGTGCGTGTCTTCAGTATGTTTGTGCACGTATTCCAGGTATGCTGTATTCAATATATATTAAAGGTTAACCTTAGCCAGAGGAATAAATCTTCGTCAGGATAGCTACCAGTAGTGGGAAAAATACGAAGAGGTAATTATCGGTGTCGCGTGGAAGGAAAAATAAGGGGACAAAATCTGTTAAAGGCTTTGGATAAATTTTGATCAAATTATTATTTGTCTTTTTCTTGATTCATGGGAAAAGAATTTGTGATTTTATGGTAGAAAAAAATTTTACGTGTGTTTACTATAACCTAACCTATATCTGTATTTGCGGTGGAGTTACTATATATGTGTGTATATATATGTATATATATAGATATATATATGCTTATTTGCATTTCTCCGCTGTTCGATGATCGAAACAGAAATTGTACGTCAGTTCGATCGCATGCGTCAAAGATGGCAGCGACGCACTACGGGGGTCACAAGTGGCACTTGCGAAAGTTTCCTACCGCGCGAGGGTAAGTAAACACCTACTTAATCGAATTCCTCCTTGTTTTCTTGGGTAGCTTTCATGTTTTTATGCGACGCAAGAGTAGCAAGCTTTACTGTAGGTATATGTTACGAGAGGGACATATCGAGTCGGTATGTACGGAGTCATAAGGAAAGGGGATAATCAGTAGGTAATTATACGCAGCTATAGATAGTGATGTATAAATATAGGAACAGGGAGACTCGAAGACGGGTCGTTATCTTTATCGTGTTAAGTACGTGCGAATAAATGCGGAAAAAGAAAAAGCCGCTTTTGAATTTTTCCCGCGATTCTTGGCTGTATATATATATATGCATGTATAATGCATCAGTGTGTCGACGTCTCATTGGGAACGGAACATCCGTCGGTTCTTGGTTAAACGAAACCTTATTGACCACTTGGCAAAATCTTATCAGAAACTGGAGGCACCGAGTACATACACAGCGTTGCTTAGAACTTGGGGTGTACCGAGTATGATTAGATAAGGCTGTTCGAGATTGGGAAGCCTTTGGTTCGAGAGAGAGAGAGAGAGAGAGAGGTGCACAAGAAAGAGAGAGAAGGAGAAAATGAATATCGTATAGAGCTGAGTTTATTAGGAGAGAAGGGTAAAAAACAATTGTTTTGATAAAAATTTTCATTCAGAGATTGTTTGCCAATATTTATGTATATTTCTTTCTCATAAACATATGTATACTTTAAGGATTAATCTACCATAGAAATGTTCATTGGTATTTACCAGTGATCGATAACAAATTTATAATTAATGGCTATATATCTTCACTGATTATAACTTGCATTGCTATTTCTTGTTACGTATCCCGCGTTGCTGTTTCTGGGAATCGTTCTGGCACTCGGAGCTGGCTGATTCGAGATCCTGAATGCCGGTTAAGTGAGCACAGGGGAAAGCCAGAGTCGCTCTTGATGACGGTGAATCATTCGGATTGCGGTTAATTCTCGTACTATCTTCATGAGCGCCGTATAGGTATAAAGATCGAGCGAGCATAAGGAGAGACGGGAGTATAGAAAAAGTAGAGAGACAAAAACGCGTTCTATTCGTAAAGCGATGCAGGTAAACAAATGGGCGTGTATTCATGGCACGCGAGCTTTTACGAAGAATCGCGTGGGTGTGTCTCTCCTTTATTTTTTAAAAATTTTTTCTTTTTATATCTTCCTCTTGCTCACTCGTGTATTCGACATAGAGGAGTACATCCTCCGTGACGTATATCGAAGCGTCTACGAATGGTCGAGAGGGAAAGTTTTTCTTTGAAGAGAAGGGCGCATAATATTTTATAGGTACTGTACTCGGGTATACAGTAATATAGATATAAGGTGTATTAAATTTAAGTAAATACAAAAAAAAACATGTAGACTACTTTACCGGTCAGAAACCATAGAACACATACGTATAAACATAGCAGATGGCACTGACTCACTAAGTATCATCTCTTACGCTATTCTTAATTCGATATTGAACTCAATTAGTTTCAACGACCCTTCGCCGTTTAATAATTACGAGCGTGATTAATGACTGTACAGTAGTCGCGGGGTGTCCAACCTTTTTGTTAATTTTCAGTCTAAGTTCGAGAGCATGGTGTTCGTTACGTCGAGTGGTTAAAAAATTCCTTACGCGTTACTGAAGAATTCGGTCGGTAATTAAGAGCGCCCGATTGTACGTATCTGGTCGAGGTACGATTTACCGACGACTTCTGATCTGAAGTCGACCCCGAAAGTCATCCTTATCTACTTGTACTCGACTTCGAACTCGGTCACCGACAAGAACTTCTCTATCTTCCTACGCAGCGAGAAACGTCAAAGCACCTTGGGAACTCGGAGCGTCCGAGCCTCTACGTAGAAACAGAAATGGAAGTCGGACGATTTTCATTGGATTTAAGTCAGTGACTTTAAGTGAAGTTTGCGGTGAACGTTACAGTTTATAAGCAGCGGATGGAGGATGCTATGCTCCGCAGTTCACACTAATGAACCGAGAGAGGCCTTTATAGTGGTTTTATACTCTTACGTCACCGATCCATGTCGTGTGGCCTCGGAGAACGTAGCGCCTGACCTCTTGCGGCACGGCCTGGAAACAAGCCAGTTAGGCCACGCTAGCCTGACACATGTAGCCTTTTTTTCTTCTTTTCTCTCTCTCTCTCTCTCTCTCTCTCGTATTTTTCTCGCCATCTAAATCGCGATAAGCCTGACGTAAAAGTCAGCCAGGAAACGCAATGAATATGAAGCGCGATGTGATCCGCAGTTGTCTCAAGTCCCGAAGCCCGACCGTGAATACCGCCTGGCGCTTCTTATTAACCAGCGAAACTTAGACCATATTGATTCGTCTATAGTCCGTCGCTGTTAAAGCACTCGCCTCGACTCTTACTGACTCATGCTGCCAGCACAGTAAAAACGGGACGGCGACTCGTTTCGATTTTATGAGACTTTCGCAGGAGAACGGTATGGCTATGATACTGTATATATAGAAATCTTATATATATAAATTAATATGTGTTCTGGCGTCGATAGAATAAGAGGAACATCGACCGGGGACAATTGAATTGCTACTATGGTTCAATAAAGATATTTTCATCATATCGACGCATGCATTTTACTATAGTCCAATTTATTATTCTGCTGCTACGTTAGATACTGGTATAAAAGCTACTACGAAGAAATTATAAAATGGTGGATATGCCAGGGTGTACTTGCATGCATAACTCCAGGGAACAGACACAGGATTGCACCTGTCCAGCCATTTTACTTCTGCAGGTGTTTAGGAGAAACTGGTAAGGGTGAACTATGTTAACTTTTGGGTACACAAAGAGGACCTTTCTTTAGAATGTTATATTCTGCTGTAAGAGAGGTACACGACGTAGAGACCCGAAGCATACCTGATATGGCTGAAGAGTTTCTCGATGAAAAAGTTTTTATAGAAAATTGACAGGCTGACTCGTTTTTACTGCAGTCATCAATTTCTATCCATATGGATAAGATTGTTATTTTTATTATATGAACAAATTGATGGTCAAAAAATCTTCTGACACTTCGATCGTGTCTTTTTTTAATCAGTCATGCAAACTCAGCAGCATGGTTGCGTTTGGTACCACCTGTGAATCCTCCCTTCCAGATGCGGAAAACACCTGTTACAACGTTCCGTAAACACGAGGCGTTCTGTTTCTGTTTATTTTCGTATGCGAGAATTTGAATCGACGAGTGTCGACAGTGCTTAGCAGAACTCTGCAATACCGACGGTGTGCTTAGTTTCACCGAGAGAGGCAGCACCTCTCAATACTCTTGTGCGTAGAGCCTGGGTCAAGTGTCATCAACTTCTTTATCGAAAGAACCACTGAAACAAATTAAAAATAACGTTATGAAACTGTAATTATTATTCGTTACAATTCGAAATTCAATCTTACAAAAGTCATTCGGTACCTTTGATATAGGTTAATTAAGGCTTCCAATACTGATCTAATCATTTACTGTACAAATATTCATAGTTTCTATAGATATATTATTCAGCGCAATAGTATCTGTCCGTGACTTAGCGGCGTCCAGTATTGAACCACTGCTCGTTGGATAATGGTAACCTATAAAGATATACCTGGGCTGTCTGCGTCAGCGAATGACGTCAAGCCCCATTCCTAACGCGGAACTCTCCTTACATTCTCATCTATGAATTTTATTATTGTTGTTTGACGCTCGCACGACGTACGTTTCGATTGTTGATGAATGCTGAAATTCTAGTTGATATATCTAAACATAAATTTGACATTGTTTTAATAATAATTTTAAGTCACTGACGTAATTCATATACTACTCGTACAATTATGTAATAGAAAAGAAATCGATCGGTCGCAGATCGTGGCATGGCGCTAGTATTTTTAAATACCGTTTTTACCTCAAAGAGAAAATTCATTCATCTTTCTGGCAAAATTATATATGAGACTGTCACTGGCAACGTGGTTGAAGCTTACTGATTCGTGGCTGTACTGAGAAATCTGAACATTCACCAAATCGGATTTTCCCGGTAGGCCGCAACCTCACTCAACGTTCCTGACCGTTTGAGCCAGACGGTAGCATCGATCGACCTAACCTTAGATGTGCAGCGCTCAAGTTACTCCAAAGACATATCAGACTGGGCTCCAGGAATCCATGAAGATTGAAGTTACAACTAGATATTACGATATCATCTGTTTGCGCTAGTGGCTCGAATAGAAACGCGCTAGACAGAACCTGGCTCAATCTGTTCCTCAGGAAGACTTAAATCTGCAAATCATGCTGCGCAGGCGTATATGGCTTTGCATCGGTGTTCATTATTCCAAGTGTATTAGATCTAAATAATGAGAATTAACAGTTGGGCACATCCGGTACGGTTGTAGAAACGTTTTTTCTCTTTAGCTGTAATTCAGTCTAAAATTCATTATTATTAACCGAAAATCCGTACAATTGTCTGTCTCCAAGCTTCAGTAGGATCAACAATAATCTGATTTTTTTTCTAAAAACAAAAAAGCCTCAAGAACCGTTTCCAATGTACAGAATACAAGTGTTAATATTTTTAGCTACTACTATACACGGATACTCAGGATTATTTCACCACCTAAAGATGATTTTGTCCATTTGATTTCTATTAATTCCAAAGGTAGACCATCCTCTGGTGGTACAATAGTTCTGAAGTATAGTTTAGAAGAATAGTTTCCTATTCGAAGAAAACTGTTAGTACGTGAGTCATTCGTCGCAAAAGGCTCGATATTGTGTCAGAGATCACCGAGTATCCTTAATAGTTTCCGGCGGTTATAGCGGATAAAATTCGTTAATAATTACCGGCTGTCACGTATTCCACAGGAATTCATGTACAATGAATTAAATTGCAAACCCATATATTTACAGAGATATTATGTATCGAGAGAAACGTACATGGAACACATTTCAAATTTGAATGAATAAAATCAACCAGTCAGCTGTTCAATGACCGAACGCAATATATTCATACAAATATAAAAACAGTATTGAGATGAAAAAACTAATGACTAATTCAATATAGAGAGTGCCAGAAGGAAAGGTTTTCCAAGAAAGGCTGTAATGCACGGGAAAGCCGTTTAAACTCCGTAAGTTTCACCAAAGCATTTCCTATACAACGGGTCTTGTTAATCTATCGATCGATCGGAAACCGTTACAACATGGAATTACCTGAACGTCTACTAAATATAAATGAATTGTTGCAGAATAATGGAGCACCGTATGTGCATGCAAAAATCTGGATTCCACACGGGAGACTACCGAGACCCAGTCATCTTGAGCAAATATCTAGCAAGACTCTCGACTGCACGTAATTTTTCATGGAATTCAAATGTCCCACCCTGTACATAAGAGCAGTTCGTCGCGGGCACTAATGCGTGACAATACCTATCTCTGCTAATTCAGCCTCACCAGTAGCAACTATTATGCACGTGATGTATATACACACAGCGTTTGCAGTCTGAGCAAAGGTGGATATAGATGTCAGTTGGTAATTGGAAAATTTATTCCTTTTGCACGTGAATTCATTCGCCCGTATATGGATGCTGTCTGATAGATCCAAGAAGACTGGCGTATGTGGTCATAAGAATCTTAAACGTGGATAAAGACAGTTTAGTTGGAAATTAAATTAGAAATTCTATGGAACCAAAAAGTAAAACCTGAACGTACATGCAATTCACGAGTACCTCAACATCCATATAAATTTGTCATTGTATTATACATGCAGGGTGACGATTAAGTATCTGCAAGCAAAAGTACTGCAATAAGGGACTAGATAAAATTGAGTGAACTTCAAATAAATATACAGCATGTGTCAAAGAAACTTACCATTGATATCGACAGGCTTTGTTTTTCTGCTATTCTCCCTGGGTGGAAACAACGGACAGGACGTGAAGTGTTGCGCTAGACGTCAACCGTATACGTAATCAGAATGTGTACACTCCATCGGTTATCCTCTCGCCATCGTTCAAGCTGATCAAGAATCATGAGTCACTTGCGTCCCGGCTGAGTCCTCAGAAAATTCGTCTAGTCGTTCCACGATTAATCTGATTCTTTGGATTGAGCAAGGAAGTTTTTTCCACTAGAGTTACCCGAGTACGTCCATTTTATATGAGTCCACGGTTTATAAGTATCATGGAAATTTCATTTTGATACGTATGTTAAATCAGACAAGGAAAAACAGAGGTGTAACGAAAATAAGAAAAATCCTAGTGGCGGACCAAGCCTCGATATCCCCCTGGTGTATTTGCAAGGAACCAATCCGCCCGTCATATGTACTCGTCCCCATTGTCTGCAAGGGTCCTCTGCTTCTCTTCTTTGAGGTAGAACGACGAGTGCCTTTCATCTCTCGTGACACGAGAGAGGACGGGTCTACCGTGTTGTACCGTATACAAGGAGAAGTGTACGTAGCCAAGGGAGTATCGTCTGCAGTGAGGACGCTCCACGTCATTCTTCAGGCACTGGAGGACAGATACGGAATAATATTTCCGCCCAGGGCTTTGTTTTATCTTGGGAACCCTCGAGGAAGGCGTCTGGGTGCCGTATAAAAAAAATATCTAAGATCGTGTATGTATATCAAGTTTTAAAATCATCACCGTTTTTTGTTTGGATATTCTGATGGTCAATTGGTTTACCAGGTTTAGTTGTGGCCTTTAGGCGTAACGGTAATCAGGTAACAATGACCACTGTGACTCGATAACGAATCGACTCATCGGCCAAGGTCGTACCAAGGACAGCCGAAGATTAATACCACAGCCGCTAGTAGCACGACGTTATTTAGATATTAACAGATGGATGCAGCATGGCGCCGGATAAACCTTTGACAATGTAAATAAAGCTTTACGAACAGCTCATTCTTCTCATCCTGTAACTTGTGATACATAACCTTACTCGTTTCACGATTCTCATTTCTCTCTTGTCTTTATTACCAATGGCAAAGGCATTGTTGTTGTACATTAATGAATCGGCTACCATGCGAAGCTTCTATTTCATTATGGTCCGTGGGCGGATAGCCATTATTGCACACACGGAAATTCGGGACAGGAAACGGATGCGTGTTTGGCAGTGATGCTGTGTGTCAGCCTTATAAAGGTTTTGGTTCGTGTTATAAAAAGTCTTTCTACTAGTTTCAACTAGACTTTGGATTTTATTACTGTAAGATTCTTGTATAATAAAGATTTTCATTACCTGGAGACACTGTGAAAGGTTTTTGTTCAGGAATAATATCTCGAATGACGTTTCAGCCTTCCTTTTTGTTTGGTAGAAAAGATGCAGCTGCACAAAAGTAATTCAATTTCCGCGCTAACGCCCAGTGTATCCCTACGCCTGGCTGTGCTCGACTAGCCACTGTCCTAAAAACATCAGTGCCTCCTGGCATTGCGCTAGTTTTGCAAATAAAACTGACAATAACCCAAATAAACAATGTACTCGCATATTATCCCTTACGTAAGCACCCTCAATGCGCCTTCACGAGTGTCATTATCATTAGTGAACGTTGAAAATACCTATATAACATGACATGGAATTACGTTCTATATATTTGCGTTTACAGTTAGCAGCTTCTCTTCTTCGTTGTCTGTATATATGTATATCTCTACCTACTTTTCGGACAACGCACCAACGCACTCATATTACTCGTTTCGTCGATCGACTCACTCACTTGGCTTCTTTTTTATTTTATTTCCATACACGCTCTCCATTGGCCGTAGAAATTCTACCTGGAGACTGTATTACTAATGCCAATCAAAGTCTTGATGTGTTTGCAATTATTAAACGATATTGCTAAAGCTAAAGTGATTCATTTAAATATTTTGTAAACTAACGTAGAACTACACAGGTATGTGAACCATGTATGCAGCGCATGATACACTCATAGTATTATTTGCCCAATACACACGTCAGTCTGTTTGGTATCTTCCAACGTTATTATTGTACTTTAAATATGCTCTAGTACTATCTCTGATGCATCCTTATGTCCTTCTAAAGCCATTCAAATTGGCTTCTTTGTTCTAGGAAAGATGGTGCAGCAAGAGAAAGGTCTTTCCTTGATTCTTTTGAGAATGCTTCTTCATCGTCAGGTTTTGCTTTCACTGCGCGTCACAGTTTACATATCTTGGACATGGAATCAGTAAGAATCACATGCTAATTTGTGTCTGCCGATACTTGTTGCCAGGTCGAAATACCAAGTTCCGTGATGTACCGTTCTTATACGTACAGTAAAACGTCACTTATTGTAACGTCAGTTATTTCAACTGCGTCACTTATTTGAAGAATTTCGCGTCACGTATTTCAAGTTTCCGACACGCCCTACCCCTCTGTCATCGCCAAGCCCTTCACTTGGATCTTGATGGAAGTGAATACTCCGCAGCTCTATGATTTATATCGAGGCAGGCAATGTAGAGATCTGAGACGATGTAGGGAAACAGACATATGGAGTAAGATCCTCTTATTTGTTGAAACAAGTAACGACTAGTAAGGTCCTGACTAGTTGAAATAGGTGACGCTCTGTCGTACTGGTTATAGCTTAGTTTTGTGAATACGTATGAGACAGTCTTGGCAAACTGAGTTGATATTTTTTCTGAAAAAAGAAGGAAATGTAATATTCCAGATATTACATAGTCTTCGCAATTTCAAGTTACGATCTCGCCAGAGGAGCAATTTGAATATCTCGGGATATCGCGACAGAGTTCAGGAGGTTGGGAAATGAAATGGCGATAGCACAGCCGACCCTGCTTGGTATTCATTGCGCATGCGCAGACTCCGCGAAGCGCAAGTAGTGCCGTCTTCAACGCGTGTTCCCTCAGTTTTAACGGTTATTTTAAGCGGTCAACACGTATCGCGTGAATCCATCCATAAACCTGTGAAATTTCATGAGATAGGTATTTCGTTGAGTCTAGTGATATTTTTGTGGCTGTGGAATTTGAGGAAGAATCGAAGTGTGTGCGCGCTGCGCAGTAGTGCATGCGCAGTGATCAACAGTGCCACCACAGAGTAAAGGCAGAAAGGAGAGTGTAATGTCTGATAAGACGAGCGATGGATTCCAGTGCGAGTGCGTGATCGCCCTGGAGTTTTGACAGTTTGGCAATAACCTCTTACTCGTGGAACTCGACATTGTATTGATAAGATGCTCGTGGTAGTCGGTCGCTAAAGGTGTCATAGATACGACAAAGGATACTGCCAGGATAAGAGTGTAGCGGTCAGAAAACGCGAGAAAAGCAGGAGTGCGCGATACGTGGCTCTCCGTGGAACAAGAGGCCAGACCAGGCCAGACTCAGAGAGAGGCTCGTGGAACGAGAGAAGAAAAAGAAATAGAAGAAGAAAAAGAAGAGTGTCGAGGACGGTGAAGACGAAGGGAATATTATAGAAACGAAAGAGAAGCGAGTGAGGAAAGGGGAGTCGGTGGAGTGTGGTGGTTTTGGAGCAAAGGAAGAGGAGAATAGGGAACGGCTTCGAGCAGTGAGCAAAGTGAGCAAAATAATAACGGGGGGTTTTGATCGGTGGACAAAGGTGGTCGGGAGAGTGCCGGAGCCAGGGCTGTGATATATATCTTCTCTCCCTCGAGGGAAAACGAGAATGGAGGCGATAGCGAGACACGATTTTACGGCAACCGCCGAGGACGAGCTCAGTTTTCGCAGGAGTCAGATATTGAAGGTGAGTCCTTTTTCTTTTTATATGCGTTATCTATTACGATATACTTATGCTAAAGAAAATACTTGATATGTATTTTCTATGTTTACTGCCACGCGAAGTATCGTCTGGGGTTCGTCGCCCCGACATCATCCCGAACCTTCGAAACGGCCCTGAGCTATTCTCTCGTGACGTATCTCATCCTGCTTGTCGAGACGATCACTCTTGGACATTATATTAGTTATTCCAGTTGTACTTTTTATTCAAAAGTATTGTGACAGGTACGCCACTGGCCGATCGCCTAATATAGCTCTTCCAAGTAAATAATGACACGGCCCACGCACATCGCGCCTCCAGCTTCTACTTTACCAAGCGATTTGAGACCTATCTTTCTCTTTCTCATGTTCTAAGTTTCTGAATCGACGGATGCTCGATGGTCTGCTGACTTACCGCTCGCCGTTTCCCTGTCTGATAAGAAAAACCATGATATGCATTTCCTCTTGCTTTCTCGACTTATACGTATTTCTCCAAGAGTCACTTCTGGTTTTATCGTTACCACTGCATTTTGAACCTCTGGGATCACGATTACGCTAATTTTGTAGCATGCTTCCTTTATATTTTGGGATATACGATTTAGCTATAGTATATTCATTTACGTTCATTCCTGAACGCCCACAACAGATTTTAGTGGGTTCTCAATAGATACCACGATTTTCTTATTTTCTTATGTTTTTTTTATATGTTCCTGATAAAGATTTCAACATTTTATCCCTCATTTGGGTGATTGTTAATGTAACAAGCGTAATATGAATATATTTCTCTTTGTATCCTTCATTATTGTTTTGTTATGTTTATCTTTTGACATTTTTGAAGAATGTTTACACTTTGATATCATACTTTTGTTGTTCTATAATATGATAAAATGTTTATTTGTTATATGTGAATAAAAAAATGAAAAATTCATAGGAATATTATATTGAGTAGATCATGAAATGTGTAATACAACTGAGATCTTATAATAGTGTCACTATTAAATCTTGTAATATACATTTTTGAATAAATATTTGCAATAAGTTATAATATATTTACTATCTGTCATTCTTTTATTTAGATAGACCCAGAAAACGAACCATAACTTCTGACGGACATGAATTAGTCCACGTTATGCCATACCTATTTTCTGCCTGGGCAAACTTCTATTTATATTCCAATCCGAAATAATTATACTCTTCTACCCTCTATTCTAAAGGAACTGGTATCTCATGCTGTAAATGGTTGTCAATGATCCTAAAAGTAGCAATAGACATTGAATAGGATTAGAATAAAATTCTTAGCATTATAAAAGTTCCTGTGATTCTAGAATATACAAGAACTTGCAGAATGAGGTTTCTAAAGTACTTTGATACGATATATGATAATAGCATGAACTGATACATCAAAATTATCTTATCATTCTGATAAACAAATAATTCGAATTGAATATACACTGTGGTACCCTTGACAATTACCGAAATATAATTTTTGTAATACAGTATTGTAATCTTACAAATCCTTGATTTATTGAAGATCAACATACAAGCTTAGCATTATTCAAATTAGTTATGAATATATTATCATTGCAGATTCTCAATATGGAGGATGATATGAATTGGTACAGAGCCGAACTGGATTCTAGAGAAGGTCTAATTCCCAGCAACTACATAGAAATGAAGAATCATGAGTGAGTAGGAGTATTGGGATTTTGAACAGAGATTTACCACATTCAATCTATTTACCATTTGTGGACATAAATAATTAAAGTCTCCAAAGTAAATAATAATATCATTATCTTGTTATTGTAGCTGGTACTATGGTAGGATAACCAGGGCTGATGCTGAAAGGCTATTATTGAACAAGCACGAAGGTGCTTTTCTTATCAGAATCAGCGAAAGCTCTCCTGGGGATTTTTCATTGTCTGTTAAGTAAGTCAATCTGTCAACATCATAAGACATATTCATTGTTGCATTAAAAAGATGGATATTTACCAATGAATAGCAATGACAAATAATTTATCCATCACTTGATCACATTTTCAGATGCTCGGACGGTGTCCAACACTTCAAGGTATTGAGAGACGCCCAAGGGAAATTTTTCTTATGGGTCGTTAAGTTTAATAGCCTCAATGAATTAGTCGAGTACCATCGTACGGCATCGGTATCACGCTCACAGGACGTCAAATTGCGCGATATGGTACCAGAAGAGGTAAGAAGAATCAACGTTGTAAAATAGCATTCAAATATTCGTCATAATCGGAATAAATATTATTGTTAGAGAAAAGGATAATAGAAGTGTGGAGGTAGCTAATAGTAAACTGTAAACAAAAACTAACAGATTATAACAAGGACCAGTCAAACCAATTGTAATGAGCACAATAGTCGCTAGCGCATAAAATACATTCTTGTAAGGACGTGTGCATTCTAAATGCCAAACCATAACCCAATCGCAATATCCAAAGACCGTCAATGTCATTATACCCTTAAATATTCGAAACGCGCTGTAGAATTGCTACGTGCTTTCTGTAATTGATATTGCATACAAAATAGTAGTCAGAAGAAGTATCAAATCATCGTTATAGCATCTATAGTCGATAGTAATAAGAAGAAAAAAGAATTAATTAAACCTGAGAATCTGCAGGATGCAGGTGAACATTAGCTAACAATAAGATCCTCTTCAAGGGAAGGTTAGAGGATGATTTATACGTCTTATTACAGTTGCATTGTAATAGCAAGAAAAGAAAGAAAAACAGCGACTAACTTTTATAACGATTTGCGCATTTACCTGTCCATATGTCTCTAATCTGTCTGATAAAGATAATTCGTTACGACAGTCCACAGTAATCAGTGGCTTGCTGCTTAATTACGTGATACATAATCGCATATCTTAGCGGCAGCATTGACTATACGTAATTTCTCTATAATTTGCGGTGTTTTATTACGTCCAATTGTTATCTTTGCTCGCGTGTAAAATCTCACAAAAATAATGTTATCACCAAGGCTTCCAATATATTGCTGATAACTAAGCAGATTCTTGCTCTTTCTTAACTTTACAGGAATACATAATTATATTGCCACAGTTTAGTCCCACAGTGTGTTTTTATACTCGTTGTACTATTTTTAGTGCTTGGTCCAAGCCCTGTACGACTTCACGCCGCAGGAACCTGGTGAACTTGAATTCAGACGGGGTGACGTGATCACAGTTACGGATCGTACCGATGAACACTGGTGGCACGGTGAGATTGGCAACAAACGAGGATTATTCCCGTCCACCTACGTCACACCATATCACTCCTAGGTGAGCTTAATCTTTGTGTATCAACATAAAATAATTGCTCCATCATTTAGAAGGAGCCATTATCGAATAGAAACACAGTCGTGCATGTACTGTCCCTGTCAGTTTGTTCTCTAGGTAAAACTTTCTTAATGTGATTTTCAGGCCACGCACGGAGCTCGCAGACGACAACGTCCACCACCTTACCCCACGACGATCACGTACAGGATCAGACTCACTGCGGAACTAATAAATAACATTTTGCAAACGCCGCCAATCGAGTGGGCCACCAGGATGTATTGGTGGTCGAGACGCAGAGCTTTGTAACTCTTATGCCTGCTTGACACTCACGTCCTCTCTGCGCCTTCACGATCCCATAGAGAGATGTATTATATTTTTTGTCACTTTCATTCACGTTTTCTTTCCCCTCATGGACACGATTATCAAATACCGCGAACCGCACACGTTCCTTTAATCTCTCGATGTATCGTCAAAACAGGGTAGTCTCTTATATCTTTACTGTACATCAGATAATAAATGTAGCCGTTCGCTATGTCAGTGGGAATGATCTTATGTATCGTCGGCATCTCTCGCTGGGATCGTCGAGAGGATTTACGGCCGTGAAGGATCCAAGGATCAATGAGAGAAACGTCATAGAGATTCCAGCGATCACGTGAAATGATTCACCAATCGGCACCGTAGTACTGTGGATCATATAAAGTTAAACGTGACCGAGATTTATCTTCAGGCTTACAAACAGTGTCTTAGGGATCTCAGTTATATTTTGAAAGAAACAAAAAAAACAAAGGAACTCGACGTTCATCATAAGTTTTTGTATCTATAGTATTCCAATCTAATGGGGTACCTGGTAACGTTCTATCGTACTTGGACATTTCAACGGATCCTTTGTCTTCCTGATGGCCCACCGCGTTTTGGATCGTGCACCACAAAGTTAATATTAATCGCGAATTGAAGCAACCCTCCTTCCCTCATCGGCCATATTAAGACAGGAAAGTCGCGTCTCTACCTCTGGGTGAATGAACTATCTGCCCTCCCCACACACATCATGCAAAAAAAAAGAAACAGTGAAAACAAAACGAAAGAGAAGAAAACAATGAAAAGTGCACCCACGGCAATCGACGCGCAAATGAAAAAACTTTTGTATTTTGCAATACAGTCTAACAGACTCTTAACGGGACCTTTATGGTTAAAATAGAAAAAGAGGAAGAACAGGTTCAAGTATCGTTGTAGATTCGTAACCAGTAAAAATAGCAAGTGGAATAATGAAAAATATATTCATTATAAATGTAGCATCATCGAAATGCATCGCCTTTTGGCATTATAGTATGCAGACATGAGAAGCGCACCGATATTTTGTTGTTTTTTTTTTTGTACGCAAAAATACTGACGACTGTCCGTTACACGTACATTGCGAGCAGTCTGAGTCGAGCTACCACGTACCGTGAACTGAATTTTTTTTCTATTTTTCTCTCTTTTCCCTTCTAACCGAACTTCGCTCATCGTTGAATTAGTCGATACGATAATAATTTACTTCTTACACGGCGAACTATAATGATATAGCTTTGTTATTACTCGTATAAATAAAGAGCTTGGAAATCATACAACGTTCGACCGTGTGCAAATACAAGAAAACTACGTGGTACATGATCTCAGTCGGCCATTTTTTGTAGGTTCTTTGTATACATATATATCTTTTGAATATCCTTTTTAACCATTCTGAGCTCACGCCGATCCCTCGTCCCCTCCTTTCTGAACAGTCGGATGTCATGCACTTTTTCGAAGCAAATGCCAAAAACCGATATTATTACGAAGCATCTGCAGTCACGCGCATTAGATTACGTATTTAAAATGGAGCTGCACTCAGATTCGTTTTTTCTCTATTTTTTTTCTTTTCTTTCTCACTCCTCTCTCTGCTAAATAACCTGCATAATTCTTAATGGGGAGCAAACGAAAGATTAGAAAGAAAAAATATCGTACTGTATATTTTTTTAAAGTTATTTTTTTTTCTATAACATTTTTCACAACTCTCGTCCTTTGTCCCACCCTCGGTTCGTACCTGTCTAGGGTCGAACCCACTCAAATCCTCCTTTTCCAGTCCCCCTGTTTTCTTTGTGAAGATTGAAAACTTTTAGCCTTATTGTGTAATTATTATTATTATTATTAATTAATTATTATTGCGTTATGTTACATTTTATTAATAACAATATATATTATATTAATCGTACCTGCATGCTTTTCTTTCCGTCGCGCCCGAAATGTCCTGCAATGTCCTATTACTCTATCACTACCATTATCGCCACTGTTGCTACTATCACTGCTACTACTTTTCACCCTACACTGTTATTTTGAATTTTTTTAGTTTTTTTTCTTTGTTCTTCTAGCGGGTACTAACTATTGTTCTTGCGAGGGATCCGGCGAATGCGTGCGACTGTTATCGCGATCCCTCATGATTGTACGCTTTACACACATGTACTTTTGTACTTAAAGTTCATAAAAATTCATTTATAAAAAAGAACAAAGACGACGAGAATGAAGTGTAATCCCATCCGATGTCTTTATTCGCGATATGGATACGAGCTCGGAAGTCACGCACGAAACATGTCTCGGCAACTTCGAGCGTCGCGGCTGGAGCGATAAATCCTGTAATACGATTAAAGAACGACGACGGCGTCCAGTTGGAAATTGAAAAGATGAGCAAAAAAGAAGCTGCATCGTATCGGCTAAGTCGTTCGTTTTGTAGCGCGTAGACAGATAATTCCTTATGGGCATTTTCAACAATTTCTATTCTTCTGTCAAATAGATTTACTGCCAGTCGATCCGTTGGAGCGGGAATATGACAGTAGGATAAGAAATTTTAAAAGTTGAAAGGTTCCTTTTTAAACTTACATTTCTCCTTATGGCTCGGCAATCTGGTGCAAGGTACGAATTGCGTTAAAAATCCTTTTTTGACTTTGTGTTTTGCGAGAACTCTAAGAAATGTGTCTAACGATAATCTATGCATATTGTAGCTTAGTCTGAATTGATATCGATTCGATGAGCGATCAGAGATTTTAAAGTAGCATTTATTCGGCCTTATTATTATATGTATATGTCATGGTGGGACTTGCTTCACCATTGTTATACATATTATATTTTTCTGTCTCGCTCGTGCATTCTATTGAAATGATAACGATAACGATGAAGACTTTTTTATTCATGGTATCGTTATCGTTTCAGGGACACGTTCGCCTTTGGGTTTGGACCTCTGATAATTTTTGGCTGTCTCGACAGCTGATATTTGTGAGATTTACCAAAACCTTGTAACGAATAATTAGCAGTGGATAATGATATGTATTTAATGTGCATTACTGGCTGGGAACGGGAGACGCTCTTCTGGACCAAGTTTGTGTACAGTTATGAAAAATGTTGGAATAAGAGTTTAGTACATCGATGAGCAGTTTTCTGCAGAATTATTCTAGCCGACAGATGATCATTACTAATCTTGAGGATATGTTGTATTATTATTGTTGGGATTACTTAGTGTTTTTCATACGGCTGTATAAATGATGCAAGCTTTATATTTTTGTTCAGTGAATCAGGATTTTGGCTCTTTGGGAAAAGTTTTGGGGATCCTCGTAAGCTTGATATTAGTACGCAAAGGTACTTGGAGACGAATATAACGTGCATTTATGTTTCATAGTCATTAGGAAATTTTAGGTAATTCTTTATTGTCTACTGTAAAATATTATTAACGAATACTACTTATGTATTGTCAACCATTGATGATCATGTAGAATAAATTGATATTTCAAAGTTCTTTCCCGTTTACTACTTCCCTACTGTTCTTAAGATTAGAAACGAGGATACATATACATAAATAAAAGATCAGCTGGTGCTGTTATAAAATTTATTTCCTGTTGTCATCAATCCATTTAGAAATTATACTTAGTTTTAGATTAATCTTAATTGAAACAATGGTATATTACATACTGAATAATCAGCAAAGAGCAAGATTCATAATGTGGATCTTCATAGATTAACAAACAAGTCTGTAAGAAATATATCGTCCTGCAGTTTCTGACGATCTAATAATCTTGACAACTTGACCACGTTTCAGACCAAAGTATCTTGCAACAGGATCACCTGCTTGAATTCGCATTAGTTGATTCTCCTTTAGTTTGTACCTAGTCAGTAGTTCCTCTTTTTCATCTGGTGTTAGAACAATATGTTCAGGCACGAGTTCGTGCTCTGTAATATTTATAAGAAGCTCGGATTCCAGGAACTGTTCTAGAATGTATTTTGGAGCCATGTCGACCAGTGATTGTTTTGCTGATGGTGTCATACCTTGTTGTACGACAATGATTGCCCTGCAAATAACTACTTATTTAATACATCCATCGCATTGCACATTGTACGTATGCAAACCTAGTGATGGTTATGATAGTAACCTATGAATCTTTTCTTCCTGCATTCGTTGACAATATGTTTTGATGGTTTTTATACCAATTTTTGGTTCGTCTGGGAAGAAAACGAATAGCTGATCTGTAGGATCATCATTGTGTGCCACAAGAACAATTAAATCACTTCGTGCCGGTCTTTTTTCACTCGGTTTATCACCAAACTGTTCTTTAAATTGTTCCAACGTTTGATCCAACTCATCTTGCGTGACCAAGTAACCTCTGTCATGGCACAATTGCATGACAGTTTTTCTGATCCTCCACAGTTTATATGTCTCAGCTTCGTCATCCATTTTATGCTCAAAACTTAAAAAAGTGTGATAAACGACGCCGACTGTTGCTTATCGTTTCAACCGCCGCATGTGATACTAATTGGAATCCATCACAGGAATCCACGATGCTTTACAAGTAACCATGGAGTGAATTCTATTGGTTGCCGGTTTTCTATTGGGAAACGAAACGCACGTTATTCCACGACGGTCTAAAACATATAACGTATGTACAGAGATGAGTGGGGAGATGCACAACGCTCCGGTTTTAGGCGATACCAAAAGCATGGCGCTAAATCGTAGTGGCGAGTCCGGGAGTAGGATTCGTGATCGTCGCCTCCGTCGACAATGCGAATCCCGTCGTAGCCGAGCTAGACGTGAACACGAATGTGTAGCTTGGCAAGCAGAGGTTCACCGCTACTCATCGCTGGTTCCCGAAGCAATCTTCAGAACGAGACCGGGAACTATAGAACTTCTCAACAACTATTGAAAAAGCCTATTGTTGAAATATTTTTAAGACATTTTTAAGAAAGTGCGGTGCCAACTTGACACCCGTATAGTATCTCAATTTTTTAAAAATGTTTCATCACTTGAGGGCACTTGGCTCTCTATGAGGGCATAAGGCCAAAAAGGAATAAGAAGAAGAAGGAGGAGAGAAGAAGAAAGAAATTAGTTACACAGAAATATTAAAAATTCGAAACATTGAATAAAGCTTTCCGAATACTACTAAATATTATTGGATCTTGATTTATATTCAAAATTTATTCAAAATATAATATTGAGGCTAATCAAAACTGTGCAGAATATACGGAGTTGATAAAAATTTAATTGAAATTGTAGAATATCGAAAATAAATTAAGTTCAAATTGAAATATTAATAAATTCAATAAAGAAAGAATTGAAATTTAATGAAATCAATAAAGAAAAATATTAACACTTAAAAATCGGAAATTCTGGCCAAGCATATTTAGAAGTACTGGAATTTGCTCAAAATTGTGTGAGCAGCCGGGGAGTGGGGGCAGCGCTGAAGGCAGTGCCCGGGCTCGAAGCGCTCATTCTTCCTCGAGCTGGTCTCCTATACTGGTCTGTTGGAAGTGCCCCTCATATCTATTTCCAACCTTCTCCTATTTCTATATTTATTTTTTCTGTACTTCCTTATTTCTTGATATTTCGTTCTTTAGTTTCTTATTTATCTCTTTCCTCATTTCTTCTCTACTTTTATAAGTCTATTCCTTACTTTTCTACTTCTTCACTTTTTTATTTCATCTTCATTTCTTTCTTCTCGTTTCGCTTTGTTTCCTCTCACTTTCCATTGTATTTGTCTTACTTTTCCTATTCCTTTGGTCGGGTCGAGCATATTCATTCAAGTAGTGATATAAGAGTAGTCATCCGGTTAGTGCAGCTAGACTTAAGACCATGGTGTCGGGGGTTGCCCTTCCGCCTCATCCGCTGAGCTTGCTCAGTGGTTGGTGGCCCAAGTTGTGGCCGCAACAGGACCTTATGGGTCTCCCGACGGGGGCCTTGAGCCCCCTTAGGGTATCTACGGCCATGGTCTTTCGTATAGTGAATCTAGCCAGGTGTCTAGCTCTCGCGTATTTAGTATAATTTGTTCGCTTTGCTAAAAACACTCCAACATGTCGTTGACCCTTGGGCACTTGTGTGGGTAGAGACGATCCTATTTGTCCGTGGGGAGGTCGGAGGGGTAGTCCGTTGACTTTGGGTAAAGTCCTACTTGTGCTTGTGCTTGGGGGTCACTTCACTTGGGATAGGTGCGGGTGCTATTGAGCACCCGCTAGTATAAAGTCACCCTCTGTCGGAGACATTTTGCGCGGGGATCGATGGCTAACGGGGCCCGCCGCCGGCGGCGGGCGTGGTTCCTTACGTCTAACCCACTGGGCTTGCCCGTGGGAAGGGACGGAGGTTGTAGCGTTAAATATCGTCCTTCCGGATGTCCCGGCGTGCCCGCAAGGGTTCGCTGGGTGCTACGCCCGCGGTCTTTCGTTGCGGTGAATCTTGACTAAGGGTAGACCTTTCGCGTTTAACTTGTCCCTTTGCGCGTTTAACTTATCTTAGCTTTTTCGCGTTTAACTTATCTTAGCTTTTTCGCGTTTAACTTATCTTAGCTTTTTCGCGTTTAACTTATCTTAGCTTTTTCGCGTTTAACTTATCTTAGCTTTTTCGCGTTTAACTTATCTTAGCTTTTTCGCGTTTAACTTATCTTAGCTTTTTCGCGTTTAACTTATCTTAGCTTTTTCGCGTTTAACTTATCTTAGCTTTTTCGCGTTTAACTTATCTTAGCTTTTTCGCGTTTAACTTATCTTAGCTTTTTCGCGTTTAACTTATCTTAGCTTTTTCGCGTTTAACTTATCTTAGCTTTTTCGCGTTTAACTTATCTTAGCTTTTTCGCGTTTAACTTATCTTAGCTTTTTCGCGTTTAACTTATCTTAGCTTTTTCGCGTTTAACTTATCTTAGCTTTTTCGCGTTTAACTTATCTTAGCTTTTTCGCGTTTAACTTATCTTAGCTTTTTCGCGTTTAACTTATCTTAGCTTTTTCGCGTTTAACTTATCTTAGCTTTTTCGCGTTTAACTTATCTTAGCTTTTTCGCGTTTAACTTATCTTAGCTTTTTCGCGTTTAACTTATCTTAGCTTTTTCGCGTTTAACTTATCTTAGCTTTTTCGCGTTTAACTTATCTTAGCTTTTTCGCGTTTAACTTATCTTAGCTTTTTCGCGTTTAACTTATCTTA